GTAGTAGTAGTAGAGAGAGAGAGAGAGAGAGAGAGAGAGAGAGAGAGAGAGATTAAGAAGGAAGGAGAGACGGACGGGTATGGCGGCTACAGGATCTGGACGGTCTCAATTCATTTCCAGTTCTGGCGGTAACAGAAGCTTCTCTAACTCTCCCCTCATCGACAACTCTGATGATTCCCATCAGATTATTGTCTCTGAGGTTTGCTTCCTTTTTCCTCATACCACAACAATATATGCAGAATCTCAAGATTTAGGAATACACACACACACTACTGCTACATGCCTACTTAACCATAAAAAAAAAAACCTTTGATAAATCTGATTCTTGTTTTACCTTCATTTTGATTATTAGTAATTAACCAAGCTAAGTGTATGAACAGTTTCTCAGTCAAGATTTCGCTTTCTGAGTCAACAACTTATCAGACTCCAATAAATTTTTACACACAGAGAATCTCTTTGATTCTCCCTATGAGAGATTGTTTTGATTTATTTATATTTGTAAAATGCAGAAGAAGAGCTGGAAGAATTTCTTTGCTTACTTAGGCCCTGGTTTCCTTGTTTCCATCGCATATATCGATCCTGGAAATTGTAATTTCACTCTTCTTCTTCTTCTTTCTTCTTTTTTTTTTTTTTAAATTATAATTTCTCTAAAGATTTTAGATTGATTAATGCTTCTTCTTCTCGTGTTTGTTTGCAGTTGAGACTGATCTGCAATCTGGAGCACAGTACAAGTATGAGGTCCGTTCCTACAGTACCCTCTCTGTTTTTTTTTTTTTTTTTTAATTACTTTTTCTTTTCGACTTTGGCTTATAATAGTTACTTTTTCGAATTCTTGATTCCTCTGTAAAATAAAATTAAAAAAACAGTTACTTTGGATCATATTGGTGGCTTCGTGCGCGGCTTTGGTGATTCAATCTCTTGCTGCTAATCTTGGTGTCGTCACAGGTTTAACTCTTTCGACCACAATAAGTCTGCTCTCTTTCTTTTATTTTACTAAATTCCGCGTACAATGATGATCACAGGAAAACATTTAGCTGAGCAATGTCGAGCTGAGTACTCCAAAGTTCCAAACTTTCTGTTATGGGTCGTTGCAGAAATTGCAGTTGTCGCTTGTGACATACCTGAAGGTTCTTTACTCCTTTTAGAGCCTTTTAGCTAGTCGGATTCTATCTACTTTTTCTGTTTATACTAATTGTTGTCACATAATGGTTTCCTTTTGTTTTTGCAGTGATCGGAACAGCTTTTGCTCTGAACATGCTCTTTAGCATACCGGTATGGATTGGTGTCCTCCTGACAGGCTTGAGTACGCTGATTCTTCTCGCCCTTCAAAAATACGGGGTATTACTTTTTCACTCTTTTGTCATTCCATGGTGCCTTTTGCTATGTTTGGTTAAATTCTTATTCTTGGGGGGGGGGGGGGGGGGAATTTACAGGTGAGAAAGCTGGAGTTCTTGATAGCATTTCTTGTGTTCACAATTGCTATATGCTTCTTCGTTGAGCTCCACTACTCAAAGCCAGACCCAGGAGAAGTCCTACATGGTCTCTTTGTTCCTCAACTTAAAGGAAACGGCGCAACTGGTCTCGCCATCTCTTTGCTCGGAGCCATGGTTATGCCGTAAGCTTCACTCTCTCCTCAGTCCTCACCCTATCCATCTTCAGATTTCTTTTCAAGTAATCTTCTGACACCATCTGCTTTTGCACAGGCACAATCTTTTCCTCCACTCGGCCTTGGTTCTCTCTAGAAAAATCCCTCGTTCTGCTTCTGGTATCAAGGAAGCTTGCAGGTTCTACTTGATTGAAAGCGGCTTGGCTCTTATGGTGGCCTTTCTCATCAACGTCTCTGTGATATCAGTAAGTGGTGCTGTTTGTAACGCCCCCAACTTGAGCTCCGAAGATCGAGCTAACTGTGAGGAATTGGACTTGAACAAGGCATCGTTTCTGCTACGGGTAAAGTGCTTTTTTTCGTTTCTATCCATAAATATTTCATAATTATTAAGTAACTTTACTTCCTCTGTTTTCAAACAGAACGTCGTGGGCAAGTGGAGCTCAAAGCTATTTGCGATCGCACTTCTTGCTTCCGGTCAGAGCTCTACCATAACCGGAACTTATGCTGGACAATACGTTATGCAGGGCTTTCTTGATCTAAGACTCGAGCCGTGGCTCAGAAACTTACTAACAAGGTGCTTAGCTATAATCCCGAGTCTGATTGTTGCTCTCATTGGTGGTTCTGCTGGAGCCGGAAAGTTAATCATCATTGCCTCGGTACCAGAATCAATTTATATCTCTAATCATGATGTGTAATATATATATGACTTCATACACAAAATCAGAATACTAACTGAATAAACCTTTAATCAGATGATCTTATCTTTTGAGCTCCCGTTCGCGCTGGTTCCTCTCCTCAAATTTACTAGCTGCAAAACCAAGATGGGTTCCCACGTCAATCCAAAGGCGGTATGTTACACAATCAAGCACATTTTCATGTAACCGAAGAATAAAAGAAGAAGATGAAAAACGTTTCATCGGTCTCTAATTTCATATGTTCCTTTCTTGGCAGGTTTCAGCTTTGACTTGGGTCATTGGTAGTTTAATCATGGGGATAAACATATACTATCTAGTAAGCAGTTTCATCAAGCTGCTTATCCATAGTCATATGAAGCTTGTGGCCGTCATCTTCTGTGGGATTCTTGGGTTCGCAGGCATTGCTATCTATTTAGCCTCCATAGCGTACCTTGTTTTCCGGAAAAACAAAGAAGCCTCTCCTCTTCTTTCCTCAAGAAACTCACAAAATGTGGAGACACTTCCAAGACAAGACATCGTCAACATGCAGTTACCTAATAAAGTGTCTACGTCTGAAGTTGATTGAATCTTTCATAAAACGACGACTCCAATAAAATTAGAACCAAACCAACGAGTTCACAAAGACCTTTTGATAGTACTGAAGGTCCCTTAATCGGTTTGTGTCTTTTTTTTTCTTTTCTTACTTCAATTAGATTCTCATAGGAACAATCGTATCTTCTAATAATACATCAATAAAACCTTTGCTTCTATTATCATATCATACATATATGCAACATACTCTCGATTACAACCAAACAAATAAAAAAAACAAAGAACAATTCAGCTATAAATATAATTATTTAAGTTTAAACAATAATTAAACCCATACCAAGTTTCGGTAGTAGTATTCGTGGAAAAGGTTCTTCGACCTTATAAGAACTGCTTTGTATGTTTTTTTAAAATCAGTCTCATAGGAAATATAATACACCTCAAATAATAATAAAAAACCATTGCTTCCATTACCATATCATACATATTCCTTACATATTCTCGATTACAACCAAAGAAAGAAAGAACGATGAGCTATATATATATAGTGATTTAAGATTAAACAATAATTAAGTCAAAATCAAACGTATGTATAACTTTGGAATAAAACTTTTCATGTGGGTATGACCAGATTCTAGGGTCGTGATCGTGTTCTAAGATTCGATTATGACTTCGTTTTGGTTCGAATGTTGAGGAAGAGGAAGGTGACCTTTATCTTGCAAGCTTTTGACAGATTCGTAAAGAGATTGCTTAATGGGTTTAAATTCTAAGCCTAAGTCTTTTATCTTTTGGGTAGTAAACTTGTATGGCTTTGCCCTCGGATTCTTCTCGTCCGAACACCTAATCACATCAAAACACACAATATGTTAATACGAATACGAAATGTGGGCAGTATTTCTTGTATATCACTTTAAAGTAACGTATAAACTATTATTGAACTAACTAAAAGAGACAGAAGTCATAAAGCTAGTGACCAAACATTGGAGTAGGTGAAGAAAAAACGCTCACACTCCCGTGTTTGTCAAATGGAATTTGACCCATCAGCAAGACTACAGTTTTTACGATTTATCATACAAAACACATTACCCAAACACGTGTACATATAAGATCTCGATGTCAGCAGTAGGTGATAGATGACATGGATTTTGTGATGTGAGAGTTAGTACACACCATGACACCAATCTCACCACATCCACAAGTGCTAACATTAAAATATAGGGGAAATGGGACAAGAGTCATCACAATCATTAATACCAAATACCACTTATGTCCCTTTTATCCTAACTAATTAAATATAATTTTGGATAGATGTTCAAGAACTCCAAGTCGTAATTTGTTAGTGGTGCTGTGAATCCAAGGTTGTATTTATTGGACCGACTAAATTGTGTTGACTTTGATAAATGATGGACCAAAGTATTGTCAAAGAGCCAAAGGTTGACTTACTTGGTGGGAAGTGGATACTCTGGGAAGAATTTAGCCAGAATCTCAACAACCTCGCCGCGGTGAAGGGCAGTCTCGGCAAGGATGTAGCGGCCTGAGGCGGAGGGTGCTTCGTAGACCATAACATGGCCTAGTGCCACGTCACGGACGTCCACATAGACCTGAGTCAAGTTAGCGTAGGTCTTTGCTGAGCCGGTGAGATACTTGAGAATATGGACTAGACTAGCGTTCACTGCTGACTGGAGAGGTGGTCCAAGAACTAGAACCGGATTTAGCACAACCAAATCCACACCTTTGGCTTTCGCCGTCTCCCATGCAGATTGTTCCGCCACCATCTTCCCGTAGCAATACCAATTCTACAAGGGTCAAAGAACAAATATATTTAGGAATATTATATCGATTCGCATGTTGCCGAAGAACAATATTGGTCTTGGTTTTTGAGGCTAAAGGGCCTATGCTTTTTATATATTACAGCCACATATTCGATTCTAGTATGTGAACTATAATATATATATAGCTCTTAATTGGTTTCCTTGCATCTACGTGATTTATCTCATCTCTGAAACTGGTGGCGCATACAGTACTAAATTGCTAAACATAAAACAAAAAAGTTCAATATAGCTAAAAAAAAAGATAAAATAAAATAAAAAAGAAGTATATATATACCTTTGTGTTTTTGCAGAAATCGAGATCACTCCAGCAGTTTTCATCGACTATGGTTTCAGGGTCACGGTTAGGGTTCATGTAAACAGCACCAATTGATGACGTGAAAACCACGCGTTTGACCTTGGCTTTAGCCGCCGCGTCGATCACAAACTTAGCTCCGTTCACCGCCGGCTCCAACATTGTTGCCTAAATAATTATTAATTAAGAAATTAAAACTAGGAAGCTGAGAGAGCAATTAAGTAAAACTCCTCTGTACGTTGGTGTTCTAGGGATAAACCAAATTTACAAAATGAGTAACTTACGGGATCGTCGGTCATCGGAGAAGCGGTGTGGAAAACGCCATCGCAGCCGTCGATGGTGGCACAGAGAGCTTCGTAGTCGAGAAGGTCTGCACTGTGAAGAGTGAGTCTTTCTTTGGCTCCTTGAAGCTCTCTGAGATGATTGTTCTTGGGATCAGATGGGTTCCTTACGGTTCCTCTAACGGTGTAGCCTCTCTCTAGGAGTAACTTAACGATCCACGAAGCAATGTAGCCGCCGGCTCCGGTGACGCAGACGAGTTTCCCGTCCATAGGCATCTTTCTTTTTTTGCCTTTAAGGAGCTAGAAAAGCCTCTGATTGATTTAGAAGGTCTTCAAAGGGGTTAAGAGAGTAAGAATGTTATAATGATGTGTCGTTTGAGGAGAGACTTGTGATTTGTATTTATAGACCACAAAAGGAGTTACCGTTTTTTCCTCTCTTTAATTACTGTACCGTGTTTCACCAAACCATGGTAAAGAGTTGGTGAGTCTTACTACTGTCGTATATGATATCCATATATATATATATATGGAAAAAAAAGAACAAACAGAAAACCTTAGATATATTGTTTTGTTCTGATTTATTCAAAACTTATATATATATATATATATATATATATATATATTGTTTTGTTCTGATTTATTAAAAGAGTGTGGGTTTGGTAAATGAAGAATTATTGGGATTAATATTTATTTTTTACTTTGATATATTCTTATTACACTAGCTAGAGCAGTACATTGGTTTTAAAGCTTAAGGGTGATCATAAGTGTAAATGCATCAAAATGGTCAATTGAAGATGTTGTGAATCTGACTTTTACATTTCATTTTATTTTTATTGTATTTTCGCACATGATGGCTTTAACTTTTAAGATTTTGATACGAAATTGCTAAATAAGTTTTAACAACAAAAGAAACAAACTTGCTAAATAACTAGTAAGAAAAGGAAAACTCAGAAAAGGAAAAAGACTATTTCTCTTTAAAAAAAATTTTTAAAAAAAACTCTATCCAGTACGTTATTCAAATACGTCGTATATGGAGTTCTAGAAGACCTTAATAAAAATTTAGTAATCGTACGTACGCTCTTTTATAAGATCTACTACACAGCAAATGACAAATCTATGAGCAATAATGCTTTTTATTATTTATTTTTATTTAGTTTCCCTTTTAGTATCATTATCTTATCTTAACTATGTATTAGTATAATATATTCCCGTAATTAACTTAAAAATAAAAAAAAAAAGAACACAACTGATGAGTAGTTGAGAAGATTGACCCTTGACTTCAAATCTAGGCCCCAACCTCTTTTTTACTAATTAAGAAAGTTCCCCTGAACCTATCTCCTCTCTATATCCGTTTGTATATTTCAAATTGTTAACCAAAGATTAAAAAGTTGATGTATGTTTGTCATATGATAAAATGAGATTCGTTTTTATATATATATATATATATTTTTTTGTTTTTCAAAAAGGTAAGTACATCATTCTTGACCACTAGATTTATATGCCTTTTCGATTTTACGAATTTTGAAAAAGATAAGAAAGAGGGATTAATAATATAATAGTTATTATATAAAGTTAGAGAAAATTAAAAGTATACTACTAATACATTTACATTAGCTGATAAGTGTAGTAAAACCAAGATGGTCCAAAACAGATCAAACAAAAAATAAGAGACAGAAGTAAAGCAAATCATTTTAGTTTTTCTTTTGTTTTGTTTGACATAAAACCCAAATCGTACAAGTTACTGCATGCTCGCATTTATTAATTTGGAGCAAAACGCTCTCTTTTTCTTGTATGCAAACCTTTTAGTTTTGCAAAGTCTTTCTTTCTTTATAAGTCATCTTTGAACAATGTTTCAAGTTAATACATCTATCATTGTTTTTTGTTTTCTAACAAGAAATTAAGATGATGGATGATTTTGTTTCAAGTCAATTTGTTTTCGTTTTTGACAACTGATTTAAGAATAGTGGGTGGACAAGAAAAAAGAATAGTGTCTCCCATTCACGCGGTCCAGTCCAAGATGGGTTGAATCAATTTGTAAACTCTTGTTGTACTCATATAGACAATTTCCAAGTGGTTTCTCTATGACTTCAGAATCCTAAAAGTCGCAGCAAATGGTAAATGATTTTATTAACCGACAAGATAAACGTGGCACATCATTACCATGTTGTATATTACTAGTAGTTATTAAATGACAACGATATAGGTATGGACTTCTAATTACAACAACTCAATGTCACAAACTCTCTCAAGCAACTTTAGTAGACACAACACAAACCAGGTGACGCCATCTCGAACTAGTTTCAAATAACAATCTACAAAGACATAAAATTAAAGAAAAAAGCAAAGAGTCTAAGTAGAAAGAATCTTTTTGGAACTGGTTTTTCATTACAAATTCCCTAACTGTATAACTGTCCTTCATGACTCTTTCTCTTCGTCCTCTTCTTTCTCAATCTCCGAAAAGCTTGTGTTTGCCCCTTTATCATCAACCTCCTCTCTCTCTTCTTCTTCTTCTTCTTCATCCTCCATATCATCTGTTTCTCTCCACTTCGGCTCTTCTTCTGACTCTGAGTCCTGGCTCCTCCCACTCTCACTCTCACTTTCAAATTGTTTCTCTTCTTCCTTAGCTTCAGCTTCTACACCTTTATATTCGGATTGTTCTTGCTTCTCGCTACAATCATCTTCGTATTCCTGCTGCTCTTCTCTTCTGTCAGTTTCAGCAGCTTCCAGACTCACTTCCTCCTCTTCTGCTGCTCTGTCAGTTTCAGCATTTAACTCTCTCAACGATCTTAGATTCTTTCCTTCTCCTACTGTTTTTTCAACTTGTTTCTTTAACTTTTTGCCAATATCCTTCTTCATATGGAGTGTTCTACTGGAGGATCTATCACCATAAAAATTTACAAAAACCAATTTTACTAAGAACAAGGAATCATGAATCATATAAACAATTAACTTGGTTTCTAGTAAATTTTCACACCTTACACCTGAGGAACTCGTCGGTTCCACAGACGCTGCCACGTTTTTGCTTTTCTTGACTCTCTGTCTCTGCATTCTGCAACATCATTAAGAACCAGAGAAGACAATTGCTATTAAAGGCCATAGGAGATAATATTGCAAATTTACACAGATCACAGTAATTAACCGTTTTACTCACAAGTCAGATAAAGGAATGGACTCTGGCAGATCAACCTCCTTATCCTGCTGACCGATTGTGGTAAAAAAAAACATTAAGCACGGCAAATACACTTTCTTCCAAAACAAAAAGAAGAAACTTGTACCTCATCGTCAGAAGTGTGATCTTTGACTAACCCCCAGCGTTCCTCAATGAGATTAAGCTCCTCCGAATCTCCATCAGAATATATTACCTGTAATCAGTGGGGGAACAAATATTCCATATGAATCAACTAAGAAACAGGCACAATTCTAACTGGAGGAACACAGTTGAATAGCAGGTCAGATATATTCTCTCACCCGATGCATTTTCTTACGAGTACAATAAGAATCTATGACGCCTTCATAAAACCTACACAGTGCAAGACCATCAACGGAAAAGCAAAAGATTACAGTGCACTTGGAAATAAGAACCTTCAAGTCTACGGTACACTTACGTCTTGTCGAGTGGCCACCAAATATTAACTCTCTTACCGACCAACTCCTCACCAAAGCCATTTGTATCAGACTCCTGAAAAGATGGAAATTCATATATCAACAGATACGTGAGAATCAATGGCTAAAAATGGGGAGAGAAGGTGACAAAGCTTCTTATATACCACTTCTTTTCTTGCTGTTCGTCTCCTTGTCGGATGGCTCTTTGGAGTTTCTTCAGATTCGTCAGACAATTTTGTGGCTGTAACTTGAGAAACCATCTTCTGCACAGTTGATCCAAACGAGAAATTTAACACAAAACATTTAACAGTATCATTTGTTTTGACAAGAGAAATCTATGATAGTCTCGTTTTAGACCTTTCTCTTTGATGATTGTGGAACAGGAGTATCTAGGGATGCACGTTCTAAATTCTTTCTCTTAGCATCCCAGCGAGCTGATAATCTCTTTCCACTGGAATTTACAATCTTAGCTTCTACGATTGGATTCTTCTTGGCTGTCTTCTGACATTTCTCTAAACCATTTTGGGACCTAGTCTTTTTGCGGGAGTTTCCAATCTTTCTGTCATCTTCCTCTTGGTTAGATTCTTCTTTATGGTGCTCTTCATCCCGGAAGCATGACGCCAATTTCTTCAATCTCGGTGAAGAAAGAGAATCAGAATCATAATCACTCTCATCCATCTTAAACCGGCTTCGTTTAAGTGAACCTGTCAGAGCCCTACTAGTGGTTGGGGAAGTTTCTTTAAGCAGAGGTGTTTTCCTGGCAGACACCTTTCCAAGTGATGATTCTCCCCCAGATCCTTTTTTCTGGAACTTTTTATATGAAGACGTCCTTACAGGATCTCTTTTTCCGGAAAGCCAAGAAATGTCATAATCCTCCGGATTCATCAAAGAATTGGGTTTCCGTCCTCTCTTCCCTGTAATTCCTAATTCTGTTTCTGCATCTGTACTTTCTGACCGCACTTGCTTCAGACTCTGTCTCAACAAACTAGAATTGTTTCCATTTCTAACTTTGTCCTTTTCATCGATTTGTCGGGTTCCATCTCTTGCAGGTCTCTTGGAATTACTTTTAGAAAGGATCTCGTTGCGAGAATGCCCCCAGCCCAATTTCTCCTAGATCAAGCTATTTAGTTATACCAACACTATTAAAAGATGCTGAAACTCTACAAATAAACAAGCTCGCCAAATATAATACCTCTAGTGAACCACTTGCGGTTACTCGTCTCCTCAACGTCGTTTCAGCAGCCTGAACCATGGAAAATATAGCTTGTAACGTATAGAATATGAGATTACAAGATTTGACCATATAAGAACTCAATCCACCATCAAAGCAAAGAACTCAGAGTATCACGAATACCTCATTTTCCTTGGTGTTAACTGTATTGTGGACTTTAGTTGTGTCAGAAACACTCTGGCATATGGACGAAACTACTGGAGAATACATATCCAAGCTGGTCTCTGTAGACTTCAAAGCTTCGATGATGTATGGTTTAAGTTTACGTGCACATCTACTAAGAACCTTCTCCGCAAGACTCCAAGACATTGGTGAAATATCCTAAGACATTGAAAGATTACAAATCAACCCAAGTTATATGACTGCAAGATAGTTTAACTTGAAATAGGAAGAAACCTTACCTGATTTTCCTTTTTGACGTTTGCTAAGAGGATATCAAGCAAATCTGTGGATACATCTTCGATTTCATCTATTATTGTAATCATTATGATCTCCATTGACGAAAGCACCACTTGAGGATGATCAGGTCTATTAGATGCACCAAAACCACATTCAGTCTATATATGATCTAAAAACTTTCTCAGATATTGAAAATAAGGTTTTGTATACCTAATCTACCTTATGATTTTCAAGAACTTCTGAAACATATGTAGAATGAGGTCATAGCATTCCAAGTCCAACATCACCAAGCATGATCTGACCTTTGCAACATTATCAAGAACAGACTCTGCTTTCCTATAACTGCGAGAGGACGCATCATATAGTTTCTCGAAAGCTTCAATTGTCAACCTGAAGATATCCTGTAAAATACCAAAGAATTAGAAACCAACAGAGCATTACAGAGAGAGAGAGGGATTGAACTGAATACAATTACCGGAACTTGATTTGGTAATACCTTCATTCGATCATCACTGTAAGGAGCTTCTGGGGCCGTTATCCTCACAATTTCGGTTAAGCAAGACAAAACTGAAACCCTAACATCAGAATCAGGATGGCTTAAAAGGTCAACTGATACCAAAGCATTCTTGGATGGAAGAAGGGCACTTTGCATTGACACCGGTGGATCTTGGTCCACATTTCGAAGCAGAGACTCAGTTTCCTACGCCAGAGAAATTGAATCAGAAATCCAACAGAAGCTTGAAAAAGGATTCGCCTTTAACCAAATTAACAAGTTGGACATCCAAGAAAATGCAACGAATTCACCTAAAAGCACCAAGATTTGACCAAACATTTAACTAAAACCAACAATACAGCTTCCCTTATCGGCAAGAAAGAGAAACCCTAATCGCATTTCGTGAATCCAACCCTAGCAGGGATCTTTTCACCAAAACTCTAAGACAAAGATGGATAAAGCAACGATTTTTTTTTGGAATGAAGAATCAAAGAAACTGGAGAGAAGAGAATTTGTACATCGAGAAGAGTAAGAAGCTCGTCAGTTGGAGGAGGGCTAAGAAGATTCTTTCCAGCATCGATGAGTGCTTTCGAAAGATCGTCCAATCCAACAATAATAGTCATTCCCTCTTCTTCTTCTTCTTCCCCAGAAATCCTCAAACTTTCAAAACCCTAAAAAACGTAATCAAACCAACCCACCAAAAAAAACCTGTAGTTGACGGCAACGCTTCAAATCCTAAGGTCAGAGAGAGCAAGAAAAGAAGACAACTTTCGGGTGATTCTGAGGTTAAGCGGTGTGGTTAAACATGCAAATTTTCACTTATATATTACTACTAATTACAAAACTAGAATCATCTCAAACTGGTAAAAATATAAGGCAAGTGGTACCACCGATTCAATAAGAGACATCAATTATGGAAATTTAGGTTTTCTTTTTTTTAATTTTTTTTTTCGTTCTTTTATTTTCTTTGTCAGGGAACGAACATCTAGATTGTGTTGAATCATAAATTTGTTTCCATAATTGTTCTTTATTTTGTCTAGACAGGTGCACAGATTCGGATGAGTGATTCGGGTAAAAATATTAAAAAGTTGAATCTGGAGAAGAAGAACGAAGCAAAGTCCTACAAATAAAGATTCTGTACATGTATATTATTGACCAACTAAAAATAACACATGTTCCCGCCTTCTTATCATCAAAGTTTAAGATCACTTTTCTTACTTGATTCAATAATCATGACAATTGGCTTCATAGAAAAAAAGCACCAAAACGTGAGCAAAGATGGCTTCTGAAAAGGCAAATCGTGAAGGGTCTTGGAACTTGGTAGAGTCGAGCCTTACATAATAACATCATAACATACCACAAGGGAAACTCATGTCTGTTCTTGCATTTGACATTTAGTGAGACTCTAGATGCTTCTTACGATGTTGATGGCACTTGTTTTCTCTCCGTAATCATGCAATAAGCAAAAGCAAGCATTCACTCACAAGTGTGATGACCAGATACTGGTATTGAGCTATGGATGTTTTGAGCATAAGGTCTCTTCTTTACCTTAATTACAACACTAGAACATCCAACCACTTTCCTAGCATTGCCTTCTGATTCGATCTTGCAGAGCTGTCAGAAGATACATTGGTCATTACAAGCATCTATCTAACTTTAAGACAAAAACCCAAGACAGAACATCACATGACAAACATAACAAAGCTCTATAGCGATCCAACATAAGCGTAGTAGAAATTGCAACCAGACATGATGTTTCCTATATGAATGCGTGCAGCGTGCCTGGTGGTGAATAGGGATCAGAAGAAATCTCGATTTATCTGCACAGTTAATTAGTTTCACACGCCTTAATCGAAAGACAAACACTTCAACAAATCATCACACCGAATAAACTCGAAACGCATTATTAGCCTCGCAAAATTAAGTTTCGGAATGAGACGACTCTGCTAATAACCTGCTCGTAAAATACTTTAGATCCTTGTAAGTTTTTTTTTTTAATATATATAAAATAAAACTCACTCATTACAACTTATTGGGCCTGTTTAGTAGCAACAGTGGGCCTTTCACTAAATACATATGTCAGATAAGAGAGTTAAGAATTAGCCCCTCAACACTACTTTCCATACAAGTTTTCTTGAATTTATTAATTTACCTAAATTAAAACGGTTCTATTTTTCTCTCTCTCTTTTTTTTTTCCCTCCTGCATATATTCTGTTTCCTGCAACAAAAGAAGACAACAACTTCGTTTCAGTAATATTCTTTACAAGTTGAACTCAGATATGACCATAGCACAAACCAGCTCAAAATCCCTTCATAATATAAGTGCAAGTTATGGCACAAAACTTCTCTGTAGACTTTACCAATGCATAATCAAAAATCTATGTCAAGGTTAAGATTCTTTGTGTACCCAAGATCAATGAGAAAACAATGCTACAAAAGTACAAAATAAAGAACGAAATGGGGATTACCTATTAAGTTTAGGCTGCTCGTTTACGTTTTCTGAGAATTTTGAGCTGCTGCGTCATGTAATCAATCACTTCTTTCAGTGAAGCTTTTCTTCCTTGCTTGGAATTCCACAGTACTGGGACTGAGTAGCGGCCACTAGGATTAAACTCATTCAGCTCCTCAAGTGCTATCTTCACTGCATTCTTCACTTCTTCTCCCAACTCTTCTCTCAGATTCTTGATTTGCTCATCTTCTTCATCCACCACTTCCTACACCATTCCCGTAATACAACATCATCACTACTAGTTCACTAGAATAAAGACTCGTGAAGTGAGACAGAGGGCCAACATCAAAGAAATCATTGATGTAACATGAGGCACATAGCAAACCTTCATTTTGTCTCCAGTCCCCACATGTTTGAATGGTTGCCACGCTGAATCCTTGAGGTTTTCCTGCCATTTCGAGCAAAGTATGGCATACTGCACTGCAGCTTCTTCGCCTGTGAATCTCTGCTTGCATGCTTTCATGAAAGGCTTTTCATTAAGTTCCCCCACCCTCTTTACTCTGATGGTGGTTCGCTCACTCAACAGTTCTCTCAATTCCTGAAAACCCCAAAACATGCAAACAATTTATCACACATCCCAGGTTCCACAATGGCTGTTGGAACTAATCACAGATTCTGGACTATATATCGTGGAGAGTATATGTGAAGCTGTTTGACAGAATCCTAAAGCATTTTGGAAATCACCCTTGTACATCCTCATCATACTAATTAGCGTTTAACCATGTCACCAACATTTCACTCTCACCCAAAAATATGGAAGCATTTAAAATATATACCGTAGTCAATAATGCACGGGCTTCTTGTATCTCATCATTGCTTTGGCGTTCTTTAATCATGAGAGCTGAGTTAGTTTCCTCTAGATCTTCTAACTCAGAACACTTATCTTCTAGTTGTTCCTTCATCTCCTTCATTTTCTGCTTCACATCCTCGTCATCTTCATCCTCATGCTTCATGACTTGCAGCTTTCCTTTCAGCTCCTGAATCTCCATTTGAAGTTTCTGCTTGCCATCTAACTCCTTCTCAAGCTGAAGGATCTTGTTTAAAGTCTCTTCTTTTTTCCTCTGGAGTTCAGAAAGAAGAAAGTTGGAATCTTTAAACATAGGCAAGACAAAATTTTATTGTAACTTGAGACGAACAGATAGATCTATATTGACGATTTACTGAAAACAGACCTTGTGTTCTTCCACAAGTGTCAAGACACGATCATCTGTCTTTTTCTGTTCCTGTGAAGCCAGCTGGAGGGAGGAGTTCATGACATCGCTCTGCCATAACAAGGGAAAACAAAATGATCATCAGTAGATTCAGTACCCTGGAAAATATCAACGCATAAGTATACTATAATGACAAAATATTACCTTCTTCTTGTCTTCATCAAGCTTTTGTCTCTCCAGTTCAGTTAGTGCTTGCTTCTTGTCCAATTGTTTGGACCAAATCTTCAGAGCATTCATCTTAGCTTCCAGTTCATTGCTCAGCCTCTCTTTTTCTCTAAAGATCCTGTTGATATTGTCCCGTGAAAACTCCTGCATTCTTTTTGTTTCTGGAGAGAAAAGTACAGAGAAGAGTCACAAACCTAAATTCTGAAGCATCCGGGTGAAACATAAGCAATAAATTTCAGTACAAACCTTCTTTATAAACTCGGTCCAGCTCGTCTTTCTCTTTTAGAACCCTGCGCAGAGAGATCGCTTTCTCATTGCACTTGTACTGGACCTTGTTCAGATACTCATTTGTCATATCAATTTTATTCGCCAGATCATCCACCAAACTATTCTTATTGTGAATTTCCTCCTTGCAGATATCAGAGAAGCTTTTCAGTTTTCCTACTTTGGACAGGTACTCTGCTATCGACCCTTGAGAATTGTAGTCATCGGCACGTGCGCACCAACCGTAGGCCTTAGACGTCCAGTCTCCTTTTTTATCACGCCAGTTCTTTTTGCCGCAGCCCCTAATCTCATATTCCTTCTCAAGCTCTGTCGCACTCTTAAATCCACTCATACCTCTGCTAAACAGAGGAAAGACAGCAACTACGGATTCCTGCTCAAGCCAAAGGGTTTTCACTTCAAGAGGATTGAATCTGGCGAGCTTCTTCAACCAATAGGCTGAATCAAGGAGCAATTTGTTGTTATCAGTTCTTCTAACCGGGTTGATGACAATCCCCATCCAAGGCCAGACATAAATGTCATCCACAACTGCTTGACCTTGCTTTGATGAGGACGAGGGAATTTGTGGGCGTGGGACATCAGCATCAGCAGCAAGCTCGTTCTGCATGTATTTTGCCAAGGCGAAGTGATTTGCTTTCTGCTTAGCACTTCTACTTGCAGATCCTTTGGCAACACCAGACGCATGAGCAAGTAGCTCCTTATACTTGTAATGCTGCTTCTTCTTCCCTGAGCAGAAGGGGCACCTGAATGTGTCCTTCACCTTAACCTTGTAATGCCCATTTTTTATTAGCTCGTAAGGTTTATCAGAATAGACATCTATCTCAGACTCACTGATCTCTGACTCTTCTTCAGAACTGCTATCCATCCTAGCAGGTGGCCTGTAACTCAGAGTTTCAAACCAGATTTTTGGGAATGGTTGATAAAGGACAGATCTAAGAAACAAAACAAAACAAAGAGAAGCAGTAGATAGATGAACAGGCAAATGCAGATGTGAAGACCAATTGCAATCATAGTAAAATAAAATTGGCAACAAAACTGAATGTAAGAAATCAAACCATGACGTTGCAACTGCTAACGAACAATAACAACTAGTAAAAATGCAATAAATATCACAGACAAGTTACAAATATGGTAACCGCAGAAAAACCCTAGAAAAGGCTATATATCCTTCACCAAAATCAGCAGATTCGCAGCAAACAAAGAAATAACCCAGAAACACCATTAAAAGTTACCCAGACACGTTTCCTCTAAGAATGCGTTTTACGATCAAAGAAGCTCCTTTTTATCTGCCAAGTAAAAATGTTAAAAGTCTCACATGGCAGTGGCTTATACCTAAATCAAAAGAATCACCCAGAGTCAGGCGGATGAGAACAAACCTTCAACAACCAACACACAGAAACCCAAAAACGTGGACGGAATTGAGCTGAAGAATGACAACCGTCGGGGAAAAGAGTGAAGTGACTACTCAACCTCAGACGATGAACAAGATTAGTTGCGCGAAGATGATGAAACTTAACTAAAAACAATCTCGACTAATAGCAACTTTAATGGACCTATGTAACAGCATAAATGGGCCTTAGATTAGGCCCACAAAAACGTTACTATATACACTTATACAGACACACTTCCCGTTCAGATATTGCCCGTTATTTTTCCGTTACCGCTGTTAAGGAGGGCTCGGGAAGCTGCTGCTCAATTTCAATTTCCAAAGAAATACTGGAAATGAGACCTAAGTCAGTTTCAATTTCAGAAAATTGTGATCATGCATCTTCATTGTTCATGTGTCCTTCAATTAATTTGGTGGTGGGTCTCTCCTAAATTTCAGATTGATCCGATTTTGTGATCATGCATTCCTAATAGAACGACTTGGAAGAAGAGAGAGAGTTTTTTAAGGGATTTTTTTTATTTATTATTTTTGTTTTTAGATAGCAACCTGACCATTTTCAACACCTAGTCCATACAAAACACCAGAATATTTCTGCAAAGGACCAACGAAGAAATTCTCCTTGAGCTTTCTGAAAGTACAAGACGTGAGTAGACTATCCGAGCCAGCTTGGTGACAGATCCCAACTCTCTCGACTTCGAGCAACTCAGCAAGCTTGTTCAGACCACCGTGAAGGCTGTTGCAGAACTTCATCAGGTGTTTAATGTCGTAGACCGTGGGGAAATAAACGTTGATCAGCTTGAAGAAGTCTGTTTGCGAATCCGGCAGGTTCTGGCAAGTGAGGAGCTTCAGCAAGTATCCGAAATCGTATCCACTGTGGAACGTGACCCAATGCACGTTCTCGTTCAACACGATCCCCGAGGACATGAGGAGCTCCGCGAATCTCTTGGAGTCGATCCCGTCTTGTGTGTTTTTGGCCAAGTCGATGCCTGATTGTTTGAGCAGCTCTATGGAGTCGACCGCGAAGATATCGGAGTCGAGATCGAATTCTCCGAAGTTGAACTGCCAGATGCAATACTTGTCTGTGCCGCAGGTTGGGAGGTTGCCTTGCTCGTTGGAGAAGGTGAGGCCAAGCTGGATCATCTTGAGGATGTTGACGTTGGTCTTCAAGGTTTCGTAGTGGTAATCGGCGTTGGATTTGAAAGTTCCGACAGGTCGGACGACGATGCCGGGGAACTCAGTGTCCATGGCGACGTAAGGGAAATCGTCGACGACGTCTCGGATCAGATCCATCTCTTCTTCAAGGTTATCGTTCCAGACTTCGCGGATTTGAATAGAATCGTCTTTCAGAAACAGAGACATCTCTATGAATGATGGATTTGAGGAGCATCTGGATTGATGATGAGGACTGATAATAAGACGCTGAATAATCCAACCAAAACAACTACAAAAAAAAAACCTAGAACGGATCTAGAGGTAGACGACCCGATCTGGTTTCATCAGAATCTGCGGTAACAAATAAGAAGCAAACCGAATGTTCAAATTTCAAACAAATCAACCCCAGAAATTGGCATAAACGAAGGGCGGTGATGTTCGAACCTGGAAATCAAAGCCCAAGTAAAGGATGACACAGAAGGCGGCGATCTGACGTTGCTAGGGTTTCAGAGGACGATGTGGGTGGCCGTGGTTTATCGATTTTAGGGTAAAATGAATGGGAACGAGAAGAAGAGATAATATTAATTTATTTATTTTTATCGAAATTCCTTTTCTGCTTTTTTTTTATTGTTTTTTTTTCTTTGTTCTGAATCCGATTTTTTTTTGTTCTCCACAAGTTTTCTTGTTTTTCTGACAAATTCTTTTTCTTTATTAGGATCGTTCCTTTTTTTGTGCGTCACAATTTGGTTTTTTTTTTTTTTTTTCTACATTATCTTTTCTTTCTTCAAATATCATTATTGCTGAAACAATAGTATATGCGTACCCAAAATATAACTGTAAGATATTAATACGAGATTATCATTGCTAAGAAATAAGAATCGTTTTTATCTTATAATTAATTATTAGCTAGGTTCGATAGATGACACCAGTTATCAGAAACAATTCGATGCTTAAGCTCCCATTGATCTTTCGTTTTAAGTGCTTGTAACTTAGCCACAGTGGCTGTTTCTATCTCCAACTTGTTTCTTTCAGGAAACCCCGTCGTCTAAGTCTTGACCATCATCTCTCGTTGATCACAGTCTTTTGCTTTATCAAACACGACTTTAACATAAACTCTTCCTCTGAACCGCTCAACTAACATAGGAAGAGTCCATTGAGCATCGGGGAACAGCTCTTTGTATTTCTCCTCTTCCGTGAGCATTGTTTTTTTAGTCTTCGGCAAAAAATCAGAACCGAAACCAAACCTAAAAAAACTGAACCAAAACTGAACCAAAAAAATAAAAAATTGAATGAATCTTATACTCAAGATCCGAAAGTATCCAAAAACCGAATCATACCGAACAAAAACCGAATAGATATCCAAAATATGTAAAATACAATTATATACTTAAAATACAATTATCTTATGCTAGATACTTTCCTATGCAATTTTTGCCTATAAAATCCTGCCATTAAAGCTAGTCTAAATAAAACTGTCCATTTGGGCACGTTCAATGGTTGGTGGACAGACTAATTGACAGCTTTAGATACGAATACTAGATATCACGCTCGCAAGACTGTGTGGTTTAAGACGACTATAAAGCAGAAGACGAACGAAAGTTGAAGGAGATCTGAAAAAGCAGCCCAAATCTTCTTCAGTTAAAAAATAAAAGAAAAAAGAGAGACGAAAGACATGAACGAAGAGCAGAAGAAAAGATGGAACGAAAGGTGTGAAGAGCTGGAGGAGAAAAACAAAGAGCTGAAGAAAGTTATAGCAGAGAAGAATGAAGAGTTGGACAAGGTAAAGAAGGAGATGAACGAACAGTTGGAAGAGGAACGTTTCGAGTCAGCCTGGTTAAAGGATGGGATCTCGGCCCTCTTCGAAAAAGCGCGTCATGAGAATCAAGAAGCACGCAGGGAATTGATTCAGGTATTATTTCATAGATAATTGCATGTATGTGTGCGTGTGTGTGTCTTATGTGAGGTTCACATGATGTAACAAGTACTATCTTTTTCTTTTGCTCTTGGGGAGGAAATGAGAAAATTATCGGGCGAGCGATCCACGATCAGAGTCAAGTGCATGGGAGAACTTGATAAAAAGCCCTTTATTGAAGCTTGCAAGGTGAGATTCACCGGCGAGGAAGCTGCAAAGCAGCATGCTATGCTTCGCTCTACATGGCTGCAAAACCTCAAGGATCCTGCATGGCACCCATTCAAACACGTGGGGACTGGAGATAATGTCAAGGTTTTTGTTTCTGTCTCATAGTATATTCCATTTATTTTGTGTTATGTAATTCTTCTTTCCAGGCTCTTCTTAACTCTCTCTCTCACTGTCATGTTTTAAATGTCTTGATTCTGGTTATATCATTGTTTACGGTTTGCAGGAAGTGGTGGATGAAGAGGATGAGAAAATTAAGAAATTGAAACAAGAGTGGGGTGAAGAAGTGAAGAACGCAGTCAAGAAGGCACTGGAGGAAATCAACGAGTATAACGCAAGTGGCCGGTACGTAGTTCCGGAACTCTGGAATTTTAGGGAAGAGAGAAAAGCCACTCTCAAAGAAGGGATTGCTCAAATGAAGACACTGCTCATCAAAACTCACAAACGCAAGGCACACCCATAAGTGCTTGCTTGGGATGATCTTTAACTTACTCCCTCAACCTCTTTCGTATTGCTTCTCGTTTTGCATCTATAAACTAAGCTATCAAAACTCGTGGAGAGTTTCTCTCTTTGACATTTATATGGTTCCTATATATTCCTCCTAATATTATCTTATCGCTAAGATGTGAAAGAAAGAAATTAAAACGAAGAAGGTTAGGTGAAAAAAGAAGCCTCTACCTTATCAAGTTAGTTAGCAATATTCTTGCCTTAAGCCAAGGATCTTCGGATCCGACATTCCGACCCACCAGCGACACTCTGCCAGGAATGGTTTTTCTCGGCGGTGACGCACGAATTTTCATAGCAGTATCATGGGCCTAAGTCATATGCATTAATGGGTCTTTTATTGGGCTTATATGACAACATCTAGTCTTAGCTAAACGTTATCGGATTCTATATATGGTTCGATCAATTCAACCAACTGGTATGCATGCGTATGGAGAAAACGGTTTATTGGGCCTTTACATTGTCACTAATGGCCAACACTTGTCGTATCATATTGTATTCTACCTATCGTCTAGGGTTAAAAAAAAATTAACCCAAGAGAGTATAGTAAAAAGGTTGAATTGGAAAACTAAAATAATCCAATTGTAAAAAGTTGAAATCCAGAACCTTAGATCACGAAGATAATCTCGGATGAGGTTATTGAAGAGCCGACGGAAAGGAGTAAGAACTATGAAGGCGAAACTTGTTGAAGAGATCATCAAGGAGGTATATGATATGAAGAGATGCAAGAAAAATTTGATGAAAAGTTGGATAAAAGGAATATGGGAAGAGTGGTTGAGGAGATAACTAAAATAATTGAGAAGAAGAATCAAGAACTGGAACAAGTTGAATAAAAAGTTGCAAGAGGAGCGTTCTGAGCTTGAGGATCTTAACTCGGCCCTGCTTTTAAAAGCCTTTCATGCAAGTGTATGTAAGCAGAGAGGTTCACTGGTGTAAATGTTGAGTTGGAATATGCCAATGATTTGCGTTATATATATAATTGGTACCCCATTCAAACGCATAGGGGACTGGAGAGAGAATGAAGGTTTTTCTTCTTTTTCACGTTTCATTCAATTCTCAGTTTCTTTCCTAGTGTCCTGTTTGTGATCTTGATCCTGGTGGATCTTATATGGGCCGGTATGGTTTGCAGCAAGTGGTGGATGAAGAAGACGAGAAACTTCAGAATTTGAGACAGGAGTGGGGAGAACGTTGTAAAGAAAGCACTCGAGGAGCTCAATGAGTATAATCCAAATGGTCGGTACTCTGGCATAGGGAGGAAAGCCACACTTAGAGAAGGGATTGCTACATACACGTGTTTGCTATGAAGAGGTTGAGAGAAACTGATGTCAAGGCTTTGGGATTTACTGGAGACGAAGCTATGGGTTCAGTTTGCTATGATATGCTTTGCTCAATATACCATCATAATATAATGGGCACCGTTCAAAGTGTTGGAGGACGAAGACATGGTTCAAAGGTTTGTTCAATGTCTCTCGTTTTGACATAGTGCTACGTTAAGGTACCAAATATCAAATGAAATCAGAGTCAGCTTGATATATCTGCCAGCTAGCTAGTATTTTCAGGTAACACTTGACACCATATGCATTTATAAAAATACTTGGCATATACAGTATGATATATAATAGCACAATCTTTTGCATGATTGCATATCAGTGATCAATTACTTATAGTATATTTTAGGTGTTGACAAGAAAGTTCCAAATAAATAAAGGCTTCCCCAAAATAAGTAATGCAGGAACAAACTTAATTGGAAACTATAATGAAATATTGAATCCACCAATTTAAAACAATAATGGCACCATATTCCTATATAGTATATATATATTGGGTTTGACACGTACTGGCTATTAAATTATCACGCTTGCTTGCTTTAATTGTGTGGTGCAATAGCAATCTTGGGACGAGTATCAAACTCCCCCCAATGGATGAGTTTTCTAACTTGTAAATAGCTTTTGCTTTCGTTTCTTTCTAAATTAAACTTTAAGCATGCACCCGAACACGATAACCCGTTTTCGAACCACATTATGATTTTGTATACAGCATTAACAAGTACAAGACTAGAAATTAAGGGGGTGTTATTCAACCTTGTATTTTAATTGATTTGAATGTATTTCAAAATCTAGCGTTATTTAACGATGTATTTTAAAAACCACAATAAAATCTGTTGTTATTGGATTTAACATTTGTTTGATGTATTTTAAAGTATTTTAAAACAAGCGTTATTCAATTTTCAATGGATTTTGTTTTCTTTAAGATTTTAATGTATTTTACATCTAAAACACGTACAAACACAATCCTAACACTTTTCAAAGGATTTCATCTCTTTCATACCAAATCCATCTTAATTGTATTTAAAAGCTATTGAACTTTAAAATCCACCCGTAATTAAAATTCCTTAAAATTCTCCATCCAATAACACCCCCTAAATTCTAATTTTGTGCGTTTATGTATTCACTTACTTATGCGAACCAAATTACATCTAAATATATATATATATATATTAGTTTTCGACACTCATCTAAAGACGGTTTTGCATACATATAAAAGTGCACATAAAAATACGAATAAGCTGGATCCCTTCAATTCAAAACATCATGTCATGTAACTCTAACAAAAGAATGAAAACTTTGAATAACAAAAAGGAAAAGAAGACAAAATAAGACTCAACGAACACACAGTGAAATGAGCCCAGCTATTCTATTTCTTCTTTCTTTCTTTTTTTTAATGATAATGATAATAACAATAATAATTAAGAAGAGAATCGAATAAAGTTTAAACCAATTGATGGTAGCCACGATTAGTGAGGGACAACATAATTTGGACCAGACTTTTGACAAAATTTTATTCGACCCTACCTACATTACATTACATACATACAACAATTTCTATTTACATTCCTTTGCCCTCTTTTTTTTTTTTTTTTTCTGTTTACTCTCTTTGATACATCCCCTTCGTAATCATATCATTTCTTTTATAATTATTTCTTCTTCGTAACTTTCTTTTTCTTAAAACTTTTTTCCCAAACATGTTTATTATTTAGTCCTAATTAATTTGTTTTTACAATTGAGTGATTATATAAAGCTAATCCAAATATATGTAGAAGAAATCGCATGTATAGTTATAAAAAATCTGTAAAATACCAAAAAAAAAAAAAAAAAAAATCTGTAAAATACCCTGCGATGTGACGTTGGGCTTTAGAACAAACAGTCTCTTCACATCTTTTTTTGAATGGTCGTGATTTGTTCCTCCACTCCCACACACATTCATATGTACGTAGTTCTCATGATTTGTTGTTTTTATTTTACCCCATATGGCTATATATATATATATGTGTGTGTATATTCTGTGACTTAATGTGATTTTAATGGCTATCTTAGTCTTAGGAATTAGGATGATAGGTGGTATATACTCTGCAGAAATATATAGATAGACCATCTCTCTATATGTACACTTTACAAATAGTTATTTTAGTCGACACGAGACCACTCATTTCTTTATAGAGTTTCTACAAAATTTAGCAAAGGGTATGTATACTAAATTATGCATAAATTTATTAATGCGCATAAAGGTTTCAAGAAACTCATACCTTCGAGAAATTATGAATGCGAATAAAGGGTTCAAGAAACTTATACCTTAGAGAAATTATTATAATTAGTTCGAAGACACTTCGTACGATGGTGAGGATACGGGAGAAGGTAGTATTTTCACTTAATAATTATGTTCCTAACAAGAGTTGTGAACGGGTCATCAAAGATTAATCTCTTTTAATTAAAATTAGAAAACGATTTACTTTAGGAGTATACAAATAAAACAAGAGTCATTCAAAATGAAGAGATGATTTTCATAATAACAAGATACTACATCTGAATTATATTACTTTTTACTTTTTATTTGACATATGTACATATTCTTGTTTCTTTTGTTAGTTTGAAAACAAGATTTATATTTATAGCTAGGTAACTTCAGTTTACCCTCACTTGGAACTTGATGGTATACTTCTTCTCAGAATTGCATTTTTTTTTTTTTTGGCTCCGGATAGTTTTTGCCTGGGGAGATTAAAGGCTTAAAGCTTTTCATTTCACTATTATTCTTCACTAATTTATTTTGGTTAAACTACGCACTGTTCTTCTTACCATTATTTTTGGCATGTATTAGAGAGATTAAGACAACAACAACAACAACAAAAAAGGAGGGCACAAAAAAGGGAGTCGAGTTTGAGTCATGCACAGTCTGTGACAAGGAAAGGTCAAGAACCATCGCTTTTGCCATCATTCTCTTTGCTATCATCGACTTACATCCACACAACCCCAAGAGTTCCATTTTCATGGAGAAGAACAAAAATAATGTTATGTCGATAGAGAAAGAGCTCCACAATTATTGCTTCAAATGCCAAAAGCTTCTTTTAGTACACGATACATGTATCATATAAGTAGAAAGAAATAAAAGATACGATACAAGACCCATTCTCTCATAAAGATAGCAACATTTCATGTTATGCAAAAAGAGTCTTCCTAAGGACACATGCATCAAAACTTATGGATTACCAACCCACTTACTCCTCTCTCCATCCAAATATCAATCATCTATTTTGGATCCTTCACTCATAAGTCAACTCTCATGTCTTTCCCTTATAAATACCCTACACACATCCCTCAATTCTATATCACATAAACACAATCATCGTAACAAAAACATATATACTCAAATTAAGTTCTCATCTCTCTCTCTCTCTCTCCCTCGATATGGATCATGAGGAAATTCCATCAATGCCCTCAACTCCGGCGACAACCCCGGGGACTCCAGGAGCGCCGCTCTTTGGAGGATTTGAAGGGAAGAGGAATAACGGGCATAATGGTAAATACACACCAAAGTCACTTCTCAAAAGCTGCAAGTGTTTCAGTGTTGACAAGGAATGGGCTCTTGAAGATGGAAGACTCCCTCCGGTCTCTTGCTCCCTCCCTCCCCCTAATGTCTCCCTCTACCGCAAGGTATACATCTATATATATATACGTACACTTTCTCATTACTGTTACATTCCTGCATATATATATAATCATGTTACGTAGCTATTCAGTGAGCATTGACCGTTACAAATTTGTGCGTGTATATTAAAGTTGGGTGCAGAGTTTGTTGGGACGTTGATCTTGATATTCGCCGGAACAGCTACGGCGATCGTGAATCAGAAGACAGATGGAGCTGTAACGCTTATTGGTTGCGCCGCCTCGGCTGGTTTGGCTGTCATGATCGTTATATTGTCGACCGGTCACATCTCCGGGGCGCATCTCAATCCGGCTGTCACAATTGCCTTTGCTGCTCTCAAACACTTCCCTTGGAAACACGTCAGCTACTTTTAACTTTAATTGGTTTAACAAAGTTTACACACTTTTAGTTTTGGATGTTACTGAGAACCACATGAAATTTATAGACATGCACATGCATATCTTAGACAATTAAATTTATAACATGGGTTGACATAAATATATAAAAAGTTTGATCGTATTAAGCGATCTATCTTGTGTTTAGAACTTTAAAAAAAAAAAAAAGCGAATTATCTATAATAATATATAATTTGTAGGTGTCTATATATATAATTAATTTAACGATGTTACAAAAATAGGTGCCCGTGTATATCGGAGCTCAGGTGATGGCCTCCGTGTGTGCGGCGTTTGCACTGAAAGCAGTGTTTGAACCGACGATGAGCGGTGGCGTGACGGTGCCTACGGTGGCTCTCAGCCAAGCCTTCGCTTTAGAGTTCATTATTAGCTTCAACCTCATGTTCGTGGTCACAGCCGTAGCCACCGACACGAGAGCTGTAAATTACATATTTAGTAACTATATATAACTAAACAAGAGAGGAATCTTGAAATCTTGGTCGTGTCTGAAAACTAATGACAAAATTACAGGTGGGAGAGTTGGCGGGAATCGCGGTAGGGGCAACAGTCATGCTTAACATACTCATAGCTGGGTATATATAACTAGTAGATGGATCTAGACCAAACCTTTTCGTGATTTTGGTAGTTGTGGATTATAGCTAATTAACACGTTTTACTGATCATAATGTTTGTGTACAACACAGACCTGCAACTTCTGCTTCGATGAATCCAGTAAGAACACTAGGTCCAGCCATTGCAGCAAACAACTACAAAGCTATATGGGTTTACCTTACTGCCCCAATTCTTGGAGCGTTAATCGGAGCAGGAACATACACGATTGTGAAGTTGCCAGAGGAAGATGAAGCACCCAAAGAGAGGAGGAGCTTCAGAAGATAAAAAGACAAAACGGGGAAACCCATTCGCTTATGAATAATGATAAGCTGTCTGCATCAAATGTGTATCATGTAATATCTTGGGTCAACGATGGTGTTATAAAATTGCGAATGTCACTTTCATCAAAATTGCAATAGCGTTTCATCACTTTCAGATTTTTCTTTTTTAAGGGAAAATATAGCAAGTAGCTAGCGATTACAACAGTTGCTGCTTCTAATTCATTTTCTTGATGAGATCATTGATCTTATCTTCACGGTTTCCAGTATCTCCTCCTTCGCTGAATACTTGTTTCTTCCTGTTCAAAACACCAGCCTCAGGCTTGTTGAGTTTCAACGGTCCCAAAAATCTCATAACTTCTCTGAAATGATCACCAACCCTTGCTATCTCATTCACAAGGTCTTCTATGCCAAATATTTTGTGTTCTCCTAGAGCCTAGGGTGGTAACACAAGTTGAAATGATTAAGAACAGAATGATTATTATCTTCAACAGGCTCTCCTAACCTATACTTTTAACAGTTGGAAATTTCTACCTGTTCGATGATGTTGTTGTCGGTAAGAGGAACAGGATTTCCCTCAATTATTGTGTATCCCTTTTTGAATATGAGGTCCTTGACGCTCTTATCATTCGGGTATCTGCAAGAATGGTAAACATTGGTAAGCTCATAAGAGAGTCTGAGGAAATGACAATGAAACTGAGCAACAAGGAAAGATCAAAAGAGGATAGTCATTACGTACCCATAAGTGACATAAGGCTGCACTTTGAGAAGCTTTTGGAACAAACTGTCAGTTGCTCTGGCAAATACACCAGTAAAGACGCTCCTTAGTTGCAAATTGTTAAGAATCTTCTTGGTCTTTGGATGCATATCGCTCTTGCTGGTCACAAGTAAAAAAAGAAAGAAAAAAGGATAAGAAAACTGGCAGAAATAAACACTAAAAGGGGGGGGGAAGATAAAGCTAATTGAAGAATATCACTTACCCTCCTTGTATACGTACGATGAAAACCAGGTTTGATTTAACTGGTGGAGGAGATGACTTTGGCCTCTTTACCCTTTGCTTCATCCGGATAAGATCTATTTCCTGTAGAAAAAAAACAATCAGCAAAAAGAAAAATGTCAAGCTAGAAAAATCAATGCAGTATTAACACAATTAACAACAAGTCCTAAGCAACAACCTTATAAGCCACGGAGATACCTCGAAGGTGAAACAGATCTTATCATCAGAGGAGTTATAGTTCGACTTAGTTATAGTCTAAGAGAATGTAACGAAAATCTAATTACATGCAACTTCCACTCTACATACAGCAATAGAAAGACTTATACTATGCAGACCGTAGACAGAGGCAAAATGAGTTGAAAACGAAACAGAAACCTAAAAGAGTAAAATTTTAATTCAGAGACTAGATTCAGCCAAATCAGTTTCCATGAATAACAAAACATGATCTAAGGTGAGGTAGACAAGTCTAGAAGCAATATAAAACAGATGCAGAGCAAATGCTTTTGAATTCAGTGAGCAAATCAAAAAATAAAGAAGAGTACCTTAGCCCTGAACTCGAGCACAAAATCTTCAGGACGTTTGATATCAGAGACTTTCTTCTGCTTCTTCTTGCCGAAATTTCCCAACTCAAGTTGCTTCTTCCTGATAAAGGCAAGCTCATCTCTGTTCTTCCTCTTTTTCAGTACAATCTCCGGTATGTAATCCAAACCCTTAGCTTCTTCTTCAGCCATTATCCTCTACTCTTTGCTTCTACAGTACAACAACAGATGTCAAAGATTGTAAATTATTATTTTTGTAATAAAAGTAATACAGACTTTGTAAAATCAACCAAACAGAGACTGAACTCAACCCTAGAAGAAGTGAGGCTTTTGAGGGACAAAAAAAAACAATACGGAAAAGGGAAAACGAAATTACCGGTGGCGGCAAAGCAATTTGAACGGCGGCGGAGTGAAGAATTCTCCAAGTCGAAGTTGGTAGCAATGGGCGAGAGAGAGAAGACAAGGATTGAGAATCCTAGGGTTTATTAACTAAAATCTATTTTGCATTATTTACAACTTTGCCACCAGACCTAATTTATCCGGGTCAGACTTGGGTAAAAGCCCAATATATATATGGGCTTATGTAAGGCCTTACTGCCTCTGAGTATACTAGTTAGCTTAATTATCTTATGCGAATCAACAACATTCATAAAGCTTTTGTAGTGGTGATCGATGATCGTACGCTAAGTAATTACGCAAAATCAAAGCAATGTGTGTCGGCAAGGAAGGTCTTAAGAGAGAGAGTGAGAGAGAGATCATGGATGTCCAAATAAGAGCAATCAACGACGGGATGGATGCTTTTTGGCAATCCTTTGAGAACTCTTTACAATATCTTTTTGCATTTGGCTCTAAGAGCACCATTATCAATGGTGGTCTAACTCTGTTTAGTTTCTCGATTGTTTGACCTTAGTTTGGAAAAGTGCTACTTCAAGAGGCCAACAAAAGTAAACTTCAGGCAACAAAGGAAGATTGCTACACATAATTTTTGTAGTTGCAGAGTTTGATTTTGTCAAGGAAGAAGAACAAAGATTTGGACCGGTGCAATCTTGAAGAAAAAGTCAGGTTTACACTTTACAATGACTTTAACAACATTTACAAATTGCTTGTTTTTGTTTCTCCATCTTCATTGTCTAATGCAGCAGCTAACCTAAACTTAAGAATCTTGTGGAGTTTGGCTGGTTTTCACCTGCTGAAACTTGTAAAACCGCAACCCAAAATATAGCACAACAGAACTTGTTCCCAAATAAAGAGGAAAGGCAAGTGAAACTAACCCTTGTTGTCAGAGAAAGCAAGGCATGTACCAATTGTTTCTATATACTCGCCAGCCTGAGAAAGAGATCACAGATTAAGAAGAATGGAAGAGCAATTGAACTTGGAAAAATGGTAGTTGCAACTCTCTCAGAATTACCAGCTTCATTTTGCCATCAATGACCATCACCGGATTAAAAGTATCCAAACCCTGAGAGAAGAAAACAAAACGAATACACTTATAATAACAATAAAAACCCTATGCAAATATGTAGTTTGTTAAAGTAAAGAAGAATTTGGATTGAACAGACTGATAAAGTATAAGGAGCATTTGATGGAATGTCAATGTGCCTTGAAATGTCATCAAGATCAATCATAACATATTCTTCGTCCCCCATCTCTCGTTTCTGTATCAATTTTGTTTATTAGGGTGAAAGAGGAATAACTCAAAGAATCCAAACACTTTTTCACTTTCTGACCTCGATTAGATTCAAGAAATTATAATTCTTCCTGAACAACAAACAAAATTATGTGCTGAGGATGGCTCACCTCTTTCTTTTTTCCCTTGAATCTTTCGAGCAAACCCTTAACAAGTGGGGGAAGTGAAGAACAAGCCTGATAGGAAGTAGAAGAAACAGAAGAAGAAGAAGAAGATTCGTGCAATTTCAGGTCAATCTAGTTCTCCTTCTCTGTCGTCTGTGTACAAATTTAGGGCCCATTATTACTTTAAAAGCCCAAAGGAATGAGTGAGGCGACTATCTGCGCGAGACGGAGGGAGAGATATCAACTCTCCATCTCAAGCGCGTGAACCAAATCTTCTCAAGCCTTCCTCGGAAGTCGGAACCTAAGAGCAATCTCAGATCAAAAATTAAACCGGAGAGGAGAATAATCTACAACCGAAGAACAATTTAAAACGTGACTTGGCAAACAAGAAAAAGGTTGAGATCAAAGATCATTAGAAGTAGAATGAATTTTGTGATCCCAAAAGATGAAAGATAAACTAACAATAACGATCAAAGAGCTAACAGTTTAAGCCAATTGTTTTGAGCATTTAAGCTCTTGCTGACCTAAAAATTAATAAAACAAGGAACAATAAGCAGAGTACGATTGTAAAAAAGATAGAGAAATTTCATCATGATGGACTTTGATGGAGATGTCAATCGGATTGATCATCTGCCTTTGCCTGCATGCATTCTGGATACTTGAAGGGCAGCTTCATTACAGGTTCATCATCGGTCAGTCCCTGACTCGCCATACCAAATGCATATCCTAACGCTACCCCTACTGGAACAGCCACCGCATTCCCAACCTGGATGTACCTGCAAAAGTATTTAGATTTCAATAACCAGATTTTTTCTTATTATTATCTCTCTCCGCTGCTAAAACACTAATCAAATGCCTAGCTAGCAAGAACAAACGGACTTACTTTTGCTTAATTGTGCCACACAGCTTATAACAATCAGGGAACCCTTGTAGTCTCGCATTCTCACGGACAGACAACACACGGTCTTGTTTTGGATGGATTACACACTGCATAAACAAGTTCTTATGAATAAAGAGTCACTAGCGTACTGAAACTTGGAATTGAAAGCAAAGGAGCTTACCTGGTTGTGAGGCTCAGCTCTTGTCACAACTGTGTTAACAATTTCATCCCACCACAAGCGACCAAACGGCCTGACATTCAGATAACCGATGTGTTACTATTAGTGAATTTAACATTCTCATGTTATGGAAAGAGGTCCCAAAGAAGCGAAATAGTTAGATAAACCCACTTTTTCGATGTTCCTTTTACGAATGAAATTGCATATGCAGGGACCTGTGAACACAACAAACCATGTCAAAAAGAAACTGCAAAACAAACTAGAACAGAATAACAAGGTAGTGAGCGGGTTAATTTTTACCACATTCTTTCCAGATTTCAACTTTGCTCGCTTCACCGATTTGTCAATTTTTGCTTTGTTCTTGTGAACTAAAACACCAGGCATGTCGCGGAAATTTGCACCCTGTAGCAATAAGAATACAAAAGCATGAGCAAGAAACAATCAAATGCTTGAGCAGGCACTAGAAAATACAACACTAAAACGTTGTCGCACCTTCTTTTTTGGTATATAGGATATTCTTTCCAAGTCGTTATCTCCCAGCTCTAGGGGCTGGTGGTCAAATAACATGTGTGACGAATCTCCGCCACATAGGGGTAGTAGTGTCTCTGAAACAAGAATATTAGTTAATATTAGTCTATCAGATAAGTGGTACTACCAAATCTATCAAGTTCAAAATGCTCACCAGATCTTTTCAAGGCAATGTATTTTTGAAAATCTGTCTTAGGACCTTCCTCATTATAATTCCTTACATCATTTATTTCATAATTTGTCACCTGCAGCATTAAGAGAGCACTGATCACTATATAAGAAATAATGTACCTTAATCAACAATGGCAGTTCTGAAGTTTAGATATATACCGATGGTAGATCACTAATGGCATCAGCTAGGGTAAGAGCGTCTTCTAATTCAAGAAGCTCCTTGTGGGCACGTCCGACTTGGATATCCTGCATTTACAACAGTTGAATAAGCAACACAATAAGAAGTGTATTAACTTTTAAAGTGAATACATCTACACTTGCCTCAAATTCTACAGGGGTGTTGAATTTTTTCAGAACCTCATGAGTGGGAAGCGGGTAGGGAGGCAGTTTCTGTAAAACAAATTAAGAAAGCAATAAAGATCATGTCCTCTAAGATAAATATATTAGTAGTAACTATTATGTAACGTTTAATTACCTCTGTGGGTTGCGCAGCCCATAGAAAAAAGCGGTTTCTAAGTTGAGGGACACCATAAGATCCCGCTGTCATCATTCCCAACCTTGTTTGATAGTTCATTGCAACAAGGCTAGCAACAGCATGACGTGCCAAATATCCCTCCGAAAACTTGAGAAGGTCGACAACATTTTCCATAAGCACGTACTTTGGTTTGAGGAAGTCAATGATGTCCAGAAACACCAAAAGTTGCTGGTTTTTCTTATCTTCAAGCGGTGCTTTTGTGTTTCTAAAGCGGTTATAGCCACTGACCCCTTGACAGGGTGGGCCACCGCAAACCGAATAAGCAGTACCCTGAAAAAAGGTTAGGTAACCACAAAAGTTGAAGAGACCAAATTTATCATAAAGGTAACAAACAACAATTTGAGAGGATATATCCTTCATGAATCAATATGAACTATCATAAATGATGATATGCTTTGCACTATTCATCAAACATGTAATAAGCATGGTGACGATTCAAAGCATAAAAAAGACTTACAGGTAAGGGTAACAGGTTTTTCTTGAAGCCATTTGTCACAAACTCTTTTAGTTTATCCTTGCAGTTTCTGAAGGAAAAAGAAAGTAAACATAACAGTATCAATACATAATCAATACTTAAAGTTGTATCAGAGGGTAATCTGGAAACGTTACTCTAAGCCAGCAGAAGGCTCCCATGTATCGTCATCAGGACCGTAACCTTTCCACCTTACCTGGAAGTAATGAAATAATAAGAAAACTAACGTTTGAATCAGAAGTTACAATTGATGAAATTTGTTTGTAACTAAATGAGAATTCTGATTTATAGTTCAGGAAACAACACCCTAAGATGAAGAGACTTTTCCCCCTTGCGATTAGGATCTCCATAAACGATGGCACTGAACTCTTGTACTTCAAACTCTCCAGGTGAGAGTTCAGTACCAATACTTGTCTCATCTATGTCTTCATCTTCGTCACCTTCTTCATCTTCCAACTCAGAAATTGATTCCATCGGTTCAGTCATGGAAATGAGCGAAAACTTCTCACAAAGCTTTTTCCATTCTTTAAGCAGAATTAGAAAGTCTTCTGCAGCTTCATTTCTCACCTGCTCAACGTTCAAAATGAATTAGTTACATGAACGGAAACTGTATTTACAAAAGTCACCAACAAAGACTTACCTCTGTCTCAGGATGATTATGTTTAAGACTAGCACAAGCAGAAGTATTTAAATCCACAGCCCATTTCTGCAAAATCAAAGAGAATCGTTCTCACATACAGCAAAATATTGATGTGGTAAAGTGTTAATAACGAGATTTACCGTAGTCAATTTAATTCCTGATAAGGAAGCCCCCATACAAAAACCAGTGGACATTGCTCCACACCCACTGTAAAGATCCAATAAGAATTTTTCATCTTTGGGAGGATTTACTATGCAATTGGAGTCAGAATCACTTGAAATGGTTGATGAGGAAGCGCTATCTGCTGTGATTTTTTTGGCAGGGTAGAAATCATCAGTTATCTTTGAAGAAATTTATAAAGGATACGATTGATGAAATTGCAAAATCAAAGCTTGTGTTAAGAATTTTCAAAAATGACCAAATAAGATAAGATTATTGCTCTTGTAAAAACAGTAATAATGATGGTGCTAGAAGCTAACTAACATGGACACTGCGGTTAAAGGAAGTTAGTCAAAACTGTAACCAGAAGGAATAAATAGCACAACCAAACAGAAAACAAAATTCATGTACCATCATCTGCGCTTGCAAAGGTGAGATGTGGAAGCTGGTACTTCATGTCGTAATAGAAATCACATGGAGGAATAATTCTGTCTGCAGTTCGTGAGGCAATCTGTTGTAAAAGAGTTAATCAGTTTAAAGCCAAATCATCGAACGTTTCTCATAAACTGTGCTATTGAAATCAGAGTATTTGATACCTTTGGTAATGGGACTTTGGCGATGTTAACTTTAGAGTAAATGCAAGTCAGAGGATTATCGTCTTCCATATTTGATAAAAACACTCTCTTTTCTTGCACAAGTTCCGAAAACCTTTTGATCACCTAGGGAATAAAAAATGAGGAGCATTAATCAGCTGGAGGAGTAGAGATGTATATTAGAGAACATCAGTTACTCAAAAAGACCAGAACAACTCACAGTATCTTCTGGTCTGTAAAACCATTGTGCCCGAAAATAAGGTTCCCCATCGTCAGCTTCAAATAGCTCAGCAACTTTTGCTATGTAATTTGGTTTCCCGGATTCAGCCTGCGTCATAATTAAGCAAGGATCAGTTGAAACTTAACGAAATATTTATTGTATGGGAAAATCGCAGCAGTGATCGGACAATTTAAACAACAAAAAAAAAAAAAAAAAACCATAATCAAAAGAGTTTGATAAAAACCATGGAAACTGTAACAAAACAAAATCTCTTAATAGAACATAAACCGGATTGTAACATAAGATGGCAAATTAAAACTGAGATTGGCAATAATCATGGAAAAATCTTCAACAGAGACTGACAATAACCATGGAAAAAATGTCAATTGAGAATGACAGTAACCATGGAAACTGTACGAAGATAAAAACATGTCAACAGAACACAAACTGTAGCAACATTATCAAATCTAACCAAGGAATTACATGGAAGAGGTAAATCAGACGAAATATGTACCGTGACGTAGACATCGTCGTTGAGATTGATGAGAACGCCATCAACCAAAGCTTGCTCGTAGTGACGTTTCGCTTGCTTTATCTCTTTTTTGGGACTGAAATTGAAACCTCATGAGATAAAACCAGAAGAAGATACAAAGCAACAAAAAAAAAAATCAAAGCACTAAAACAGATTACCCATTGGTGGCGGTTTTGGGAGTATCGAGCTTAGGTTTCTTGGCTTGGTAGCGAAGAGGCCATCTAATCATAGACTCCACAACAGACATGGGTTTCCCCACAAAGCACAGATCTGACTCTGGTTCACCCCGTTTCATTGTTTTGCTTTTCGGAGCCATCTGTGTTTCGGAGAGAAGAAGACGAGATGAGTCGAAGTAGATATGAAGAGGTGAAGAGACGAAGAGACGATAGTAGTAGTCGTAGTAGTAGTGGAGGAGAGGAATCTGGACAAAAATTAAAATACACTTTCCTTTTTTTTTTCTTAATGATTTTGGAAACTCTTCGGCGAGATTAAAATTTAACGAGAGATTTATAGGAAATTAAAATCAATTTTCGAAATTAAAAAGAAAATTAAGGAAATTAAAATAAAGTTTCGAAATTTGGAAATCAGTGCAAAGCGGGAGAATCTCTCTACTTCAAGCGCCCATTTTTTTATCTTGTATTTGCTTTTTAGCTCCCCGTTGTTTCTAATAATTTCGATTTTAACCTCGTTCTGTTAGGCCCATTTGACCCTAATCATAGATAACGGCCCATTTAGAAAGGGATTGAATCGGGGGGGTAATAAAACTGAAAGTCATGCCATAGTGGAAGAGAGGTTTTTGGTACTTGCCATGTTCGACGTTGATGAGATTTTTTAGTAAACCGCCACATACGACTCGTGACTTAACTTTTGTAAGTTGCTGCTAATAATTAGTTGAGTTATGTTCCCTATCTTTGTGGAACAAACCCACGTTACCGTTGCGCTATTCGTATCTCCGGATTGTATGAGTTATTAGAGGCTTCATTATTATAGTTTAATCCAAAACCATAGTGGAAGAGAGTTTGTGGTATTTGCCATGTTCGACGTGGATGAGATTTTTTTAGTAAACCATACTTGTGTGCGTGTGACTGAGTCAAAGCAAAGTATCAATAAGTTTTTTTGTTCTCTCTTAATATTTTTTTAATTTGCAAATAATTAGTTGAGTTGTGTTCTCTATCTTTGTGGAACAAATCAACAAACCCACGTTTCCGTTTTTCTTCGTGTCTCCGAATTGTATGAGTTAGAGACTTCATTATAAATTGAATATAAAACTAAACAAATAGATATTAGCATATTGATTTTATTTTATCTTCTATACATTTTTCTTGTGTCTTGTCATTTATCATTTACTTGCATGCACATCTTTTTCTTTTTTTTTTTTTTTGCATGCACATCCTATGATCTCTACGGAACCCATTCAGTAATCCTTAGTATATATAACAATCATATCACATAAACATTAATCTTGATTAATCAAATCAACTGGAGGATTATTTTTATCACGAATTAGTATTGTACATAGCTTTAGATGTTCTATTATCATCATTCCTGTTATCATGTACGTTCTTTCCTCATTTTTTTTTTCCTTTTTCTTTGTTATAAATGAATATATAAGAGGGTGGTCCATATATTTTTGCTGTGGAGGTTGGACCGACAGGGTAATCTAGGAGGAGATATACTGTCGAAATTGATTAGACAAAGCAAAATAAAAACAAAAATGCATCACCTCATAAGTCACTACGATGAAAGCAAAAAATGTACTTTTGAAACTAAAGCTGGATGTGTTTTTTCTTTTCATTTTTCCTTTTTTAAAAAATTAAATGAAAACGATAATAAATTTTGAGGAATCATAGGTTGGTGATAAGATCACAGTTGGATGTATTAAAGATTTGACCTGGTATATATATATAACTACATCGTTATATTGTTGTGTTATGATAAGATCGCAATTATATGATTAGTGATTACTAACAAGTCATACTAATAAAGGTTAGAAAGTAAGACTTCTTCTCTCGAAAAAAACTCACGCGCGTGAGAAATTAAAGGGGACGCGCGGCGATTACAAAAGCGACCAAGCACAGTACCAAGCAAAACCAGATCTGTAGTTTGCTTCTCCGGTCACGGTGGTTCTCGCCGGTGACCGGAGAGGGCTTTTCTCCTCCTCTTTCTTCTCCCCTTTCTCTCTGTTGTCTCCTCCGTCTCACCCTTTTAGCTCTTCTGGTGGCCAGTCTACAGCTTGCTCTTCGTCTCTTGTTGGTGGTGAAACGGCGAGCGGCTACGCTTGGCTCAAGGACCGATTGCCTTGCTCTCCCATTGTGCTCCAGTATTCAACGCTTTGAAGACGGCGTGGTTTCTGGGTTTAGCCTCCGGTGAGATTGGCTTCAAATCTGTCCTTCAGCTGTGTGTCTCTCTCCGTTTTAGGTTGTGGCTTCGATGCGGCGACTGTAGCAGCGGTGCAGCTCCTAACGACGGGACCATCATCTACATCTGAGAAGCCGGTGGTGCACAACCGTGATTCTTCAGTTATCGTCGTTCCTTGTGGTTTGGCCACTACGGTGGGTTTCTAGTGTAGAAGTCCGCGGTTGCCTATTAGTTTTCGGAGAAGCTGTAGGCTTCTATTGCGAGGTTTTGAAGGCTGGCCTCAGATAGATCGGCTCGTGGCAACAAGGATGAGAATTCCAGTTTTTCGGAACTGTGGCAACCACGCAAATTTCCAAGTTTCGCGAGCTTGGAATCGGTGTTTCTCCCCGCAACTTGACCATGAGTACTCAACTGCAATCTAAAGCATTTTTGAGTAGTAATGTTGTTTTTTATCTTTTTTTCTGTAGCATTTTTATCTGCTCCTATAACTTCTGTCAAAAATTTGAAAATTGGTATAAAATTTAACCTTTTACCAAAAAAAAAAAAAAAACAAGTCATACTATTAGTTCCCACCAAAAAAAAAAGGCATACTATTAGTAGCAAGGTAATATCGTATCGTACGACCATGTTCATCTATCAAGTATACTACGTTTAGAAATGTATATATGAACTTCAAATGGAAGTGATATTATTAAGTAAGATTGTACTTTACTTTCAAACAAAACGATCATGCCATGCCATTATCTTAACATGTATATACAATCATAATCAATTTAGTTTATTCATAACATAAATGTTTCTATAGATAAAACTATTCATCTCAGATAAAACTGAAAAGGGGACTGATTTAACAGTTTAGTTGACTTACATCAATGGTGTATGGTTTTGTAAGCTAACAAGAATGAAGATATAATCATAAACAATGATTAATATGACATTTTGATGCGGGATGGATGTGTATGTTTTTTTATAGTTTTGGACATTCAACCGAAACACACAGGAGAATGGATTAAAATATATATTGAAACGAAAGGGAGTGTCGGGGAGATTTGATTGGCTTCATAATCCTTGTCCAAAAGTGCTAACTTACCTAACACTTAAACAAACACAAAGACAGCTTCTTCATGATTTCATATATACATATATAGGGTTTTGAATCAAACGTCTCACCTAAACCCTAAATAAAGGAACTACGTATAATACGTACATACGTATATATTATATACATATATTCCCAATCCCCCCCCAAAAAAAAAACGTTTGTATAGTAAAAAGGGGATAAGATGTAATTATAACAAAGAAAAACGAGGTGAGAACAAAGACAAACTCATTTGATTAAGATAGAGCTACTTATAGCATTTATTTAGAATAGTATAACATGATATCATGAACACTCATTATATGTGTTCCCAGATAAATCAATAATTCATATACTTACGACAATTAGTTTTTCTTCTTTTTTCAAGTGTCCACTACTATACAGTTACATGTGTGTGCTCTGTAGCTCTAGGTCAGATTGCACACATCAAAAGTGTCCTTTTTTCTTTAAACATCATTCAATTTGAAAAAGGTCACATGTCCATCCAACTCCATAAATAGAACTCACACTACACTTCCCACGACCACATCGGTTCACATCTATATCAGTTCTTTTCTTTTTTTTTTTTCTTTTTTTCATTCCCTTTAGATATATATAGATATTCTCTCTAGGCTATATACACACAGAATATACATATGGATCCGTCCATCAAAGGAGAGAAAGAAATGTTAAAAATGAAGAAACAAGGTCATCAAGATCTTGAGTTGGGGTTGACCCTTTCGCCACGTGGAACGACCTCAGCAGAGCTCAATCTCATCGATTCTTTCAAAACCACCTCGTCATCAACTTCTCATCATCAGCAAGAACATTTGGCAGATCCGAGAGTGTTCTCGTGCAATTATTGTCAAAGAAAGTTCTATAGCTCACAAGCACTAGGCGGTCACCAAAACGCTCATAAACGCGAGCGCACCTTAGCCAAACGTGGACAGTACTACAAGATGACTTTTTCCTCCTCGCCTTCTTCAGCGTTTGCGTTTGGCCACGGTTCAGTCGTCAGCAGATTCGCAAGCATGGCGTCGTTACCATTACATGGCTCCGCGAATAACAGGTCAACCTTAGGGATTCAAGCTCACTCAACGATCCATAAACCCTTGTTAGGAAGACAAACAACGAGTTTAAGCCATGTTCTTCACAAGAAACCGACAATCGGAATGATGTTGCCGGATAAATTTCACCTTGAAGTCGTCGCCGGCGGTAGTAACCGTAACGTGATTGCCGCAAACTTGGAGAAAATTGAACAATTCAAGAACAATCAAGAAGATCATAATCAGTTCAAGAAGAAAATCGACTTGACTCTTAAGCTATGAGCTCTTAATTGTTTATCTTCTTTTTAGTCTTCATTATAACTTTTTTCTTAAAATATTATTCTCGTATTTGTTTGATATAATGATTGACGACGGCAGGGTGTGTTTATAGTAGAGTTTCACTAATTAAGTTGCGCTTTTTTCTTATGTTTATTAATAGGGACTATTAACAAAACAGTCACTTTTAAACTCCTTTCTTTCGAAGTAGGAACGTAATACAGTAACAATGTACAACTAAGCAAAAAACTACTATTCATGACATTATTACCCTTCACCATATTGACCAGGTAGAGGAGTGGATTGGTCAAACTCTTAATGTGCTACATGCAACATCTGGAGGATATACATCAATCCTTTCGTCACCTTCAACAAGCACGCAACAACAAACACAGAACGATGGTGAATTACGAATCCCTAGTGATATAAAACTAAACCCTAAGACAAGAACTAGACAACCCACATAGATCAATATAAAGTTTCGATTTCCATAAGAACTAGTTTACTGTCAAATATCTCAATTAATTACTAAAATATCACCAAATTATTCATATTCAAACGATCAATCAAGAAAACATAATTTCCCTTTTAGCTACCAGTTCTAGCAAAACCCAGAAATTTTCAATTATCCAATACTTTAGCTAATCGATTGCATCTTTGAATAGAAGATTGAGGAGTTTCACATGTTTTCGGAGGCAAAAACTGGAATGACAAGAACAAAAAGAACATTAAAGGAGAGGAAGAAGAAGCATGCGACGATGATGGATATGGAGGCGTCTTCAACCATGATTTCAGATCCATGATGACAAACATCATGCGATTCCCAATTCACAATTGCAGAAGCCATTGTTGGCTTGTTTCCTCCGATGTATTCGCTTGTCGGCGACGAGAATTAATCGGCAATCTCAGAGTGTGGATCGTCTTTTGTGTCGACGAAGTTTATTTGGTGAAGAAGAAAATATTATTGACATAAATGTTGTAAGGACAAAGTAGACATTTTACAACCAATCCATACCTGTTTTGGAAAGGTTTTGGAAAAGTGTCTAAAATGAAAGGGTACACTAAAAATAGTGCCTTTTTTCTAATTAACTCTTATTAATACCATGTTGGGTGTTATTCAACATTTGAGGTCTATTGTGAAGTCCATGCATGTAGTATAATTCTATAGAAAACTATAAAAATGGACCATGGAGAGGAGAAAATGTTAGGTCGTCCATATATATATATATATATATATATAGATACTATTAGTTTAGAGTACTGGTGTACTTATTATAATCAGAATGTGGACATCACAGTTATCTTCTTAAATCTTAACATAATATTTATATATTCACAGAAAACAATGCCATATAGCTATTATTTAAAGGTCAAGTGAAATGAACTCCACATAACTTAATAAGAAGATGATTATATATACACAAAAATGATGAAAGTAGAAATAATTGTGGGATATATAGATATACTAGACGTTAAGAGAAGCAAAATATGTCCTACGTTATAGACGCATTATTGCCCACTAAATAGATTGTCACCGATTTTTATTAGGCGTGAACGGACTTTAGTCAATCAAAATATCAATATATATATTTCTTCTTTCTGTGTAAAATCATGTATAGTCTTCTTCTCCTAACAATATATATATATGAAGACCATTTAATTATAACAGTATAAAGAAATGACAAAACAAAGCACCATCCATAAAACAAGATTTAAATATAGAAAAGAGTGGATACAATGTGATTATCCAAGTGAGGAGGTCCTACATGTAGTTGAGAGAAACAGACATTAATCTAACAAAGTGAAAGAGTTCTTCTTCGTCAGAGGTTGTTGTCTTTTTTCTCGCCATGTGACACTGTTATTTTTCTTAAGTTGTAATTGTTTTTGATGCTCCTTTTTAATCTAATCCTTGTCACGTCGCTTTTTTATTATTATTTCACGTTACTCTTTTTCACTATTTATTATATTTGTTCTTCACGACTTACGCGTTGTTAATTTTAGTAGAAAATATATAACTCACATATGCAGCACTATTGCATAAATTTTTATAGTAATCATTACATGTGTGTTACTTCACGATTTTTATAGTTTTTTTTCTAATGATACGTGACCATGTGGTGTGGGTGCGAGAAACCTATCTATTAATGAAAATTAATTATTATCATGGATTTAGTGAATTATAACCCAAAGATTCTGTGACATTTGGTAGGTCCGGATCAAGTTGATGTTTACATTAATAAAGTTATAATAATTTATCATATAATGCTAATCATTGCAATTAACAATCCATATTTCCCACAAATCAAGATGTTAACGATGCGGGAATCATGTTGTTATGCATCATAATTACCTCACTAATCCCCCCACACACATGATCCTAATCCATCACATCGATTAAGATTTTTCTTGGAGATACCAAAATCATGTTTCACAGTGGAAAAATATCCAAAATTCTTGTCGACAATGACGTTTTTATTCTACGTACATACACGGAAGCCTAGTAGATGTTAATTGGCCCATTTTTTTTCTTTTAACATATGATTGTTTTTCATTACAATATAATTTCATTATTGATCGATTACTAAAAATTCGAATCAAAACTTCTAATCATAGCAGTCCATATTCGAAGTCTAATACATAGAACTGAGATTAGTGGAATGCCTTCACTAATTATATGTGGATTCAGCTGGCTTGTCCCTTTTAACTTACCGTGTTTCACACTGTAAATCCACAGTTCCACAACTTGGAATTTTAACTTTTTTTTACACAGTTGCTCCTCTGTTAAGGAACACTAGAATTGATTTGTAAGTCACCAATATAGACAAAAGAGTTAGATAGCAAGCTTCCTAAGGGGGGGAAAAAAGTTACCCGTGAAGCCCATTATCTTACCAACTTAACTACGGCACTTTCAATCTCCATTGCTGGTAAAGACACAAAAGCAAACAAGACACACCAGAATTATGTGACATGTATTGCTAGATTGATGTTAATGTATGACTGTCCATGCTGGTAATTATGCATCTAGGGTAGTTTTTACACAATCTGCAAGCCAAACTCCCAACAAACAATTTTTTTTTTTGCAAAATGACTTTATCGAAGCATATCCAAATCAAAGAGAGTCATAGTCACAGACACAACGGCTACTGCATCCTATGGAACCAAAGAGTGGAAAAAGTTGAAGACTTTTTGTTGCAGGCTGATGTCTATTTTTGCTCAACATAAGATTTAATGCTCTCCATCCATCTAACGTACTCACCTTTACCTTTGTTCTTCATATACTGATGCAAGAAAACAGCAAGCTCATTGCTTATACCTCTTTCCTCTAAAAATTGATAAAGAGCATCTTGAAGCTGATCATCTAATTCCCTGTAATAACCAAAGGCAAAGACAATGACTTCACCATTTTCATAGTAATCTTATACCTTAAGTTTTTAATTTTAAGAAAAGAATCAAGTCACCGTACTCAAACTCTGGTCCACCATAGGAAGACGGTGAACTCTTGCTGCCTTTACGGACGCAGAGGTTCGATATCTCTATGGTATCTGGCCAAGCAGAACACATGATCTCTAAAGCTTCAGCAGCACCACCCTTAGAGATGTTGACAATGAAGGTGATGTGAAGAATATATTCAGGTTCAGTGCTAGTAGATTTTGAAGTCGGAACTGACTTATCAAACATGGTTGCTTCAATCTTGATGTCTTCTTTCTCTTTAAAATTCCTCTTCAAGCTAATCCACTGCTCTCCAGGCCGTTCATCCACAGTAAATGGACCAAAAGTGTTAGGAGGCTGCAAACATGTACAAGGAAAGTGCTATCAAATAATCGGAAACGGGAGCCAAAAGATCACGGAAATGCATTGTAGAAGACGAAATAAATAAAAAAAGTTTCAGTTTTGTCACAAGCTAACATATGGGTTTATTAAAGCTTACTGCAGCTTGCAAATCTCAAAACAGAGAGGCTATTTCAGAGATGTGAACATCCAAGAGTTGTACAAACTGTATGAAGCTAAGGTTGGCAGATAAACAATTATATGATTCCCAAGCCACAAAAAAAAAAAAGTCCAGTTTGATAAATAACAACACTATTCGAATACCTGAAGAGGAGGCGAGTGATCGAGTTCGTAATCAATCTCATTACGGATTAGTCTCAAAATGTTTCCCTGGAAAGCTGATTTCTGCATTTCTGACACGTAACTCCCCGAGCTCAGACATTTGCGGCTGATTAAAAGTACCGGATTTTGAGTCGAGGGCAAACCAATTCTAGGGTTCCGGTAAGGAATTGAAGGAGACGAAGTAGAGCAGAGTGTTCTCCTCAGACATCTGACGAAGCGAGCCATTGGCACTTGACAACGTTGAATCGTACAAAAGAATGAATTGGGGGTTTTCCTCTTAGGGTTTAACACATTAAGATGTTTCAAGTTTCATCGTACGGCTCATCTTGCGTTCTAGTTTTTTTTTTTTTTTTTGTTTGGGGGTCTAAACTAGTAATCTACACCGTTCAGTTGAGATCAATAAAAAAAATTGTTGTTATTTATCCCATTTGCTATATGGGTATCAATTATGGAAATCTTTACCATGATAAATATACAAATTTTCAGGTTAAAATCTATAATTTTTAAAAATAAATAAATCTGCTCAACTATATATTTATTATACTACTTTAACCTGATTTTACAAACAAAATAAATATTCAAAATTAAAATAAAATGAGAAATTCCACATATTAATATTTTTAGAATTGTTCAGAATATAGAGAGTTTTGAGAAAATTAAATAGAAATCTGTTCGTAGTTAACTACAACCCACTAAAAATAAAAACAAAATGGCATTGAAAAGAAAAGTAAATATATTTTGGCGGCAATTGTGATGATTATACCGCGCCTATACCCTGACCAATGAGTTGCTTCTTCTAGGTCTTACAGTTTTTATTAGTGCGTCTCTCCCTTTTTTTTTTTTTTTTGGGTGCAAAGAGAAAAAAAAAAGTGTGATTCTTTGGAGCATCAATGGCGACGGAGTACGAGCGCAAAAGATTGGAGAACATAAGACGGAACGATGAGATGATGGCGGCTCTTAATGTCCGTGCCAAGGCTTCTTCTCTTCTCTCCGCTAAATCTAAATCATTTACGAAGAAGAAGAAGAAGCCCAAACCTGAAACACCCGTCGTTATTCGACAGTCTCTACGCACCAGAGGCTTGAATCCAGATTCCGGTGGCTTACCCGATGGGTTCTCTGATTATCTCACCAAAACCACACCTTCTTCTTCTTCTTCTAAGAAGCAATCGCCACGTCTATTGGCTCCTCTGCCCTTCGATTCCGCTTATGAAGAAGGTGATGGTTCCTATACGAAATTGGTTGATACTCTTTTGGCTTCTGCGAGTAATTCTTGTAGACGCAGTTTGGTTAAGGGCGAAACTGGATCGGTTAAGGATGAGAACGAGTCTCCTCCTATGGTGAGCACTAGGAGTACTTCTCGTGCATCTAAAGTTTCTGTTAAAAAGGAAGAGCCAGAAGATGATTCCTTGAGTGTTTGTGTGAAGAAGGAATTTGATTTTCCGGCTAAGGCTGAGAAAATTGAGTTTGAGGATGGTTTTGATCAGATCCGCTTAGAATCGCGTAATGTAGCCCGTGTTGTGCCTGGGAGGATTTTTGTTGTCGAATTCTTACCTTGCCAGAATGTTAAGATGATCGCTGCAGGTGACAAACTAGGGAATGTTGCCTTTTGGAATTTGGATTGTGATAGTGAGGAAGATAACGATGGCATATATCTATTCACCCCTCACTCAGCACCAGTTTCATCTATTGTGTTTCAGCAAAACTCTTTATCAAAGGTAAGTTTTCAACCATAGGTAGGACTGGTCTTTATTTAGTTTTTTTTTTGAAACTTTGATTGGAGAAAAGGATTCTCTTCTTTTAGTCATTAATTCTTTTGGTGCATTCATGGCAGCTTATTACCAGCAGCTACGATGGTCTTATCCGGTTGATGGATGCCGAGAAGTCGGTTTTTGATTTGGTATATTCCACAGACGAACCTATATTTTCACTCTCCAAGAGACCAAATGATGACCAAAGCTTATACTTTGGCGAGGGAAACAGAATGCTCAATGTTTGGGACCTCCGAGCAGGAAAATCAGTTTCCCATTGGGATTTACATGAACTCAGGATTAACTCTATAGACTTCAACCCGCTAAATCCCCATGTCATGGCTACAAGCTCCTCAGATGGAACTGCTTGCCTTTGGGACTTGAGAAGCATAGGAGCCAAAAAGCCGAAATCATTGACTACTGTAAATCATTCTAGGCCCGTCCACTCTGCTTATTTCTCACCTTCTGGCCTTTTACTTGCAACTACAAGGTATCTTGTCATTTTTTTCATTCAGCCTGTTTTACTTATAATCTCTTTGATTTAAGAACTCACATCAAATGCTTTTGGTTATTGTTTGCAACTTTATTGTTCAGAGATTAAGTAATATATGTTCTAGTTTTGTTGATGTTTATAAAGTCTGTGCGTTTCGGTATAAAAGTTGCACATATATGAAACACACCATTTCCTTGAAGCAATTGAGTATGGGAATCACTTTTCGTAGCAAGAAAACCTTGTGCCTTGATGGTTTTAAGACAGGAAATTCAATACATCTCTCCAAGTTGTAGCAACGTAGACAAGTGTAAACATGTGTAGAGTGAATTTTGTTGTATAATGTAGGTCCCTTGCATACTATGCGAAATGCTAGTGAGTATTCTATTTCTACCTTTGCTAAATTCTTGTTTTGTTTTTCTTGTAGCCTTGACAACTACATTGGTGTTCTAAGCGGCATCAATTTTGAGAATACTTCCATGATATATCACAATAATAACACCAGCAGGTGGATCTCCAAATTCAAGTATGTTCCAGCATCTTGTACCACAATAAGCTCTCAGTTCTAATACATTTTTTGATGCACTTGTAATTGTTACTAGTCTTTCAATATTCGAGTGACCACATCAGTACACTCCTTTATCCATTTTTTGTTATATTAGGAATGAGAAGAAGTAGGCATTGATTTTCGTCTGTTTGTCAAAAAAATGAAGCTGTTAATGATTTTCATTGCAGGGGAGTGTGGGGGTGGGATGATTCATACATCTATGTCGGCAATTTGTCAAAAAAGATTGATGTGATCAATCCAAAACTGAAGCGAACAGTGATGGAACTGCAGAACCCTCTGATGAGAGCTATTCCATGCAGAATATGTTGTCATCCATATAATGTTGGGACGCTTGCAGGATCCACAGCTGGAGGACAGGTCTTTGTATGGACAACAAAGTAGGCGTAATATTACAATTTTTCGATCATCACAAGGTGTTGTGTTGTTTTGTTGTCTCTTACACAATGTAAAAAGACTAAGAATTGAGGTTCTTTTCAAAATGTAGCTTTAGTAGAATGAATATTCTTCTTGGGTTTTGGATCTGGTTGCTGCAAGTCTTTGAAAAATGATGCTTTCCTTTTTGCAAAATTTTGAAATGAAATTTGTATCTGAATAAATAAGTAGAATACCCACACAAAAAAATACAAGGGTTTTTCTTCTCTCAACACCCACAGGTTTATCTCCAATTTCAGGTTCGTTCCAGCATCTTGTACCTTGATAAGCTCTCAGTAATTTTAATACATTCTTTACTTGATATACTAGAGTTCTGAACAAAATAATCACTGCGCAAGTACTTGTTTCGAGTCTTACATTATTTTCTGCGACCACCACTCTCTTTTTCCACTTTATGTGAAGTGAAAAGTATTGCGTTCCTCTGTCAGTCAAAAAAAAGAATTGAATAATTGCAGGGGAGTATGGGGGTGGGATGATTCATATGTTTTTACCGGCAATCTATCAAAAAGCATTGATGCGATCTCTACAGAACAAAAGTGAACAGTGATGTCTCTGCGAAGCCCTAGATGAAAGCTGTACCATGTAGAATTTACTGTCATCCTCGTAATGTTGGGGTGCTTACAGGATCCACAGCTGGAGGACATACTTGAACCAATTTTAACTAGCATGATGTGCAATTTTGTTCTTTTCTTACTGTAGCTCTTATAGCTTAAACGCAAATCCTTGAGATTCTATATTAATTCTCGGAAGTGATTCAACAACAAAAAATCAGAGAATTGCATCAACTGGTGTATTAGTTCCAAAAGCATAATAACCCACAAAAAGGGTACATCCTTGTTCATCTACCACCTAAGTTTCCCTTGTAATCATCTCAATGAGGTCCATCACCTGGTTTCTGTACATGACCCTTGTGTTCTTTTTCTGGTTTTGATTCTTGTTTTGGAAAGAGTTTGGAGGAATGATCTTCTTGGGTTTTAGTTGGAGCAGTCCCTGAAGGTTTCTTTGCTTCCAAAACAATATCTTTTATTGTCTCTTCAATTTTTCCAAGTCTTGCTTTCATCTCCATTAGCTCGTCCTGAGACTTGGTTGCTGCTTCTTTTTGTAATGCCTTTTGTTCAGCTTCTTCTTTCTCTTTCTTTTCTTCTTCTTTCCTATTCTTCTCTCCAAGTTCCTGAGAAGATCATGGGGCATATGTTCAGAGGAGGATATAGGCAGCATCGGCCAGAATGAACATGGTGGACATACAAACACTAACACATGACTCAAATCTCTCTATAAAGACTCATCCTATCAGTTTAATGATGAACAAGAAGGATAGCTCACTGCGTCCATGATCTTCATTTTACGGCGAGCATATTGAGCAACCAGATAAACAGCTGTGACAAGAATTAATAGCCAACACTGAGCGATCATTGAAAGAAACAGCGTTGAACACAATAATTAACAGAGAAATGAGAAGTAAGTAAACTGCAATACCTACAGATGGCAAGCAGACGATGATGAATTGCACCACATGCCAATCAAACCTAACACAAAGCAAAATCCGTATCAGCAGAAAATTGGGAACCAGTGTTGAGTGATCTCCACCACTTGTTTCAGCCTAAAGAAGCTCATATTTACTTGAATATTTATAACTCTTTTGCCTAAATATTTACTTGAAAATCGTAAGTTGCAAAAAAGAAATTCCATGATGTAAGTAAGGCTTATAGAGAAGCATGAATCAAACCACATCAAGAGCATCGCTGATAATAAACAAAAAAAAATTACCCGAATTTATTCGTCTTGGGTGGTTCAGTAAACAAGATCTTGGCAGCGGTCACGAAATCGAGCTTATCGAGTTTCTTATACGTCTCATCGTAGCGAGAAACACTAGTTTCAGTCTGAGCAGCACTAGATTCCGTCGTCTTGTCGAGTTTGTTTCCACCATTCTCTCCTTTGTTGCAGAGCCGTCGGATCCCGTAAAGCTTCAACCGGGTTGAGAATCCGACCCACGAGCCTCTGCCGCGAATCATCATCCTGAATCCCTCTCTCCCGGCGGTCCGGTTACATACATACAGTATAAGTCTTCGTTTTAGTGGGTTTCTACGATAACCGACCGGTCCGATTTTGGGGTTCAATTAAAAAAATTATTGGTTCATAGAAACGAATTGAAGACCCTCCTCTCACACAATTAGACTGAACCAATAATATTTAAATAAAATTCCTTCTTCACACATCACTGAACCAATAACCGTGTCAAAAGCCAGACAACACAAATTGTGGAATTATAAATTCTAATTGTACATCTACACATCCAAAGCTAGCATCTTTTGATCCCAACGACTATACTAAATTGTTGCAGACAGAAGTAGAGAGAGGGAGATTCATAAGCAAAATCAACAAAAGAAGAAGAATTTCATAACTGAAACAAAGAAACATTAGTACACACATAATTCATACACCTTATGGACGCTCCCCTTTAGAGGTCACTCCAAAACCTAGGCAGCAATAGCGGACAATGGAGGACGAAGCAACAATGGGTTTCAATGGAACTGATGTCGGATCGAGGGGAAGAAGAAAGGTTTTGTTTAGTGTTTTTTTTCAATTGGTATGTGTTGAAAACAAACCCGACGGGTACCCATAGGAAAAAACGGGTTACGGGTACCCGATGGGTTTTTAACATTCCTAACCGTGTGATATGATTTTGATTAGAAAACGAAAACCAAAACCAAAAGGCTTCATAAAGTTTAGTAATAAGTTCCATCAAATTTCGTATCTTTGTCAACATATTTTTGTTACCTTCCTTTATTTTCAGTGGTCTCTTTCAATTTGCCTTTTTATTTATTTTCAAAGCTCTGGAGACTATTTTGTGGGAGAGAGGCAGAGACCTGATGTGGACCTCTCTCTCTTTGAGTTTAAATAAGGCAAAATTAGTGGCAGACCTCTACTAATTATTTCATATTTGTGCAAAAGATAGAAGAAAGTTGAACTTTTCATACGATTTACAACATCCTCTTGCATATTATTATATTGTTTTTGTATGAATAAATAATATATTTAATTTGAAAATAAGCTTTTCGTTTTAATTGTAAATATACTCCAAATTATGGATTATAATATTGTTTGTGGACACTACATTCAATAAGGCAAACATAGATCCATGATTAGTGTAATTTATTTTTTCCCCCAACAAATTTTATTTTCCAGTAAAAAAAAAATTCAATTTGTTGTCCCACTTTGCACTTTGCATCATAATTAGTCGCACCACTTTCACACATTAATTTACAAATTAATACAGTGTTTTACATTTTTTAAAGTCTCTATAGAGAAAAGAGACTTAAAAAAAGGTGGTCTCGAGACCAAACAAAAAAAAAAAAGTTGAGCCAAAGATAAGGAATATTAAGCTTTATTTTGGACCCCATAAACATAATAAACTGTAAATTATTAAAGCATACTGCCAATACTAATTTTAAAAGTAATTCTAGGCATAATAATTTCATGAGGATACATAACGATTATTGTAACTGAGAGATTGATTAGCCGTATAAATATGAATATATAATACGTTTTTAGTCGTAGTTAATATGCCAAAGTGAAAAGATAAAAGCAATTATTTGACCAAAATTTTGTTTATGTATTTAATGGGGTTATTATGTTTTATTCAAGACTCTTCCTTATTCTATTTATTCAAGAGTAATAAAAAAGCTTATTCTCTTCCTTAATCTATTTAATCGAAAAGGGAAAATACTCTTGTATTCTGTATGTAAGTATATATACAATTGACATCGGAAATCTCGAAAGACAAGTCGTTTTGGTTGGCATTTTGTGTGTGTAAAACTGATACAAATTATTGTTTCATCAACTCAGACCGTTTATGATTACAAAGAAGAAAGAAGCAGTCAGTCATCTTCCATCGGCATAAACTTCCGTCCTCTTGTCTTTCCGGTGGGCAAATATGACTGGGAAAGATCTTTACTTGTAAAAAGAGGGAGGGAGGGGGGAGCAAGAATTTGAGAGAAAGGAAAATATAATAATAATGCTTTGCCGGAAAAACTCAAGCTTTGTTGATAGAGGAAATGTTCCCGTTTATCTCAATGTTTACGATCTAACTCCCATTAATGGCTATGCTTACTGGCTCGGTCTTGGCGTTTACCATTCTGGTGTTGAAGGTTTGTCTTTTTCTTCTTTCTTCTCCTTTAGATCTAATTTCTACTGCAGTTTTTGAACTCTCGTTTATTATATATCATGTTAGATCCGAGAGAGAGGACTCATGTATTGAATTTTTAGTTTCATTTTTCTTCTTGTTGTGGTTGTATATATATAGTTCATGGTATAGAGTATGCTTTCGGAGCTCATGAATATCCAAGCACTGGAATTTTCGAAGGGGAACCCAAACAATGCGAAGGCTTTACGTTTCGGAAATCGATTTTGATTGGTAAAACGGATCTTGGGCCTCTGGAAGTGAGAGCCGCAATGGAACAACTTGCTGACAAGTACAAGGGCAGTTCTTACAATCTCATCACCAAGAACTGCAACCATTTCTGCGACGAGACCTGTATTCAGTTAACCGGGAATCCAATTCCTAGTTGGGTTAACCGGCTTGCAAGAATCGGTAAAATCTCCGGTAACACTCCCCTTCTCATTCTTTACATTTCTCTTCCTTTTGATTAGTAGAAAGCTAGGCAGAGACTGAACCAACTAGTTATCATGTTTTGCAAGTGGCTTTTGATTTTAATGATTTTTGTTGTTGGTTGGTTGGTTACATTACATGTGTAGAAAATAGGGGATGTTCATTGGCATGATTCAAAGTTTCCATCTTTACGCATGATTAAAATGGGTTTAGTTTCCAGGATTATTGATACAACAGCTTCAAGACATTTTTGGATAGGACTCTGTTTCTTGTGTGCTCGGAAGTTGAACTCTTGTGTTGTGTTGTTGGGTTAATTCAGGGTTCATGTGCAACTGTGTGCTTCCTGCGACCATAAACGCGACCAGGCTTGGAAACAACAGAATCAATCAAGACAAATCATGTGAAGCAGAAACTGAGAAGAAGAAACTGACGAGACAAGAGAGGTCTACGATTGCTACTCCTTCGTCTCCTTCAGTTCAGGTTCGCGGTCGAAGCAGGAAAAGGCGTCCTCGTGCTCTGCAACCTTCATCGCCATTGATTCTCGGATCTTCCTCCGTTTGACTCTATAAATTAAAAATTAAAATATATATATATATATATGAAGTTTGGCTTTTGTTGCGTTACTAAAAATCCATTTTTGATCTCTCCATAAGAGAGACCGACCGATCGATCGACCACTCTGTTTTATTTCCCTCTACATATTTCGAGTGTGCTTTTTGTAATCTTGTTAATATGCAAACCTTTTTTTGTACATTTTCGTTTCAGTTTTTGGATATTATCAAATCAGGCCTCAGTAAATAAAAATATTAATCAATCACAAAGCAGAGAAAAAGAAGAATCTATTCTACGGACTTTGCCTTTTTCTGAAAATAAAGGAGAATATATTCCTCCTGCAAGCTTTTTGGATTGCTATCCCCACTTTCGGCAATATTATTGTTTCAGAAATTTAAAATATCATTTACAAACCAAAAAGTTAATGATGAAAGAAAAGCAGAGAGACAGAGGTGGCTTTATTAGAACATGAGCCAAATCAATTACAACACCAAAGCTTAAGATAAGAGCAGACTATTTATAAATATGGATTCATATATATATATCACAAGCATTCTTCTGTAATCATGGCTTGTAAGTGGTAACAATAATAATTCAAATTTGAAGTAGATTATAAAGCTAAATTACAAATGTACTTGACATCATCAATCAGTTCAGCTTGAAAATGGCACTAGCATTCCGATTGTGTTCCTGCAACCCAAAAATGAAACAGAGATGGAGGAGTGATAAGTTAAAAGCATTTGCTTAGATAAGGAGAAGTGAGGATTTGAGCCTGTGATATTTACTATCCACGCACGTTACAACAATGAAAGCTTTGAAGCTGAGACTTGAACAAGTTGACAAATATAGAAACTTTCAGGCTTCTTTTTCGCGCATCCACTCAAAGAAATTGTCGAGAATCAATGGCCACGCAAGTTCTGGATTGTAGTTGGACATGTCTGGGAAACTTATCTGCAATTTAAAAATGAATTCAAATGCAGTTTTTAGATGCAAAGAACGCTTGGTTGAGATTTGAGCAACTGCAGAAATATGGAAGGTACCTCATTGCAGAACCGATAAAATCCCAACCACTGGTCCATGTTAATGACTTTGTAATCATTTTGGATCTGTTCACAATGGGATGGCAGTTGCTCAACACTTGACAATATGAAATATCTTGATGAAGATTAGAAAAAAAAGTGATCCAAACCTTTAGATAGTCGACAAAGTAGTCAACCTGGGCACGGAATGTTGACCCTAAGACGATATCTAAGAGTTGACAAATCGTCTCAATGTCTATGCTCTTTTGTTTTTCCTCTGGATGGATGAAAAAAATGATAACCATAAGTTCATAACAGAGGTCACACAAGCACACTCACTAAGCTAAAAACATAAATCATCTTACTTCATTATGTTCAAGCTGCAGTAGATTGATTACCTGTTAAACAATACCTGAAGGCATAAACATAGAAATCTGAAAAATTTGACGGCCTTCTGACCTGAAAATAGTAAAATATAAAAGAGGAAAGGAAATAAACAAATTTTGATCCTAGGATATATCTAGATGAAGCATGAAAAAGTGAACCTCTTTCTCGAGTTCTGGAAGGGCTTTCTTCAATTTACTGATAGTGTCAGCCCTCAAGGCCTTGAGTGCTCTTCTCCATTCCTCCTATAGAGGGTTTAAGATCATTGACAAAAAAAAAAGCCAAGAAAAAATCTAACGACAAATGATAAAAGTTAATTCTATTCTCTTTGGCATATGATAGAATCATGGAAGTATATATACTGGACAGGGGAGAACAATCCTATACTATATACCCGTGTGAAGTAACCCTGTTTCTCAGCCTTCATTTTCCTGTAACAAGGGAATTGTAATGATTCAAGAATAAAAATATGTAGCATCAGTGCGGGGAATTAATTATATTGAAGGGGGTTACCAAGCTAGCATCAAGATCCTGATATCAGTATGAGATACTTCTAGATTGGAGCAAAGTTCCTCAATTCCTTCAGGACTGTTCATGTACTAATAAGAGTGTTAGAACAGTGGAGAACAATCCTATACTGAGTCTCATTCTCAAAAACATCTTCAAATCAACAAAACGTGAGTGAGTGATTGATTTGATAGAATATTGAAGAAAAGACTTACTCAATAAAATGGGAAGATGATCTATTGGCATAGTGATTAAACAAGTGATCTATGCGATCCATCTCTTTGGAGCACCCCTTACTCGAAGCTGAACCAACACATATATTGTTTCTTAGTTAACTAAGTAGAAATTCTTACATGGATATTGAACAATTTTTTATACTACACATAAGTCATAACAGAGAAAAAAAAAACTTAATGACAATGGTGAAAAGAATTGCCATTCCAAGTTTGAGAATTCTTAACTTAAAACTAAAAAAGAAAGAGTCAATTTTGATATATGAAGTAAAGAGAATTAATTGTTTGAGGATTAATTACAAAAGAAGGAAAGGTGGGAAGAGTGAGTACCTGAGCGAAAGAGATCCGAGTGGCTGAAGAAGATGAACTCGATTCCTTCAACGACGCATCTTAACCGCAGACAACTCAACTTGAGGAGAGACTTCAATTTTCCAGAAAGAAAAAAAGAAGAAGAAGATGATATTTAATTTATTAAATTTTGATGAATCCGAGAATTAGGGCAATAAAGAATAGGGAGGGAGGAGGTACCCACGAAAGAGCGAAGCGGAGGGAGAAGCTTCAAGCTGAAGTAATAAATACTCCAAAGACTAGAGACGAAGCAAATATTAACTTAGAGAGACGACTCTCTAATCTTACCTTAAGCTTACGAGTTTTTTCTTTTTTAGTTCGATAATAAAAGCTAATAGTATATAGTAATTTGTAAAATGACTTTATATATTTTCCTTTTTTAAAAAGAACAATATCTGTATAGGTTTTTAGCAGCGTAATGGACGAATTTATTTAACAAAACTATTTTCAAAGTACTTTCTCTTTAAAACAAAATATTTATATAATAGATTTTTTTGCTTTATAACAACAACACGACGACCAAATCAAAAATCATTCACGCTTCCAAGGTAATGAGGAACAGACAGACGCAAGAGAAATCACACGTTCTCTTAAAAGAGAATTATCTAAGCTGAGATTTGGCCGCCTTCTGAAAGATATAGAGAGAATAGTGACACAGCATCTTGCAGATGTGTTGATCTCACATCTTCTTGTAATGGGGCATTGAAGGCTGTCTCAAAACAGCTTAGCTGAGTCTCTCGACTTGGATCCTTACTCAGATCTGACAGTAGCAACTCGCATATTTCCTCTGCCATCTTTGAATATGCCACTCTGCACCAGTCATAAAACACCTTTGCGCGTTGTTAATTGTCTCTAGTTGCCACCATAAAAATGCTACTAATGTTTTTTATTTTTTTTATCATCAACATAATGTAGAATGTGTGATATGTTTGACCCGTATCTGTCCACACAGCAAACTTGGGCTGTGTTGTCATCAGAAGCCAATTTCTTAGTTTAGGAGCAATCACTATGGACGCCATCAATTTTAGAAGACACCCATCCAAAATTTCTCCGTTATGTCTTATTTTCTACGTAATCCTAATGTATATGTAAGAAGTTGTCGTATCCTAGGAATGATCTAAATCCTATACAAATGCGTGGAACGAAGTAGGGTAATACAAGTCATAAGAGGTACTTACCTAGCTTCAACTGGTAATCTGTCACCCCAAACAGCCAATGATTCGTTTAAACGACCGACGAAACTTCTGCACGACTCGTTTGTGCTCTCAAGGGGTTCCTGTGGAAGCAATGGAGTTATGTTGTTTGTGTCATTCATACAAGCGTTTACAAATCTGAGAAAAGCAGACTCTTATGCCCATGATCATAGGGAGCGCAAGTTCCAGGGTTCAAAACAATCTTGTTCAGTATTGGTGCAAGAAATGATATATTGTACAATCAATTTACTCAACAGCAGCACAATCAAAGTTTAAGCAATTTGAAAGCTAGGGGAGTTGAGACATACCAGTTCGACCATCGTATCAGCATCTTCTTGCAGTGAACTCTTAAGTAAATAAAATGCCATGTAAATCCCGGCACCCAAATCCCAGTTTTCAATCTCAGATTTGCGATCATCCATTGAAGTGGCAATTCTCCATATTTCTGAATGGTTCGCTGCATTTATTAAAGATAAAACAAATCACTCCAAATAGATCCTTCCGCACTACACCTGAATCATGTTCTAATGAACAGTTGGGTTTGCCAATATGGATATTGAAGAGGATTACCTGACAAAAATAATGAATGGGCAACTGACGTCATAAAAATGAAATGAGCTCTTTGCCAGTTTGCACATTCAATAAAGTGGTCAAGAGCCTTTATGAAATCTCCATGGTAATTGTAATAAACTGCCTGCAACACAAGAAAATAATTCCGCAATCAGCATACTAATGTAAGATGGATATTTGCAACCACAAGTACCTTTAGCAGAAGTAGCAAAGAAGAATAGTTCTATAGTGCCCTTACCAGAGCTTCATGCATCCATTCAGAAGGGATACCCAAGTCCTTGATAAATTTCCGTTGTGATTCCATAGAACTCCAAGTTTCACAGAACTGGAACAGGATTTCCCGAATGACATTGACGTGTAGATATGGTTGATCTTCACGGAAGGGTATGTGCAGAACAACGTAGATAGCCCAATGACAAAGACCCTGAGAGAGAAGCTGTGCAATAAATCCCATATCGAGAGTGTGAAGATCATCTGAAGTGAATGCCCCAACAGCTTCTAGGATTCCTCGATGGTGCCAGATCATATGATAGTCAAGTGGATCGTCAGTTGAAGAGAAGGCACTGAACATAGTCTTCAGGAAACCAACTTCTTCCTCTTCTTTGCTGTGCAGAAGCATAAGATAATACAAAAGGTCAGAATGCTTGTCGTTGCTTACAAACCCATCTGCAGGTCCTTCGTCAATATATATTGGAACGGGCCATGGAGCTTTTTCCTGATCTAGTAGGAGTTGATAATTTCTGAAGATGACAGGTAATGAACTGTCGGGAGGCAGATGATGCCACATTAACAACCCTAGGAATCTCTTCCAGTCAATTGTAAAATCTTGTAACGCATCATGGATATTACCAGCAAGCAATTCGTAAAGCTTAATTCTCCCCTTCTCGATGTAATTAAAATCCAGCCCATTCCTTCTCCAAAGGTGAAGCTGCTGCAAGATATCATTGCGGTTTACAGTTGATCCACCAGCCTGGCTTAACAAACATGCAAGTCTAACATCTCCCTTAGATATGGCAAGCTCTACTGCTGAATCAAGTTCTCGTCCAGTTAGAAGAAAGAATAAGTGATCAAGATAGCCAGAACCATTTAGACCACTCACATCTTCTTGTACACGCGGACTGACACTTTCTTGGAGCCAATAACTGAATTCTGCTCTTCGGATAACTGGAAGAGCTTCTGTATCAACTTCTGCAGAATCTTCCTTCAAATCCTGCATCATGTCTTCCTCATTATCAGAAGCTGCATAATTCAAACGTTCAGTACTCTGTCTCTCAGAAAAGAGAACTTTTATGAGTTCCCACACCATGACTTGGTGCATCAAAAACAGCTTTGCAGATGTTGACAACCCAGCAACCTCTAGCTGTTTCTCAATTATATCAATATAACTTCGGCAGATACCAGAAAGAACTACACGATCAGTGACCACTCTCTGAAGTTTAAGACTGAAAGAGCCAAACTCAACTTCTTCTTCTAGATGATCCAATTTCTTGTGGAGATTTAAGGGAGCCTCGAATGCAAAATCAATAAGTTCTTTCTGAACTTCTTCCTTTCTATCCCAAACCACTTTGTCAATTGCTATCCTTTCTTTATTGATCACAGAAGACAATACCATCTGGGAACTGGAGCTACATATTGGCTTACCAGTGTGAAAAAGGACACCATTTGGTCCCCAACCTGCTCGGAAAGATCTTCCCATAAATAATGCTGCATCCACAACATTGCGAGAATAGTTATCAGATAATGGTGTGCCATGGCTGATGTCTAGCTCGAAACCTCTCATTTTCGACTTTCTCACCGCCAGATTCTTATTTTGTTGGACCATCAAGATACTACCTGGGGAGCTTTTATCATTAACAGGGTTATACTCTAGCAAAGCAAGTGGAGTTTTCCTCAAGACCGGTGGAGTATCTTGATGACTATTTCTTTGAGAAATTCTCTGTGAAGGTCTTACATTTTGTTTAGTCAAGGATGCCATATGATGGGAAGTTTGCTCTCCAAAATCATCACTTTCGTCTAGATCTTCATTAGGAAACATCAGCATTCTCATTTCTTTCATCTTTCCAGGATCAAGTCCTAGATGAGCAGGAAGAGAGTGAGAAAGTTCTGGCTGGGAAGTTTCCATCTGATGTTCTTCATTAATGTCAGCTACCTTGTCACCCTCCTGCCCTACGGGATCTCCCAAACCTGGGGCATCAGTCATAGCAATATCTTCTGCCTCATCATCACTCAACCCAAATCTGCTGAAATGAGGAACCAAAAACTTCCATAAACCTTTATCAGGATCAAATGAGATGAAAGTTGCCCCTTGTCTTTCAGTGCTCTGTTTTAATTTATAAGCAATATGGTCAACTTGTTCATTCCCCAAAGTAAGATTTGGTATGTTTACAATCAGAGTCACCTCAGCAACCTTATTAAGTCCCTCGCCAACAACTGGCTTAGAGCTCTCATCATCATAAACAATCACCTCGTGCCTTTGAAACTTAACTATCTGATCCAGGTCTAACCTTCTAACATCTGTATTCCCAAGAAACTTAATATAACCGTAACCAATCCTACCAATTGTGAAATCAGGAACCCTGCTGCAATAATCAGGGTTTTCAATTTCTCGCTCAATCAACTCATTCATGCATGGCTTCAAGAAGTAGTCAGGTGAATTTAACATAGGCAATGAATCAATGATCTCTTTGGAATGTTCACTCAAGGCAGTAACTCCATCTAAGGAGATCCTTCTTTTCTTTCGCGAGTCCAAATTTCCAGCCATCCATGAAATATCTGTCAACATAGAATTTTGGGAAGTAAAGATACAAGAACTTCGGAGAACGAATACAAAGTTTTCAACAACAAATGATAAAAGTTCGTGCACACGACATGCTTAAACTTGAATTGTCAAAGTCAGATAAAAATTATAAACAAGATAGGCTACCACAACCACTTTTTATCTGATTTGAGTGTGAGCCAGCAATAATGTCTAGTACTTGCAGGAAAAACAGTTGCCAGAAATTCTGAACTCGAGCAAACCAAGAAAAACTATCGAATCTTTTTGAAATGCACCTTTGTAACGCAATGAATCAACTGTAGAAAACATAGAACACATTTATCTGATATTTTGGACAGGCCAAGTTTGTGAAGTGTTCCGTGAATTAATCCAGTCAAAAAGGAAAAACCATGAAATACACAGACTCAAAAGATCAAAAAACATACACAGAACAACAAGGCTTTAACTGTAGATGCTAAATATCAATAAACGTCATTTGTACTGGTAGGATCAGTATTACTATTCTACCATCGTCAACCTAGATTTCTGTAAAAGCTGAAAATACGAACATGATTCTGTCGCTGAACGAAATACGTCAAACGACAATATCAAAAGGCCACACAAGCTTCACTAAAGATAGTTCAACACAAAGACGAATTTTGAAGACTTACCTGGAATTGGTTGAATAGTAAGAGACGTCATGGTTGACGGAAACAGATACAAACACCGAAGCAAAGCGACAGTCTAGGGTTTCCTATCTTCTAATCACTGACCCTTCCGATTCCTGTAAGGAATCCAATACTAAGGCGACGCTAACTAAAGGCAACGATGATGATCGGATTAAATTCAAAAACCGTTCAGATTCTCCTAAATTCCTTCTTCTACGGATTGAACTGAAGTGGTCGGAGCTATAGCCGCCGCATGGGAAAAGAGAGGGAAAGCTCTCAAAATGGGTGTGAGACTGAGATCTGCCAGGTTGGGTTTTAGGATCCGTTTAACGACCCGACCCGACCCGAAATGCTTCCTAACTTTAAAAAAAAAAAGTAAAATAGTGGCCCAAAACAAGGCCCAACAATGGTTTTCCTTTTTCAGTCCCAGCGTCAGTTTAACGCTCCGTCGGGACGTCAATGTGACGCAGCGACGTTTATCAATAAATACTTGTCGCCTTCTCTCTTCCGGACTAAATTCGTTTTCCCTCCTCTTCTGCTTACCGAAAGACTATATCTCCGACGGACCTTCCTTTCTCTCTCTAGGTTTGGCTCCTTAGTTCTCTCAGTCGAGATTTCCATTCTGATAGAGAGCATTACTTATATGATTTTTTCTCCTGTAATTGAATTCTTAACAGTTAATCCGACCTCGGGCTCGTGATAATGGCTACTTTTGGTGCGGCCGCTAACGCAAACAGTAACCCTAACAAATCGTACGAGGTATTTTCTTTTCTAGATCTCTTGATTTCTACGGCGGTTGATTGTTTTGCTTCTCGAGGTTTTGTATTTTGGGTGTGTGTCTAATTCATGAGATCACTTGTAATCGCGTACGTTTTTTTGCCTCTTGCCTCTTCAAAGGGTGTGCTCCCTTTAGACTTTGAAGATTCTTCGATTTAATCTTTACTGAATCTTTGCCGTAAGTGTGCTAGGGTTTTACGGCTGAGATCAATGCGAGGGATTTTCTGATTTTAACTTTCCTTGTTCGGCTTAGTTCACTTGTTGTGAGATTCGTCTATAATGTATTAATCAATGATTTAGAAAGCCTGCCAAAACTGAAGGTGCCTTGATCTTCCGTTAAATTTCTATCTGTAGTATAAATTTCTCATAGATTTTCATTTTCCCTGCAGGTTACTCCGTCACCAGGGGACTCTATTTCGAGCTTAAGTTTCAGTCCAAGAGCAGATATACTTGTGGCCACTTCATGGGACAATCAGGTTTTTATTAATTCTTTGGCTCTTTTGGTGGTCCTAATACTCTTGGTGAACACATGTTTTAGCTCAGTTTCTATGAACTTTTTCATGTTCACCCAGTATATGTTGTAACATGTGAGTTTGCTTCTTTTGTTGCAGGTGAGGTGTTGGGAAATATCCCGTAGTGGAGCCTCTATAGCCAGTGCTCCGAAAGCATCAATATCGCATGATCAGCCGGTAACATTTTGTTGCTTTCTATCTTCTTATCTTGCTTTCTGTTTATTTTTGCTTAGAATCTTACGCCTATCTTTTGCTTTTCTTGTGATGAAGGTTCTCTGTTCTGCTTGGAAAGATGATGGAACCACAGTCTTCAGTGGTGGATGTGATAAGCAAGCTAAAATGTGGCCCTTGTTGTCCGGTGGTCAACCTGTAACTGTAGCTATGCACGAAGGTCCTATCGTAGCTATGGCTTGGATCCCAGGAATGAACCTTCTTGCAACTGGAAGTTGGGATAAAACTTTGAAGTAAGAATGATTCTTCATTATATTTTACTGCGAATGATAATATGTTGACTGATTAATTTATTTTATATTCATTTTCCTTCCAGATATTGGGACACAAGACAGCCAAATCCCGTGCATACCCAACAGCTTCCAGATAAATGTTATGCATTGTCTGTGAAGCATCCTCTGATGGTTGTCGGAACTGCTGATAGAAATCTGATAGTCTTCAACTTGCAAAATCCTCAGGTAACAGTTTTTCCTTGTTGCTCCATATTATAACTTGCGCATGACAGTTTCTGAGTGCTAAGAATACTGTGAGCATAATATGGTTTCGGGATCTATTTAGCACCAACATTTGGATAAATTATACAAGTTATCTTACAAAGAATAGGCCTCCTAGTCTTCTGACTCGCGAACAGGCTTTCACCATTAGATTAACTATTTCTCTGGTGTAAACTGTAGACTGAGTTCAAGAGAATCCAATCCCCACTAAAGTACCAGACGAGGTGTGTTACTGCCTTCCCTGATCAGCAAGGATTTTTGGTAAGTCTTCTTATATATTATCTATATTGTTTTAGTTAATTGAAGGTTACAAGAATTAGCTTGTTCGTTAGATGCAAACAGTTATATAATCTCAAGAAAGTTCTATAGGTTATCCTAGTAAACAGTAGAGTAATTTGATATTGGAGGTTGTTTTACCAGTCACATCTTCAGATCACAGAAAGTGTTAAACATGAAAATAACCAGATCCCCAATGTGCTCTATAGGTTGGTTCAATTGAAGGGCGGGTTGGTGTCCATCATCTGGATGATTCTCAACAGAGCAAAAACTTCACATTCAAATGCCACAGAGATGGGAACGATATATATTCTGTGAACTCTCTGAATTTCCACCCGGTAAGCTCTATGGCTCTGTAGTTGATACTCTTATGTAGTTGTAAGCCTTGAGCACAATGGTTGAGCGTCTGAGTGATGAAATTGATTGTTTGAGTTGTGTATTTAAGGTTCATGGGACTTTTGCCACTGCGGGCTCTGATGGTGCTTTCAACTTCTGGGATAAGGATAGTAAACAAAGACTCAAGGTATGTTCACGTTGCATCTGTACTTTTCATTGAACCCTTTTCTTTGTCTATATAAAATCTAACAAGTTGGGTATCAATTTCTCCAAAAATGTCAGGCCATGTCGAGGTGCAGTCAGCCAATTCCTTGCAGTTCGTTCAACCATGATGGCTCGATATATGCATATGCGGTATGAAATGCCACTTTAAAGACTCTAAAATTATCGTATTGCAAAACCTTGAGAGAGGATATATATATATATATATTCAGAGTAAATAAATGGGTTATAAACATGAAATTGTAGTCTTGCTATGACTGGAGCAAAGGTGCAGAAAATCACAACCCGGCAACTGCAAAAAGCAGCATTTTCTTGCACCTGCCACAGGTGTGTTGGTCACTCGTAATACAATATATATATATCATGTATGCAAAAATAAAGAGTTTTTAATAATGGATGGCAATGTTAAACATGAATTGCAGGAGAACGAGGTGAAGGCGAAGCCAAGAGTTGGAGCAACCGGCAGAAAATGAGAATTGCTTATAGTTTGCGTAGTCGGATTTATTTTGGTATTGGACTTTGTTGTCTAATCGACTCGACTTAGTTGATGACATTTTTTTGAATATAGAGTTATGTCTAAAGTAAAATCCTCGGATGTTTTATGCCTTTGGCTCAATTCGGATTTCAGAACAATCTTATCTCTCACTCATCTCATACCTCTTATATTGCTGCAGTGCAGTCTATTCCATAATATTTAATATTATGTTCAAATTATTGCAACTCCCAAGTAAAATTAACATGAAAAACAACAAGTGTGTATCCAAATATTAGAAATCAACGGCTCATGTTTTCTCTCTCGTTTGTCCATTGTTCTTCCAAAAATAGTTAGTTAGTTTTTATTAGTGAAGAAAAGGAGAGACACGTGGCAGATGATTAGTGGGAAGAGGAGATGAAGGCGGGGGGAAAGACATTTTCCAAACGGGAAAAACTCTCTCCTTGGCTCTCTCCTAATTTTGGTCTTCTTCACTCTCTTCTTCTTCACCTATATAAACTACTCCCTCTTCTACTTCATTCTTCCTTCAATTTTATATTTATAAAAAAATAATAATTAATAATTTGTTTTTGTGTTTCTGTTTTTCTCCCTTTTTTGTTATTCTGTTTCGTTGAAAATAACAACAGAAAAGAAAAAAAGAACGAGAGAAAATTACAGTTTGAAAAAGAAAAATACTGTTTAAGAAAGAGTGTGAGAGACAGAGAGAAGAAACCTTTCGGACCAAAAAAAAAGAAGAAGAATATAGATTCAAGAAAGAAAAAGTGAAAGAAAGAGTGAAAAAGAAAAGGAGAAAGAAAGAAAGAAAGTTTCTGAAAACAATATGGCGGCGGCTGGGAAAGATTCTAGCTGGGACGATATCAAGAACGAAGGCGTCGATCTCGTATGTGTATTCTCCCAGAGTTACCATTTCTCCACTCTTTCTTTTTGATATCTCTAAATGTTTTGGTTTTGAACAGGAGAAAATACCCATCGAGGAGGTTCTTACGCAGCTCAGATGTACAAGGGAAGGACTCACCAGTGACGAAGGCCAAACTCGCCTCGACATCTTTGGTCCTAACAAGCTCGAAGAGAAAAAGGCATACATCTATATATATTCTCTTCCAAAACTTATTTATTTCTTGTTTCTTCACTCCCAAGAAATTTACCAAAAGAATTCTTTGTAATATAATCCCACACAGGAAAGCAAGGTTTTGAAGTTCTTAGGGTTTATGTGGAACCCTCTCTCATGGGTCATGGAGTTGGCTGCTATTATGGCCATCGCCTTGGCCAACGGAGGAGTATATCACCTTACCTTTCTTTTGCACACTCACTGTGGATCCATCTTTCTTAACTTTTGGAATGTCAATTCTTCTGCAGGGAAGGCCACCGGATTGGCAAGATTTCGTGGGTATCACGGTTCTTCTAATCATTAACTCTACTATTAGTTTCATTGAAGAAAACAACGCCGGAAATGCTGCTGCCGCTTTGATGGCCGGTCTTGCTCCCAAAACCAAGGTAATGTTATACTATTAAGTACTATTCTTAATAATTAGCTCTCTGTACAATAAAAAAAAACCTGGGGATTACTAATTACTCATTTAAAATCGTTGAAAAGCTTCTGAGAGATGGGAAATGGAACGAGCAAGAGGCAGCTATATTGGTTCCCGGAGACATTATCAGCATCAAATTGGGTGACATTATTCCAGCAGATGGTCGCCTCTTGGACGGTGATCCTCTCAAGGTTGACCAATCTGCTCTCACTGGCGAGTCTTTACCAGTAACCAAGAACCCGGGCCAAGAAGTTTACTCTGGCTCCACCTGCAAACAAGGAGAGATAGAAGCTGTTGTGATCGCTACCGGCGTTCATACTTTCTTCGGCAAAGCTGCTCATCTTGTAGACAACACAAACCAAGAAGGCCATTTCCAGAAAGTGTTGACTGCGATTGGTAACTTCTGCATCTGCTCAATCGGGATAGGTATGATCATCGAGATTGTTGTGATGTATCCTATTCAGCACCGTGCGTATAGAGATGGGATCGACAACCTTCTGGTGCTTCTCATTGGAGGAATCCCTATTGCAATGCCGACTGTTTTGTCTGTCACCATGGCCATTGGATCTCACCGTCTCTCTCAGCAAGGCGCTATCACTAAGAGAATGACAGCAATTGAAGAAATGGCTGGGATGGATGTTTTGTGCAGTGACAAGACTGGAACTCTTACACTCAACAAGCTTACGGTTGACAAGAGCATGGTTGAGGTTTTTGTCAAAGACTTGGACAAGGATCAGCTTCTTGTGAATGCAGCAAGGGCCTCAAGAGTTGAAAACCAAGATGCTATTGATGCTTGCATTGTAGGAATGCTTGGAGATCCCAGAGAAGCAAGAGAGGGCATCACTGAAGTCCATTTCTTTCCGTTTAACCCCGTGGATAAGCGCACTGCTATCACTTACATTGACGCTACTGGAAACTGGCACCGTGTCAGCAAAGGCGCACCAGAGCAAGTAATGGATTCATATTCTTATCTCAAGAGATTTTAAGTTCTCTCCACATATATTGATTGTTCTCTGTAAATTTTTAGATCATTGAGCTCTGTAACCTTCGGGAGGATGCAAAGAAGAGAGCTCATGACATCATTGACAAGTTTGCTGACAGAGGACTGCGTTCCCTTGCTGTTGGCAGACAGGTAAAAGATTTAGTGCCAATCCCATAACTTTGGATTCATGTGTGCTTCTTTCTCTTTAAATGCTCTTTTTACTGTTTTGAATTTCAGACTGTCTCTGAGAAAGACAAGAACAGCCCTGGAGAGCCATGGCAGTTTCTTGGTCTGTTACCTCTCTTTGACCCTCCAAGACATGACAGTGCAGAGACAATCAGGCGCGCCCTTGACCTCGGTGTCAATGTAAAAATGATCACTGGTGACCAGCTCGCGATTGGTAAGGAAACTGGTCGTAGGCTTGGTATGGGTACCAACATGTACCCTTCTTCTGCTCTACTTGGGCAGGAGAAGGATGAATCTATATCTAGCCTTCCTGTTGATGAACTCATCGAGATGGCTGATGGATTCGCCGGTGTCTTCCCTGGTAAACCAATCAAACCTAATGTAACATTTTCTCTTGATGGATCAAAATGTATTCACCAATGAATCTGTTTCATCTGTCTGATTAGAACACAAGTATGAGATTGTTAAGAGGCTCCAGGAAATGAAGCACATTTGTGGCATGACTGGTGATGGGGTGAACGATGCCCCGGCCCTCAAGAGAGCTGACATTGGAATAGCTGTAGCTGACGCAACTGATGCAGCGAGAAGTGCATCTGACATTGTACTAACCGAGCCAGGTCTCAGTGTTATAGTTAGTGCTGTCTTAACGAGCAGAGCCATCTTCCAGAGAATGAAGAACTACACAATCTATGCAGTTTCCATCACAATCCGTGTAGTCATGGGCTTTATGCTTCTTGCACTCATATGGAAGTTCGACTTCTCACCATTCATGGTGTTGGTAATCGCAATCCTGAATGATGGTACTATCATGACGATAGCCAAGGACAGAGTAAAGCCTTCTCCACTTCCTGACTCATGGAAGCTCAAAGAGATATTTGCCACCGGCGTTGTTCTTGGCACTTACCTAGCAGTCATGACTGTCGTTTTCTTCTGGGCTGCAGAGAGCACTGACTTCTTCTCGGTAAGAGGACTATACCTTACTATGAGGACTTTCAATTCACCATATCAAGTAACTGTCTTTGATCATCAGTTTGTTTCTGGTGCAGGCAAAGTTTGGGGTGAGATCTATCAGTGGCAATCCGCACGAGCTTACATCGGCTATTTACCTCCAAGTTAGTATCATTAGCCAGGCGCTTATCTTTGTCACAAGGTCACGTAGCTGGTCATATGTTGAACGCCCTGGCTTCTGGTTGATCTTTGCCTTTTTCATAGCTCAGCTGGTGAGTTAAATACAAATATTGTAGGAGAAGAAGAAGAAGCCTCAATGTACTGACACTATTCTTGTTTCTTGACTTAAGATTGCTACTCTCATAGCCGTGTACGCAAACTGGGATTTTGCAAGAATCAGAGGTACTGGTTGGGGATGGGCAGGAGTTATCTGGCTCTACAGTATAGTTACTTACATCCCATTGGATATCCTCAAGTTCATCATCAGATATTCACTAAGTGGGAGAGCCTGGGATAATGTCATTGAGAACAAGGTGGGCAGAACGATAATGAGAAGAAGAACATTAGTCTCTTTTTGCACTAGTGTTTCCTAACTTTGTTCCTTATGTTCAGACCGCTTTCACGTCAAAGAAAGATTATGGAAAGGGTGAGAGGGAAGCACAATGGGCACAAGCTCAACGTACCCTTCACGGATTGCAGCCTGCTCAAAGCTCAGATATGTTCAACGACAAGAGCACTTACAGAGAACTTTCAGAGATAGCAGATCAGGCCAAGAGACGGGCTGAAGTCGCAAGGCAACGCTCAAGTAACTGATTAATCCATAACATTCTGTTCCTCAGAATATGGCCTTACAACTTTTACTCTCTTATAATTTCAGGTTAAGAGAGCGTCATACCTTGAAAGGTCACGTGGAATCAGTAGTGAAGCAGAAGGGACTTGACATCGAGGCTATCCAGCAGCACTACACCCTGTGATTTCAGAAACAAGTGTTACTCAGTTTAGTTTAGAACCAACCACAAGAGTATTGAATAATAAACCACCTTCATCATTAGAAAATACTGCAAAAAGAAGAGAAAAAAGAAAAAAGAGATTTCTTTTATTAGCAGTGGCTGTTGGCTGCTTTATTTGTTTCGAGATATTCTTGTTTTTTTTTTTGCCTTTACAAAGCTAATAAGATTTTACAATTACTTAGAATTCTTATTGTTCCTTCACTACTGAGTTTCTTCTGGTCTTAACCCTGCCAAAAGGAAAATGCATCAAACCAAAAATAAAAATGCAGTGTTCTTCACTGCAAATGAGACGACAATACCAATCAATCTTCTACAATCCAGTGTGTCTGTGTTGGATTTGCGATTCTTGGCCTTCACTAATAAACAAGAGGAGACATCTGTTTCCTAAGAAACTTCATAAATATCACAAGAGTTAGAGAAACTTTTAATCATTAAACCATTTACAAAAGTAAATTATGATAAGATTGAGGACAAACAAACAAAAAATTTCTGATACAGATCCACAATGTACACAACCCACAGAGCTATAACGAATTAACAGATAATAATATCTTTAAGCCTTTCTCGTTAGAAAACTGTAAGAACTCTACGAAAATCTACGGTTACTTCATCAGAGTACGTAGATGAGGATTGACTGATGCAGCTTTACATGCTCAAGATACCAGAGAGCGCACCTTCTGCTGCGTGCTCAACCGCAGCTTTCTTCCTGCATTTGGGATCCCCAAAACAGTTGTTCCTGAACTGAAGAATCTCTAATCTCAACCACGCCTTTGTACGTAAAGCTGAACCAAAAACAAACAAACAAACAAAACCAAGTTCTATCAGTGGCAATCCGCACGAGCTTACAGCAGCTACTTACCTCCAAGTTAGTATCATTAGCCAGGCAACGCTCAAGCCAAGAGACGAGCTGAAGTTGCAAGGCAACGGTCAAGTCACTGATTGGTCCATAACATTCTGCTCCTCAAATTATGTCCTTACATTTCTTCTCTTGTAAATTCAGGTTTAGGGAGCGTCATACCTCGAAAGGTCATGTGGAATCAGTAGTGAAACAGTTGGGACTAGACATTGAGGCTATCCAGCAACACTATGCCCTGTGATTTCAGAAACAAGTTTCTCAGTTTAGTTTTAGAACCACATGAGTATTGAGTAAATAACCACCTTCATAATTAGACAATGCTGCTCCTTTATGTTTTGTTTTGAGATATTCTTGTTTTCGCCTTTACAAGAGTAATAAGATCTTACAATTACTTAGAATTCTTAAGTAATCACCATTGTCATTTTTCAGTGTGTTTCTTCTTGTCTTTGTCTGCGAAAGAGAAAAAATGCACCAAAACCAAAAGTAAGAAGGCTCAAATCTTCATAATTGCAAATGAGAACAATGAGAGTTTGAATCTCCGTGAATTAAACTCCCTCCCTCCAAAGCTTTCACTTACTTGGATGAGTCTCGCAACCAAGACTATAGCCATCAATTCCTAATCCAAAAGAATACAAATCAAGCTTCTTTTTGATCCAGAGTGTCTATGTTTTGCACTCATTGGCATACACTAATAAAAAAAACATAAAGAACTCTTTACTAAGAAGAAATATAATGGCACAATTGACTGGTGAATAATGTTAGAGAGATTGTTACAATCATTAAACATTCACTTGCAGTACATTTTGATACAGATCAAAACTATTACAACTCATAGATAAGGATATCGTTTAAGCATCCCTCGTTAGAAGTATATATATAACTATACTAAACTCTCCAATTACTTCCTCTGACTAAATGATGAGTTCCTGATCCGGCTTAGTCTGGTTCTGCCTTACATGCTGAAGATACCAAAGCGCTCCTTCCGCTGCATGCTCAGCCGCAGCTTTCTTATTACGCATGGGATCCCCAAAACACTCCAAAACAGTCTTCCCTGGAGAATCACTAATCTCAACCACAACTTTGTATGTAAATCTAAACCAAAAAACACAAAACACAAACCAGGGTTCAAGGAAAATAAGGTGTGTGATTGGAAGTAGAAGCAAGGTGCAGGTAAGGTGTTCACTTACAATCTCATATGGGAAGGTCCATCAACTTTGCAGCATTCATAAAGCGGAGGCCTCCAACGCTTGGAAGCACATATTTCGTGTAACACCGATTTCGCTGACCCTCTCTTAGATTCATCTGGACCACACATACGTTACACAACAGAGCAAAATTCAATACAAAAATTAAACCGAACCAAAAGACCAAAATGGAGTCTCTGCTGGTTTCCTAACATTGAATAAAACCAAAGAGTTGCGAGATTCAAAGCGGAAACAAGAAGATGATGATGAGAGTCTATCTACACTTTGAAACAAGAAGGTGAAGAAAAAAAACTGGACCTTTAGAATTCGGTTTGGTGTCTGCTGCTTCTTCAGGTTTAGGAGGAACAAGCATATTCTTCTCTGGTGTGATGCTTATGACACTAGTTCTTGTGCTGTTAGGATCAATCTGAATGTTAGAGAAGGAAGAAAAGGCATTGTCTTGGTCAACCTCAATCACATTTTTAAGCTTCAACTCACTCTTCTCATCGAATCTCTTCCTCCCAGCAATATCATCATCTTGCACCATCATTGCTCTTGGTTTCTAATAACAAAAACAGAAGAAAGAGATTCGTTATTGCAGATCAGACAGAAGAAAAGTCGAGAGATTTCAATAACCCGTTATTGGATCGCAGTTACTATAGAAGCCAAATTCAAGAGAACGGTCTCTTCAAAACGCACGAATTCATCTCTTTCGAATCGAATCCGTACAAATGTTACCGAGAAAGAACGAAAGAAAGAGACTTTACAATGAAAAGGAAATATATACCAGAGAGAGAGAGGGAGAGGGAGAGGGAGAGGGAGTGGGGATAGAGGATGGATCGAGAGGAGGTATATCTCTGAGACTGATGAATGGTTTTTTCCCGATCCGCTTCGTTTCCCGATCCTTCATCCTTCATTCATTCATTCATCCTTGTCCAATCCGTCGCGTGTTTCCATCTCTTTTTTGGGAAATGACAAAACACAAATAAATAAAAATTGAATTCGATGATCTCGACAAACCCGATAAGGTTCAATTAAACCCGACAATGGTAAATACTACTAAATTCTCTTACAAAAGTCAACGTTTGCGCTGTTTTGTTTACCAACCCAAAACTCCTTTAACTTGGTTTCGGTTCCTTTTTCTTTACAAAGTAGATTGATTGATTATTCTCAGTCAATATTTTTCTGCTTTTGGGTCTTATTATGAGTTTAATAAAAAGCCCACTAATAACTAACTTTGTCCGTTAGATTAGGCGAATCACTCACTTTTCATAACTGCGTTTGAGGAATCACCCAACGATTGTGGTTTTGATAGAGATCCCAGTGTTTTGTGTTTCAAGATATTGTGGATCGTTGGTATTGATACGTGTGTTAAGTGTTAGTGTTGTCTTTCAAGACATTATGGAATGAGGTGGTCTTTGAATAAAGTTTATGTGAGTTACGTGTGTTTTCTGTTCGTGTTTACTTGTGCTTCTTTTATAATAATCTACATGTATACTAAAATAAAAGCACGAGTTTGGGGATCCTTTTCAGTTTTCATGTCAGTTTCTTGTTAAAGTTCTAGTAGCAGTGATCAAAGAAAGTTCAAACACAGGATAACAGATTCTCGCTTAGAGAAAAAAAAAAAAAAAAAGGGAAAGTTTTTCACAAAATCCGCAATGATCCACCCAGTTCTACTGGTAAAAGAGGGATGAGTGAGTGCAAGACATCGGTTATAAGTGGTCTGTAACTTGGCTCAGGCTGTACGCACAACACAGCTACCGCAGCAACCTGTTCACATCCGATCAAGATTGGCAAAACATAACAGAAAACACAGTAAGAAGAACAAATCTTTTTCAGATATTTGGCTAGCTAGTTGGGTTGGTAAAAAGCCTGGCTGAAGAAATTTGAGAGTTTGTTGAAACTGACCTGATAGAGATGCTTCAAATCCATAGTTCCTTTGATTGCAGGATCTAAGATGTTGGGGAGATTAGCTCTATCACTGAGCTTAGGTACAGCCTGATCAAGAAAGATATATAACAAAATTCATAAATCATAAGCCAGAGGATAACAAGGTGACTCTCTCGATAAAATTTATGATTTGTAGGTACCCAAGTTACAATGGATTCTGGTTCACAAGACGGTTTCTCCACTGATTTCTTCCCAAGAAGAAGTTCGAGCAGAATCACTCCAAATGAGTAGACATCATTCTTGTCTGTAACTTTGCCTGAAATATGAAAAGATAAGAGATAGTTTTTTCAGTATCTCGGTTGGCATAGTCAAAAGCGACACCTGAAAAATATTAGTGATAGATATAGTTATTACCATCAAGAAGATACTCGGAAGCTCTGTTCAGGTTTTTGTTCTGCGTCGTCAACACCATGGCAAACCCAAAATCTGATATCTGAAGAGCAGCATATGTGGGAACTGATGCTTACAACTCATATCGTATGGAGGATACAATATCTCTCTCCAAGAAGAAGTATAAATCATAGCATTTTCTTTATTACCTTGGCATTGAAATCGGAGTCTAGAAGGATGCTAGATGATTTCAAATCTCTGTGAACTACCGGAGGATGGCAATGCTCGTGAAGATACTCCAATCCTCTTTATATAAGAGAAAAATTTGTAAGCATACTACAAATTGTTCTTGTTGATGGCAGGAAACTGTTCCCTAAATGTTTGACAGATGGATAGACTTTTTACCTGGCTATATCAACAGCTATTTTCATCCTAAGCTGCCAAGTTAAACATGAACCTTGACTAGTCCCTGAAAGCATCCAAAAGCATAATCAAAAACCAGATGACAGAAGAAGTTGCCTAGATATGGGATCATATCCCTTACCATGGAGCTGCGTCTCCAAAGATCCATTTTTCATCATCTCATACACAATACAACTCGTTTGGCGATATACGCAAAATCCCAATAGGGAAATTATGTTCTGATGCCTGATTTTAGCCAACCAATCTACCTCAGTCTGCATATAAATCAACAAGAGAAAGACATATAAAACCAGTTATTGTTTTATCGAGTGAGATGATTTGATTCTGTGAAATCTTATGGGTCAAACCTCAAACTGTTTTTCAATGTCTGTATCCCCACCACCATCAAGTTTTTTTACAGTGACAGAGGACTTTTCATCAAGACAAGCTCTGTAAAGGCAACCACGACCACCTTTGCTCAAAACATTACTATCGCTAAACTTGTTTGTTGCAGATTCCAGCAATTGATATTCATACACTGGGATGGTTCCTTTCCTCACAGAATCGATCTTGTGTACAATCGGCTTCGTGGATACACTCTTCACCGAGTCTTCAGATAACCAAAGCACCAAGATAAGCCATAGAGCAACAAAACCAAGAAAATGACAATAAGTTTGAGAGATAAAGTTAAATACCAGATTTGTGTTTGATCCCGGTGAAGCTGTTCTTCATATATCTGTACCTCCAAAACAAGAGATACAAAAGGAACATGACTGTGACACAGAGGAGAGTTGATGAGATTATAAGCGCAATTAGAATCTTCTTGTTCAAATCCTGGCGAAGCACCACTTTAACGATGGGAGGTCCTGATGAGCAAAAGTGAAATTAAAAAAGGTCAAACTTTTTTGATTCAGCAGTTGCATAGTTATCGGAAAGTTTTCAGTTTGCATTCGGAAACAGTGTCTGATTCAACTCAAACTCAATTCAATTCCTTTAAGCAATTTTCAGTAAAACCCATAACGGAAATTCCAAGAACTAGTAAGACCCAGTCACTCATTACAGTATTAGCCAAATAATTTTGATATTTTTTTTTCTTCTAGGGCAACGTCGAGAAAGGGGGAAGCTAAATTAGTACCTGGGGATTGAGCTGCTCCCATTCGTGGAGAAGCCTGAGAAATGGGGATTTCGTGGGAAGTAGCAGAAACGTAGACAACAGAGGATTCTTCTGATTTAGTAACAAGAGCAGTGGAGAAGAAGGAGAAACAAAGAACCCAAATGGGTAGCAAATGACGAAGGTGAGACATATTTATGTTTTATCTAGTATCACAAACAAACATGCAGAGAGAGAGAGAGAGAGAGAGAGAAAAGACAAAAGAAGCGAGATAAGAAGAGTAGGAAACGATGAAGAAGCTGCTTCGTGTTCTTGTTCTTGTTCTATCTTATTCCTTATGGACGACGGAGATGGTGGAAATCTCGAGATTATCTTTTGTCTGGGAGGAGATGGAGACAAGAGACACTGTTGGAGTTGGGAAACAGAGACAAGGACAAAGTTTTTGGTGTTTGGTCTTCTTCATGTGGCAGTTATGAAAAGGTGGAAAAAAAAGAAAGAAAAGGGGTTAATAAAGGCTCAAGGTGTGTGCCGCCTGAGGATAGAGAAACCCAACCAGACGTGGTGATAAGACGTGGGAATTATGGAGAGAGATAAATGGTGTTTTAAGTGTAGCAGCTACCCCAGTTTCTTCCCCCCCCATTAGATAGAGAATCTTTTAATTTTTGGTTTTGTCTACATTACAAAAATTTAACATCCCAAGGTATAACTATAATATGATGATGCTGTGTTTATTACTACTCTATAGTTTGACAAAATAAAATAAAAAAAATCTTTTATACGTAAAGTACTAAAAAAAAAGTTATACTATATGAAAGCGTTGGTCCTTTACTTCTCTTTTAAAGAAGTTCAAAGTCAGTTTTTTTTTTTTAAAGTGATTTGAGTTTTATACAAGTCTTAGAATTGGATCATTCATATTTGGATTTTTCTTTTTTGTCGACCAAATCGGATTAATAAATCTATTTTAGTTAATTGGATCATGTTATATTATTATTAGTTAATATAATGATGTGATAAAATAGGGAGGGAGAGAATAAAAAAGGGAATGGATTGTGTAATCTCTGTCGATAGTGTTGTTTGGCATCGAGGCACAGTAATCCAAATGATTCGATTGGGTCACATTACTGCGCAAATTCAATTCATGCGGGATTTAGTGAACATAACGACAAGTCGCGGTTTAAAGAGTGAATCCAATCAAATAAGTATACTACCATATGGAGACCACAAAACTCCAAAAGTATGAGCATTTTTCATGTGAACTTTTCTATGTCTGTCCTCCTCAACTTTAAATTACCGACACAAGTGGTCACTGACTCTCCCTAGTCCTACTGTTGAAAACCATCTCTTATTGGGCCTTTGAAGAACAATGAGCCATTTATATCTTATTGGGCCAGACCAAGCCCAGTTTCGATATTTTGAATTGGTCTGTGAAAGCCAATAATAATCAATCAAGAACAATCTTATATTTATGTATATCATACACTAGTTGTTTACGCTAGCTTCAAAAATCCATGGATTTATCTGAACAATGCTGTGAATTGATCTGTAATGCTGCTAATATGCTATCGATGAAGATGATTCTCAATTCCTCGAATCTATTTCACTCACATCAACCTATTCTTCTCCATCACCAACTGTGTTTAGAGTGACAGGATTGTTCCTTTGTGCAAGAAATTTTACTTCTCGCATTTCATGGATTTTCTTTGCACACCATTTCGTCGCTTGTTTCGATCACGTCCGTTTTAAATAAATTCAAATAGTTATTATTTTATGCAAAATAATTAGAAAACAATTTGCATCGTTTTTAATGATATCAGTTTCTATTATTTTATTAGTGATGCTAATAACAAATTAGCAATACATGGATTATTTATCAATATAAATTTATAGTTTTTTAAAGTGATGCAAACTAATATAGATTTGTATCAATTTATTAAATTAACGCAAAATTATTAAATAATAACATTAGATATTAGAAAATAATTCAGTGATTGAAAATAATAGTGAAAATATCAGTTAAGATGTGTAACGCAATTCCTTGATCCTTCTTTCTCCGGATCACCTCAGTTTCAATTCCAACTTCCAAGTTAACTGGTGAGGAGGTGGCTTCATTACAACATAAATTGTATGTGTTCACTTTTCATGTTTAACAGAGAAGTAAGTTTATTATCACATTCCAAATAATAAAAGACAATGTCAACGAAAGTATATATATCCCCCACAGCTTTGTTCTCTTTTCGCCGAAACAGCGTGCAATAACAAACTCTAGTAGAACAACTTTTCTCCCAGTATGATTGATAAGAGAACCCACATTATCTCTATTGCCATAATGGAAAGAACAAAGAGAGAGTACTGAGATGACAATTCTATGATATTCTTGCACAAAAATTTTAAAACTTGTAATCTGGGTTGTCACGAAGGCCAAGTTTTGACAGTGAAAGGCAGTAAGAGTCCCAGTCCGTTCGTCTCATGTACTTCAACAGTTTCTTCCGTCTTTGCACCATTGCTATAAGTCCCTTTCGCGAATGCTTGTCCTAACGTTATAAGGATGCGAGATCAGGTTACAGTAGGATACCGCACCTGCTAGCTTCAGATAAACAAAACAACAACAAAATTAAAGATTGAAAGATTACCTTTTTATGTAGAACAGAGGACAGATGCTTGATCTTAGTGGTCAGTTGCGCCACTACAAGGAAAAACCATAAAGATAATTAAACCAGCAATTTGTTGACCGTTTGTTCTCAAAAACAACAACGGCAATGAAACCGATTATTAGCTGCTAAAGCCACCATTAAGCATAAGAGATATAATCTCTCAGTTACCTTGAACACGTGCAGAACCACAATCTGATTCTGACATCTTGAACTCTTCCCGGACCTTTGCAAGTTCAATTTTCATCTTCTCCGCAGAAGACATGTTATCCGGGTGAAAATACTGCAGTTGATTTTACAAAACATGCATTAACATAATCAATGCCAAAATTCTTATAATGGTTTGCAAAAGCTATAGAGTAATTAAGAATCAAGAAGGGAAAGACTTACAGTTTCAACTAGGTGGTCTTTCGGAGGCTCGAGCATATACTTAGGGGTGCCATTTAAAACTCCCCAAATATCGAGTTTCTGAACTGCAAGCAAATTAACCTTCCAATTAAAATCACAACAAGGAAGAACAAATCAAAACCAAGACGAACTCAGTAAGAAGCTCATTCCCTAAAGCATAAAGACCAACACTTTAATTTTCTAACATATATAAAGCTACTCGATCACACCAGAGTGTTTAAGATTGTGACAAAACATTCAAATATATAAATACACGCACACACGCACAAAGAAAGAGTAATGAGAGGGACCAGGAACATACAGGAAATAGATTTCTGAGCTTCCGCGGCCTTGGCTTTTTGAATCTCAGACCTCAACTCTTTGACGATGGAGTGATCTGCTGTACTCGTTCTCTGTGCATGTTCCTCTTCCACCGCCCTAAGCTTAACAAGCCTCTGATTCAGCTCTTGTAGGGAGAACCAACCTTGATCTTTTTTTCCTTGTGGTCTATACAATCTAAGTTTCTCTCCCAATTCAAAAGGATCATAACTCTTGAAAAACTCTGATTTCATCTCCTCTGTCTCATTCCGTTGTTCTAATTCTTCAGCAAAAACTGAATATGGCAATCCTTCTCCTCCGCCGGTTACATTTGAACGGAGATTTTCACTGAATTTCGTCTTGATAGTGTTCTGTAACCCAGATAAATTGGCCCATTTGCCTTCTGTGTTGGCTTGTGGTCTCATCTGCCTTAAGTTCTCCTTTATGTTGGCTAATCCGCTCGCAAATGGCGTACCCTCGATTTTACGAGTCCCATACGAATCTCCAGATTTTGACAGCACATTCTGTTTGTAAGCATCCTGCCAATCCCTCGGCGGCGGAGCTGCTGCTCTGCTTCGGAACTCGTTGAGATTCCTCCTGATATCCTGAATTCGGCCGCCGATTTGGTTACCGGAGAGCGAAGGCGATGATGGATTTTGAGCTTTGGCATCGAATCTGAGGAACTGTCTCCTCCCGTCCTGAGGCTGACTCTGTTTCAGGCTGCTTTTGATACCACTGAAGTAGGAAGGGATCTTAACATCCGACGGCGGTGAAGATGGAGAAGACGGTGACTGAGGGTGGTGTAAGCTAGATTCGTTCCCGTCTTGGGGAGATGAGGAGGAGGAGGAGGTTGAGAAAAGGTGAATGAGAGATGGACTTGAATGTAACCTCTGTTTAGGTCTGGCGAGATGAAGCGCCATTGAAACCGATCTATGGCAGCTACAGAAGCTTTTTTTAGGGTTTTGGGTTGGTACCGAACGTCAGCAGAGAGGGTGAACGAACATGAAGCGGAGCCGTTCCGAGTCAAATGATGGACTCAATCCGGTTATCTATAAACCGGAAATTGATTCATCTGGCGATTAAGTAAACCGGTAAAGAAGAGGGGACGGGCTCTCGGGGGTTTATTTATTTATTTGCTGCTTTCGGTAAAAGTGAAAGTCAAAGTGGGAACTAAACTAAGTATCATCATCATTACTGGCTGGCTCTGAGATGAGTAAATCTTACGTTGGTGAGGTCAGAAGGTTCGATTCGCCAGTTCTTGTTGATCTGAGGCACTTTAATATTTTAACGAAGATCAAACATTATATGGTGTGACATATATTTAGGTGAAGAAATTAATAAAAGGTAGTATAGTATTTGACAGTCTATGTAGCATTTTATTCTTAAAATTTTAATGTTACATCCGTATCAATAACCAAACGAGGTGGAATTTGGATAACTTCAAGTAAAATAGCAGATGATAAGATAGTTTTAAGAATTTATGTTACCGTAAAAGTAAAAAGAACGAATACATAGACCCATGTTAACTTAACAGAGACATTGTTGATGTAATGCACGAATACATCAATGTCATAATGACACGTGTTCTTTACACTTTGGTGTTCAAACAAAAACGACTTGCAAGATTGCAACTTAATACGTGTCTCTCAACACCAAGAAATCCAAACGCTACTAGTATTATTTTGTATGCTTCTATAGGACTTTAAGACCGTGCCTTGCTTTCCCATTTTAACTTTGCAGCTTTGCAAATTCAAATCCGATCATATATTATTACCCAACATACAGTAGTTAATTACGTATTATTCTTCATAAAAGAGTTTCTTTTAAATAAGACTGCTTCCGTTATTTACCAAAGTAGAAAGTTTCCTTATTACCGTAGCATAATTGCATAAACGATGGACAGACTTAGATATTTCCATACTCGAAAGTAAGGAAGATATTGAGTAGCCATGAATGCAGAGGGTAAGAAAGAATACTACATAACATATATACAAGTTACTAATTTCAGAACTTCGAATAGAGAGAGAGGGAGAATATGTTGTAGTAGTTGTTTCTTTTACAGCTAGCTAGGTTCTTCTATTTACCTTAGCATGACATATTTCTTTTTATTCAACTCATGTTTTCCATCCATCATCTTAAACTAGTAAGAAATTAAAGAATTCTGGCAATTTCCAAACACTTTGATTCTCGTTCGTGTAAAAAAAAAATATCATATTTCTCAATTCTCATAAAATTTATATATAATATATTTTTTTTTTTTTAAGAAGAAGAAGCAATTGGCCACAAATGGTTTATGCCACGTATGTTATCAAGAGGGTCCTACACTTATCAAGAAAGAGAGAGAGAGAGAGAAAAAAAAAGAAAAAGAAAAAAAAGAGAGTTTCTATTTCGCGATCTCCCAATAAATCTAAACTGTGCAAAGAAATAAAATAAAAAAAAAAAAAAACTCAAACATATATATGGAGCTAGATTAGATATATAAATCCACCCCATTCATTACCTTTGCCACAGAGATTTCTTCCTCTCTACTTTTTCGCCACTTTCTCTCCCATCTCTCTCTCTCTCTCTCTCTCTCTAAGTTCCGACTATGTCCGGCGAAAACTGGATTCGAGTGGCCATGTCTGACGATTCGTTGGTGGCTGCGGCGCTGCTTCGGCTCCGCCACTCCGACCATAAGAAGAGCGCCGACGCCTCCTCCCCTCTGAAGCTGAAATGGAGCGTGCGTCAACGTAGATCGAAGAAAGGTGACCAGACGCGAGCTAGTCCCACCACTCCTCTTTCCTGGAGCGGTGCCACGTCTCTTAGCGGCTGTGCTACCACCGTTGATGGTCTTGAGGAGTCTAGTGCCGCCGTTAAACCCTCTGACGCTGTTAGATCTAAGGTTTGTCCCATGTTTTTTTTTTCTTTTTTCTTATGTGTGTGTATGTGACGAATATAGCCAGCCCTCAGTGATGCAGCGTTTCGCACTGCCATGTTTTTTTTTTTTCTTAAATCGTAGCTTCTTCTTTCGAATTTTTTCCCTTGGCCTTTTTATCCACATGACGAGACGTTTCTAGTTGTTCGCTTGTGGGTACTTTCGTCATTTTTGAGGATCCACGTTCGTCTTCCTCTATAAGCTGATGATCATGTTGGTACACCGACTTTTCGTTGACCAAAATACCCCCTCAGAACTCACCGTGGTTGTGGACTGGTGGGAGGACACATCTCCAATTTAGGCAATCTCATGTTTTTATTTCTTTCTTTTCCAAGCAACTGCTAAATCTATCTCTCTTCTTTTTCTTTTCTTTTTTTTTGTTGTCTTCTTGGAAACACTTGTTAGATTTCAATATAAATTCGGTGGATCTCTGCCCTTTTGCAACAAAAGAGTCACGTTTTCCCACTTTTGTGCATCTCTCTTCTCAGTCATAATCTCTCTCTCTCCGCTGCTTTACGGAAAGACCAAAAAGCCCTCACCTCAAGGGACAAAGGTCTTTTGGGTCAAATCAGCGTTGTACTTCAATGCTAAAGAGATGTCGAGAAATGACTCCGATGCTGATGCCGTTTTTAGCCCTTGTCATCGGATGAGTTCCTTCACACGATAAAAGGGTATATATGTCAATGCGAGAGATTATTATCGCTGGCGTTATAATATAAATCTCGGAGGCGTTTTCGTGGAATTGAATTTAAAGATTAGAGAGTATTGAGTGGGGATTAGGTACGTGTCTGGTAGGGTTTAGTGGAAGAGGGCAGTTATCATATGTGTCGCGGTGGACAGAATAAGTCTTATGGACTCTCTTCTTACTGGTCAAAGTCCTCTCTCAGTTGCTGCACTCCATCTGATTTGTCGTCCTTCGAAATTTTTTATTGGTGACAGTCTTACAAATGAGTTAGCCTCTGTGTGTGTTTTTTTTTTTTTACTTAAGATTCTTAAGTTGACTTTGATCGGTGGTTTATAAATTTGAAAACCAACGTAAAGTCGTCAACTAAAGGGAAAAAAAAAACAACGGAGGAATTTTTGGGTTAAATAAAAAAAGATGGAAACAGTAAGGACAAGTGGGAGGTGTGGAGAATACGTGACACTAGTTTTGGGTTGGAGGAGAGGGAAAAGCATGACGTGTGAATGTGACGCCCAAACACACACGCGTTAAAGTCTCCCAAGTCACGCTCCACTCACGTGATTCTGTTCTTTTATTTTTTCTTCTTCTAAATATTTATTTATTTTTGCTCTTCTGTTCCTTTTGCTTTTTGAGGGGCACAAGTAGTTGACCAAGAAGAAGATTCTTCTAAAATTTAACATCTCCAAGTTTTTTAGTTGTTATATTTGTCATTATGCTTATGAGGTGATTCTTTTTTCTCCACGGTATCGTGCCTTTTAAGCCTCTCTGCGATGGTAGGTGTTGTTGTGGTTTCTTTATAGAAATGATATAGTATACAAAAACTAAATTGTTTTTATGGTATTCGTTTGGTGTGATTATTGATTATTTAGTTGGCCTTATCTGGTGGTGTTGTGTGTCTTAACTCTTAAGCCATTATATTATCTAATTGTTTTTTTTTTTTTTTTTGGTGTCCAGATTTCTCAAACGAGTGCAATAACAACAACAACAACAACCACCCTTTTCAAGAGATCAAGAAAGAAAAAGGTAAACAAATTACACGAAATACACTGTTTCTTTAGTTACCGTCACTGTTTAAGATAATGTTACTAGTTATAGACCAGCCATTGAGCAATTATGATCAGGCTCATGACTTATTTTACTCTGTTGAGACTAAGCTCCGCCTAGGAATCTTTTTCTTTCTACATTTGGACGGACATGTTTTGATTCGGACCTATTTTGCTCTTAACTAATGTTTGAGTGTTGACAGACTTTGGCTGAGCTCAAAGAAGAAGAGATCATGCTCTTGAAGGAAAGTAACGGTCTGAAAAATGTATAACCTCCATTTTGGCCTTTTTTCTTTACGGCTCTACCTACATATCAAGTCCATGTTTTAATCTTTAGATTTGGTTTATTCCTTTTCTTGAATCAGGAATTGGCAAGTATGCGTGGTTTGGTTGAGCAACAAAGAGAAAGAAACAAAGCTCTAAAGAAGATGAAGGTGAGCCCATCTCTCCCCCTCTTTAGACAGTTACGCAATCAATTATATAGAGAATATAAAACATGTAACTCAAGTGGATCATATTCATATATGTATGCAGGCTGAATCACAATCTGCCTTATCTTGTAAACTCGCTTTCGGACAAGGTTCATCCTTCTTGCTCCCCGACTTAAACATGCCTATAGATAACGACCCGAGCCCTGAAGTTGTCTGTTGAAAGGCCGAGCCATAAGCATATCATTCTTTTGTTAATCCCAGCACAAAACTATACCACTATACCTCCTTCCACAAATATGTTTTTTTTTTTTTTTAACTTAACTAAATGAATATGAAGAAGGTAGATTAATCATATATATCCTTCGCCCATATCCCGTGGACGGCTGAAGAAGATTCGCCTGGAGGTGTGAAGTGGTTCGTGTTTATGGTTAAGTGGTTTCTGACATATCTTCTTCTTTAGCTGGTAGTAATATTTTTGCTCTGCCATTCTCCTAAATGAATTTTTTTTCTTTTCTTTCTCCCATTTTCGTAGGATGAGATGTATCTACATATAGATAATAGATGTACACTTTGTTCTTTTTTCTTTCTATTATCTCTCGGGCAAGAAAGATGTGTTGTAAAATTACATCGACTTTTATAATCAATGTAACACGTTACAAAACATTTTACTAGTACTATTTTGTAATTCTCATCGATGAACTATAAATTATGTTTTGTCTCTGAGGCTGCATCCATCATATCTTATTCTCTTCGTTATAAATAGCTTTTGCTAATTTCAGTTTACAGTGCTACTCACTCAAAACGCATTTATAACTTTATCAGAGTTAAATAATACATAACAATCTCGTTATATGCTAAAACCCTAAGATTATAAGCTCAGCTACAAAAGTCTTAAACGACTCTTTATTGTCGGGACGCAGAACAAAAGTGAAAATGGCGTCTCTAGGCCAAATCACCCTGCCACGCGCGCCGTCATCGGAGATTGGCCTCTTACGGCGTGGATTGGATCGGCCGAGTATCAGAAGCCGAATCGGATTCAATGGTGGGATTGGGAGCGTATTGAGAAACGCAGGGGAGCAAGCAGGGGTGTGGGCAAAAGCGAGTGTGAGCGAGAAGGTGATGGAAGAGGAGGGCAAAGTCCTCGTGGGTACCTACGCGCGTGCTCCGGTGGTGCTCTCAAGTGGGAAAGGTTGTAAATTGTTTGACCCAGAAGGGAAAGAGTATCTTGATTGTGCATCTGGGATTGCTGTGAATGCTCTTGGCCATGGAGATCCTGATTGGCTTCGAGCTGTCACCGAACAAGCTGGTCTTCTTGCCCATGTCAGCAATGTCTATTACACCATACCTCAGGTATATAGAGATTCATTTCTGCATTTGTCATTTTCATTCTATTGATCGATGGTTGTTCTTTTAGTATCTTTTAATTTACTGGATCGTAAGATTGTTTATGACAAGTACTTGTACCCTGATATTTTTATAAAATTGGATTGATTTTATGCCCTTCCTTGAGAAACTTCTTTTCTGCTTCCGATTTCCTTTAGTTTTCGGGCTTAGGACCAGTGAACATGCTTATCGACATATTGGTGCCTATCCGTCTGCTTCACTGGTTAATATTATATCCTACTTACACTTGGTTCTCGCTCTGTAGATGAGTTTCATGCTTTTTAGTTTTGTTTTCCAGCCATTGAGAGTGTTTAAGGATGATGATAGTATAGGACAAGTTAGTATTCACGCCAGTAAAACTTTAGTGGTAGGATAGAAAAATTATGTGGCGTTTGCTGATCTTGACAATGCTTGAATTTCCTCTGGAAATCCTCACACCAATTCTCACTGCTATTTCAAATCAAAGTATCAGCAAACGTCTAGACATTGCTAATTTTTACATTTGAGAAGATTTTGACATCAATGTAAAATGTGAGTGTATCTTCACTCTCGTACATAATACTTCATATATTATTCTTTTTTGCCATCAATATAAGTATATTACTTCATACACATTGCTAATCTAAAAAAAAAAATTTACTTCTTCGCAGATTGAGCTCGCGAAACGCTTGGTGGCAAGTTCTTTCGCAGACCGGGTATTCTTTTGTAACTCTGGAACAGAAGCCAACGAAGCAGCCATCAAGTTTTCGAGAAAGTTTCAGAGATTCACCCATCCCGAAAACAAAGAAGTCGCGACAGGCTTCATCGCCTTTACAAACAGCTTCCATGGTAGAACCTTAGGAGCTCTTGCCTTGACAAGCAAAGAACAATACAGAACTCCTTTCGAACCCATCATGCCAGGTGTAACATTCTTGGAATACGGTAACATTCAAACGGCCACTGACCTTATCCGCTCAGGTAAAATAGCTGCAGTGTTTGTGGAACCTATTCAAGGAGAAGGAGGGATCTACTCTGCTACAAAAGAGTTTCTTCAATCTCTGCGCACTGCTTGTGATGCTGCTGGATCTCTTCTCGTCTTCGATGAGGTATATACTCTACATTTCCTCGGAAATCCATCCCAAATATTCTTCTTTTGTTTCTACTTTTGCAGTTTTCCAATTGGTTCTGCCTCAACTGGCTCATTCCGCAGGTACAATGTGGTTTGGGTCGAACGGGTCTCATGTGGGCTTATGAAGCATTCGGTGTAACTCCTGACATAATGACGGTTGCAAAACCTTTAGCTGGTGGTTTACCTATTGGAGCGGTGCTTGTGACTGAAAAAGTTGCAGAGACCATAAACTACGGAGATCATGGAAGTACATTTGCAGGCAACCCTCTTGTGTGCAATGCAGCAATTGCAGTTCTTGATAAAGTATCGAATCCCTCTTTCTTGTCCAGTGTCTCAAGTAAAGGTCGATACTTTAAAGACCTGTTGGTGAAGAAACTTGGAGGAAACTCACACGTGAAGGAAGTGAGAGGTGAAGGGCTTATCATAGGAGTGGAACTCGATGTGCCGGCAAATTCACTGGTCGATGCTTGCCGAGATTCGGGTCTTCTGATTTTGACAGCAGGGAAAGGAAATGTCGTCAGGATTGTTCCTCCGTTGGTTATATCAGAAGAGGAAATCGAACGTGCGGTTGAGATCATGTGCCAAAATTTGACTGCGCTTGATTAAGTGAGACTCTTGTAAGAGAAATGATGTGGGATTGAAGAACAACAAATGTTTCATATTCGATCTTGTCTTAAATTAGCCTCAAGTGTACCGGTAAATGCTCTGCAAAATTGAAAAGAGATAAAATTTGAAAGACAATTAATGGACTAATTGGCGTTTCAATCTAAATCCTTCTGTATTTTCCTTGCTTGGTTCGACGATGTTGCAATCACGATTGTTTCTGTCTTGAGCTACAGTATGCTGGTTCTGATCGCTGCGTGAATTTTACCAGACACAGTGGTAGTTAGCGATGCTACATCAGCCGATCAGCGTATGGTTGTAGCCAAGTATCCTATTTCATTTATATCCTAGCAATCTACTAAAGCTAATAACAAGTTCCCAAGTTTCAGACCTATGGTTACACTATTCATCAAAACGATACTGATCCCATGATGTATGCAGCAAGCTTCTATATCATAGGTTAATAATATATGACTCAACAATTCATATTTTATAAAGACACTGGAGCTTTAGTCAGTTTCATATAATTCTAGACCAATGTAAAGTCATGTTTCAAAAGTAAAACAAACGGACAACTAGGATTTATGTCCAACGGACCAAGATTATATATGGCCTCTTGTTTCGTTTCACCAACAGCCAAACACAACAACAACAAAAAACCATACAAAGCTAATGAAAACAAAACAGAGCTACTTAAATCACTTGCTAACAGAGCCCTAAACTCAACTTCAAATCAAGCTCTAAACCCATTTTGCCAAGCTTATTAAAAGGACGAGTCACATTTCCATGACGACTAGTAGAAGAAGCTATGATATTGGCATCAGCGAACAGTTGTGCAACTGATGTGACGTGAACACACTTGCTCGGATTCTCTGTTTTCTTCGTCTTCTTCTTCCTCCTCCTATTCTCCTCCGACTGAGTCTGAGCTGCTATCTGCTCCTCCGGAATCACGAAGTTGGTCTTGGCTTTCGTCCCTCTCAGCCTCCTCGCCGCCGCGTCATACGCACGCGCAGCCTCCTCCGCCGTATCGAACGTTCCTAACCAGTGTCTGCACCGCCCTATCCTGTCTCTTATCTCCGCCGACCATCTGCCCCACGGCCGTTTTCTCACTCCCATGAATCCTCCGTTCTTCTGCGACATCTTCCGCCACGGCTTCACGCCACCGCCTTGGGTAACCGTGGCGGGGAATTTGTCGCCGAAGAGAACGTTTTCGCCTACCACGGCGGCGATGGAGTCGTCCATAACCCGAGGAGAGCTGTGGAGTTCTGGTATTGGGTTAGAAGAGAAAAGAGAAGAGATATCGAATGAAGTGGTGGCTTCGTTGAAAGGTTCTTTCGTTGCCGTTCCAAAGAAGCTTTGAGGGGTTTCAAGCATGGAGCTTAACGGAACGGAATATTTGAGAAGGTGACCGTCAAAGGTGTTTTCCATTTTTCTTTCTTATGGCAACAAAAAATAATATTTTGTCTTCTCCTTTGCCATCTTTTTATAGCGGAAAATAAAGATCATCTATTTAAATTAATTTATTTTATTCAGAAATTATTAGACTGTTTTATTTTTCATCTATTTATTAGAATATTTAAATTTTACTACTCTAATTAATTAATAGTATATCGGAGGGGGAAAATATGTACAGCAATATGAAAAGAAAAGATTATGGTAAAAGATATGTTTGTTTAGTGAGAGATAATTAAAAGATACTGCACGTCAATTTCGATTAGACGGTAAAATCTTTCACATTTATGCTCACCTGTCTTTTGCAGTGCCAATATATGAAGTTTGTACCTTCTTTTCTTTTTTCGATAGAGGAAGACACAAACTTTTCAACTTTTCTTTTTAAAATCTTCTTCTTTCCTTTTAATTCTTCTTAGAACAACTTATTGATGAAGTAAGTGACATGGACCACATACAAGAACAAGGAAATAATGAAACAATTTTGATCCTCCTAGTAGGCTTTAGACTTACACAGTTAGCATACATCTTTGTTTTATATATAACTATGCAAAGGTAAGCATAGTCTTGAAAAAACACACTAGGAATTAGGAATGAAGGATAATTAGAAAGATTTATGAATGACCGAAATTTCTAGAACAAAAAAGAAAAATTGAGCTTAGAAATGATGAAGAGTACGTTCGTTCGGGTTACTTAATAATATTACCGACAGAAGATCTTGTAAGTGTGTCAGATGAAGTCAGAGTCAAGTTGGAACAGAGAGAGAGGATCTTTAAACTGATCAAACAAGTGTACTTTGCCTTTGGACGTGGCGATAACAAATTGCGAGATATGGAAAAATCTTCAGAAATGACTTAGCTCATGCTCTCATGGATTAGAAAGATATCAGTCAAAAACCATTTTGTAACGTTTCTCTTTTATTATGTATGACGCTATATTTATTTATTTAACCCGTCATTACATTTACAGAGTCCCTAATAATTAAACAACATTACGACGTCATCCAAGGAGCCTACTACACACCCGCATGACGCCATCTTAAACTCAGATCGACACACACGACGTCATCCCCACGAGGCCATTCTGACACCAAATACCCGTAGTAGGGCAAATAATTATAACAATGCGCTCTGTCTCAATACATCCATGACAAGTCTTGCCTGAAAGACACAGACGTTGCAGCACCGTGAACACCTCTTCTAGACACCTGAGGACAGTCTTCCACCACAAGCAACTCCAGCTTCTGAGATCCAACAAGTGGTCTCAGTCCCTCGTCTGTAACTCCAAGACATTTTGATAGCTTCAACACTCTGAGACATGGAATCTGGCTCGCCAGAATCATACCCTCGTCGCTCACTTCCTGGCAGTGGACAAGCTCCAATATCTCTAGATTCTGAGCTCTACATAGAGCCTCCATCCCTATGTCGTTGAACGAACACACGTGGTCAAGTGAAAGCTCTCGAATCGGGCATTTCTCCACCAGAGCGACTATCCCCTGGACGGTGAAAGAGAAGAGCGAAGGGAATTCCCCGTCCGAGAAAGAGATCTTGAAACGTTCGAGCTTCGAGCAGTGTTCAGATATGGCACTGAGGCTTTCATCGGTTAGCCTTATGGTGATGTTGTTTAAGAGAGGCAGAGTGAAATCCGATGGCACACGAAGTGAAATGCTTCTGAGGCGTTTGGCTTTCTGGACCAATGCTATGATGTCTGAGTCGCTGACACCGATACACATGTCCAGATGAAGCTTCTCCAGGTTATTGCAATTTCTAAGCACACAAGCGAGCCCTCGACCGGGAGCTATGATGCAATTCCCAAGGCTGAGCTCCACCAAACTGTCACAAGGAACCAATTGTCTCGGCCACCGCTCCACAGCTACTTGATCATAAACCTTCATGTACCTGTAGTTGGCATCTACCTCAAAGTGCAGACTTCGAAGCTTTCTCCAGCTATTCCTCAGCTTGATTAAATCACCTTCCCCAATCGCTCTGCAGTTCTTGATGCAGAGTTCTTCTAAAGTCTCAAGCTTTCCGAAATAGTCCAGCCACTCCACGCTTGCAACGTTAAGGCATCGAATGAGGTGAAGCCTCCTGAGTTTCTTGCAGCCTACAGCGAGTGACAATACACCACAACCAGTGATCCTGGGAGCGAAATGTAACACTAACGAAGAAAGGCTTGTACAGGATGACAAATGGCGAATGCCAACATCGGTGATGAAGGTGCAGTAGCTAAGAGTGAGATGAGTGAGACAAGGGCAGTTAGTGGTGAGGACAAGAAGGCCTTGATCGTCAAGTTGTTTGCCCAGTTTTGACATCCAGCCTGAGTAAATGATGTCAACTTTGGAGAGATTTGGAAACCTCCTGCAGAGAGAAAGCAATGCATCGGTGGCAGGAACTAAACCGCAACCGATCCGTAGAGAGTATCTTTGCTCGTTGTCAAGTGAATAGAAACGCCTGCACGAGAGGGAAACAGAGTTTCTGTCATTCGTTTTCTGAAGCTTCCTCAGAATGTCCCAAACCAAATGGTCTGGCAACTCATCCATTGTTGTCTCTCTATCTGTGAACAAAACAAAAAGATGAAAGCATATGTCAAGTGAGAAAGTCATTCTAACAATGAAAAGACATAACATTACAGAGATTACGAAGAACAACAAAAGGCGTTTGAACCGTACTCAAAAAGTTAAACTTGCAGAGACAAAAAATAAGAACAAAATAAGCAGAGAACAGAGGAAAAACGCATCAGAGATGTCTAATTATAGACGATTCCAAAAGCAGAGATTAGATTCCTTACCGAACATCAACACAACTCTAGATAAACAAAAAAATTCGCATCCTTGATTAATCTACAAGCACTCGTCTTGTTACAAAACACATCCAAAAGAAAAATCACAGGAAAAAGATCTCACCAGAAGAACTTGATCAGAAGAGAAGAAGAATTCCAGACATGAGACAACAATCAAAAAGGCTACGGTTTGACTTTTTAATTTTAACTCAGCAGAGAACCAAACCCATCTTTTTCTTTAATTCCCCCACTCGGTGTCGGATAAGGACCACGGGGGAGATATCATCTTCTTCTTTTTTTATGGGTCTTTTGAGTTTCTATAAGGCCCATTTGTTGTCGGTTTTTCGGCCTATAAATAATTCACGTGATTCGTTGGTTTAGGGAAATCACCTCTTTTGTCTGAAATATTTGGGCCTATGGTTATATGAAAACTAAGTTCTCTATAGTCCAATGGGCTGTATATAAGGTAGCCCAAACGTTAGACGCGTGTTTGTTCAGCCGATAACTACCCACTCGCAGAGTGAGCACGTAGACGCCACCTCCCCCAAAATCCTTGGACTAGAACATGCGGAAAAAAATATAATTGCTCTTTTTCGTATACAAAAAACTTGGCGCAAGATTATATTACTGGCTTATCCAGGAAGTTTATCTCCGTTTTATTAGCCATTACAATTAAGATAATTGTACAAATTTAATAACAGATCAATGGATATTTTTTTCTAATAATGTTAATATTCATTTCACAATGAAAATATATGTTACATAATTAAGTATAACCAAATAATGGTCTCATGCCAAAGAAAAGTAAAAAATATGGAAGCATACAACATTCTTGAACCAAATCATTATTTCTCGTCAAAGACGACGATTTAGAACAAGATAAGAAGAATCCCTAAAGTGAACTAGTAAAGGAAAGAACACGAAGACAGCACAATAAAGATCACAAGTCACCATAAAGCAAGATGGTAGTCCTTTCACCAGTAATCCGAACTTAGCAAAGAGCTGGGGAATTACCCAGCTTAATGTGTTAGGCAATGCTCTCTCACTCTTTAGGAGGAGTACAGAGCCTGGCAACATCTTAACCACGAAAAGCCATACTAACACCACCACGCGCTAAAACAGTCACTTCTTCAAGCAAAGTCATTTGTGAGACTTTTAATGAACTTTAATATTACCAAGATTGAATTCAGTCCAAAACATTTTTTTGTAAGACTTTTGCTTCAAATAACTTTTCGCTACAATTTCTCGCGTCAGGTTCCAAATTTTTTACAAATTCTCAATCTAATAATATATGCGCTAAACAACTCATCAAGGCTTCAACGATATGCATAGTGAGTTATGGCATTCCAGAAAAGGTCCAAAGGGTAACGAATATAGTTCCATAAGCCTGCCTAATACAGTAACCCCAACAGTTCTGTCGTTAGTTAAATTTACACATTCACCGCTGTTAGATTGGTTCAACCTTTTAGTCTCTAGCCTATGTGACATTTGTTTCCAGAAATTGGAGTATAATCTTCATCTAATCCCCTCATCTGTTACTCTTCTTTTTACTTGCATTCCCAGTCCCAGACCCAGAGGTATTAGTAGGTATGGGCAAAACGGTACCATCCTTGACCTCTTTCGTCTCTGAGACCTCACTCTCACCATCCATTTGGGCCATTAGTTTTCCAAGCTGGGAGTGTGACCAACAGAGTTAGCCAGTGTTTTATTATATAACAAAATATGGTAGGTTGTATTATCTACTATATGTTTCTTTACCTGTTCTTCTAATCCCTGAATCTTTTCATCCTTTGCCCGAACTGCCTTTGTCTCCCTATATCAAAGCAAAGTTTCCATCAATGAAAAATTGAGTCTAATCTCACAAGCTAGAATATGGATTATTTCCCATGAGGAGACTTGCTGGATAGATCAATACCTTTCCTCCATTTCTGTAATCTTTGTGCTCCATATGTCTCTATTTTTCACAAGATTTTCGTTCAACTACATATGAGAAAACAACAAGTTAATCCTCCACCTAAATTTAATTAGATGTTGCTTTGTAAATATGCTATCAAGAAAAACTTTCAAAACGAAAACTAGATACTCACATCTTCAAGAAATTGCTTCTCTTTGATACATCTGTCAAACCTGGTTTGCAGTTTCTGCAGTCTCTGGCTTATTGCCTTGCTCCCAGCTTCTGAGACTTTATGTTCGGTTTCCTCTTTGACATTTTGTAGCAACTTTTCAAAATACTAACAGCCGACGAAAATATAAAAAGAAAACCACGAAAGAAATTCTTAATCCCTTTGGTAAACAATTAATACTTAAATAATGTGAATCAGACAATGAAAACTTCAAAAGACTAGTAGGTGCTTACTTGTTTTTGATTCTCTAGTTGTGCCTGGAGAAGTTCGTTGTACTCACTAATGATCTGTGGTGTGAAAAAAGAAAAATGACGAGGCACTAAATTAACTTAAGAATACAAAAATTGAACATGAGAATTATGAAAACATGAAACACAACCACTACCATGTCCACTTTGCTGTTCAACAGAGCATCAGTCATTCCACTGTCAGAATATTCACAGCTTCCACAACCATCCTTGCTTAGACTACCATGAGAATTCAACTCAACTAGCTTGCCATCAGTTTTGGATTGAATAAGCCGGTGAACATAATTGTCACCAGCATAATCCCAAACACGTTGTGTTTCAAGCTCAAGTGAATAGCAATGCTCTGTCTCCTCCCAGTGCCTTCTGGCATGTCCTCCCTTGTACCTATGGAAAGTATTTAACAAAGAGAAATGGTTAACTTTGGACAGACGAGAATAAAACATGTCTCCATGCTGATTGCAGGAAATGCAGTCCATACCTTCCGCAGCCAACAACCCCACAAATAACACACATCCAGAGATTCTCCGTTGTTTGGCAAACACAACATACTGAATTTTCAGGTTGCTGTTGGCAATATCGACAAACCTGTACACAACACCCATAAAGATACGAAAAAGAAATTGAATCTTACTAGGCAAATTTTTTTTTTTCAAAGCATGAAAATGATAAACGAATCTTACTGGGCAAGAAGAATCTGGCCAATTACTAATACATGAACAATGGAAGGAATGATTGCACATGGTTGTGAGAATGCCACCTGTGTCTTGGTCCAACCTCTCTGAAACATGAGCATATATTAATATAGAGATACTGCCAATCTTAATATCAATGCCTATGTTTACACTTTCTAGAGCTAGGCTAAGCCATATCTTTGCATAAATTTGAATAATTCAGGTTAAGAATTTACCAAGACAAACTGGGCAAGTAGGTTGCTCTATTGGGCCAGCAGCAGAAGGCTGTGTATGGTCAATGGATCCACTATAACCGGTAAACTGAACATCTAGAGTAAAAAGCAGGCGACAGACATCTTCCTGTACAAAGTTAGCAGCACCTAATCAACCACAGAGATACAGTTGATTTCATATTCAATGTAAAAATATTGACTATCTCAAACAAAACCAAACCTCCAGAGAATTGAATTGTTTCCCTCTAAAATGCTGGTAGAATGTATCGGTAGATTCCTGACTATCAAACCTTATCAAAATGCTGTATCTATTTTCAATGCCATCATTCCTGTAAAGAACAAAAGCCAGAAAGCAAACTAAATCCTCAACTCCCCATCCACAAGTAAACAGTTCAGGACGAAGTAGAACACAGTTTTTGGTGAGCACTTTCTCACTCTTCTATCATTCCAGAAACCAGATAAAAATCACAATCTAGCAAAAGGATCTACAGTGTCACTAAGAGAATTTGATTTCCCTTTTTTTTTTACCTGACGGTTCGCATCTCCAATATGTGCTGAATGAAAGAGCCGCAGAACTGGCAAAAATCTGCATATGTCATATGGTTGGGCACCCCAAGAACGCAAACGAGAGGGTTCCTTCCAATCTAAAGGACAACAAAACTATCGCAGATTCAAACATATAATTCCGGTGGAAAAATGGACGCAATCAAACGGAAGACTGATTCGAATCTTACAGGTAGATTCGAGGAGGAGGAAAAAGACGACGAATCGGCATCGTCGGAAAATAGATGCATTACGCCGCGAGTCTCGCCGATTCTAGGGTTTCCAGAGGAAAAATGAACTGTCTGAGTCATATCGGAGAGTGACGATTCACCGGAAACACTTGCAACCGGCGGTGGTACAATCGATTCTTCACCGGCGATAATGGTTGAAGTTGAAGGTATCATTTAGTCTTGCCGCCAAAAAAACAAGACGAGAGTTTCGTGCTTTTACTTACTGCGCGTCGTAACGGAGGGAGATCTCTCGCACTTCTAATATACTCCAGAGAGATCTCTCACACGTCATTAACTCCACCAGGATATTTGATAAGTACAGAAATAGCAGATCGGTGAAGACGATGAACATTCTATAAACTTGCTCTAAAGACGAAGCTAGACTTAAATACAACTCTTCACTAACAGGCTTAAAATTAACTAGTCCCCTTATTCATTTAAGCCCACTAAGGCCCAATGCTCATTATCCCGATCATAACAATATTTAATTTTCAGGCAAAAAAAAAAAAACACACCAACGTTTCAATGCTATCAAATAAATCCCTCTTCTAGTCATAATAATTTAATATTTTAACATCACAGAAAATTTTGCTGATGAAACACTCTCGGCGTACAACATTTATTGTTGGAAATAAACAATCACTCCAAGTTATGAACTCGTCGAGCTTTCTACAGATGGTTAAACAGAAGCTGGCACTTGGGAGTCTACCGACTTCAGAACCTCCTCTCCCATCTCCTTGCAGCCCACCAGTTTCTGATCAAAATGACAAAAACATTAGTACTGTTCGTTGTGTTGCCTGCTTGTTTAAACGTTTCCTACACCCTGGACGTTTTACAGGAAAAAGAAACATGTTAAAGGAGTGGTTCAATAAACATACAGTTCCTGCAGAGTAAATGTCACCAGTTCTGAACCCATTGTTCAGAGCAACCAACACTGCGTCTTCAATTCTCTTGGCTGCCTTTTCTTCTCCAAGTCCGTATTTCAGAAGCATTGCAGCACTGAGAATGGTTGCCAATGGGTTTGCCTTATCCTGAAATTTCGAAGAATGGACAATATTGTGCTCTTTATTGTTGGCACAGAAGTAGTTTTGAAATCAGGGAAGAAAAGCCTTCTTTGTTTTAAGATTAGAGTTAGAACCTGTCCCGCAATATCAGGTGCAGAACCATGTATAGGTTCAAAGAGTCCAGGTCCCTGTATTAGACATGGCAGGTTTATGTTCAGATTGGATCATACTGCTGCATACTCAAAAATCAGATATTACTTTATATCATACCGAATCACTAAGACTAGCAGATGGCAGCATTCCAATGCTTCCTGTGATCATTGAAGCTTCATCGGATAATATATCACCAAAAATGTTGTTTGTCACCATAGTGTCAAACTGCATTTATGAAACAATCAAATCATGGTAAGGATTAACACACGTCCCACATCAAAGCGCTATCAAGGCTGACTAGTTTGGCAAATACAGGTACCTGTTTTGGGTCACGAACAAGCTGCATCGCGGCATTGTCAACATACATATGTGAAAGCTCAACATCAGGATATTCAGAGGCTAATGCTGTCACTCGTTTCCTCCATAAAATTGAGGCCTGCATAGAAGAAAATCACATTAGCTCAGGTGTTATATGTGTTCCACAGGAATCAGGAGAGATGAAAACAAGTCAAAGAAAAATGTAATTATCAACCGTACTTCCAAGACATTAGCTTTGTCGACTGAGCACAGCTTGCCACGCCGTTTCCGAGCGGTCTCGAAGGCAACACGAGCAATTCTATCAATCTGAGGAAAATAAGAAATGCTTTATTAGATTTGTCTGTAGTACTTAACAATCAGTCCGCGGGAATCTTTATCTGAGATTTTCAATAGTGTACCTCGTGAGCAGCATAAACCTCAGTATTAAACCCAACTTCCTCGCCATTTTCATTGGTCTTTATGCCCCTTGGCTCTCCAAAGTAAATACCTGTTACCATGAGGCAGATATTTAAAGATACTGTCCCACTAAAGAACGAGAAAGACAAGAATGACGATCAGTTTTAATAAAGTAATTAAACTGACCTCCTGTAAGCTCCCTCACAACCATTAGATCAACACCTTCTGCTACCTCTCTCTTTAAGGTGGAAGCATCCACTAACTGTACAAAAAGCAATAATTTGAGTTTCACACAAGAAACAAAAGGCAGACTACCAAGAATTTTCTGAGGCTGATTACCTGCGGCAGAACTGTAGCAGGTCTAAGATTTGCAAAGACTTTGAGACATGCACGAAGCTGAAGTAACCCCTTCTCAGGCCTCAGATGTTTTTCATTGTTATCCCATTTGTACCTTAAATTATACAAACATGAAAATATGAAAAACTGTATTTCCCAACCAAAATTTAGGGCCAACAAAAGACCAGAGAGAAGACATACCCTCCAATGGCTCCAAGAAGCACTGCATCTGATTCTTTTGCAGCTGAGATGGTCTCCTCTGGCAAGGGCACTCCGACCAAATCCAAAGCAGCTCCTCCAATGGGCATCTCCCGGAAGCTAAATTCCACTCCTGACACAGAGCACATACTCAATTTAAACCTTCGATTACATCCAAATAAACCCCACCCACGATTTCAAAATCTTGCTTTCAAAAGAAGAATCTCGCCAATTACTAATATTCACATCTTTCAATTCGACAAGTACCACTAATTCCAATTCCAAGCAGAAAACAGTAACGTCTCCAGAATGAAATTAAACAGCAACAACGATAAAACCATAGAAGGAAAGGGAACAAGAGAGAGAACCTTCCAAAGATCCAGCTTGTTGAAGCACATTCTTGGCAATAGAGACAACCTCCGGACCGATGCCGTCACCGGGAAGGAGAGTGATGTTGTAACGTTTATTCCCAGGGGAAGCAACGGCGCATCTTACTCTAAAGGGTGCGGAAGATTGTTCGGAGAGAGCTCTGAACGTAGCCGGCACCTTGACCGGCCGGATATTCGTCTGCAGCGCCGCCGCCATTTCAGGGAGAAAGGATTGGTCTTTCTTTCGTCTCTCTTTTTGGTCTTATTTAGGATTTTTTTTTCCGGATTTTGAAACTCTGCAGGTACCTCTGAATTCTGATATAGTAGTAGTAGTGACTAGTGTAGTACAGTAAGACTTTAGGTCTTTGCATTTACGGGTCCTTTTTGCACATTGTTTTGTTTTCACAAATGACCCCAAAAGTTTTTAATTTTGTAACTGACACCTTTTATTACCACATGCAACAATTATATCCATTTAGTAGCAGATTGTAGAGAAGAAGGCCTCATCCTAGAAATACACTCTTCAAGTGCAGCTTCTCATTTTCTCTCAAGTCTCAACAGCGATCTTAGGAACATGTATACACTTCAACAATTTATCAGACAGAAACAAACATTGATTTTCTCAATGGCACTCTCTGAAATTTGTTTATCGTTTTTGCAGCTAAACCAAGCTTTTAGTCGAAGCAGAGACTTTAGCATCAAGGGATCTCAATATCTCCTCTCCCATTCTCCTGCAACCTACGCACGTCTGTCCAAAATCCAAATTCTCGTCATAAATGTAACATTTAGTTCGATTTTGCCAAGAGAAGAGGAGAAGAAAGGGCAGCTTACAGTTCCAGGTGTGTGAATGTCACGAGTTCTGAATCCACGGTCCAAGACATCACAAACTGCTTCTTCTATTCGCTTTGCTGCATTTTCTTCTTTCAACCCATATCTCAAAAGCATGGCAGCTGATAGTACAGCTGCCATGGGGTTCACTGTGTCCTGCAATCCATAATGTCAGCATGTTTATATACACATGAGTGGTTTAGCGTGCACTTTCATATATATATATGAAGATCGAGAGGCAACCTTTCCGTAGTGTTTAGGTGCAGATCCATGCACAGGTTCGAAGATTCCAGGCCCCTGTATTTACCAGAATATGAGAAATCCAACAATCTTTTTTCAAGAAATTGATATTCCTATAAAGGACAAAAAAAAAGAAAAAAGAAGAAGATTTGAAGCATACTGAATCACCAAGGGCAGCGGATGGAAGCAATCCTACACTTCCCGGGATCATAGCCGCGAGATCAGAAAGAATATCACCAAACATGACCCCAGTCAGAATGGTATCGAACTGGAACATCACAAAGTGAAATTGCATTTTCTAAGAATCATTGCAGTCAAGACATGAGGAGCTAGAAAAAGTGTTCCAAATTGGACTGGCTTTACGAAATGAAAACCTGTCTTGGGTGCCGAACAAGATCCATCGCAGCAGTGTCAATCAGCAGATGACTCACTTCAACCTCAGGATACTCTGAAGCCATTGATGTTACTCTTTTCCTCCACAACATTGATCCCTGCACCCGAAGAAAATTCAGGAAAAAGTAATGGATTATGGATTTATTTCATCATTTTCAAATTCAGCTGGAAGTTTTCAAGAGTTTACCTCCAAGATAGTAGCCTTGTCAACAGAACAAAGTTTGCCACGTCTTTGCTTAGCAATATTAAATGCAACGCGAGCAATGTGATCAACCTAAGCAGAATCAGAAACAAGAATGGTATTGAGCAACTATTACATTAACCAGACCTCAAATACCTTTCCAGCAAGATTAAAATACTGCAACTGCGAAAATATGATACCTCACTTGCAGAGTAGGACTCAGTACAAAATCCAATTTCTTCACCTTGTTCATTTGTGGTAAAACCCCGAGGATGCGCATTGTAAATACCTGTATTCAGCAAAGAAAGACTTAATCTTTGATAACCAAAATTATAAAAGCGATAAAGAACCAAATTTATATTTCAAAGTGAATCACTGACCCCCAGTAAGCTCGCGGATGATCAAAAGGTCAACCCCTTCAGCTGTTTCTTTTCTTAGATATGTCGAATTAACCAACTAAGGCATATAAAAAGTCCACAGACTTTATGAAGTTAAAGGCTTTGATGAACATAAGCAATGATCTGTGTGAGAGATTAGGTACCTGTGGTAACACTGTGATGGGTCTTAAATTGGCAAATACTTCAAGAGCCGCACGGAGCTGCAACAAAGCCGTTATTGGCTTCAAATGCTTCGGATTGTTATCCCATTTCGGCCTTCAAATACAAAAAGTCCTAATTTCAGATGAATCCAAAATACAAATATGGTATATAAGTGAAGAAAAGGAATTTAGAATGAAAGTTCCGGTTATACCATACCATCCAACAGCTCCGAGAAGAACAGCGTCTGATTGCTTTGCCCTTGTCAATGTTTCCCCAGGTAATGGGACTCCGACGAGATCTAAAGCAACGCCTCCTATAGGCAACTCCTCGAAGCTAAAATATATCCCTGATATGTGTAGAGGGAGCAAGAACTTAAAAAAGATCATCACTGTGAAATTTAAATCTCCACGATTTCAGTTCGAAAATCAGATAAAATGGGCAAAAGAATGAGAAAGAAGGAACCTTCAAGAGACCCAGCTAAACGAAGAACTTCCACAGCGACTGGGATGACTTCGTTGCCGATACCATCGCCGGGAAGCACCGCGATAGTGTACCGTTTCTTCGGAGTGTTGGCGGCACATCTGATCAGACACACCCCCCTAAAGTTATGTTTGGTGGCGGATGCAAACGCAAACGGATTCTGGGTACTGCCGACGTGGAATCCTCGAACTCCCGTCATTTACTAGGGGGGCTATACAACAAAGACTTTGTATCTCTTCCTACAAGGAGACCTAAGAAGCTACAGAAACCAGTTCAAAGACAATTGTCCTAACACTGAAGCAAACATCGTAACCAAAATATTAAATAAGCGCTTACATGGTTGATTCTGCGTATCGTGTTAAGCCGCTTAGACTTGTAATCCTCTCATCCACATCGCATATTGGTTGTTTTACCTGTAACTAAAGCCTCAAAGCCTAAAGCATCCTTCAGAACAAAAAGGATTTTAGAGTTCAAATTGCAGAGCTGTTCGCCTGTTCCTGTATATAGCAAAAACCAATTGAGCTGAAACATGATAACTTCTGGAATCGAGATAATAAATAGTCAATTTGGCCATGCTTAAAACGGTAAAACTATATGCAACAAGTAGTAGAAGAAGCTGACATTCATGTATTGGCAATTACTTACAGCGGATAAGTGTTGTCGAGAGTCCCACAGGCACTTTTTTAACGAAAAAGGAAAACAACAACACTTTTTTCCTTTTTCTTAAAACCACGCGCTTCACGCGCACTTATCAAATAAGGAAACTATGGTAATGGACATCTGAAACAAAAGTTTTTATTGTTAAAGAAATTTAAAAAATCATTATAACCAAACTTTTTAAACCGTTCTATGTTATACGTTTTTTTGGGCTCAGAGAGGCTCAATTATGGGCCTCTAAGAAGAGAGATCGGCCCAATTTTCTAAATATTTAAAACTCCAAATCTAATGGGTGATCTGTCGGGTCAAAAACTTGAGTGCGGTGACCTACCGGAGGGTATTCCGGGTCATAATTCGCCCGTTTGTTAATTGCTGTTAGTCGGTAAATGAACCCCAATTCCGCCAATGCTACTGTTGCGGCGATTCAATGGAGTTCGGATTACTTCTGCTGGCTCCGTTCGGCTTCTATCTGTAAAACCCATTGCCAGTGTTGATGATGCGAATCTTCGATGTCAGGAAGAGGATCAGTCCAGTTACGATCAGAAAGCAGTATGCGAAGCGCTCTCCTGTTACAGCAACGATTGGCAAAAGGCGTTGGAGTTTTTCAACTGGGTCGAGAAAGAATCCGGATTCAGACATACCACCGAGACATTTAATCGGATGATTGATATTCTGGGTAAGTATTTCGAGTTCGACGCTTCTTGGGGTTTGATAAACCGGATGATTGGAATGCCTCAATCTCTGCCGAATCACGTTACGTTTCGTATAGTCTTCAAGCGTTATGTTACGGCTCATCTTGTCCAGGAAGCTATTGATGCGTATGATAAATTGGATGATTTCAATTTGAGGGATGAAACATCTTTCTATAATCTGGTCGATGCGCTCTGCGAGCATAAACATGTGGTTGAAGCTGAGGAGCTTTGTTTTGGGAAGAATGTGATTGCTAATGCTTTTAGTCTTAGTAATACTAAGATTCACAATCTGATTCTTCGCGGGTGGTCCAAATTGGGATGGTGGGGTAAATGCAAGGAGTTTTGGGAGAAGATGGACACTGAAGGTGTTGCAAAGGATTTGTTTTCGTATTCTATTTACATGGATATCATGTGCAAGAGTGGTAAACCATGGAAAGCTGTGAGATTGTATAAGGAAATGAGGAGTAGAGGGATAAAGCTCGATGTGGTTGCGTATAACACTGTGATTCGCGCCATTGGAGCGTCGCAAGGTGTTGAGTTTGGTATCAGGGTGTTTCGCGAGATGAGGGACAGAGGCTGTGAACCTAATGTTGCAACGCATAACACAATCATCAAGCTTCTATGTGAAAACGGGCGGATGAGAGACGCGTATCAGATGCTTGATGAGATGCCTAAGAAAGGATGTCAAGCAGATTCGATAACTTACATGTGTCTCTTTGCCCGTCTGGAGAAACCAAGTGAGATCCTAAGTCTGTTTGGTAGGATGATAAGAAGTGGGGTGAGGCCAAAGATGGATACATATGTGATGCTAATGAGGAAGTTTGAGAGATGGGGATTTCTTCAGCCGGTTTTATATGTGTGGAAGACAATGAAAGAGTCTGGGGATACTCCTGATGCAGCTGCTTATAACGCTGTGATTGATGCTTTGATTCAGAAAGGAATGTTGGATATGGCTAGGGAATATGAGGAGGAAATGATTGAAAGAGGGCTATCTCCAAGGAGAAGGCCTGAGTTGGTAGAACAGTCCTTGGAAGAAACGCTGGTTACTGGTAGATAAGAGATCATTCTATTGGTTAAGTGTTCAAAAGATAAATGAAGGGACTGGTTCTGGTGCCTGCGTTTCTGTCTTGATATCAAGAAGCCTCCGTTGGTTGAAGAAATCTCCCTCAAGGTATATCATCTTTGCCATAAAGTGCACACATTTCAGTTCAAAGCCGAGGAGGCACGATGTAGCCATTTTCCAGAAAGGAAAAAAAAAAAAGAAAAAGAGTTATTTTCTTAATTAAACTTTCTGAAGAAAAATTGCCACGAGAAAAGCAAAAGCAGAAAAAAGTTGGTACCAGTCAAAACATTAATCAATGTAAAGTTAATTGTGTAATTAATGCCTTTCTCCGTATCTCCAAGTCGACGCTGAACAATCTACCATATACAGTAGTACTGTAAAAGTATATATGTATTTACCAAATTAGCAAATTCCGAAGTTTATGGTATAATCATAATCAATTTATAGGGGGGTAATATGATTTATTGGATTGTTTAATTTTTGTAGACTAAAATGGAATTTTACATTTATTGTGAAGAGAAACCGCGTGGACTGTTTTTAATTTGTTTTCTTTTCTTTTTATCTTTACAAATAGCTCACACAGCGAAACCAATAAGAGGAGAGTTTAAAGAGTAATTAATTAATATAAGCAAAAAGACAATCGGTGGAGAGAAAATTCTGAAAAGAAGAAAAAAAAAACTAAAAAAGGGAACAGTATCGTTTCACCTTCTTTTATCCTTGATTTCCTGAAGAATTTAAAAAGATTCTTCTTTTTCATACGTTTGAGTTTTTTTTTTAAAGATAGATAAACCTCTTTTTTTTTTTTTAATTAGAAACGCAACCTAACCCAAAAAAAAAACACAGAGACATTTTATTTGTTTTTAAAGAGAAGGATAATGCTTTATACGCCGTCGTATTATGATCGCCGGCGTCTCCTCTTGATTGCCGTTGGGCTTCTGATCTCGTCGAGTTTGGTTTTTTTCGCTCATGGAGTTTCTTCTTCTTGTCATCATCATCGTCTATCTTTAACCTCATTGCAAGGTTCTTCACATTCCTTCTTTTTTTTTCTTTTTTTTTTAAATGATCACAAAACAATACGTATATATTTGTTTTGTTTTTCTTAACGAATTTAAGAACAACGATGATAGGAGTGAGGAGGCAAATTTTGGAAGGAGAGAATGGGACATTGGTGTTAGCGGCGGAGAGGACACGGCGGCCTGACCCTCTCAACCATTTCAATATTTATTCCGACGGTTGGAACGTTACCAATCCTCATTACATCGCCGTGAGTCTTTTTATTCATTTCCCTTCAGTTTCTGTTGAATCTACAATAATAATAATAATACTGTGTTATGTTTTCTTTTCTTTTTTCAGTCCGTTGGATTTTCTGCTGTTCCATTCATAGGCATAGCCATCGCCTGGTTCGTATTGCTCGGACTCTTCCTCATCTGCTCATGCCTCTGTTGTTGTTGTTGCGGCTGTGGCCGCCGGAACTACGGCTACTCTCGCGTCTGCTACACCCTCTCTCTCGTTTTCCTCCTCCTCTTCACCATCGCCGCCGTGTAAGCTCCAGTTTGAATCCATTCATTGTGTTAGCTTTAAATCTCGAGATTTATCAAAACCATGTTTGTATGTGTCCAGGATTGGGTCTGCAATGCTGTACACCGGGCAAAACGAGTTCTACGGCAGCGTAGAGAAGACTTTTATGTACATTGTGAAACAAGCAACTGGAGTTTTGACTAAGCTCACGAGCTTATGGGACTCGATTCAATCTGCTAAAGACATTCAGCTCGATGGACATAACCTGTTTCCTCCCGAGTTTAGAGGTAACATCGATCACTTCAACAACATGATCAAGATGTCTAACATCACTTACCCCGACCGTGTCGCTAACCAGACTATTCGTTACCTCACGGGTGCACTAAATCCTGTGTAAGTATTCACTAGACGACAGACGCCTTGCGTCACAAGTTAGATTTTATAGAAGCTCTGTTTTGATTATTTTACTCAAAATTCGTTTTCTTCCAGGAGGTATGTGTTAAACGTAATTGCTGGTGTTATGCTTGTAGTCGCCTTCCTAGGCCTCTGTAAGTCCCCAACGTTAAGGTTAAACGTATTTTGATCTTAACATAATATACTAGATGATCTTAATTTTATCTGTTTCTTTCGTCTGAACCAGTGTTTTCGTTCTGTGGCCTACGAGTTCTTGTCTACCTGTAAGTTACACTTACACTAGCGTTGTCATATAAATATCATATACAGATGAAATGCTTATAATGAATGTTTAACTATCAGATTGGTAATTCTGGGTTGGATTCTCGTCACAGCAACAATCCTGCTCAGCGCCGTCTTCCTCGTTTTCCACAAGTAATGCAAACTTTTTCATCATCACTTGATCATTGATCTAACCAAAATTTGTTTTTTTTTTTTATGGATTCAAGCTAATGGTGTCAGTTAAAACAGTGTGGTTGCGGATACGTGTATGGCTATGGACCAATGGGTGCATGATCCAGCGGCAGAATCAGCATTGAGCCAAATTCTTCCATGTTTAGATCCTAAAACCGTTGGAGAGACTTTGGATATTACCAAGACGATGACGGCTACGGCTGTTGACATGACCAACGCGTACACGGTCAATGTCAGTAACCATGAGTTCCCACCTAATGTTCCTTTCTACCACAACCAGTCCGGTCCACTCGTTCCTCTCCTCTGTAACCCGCTCGACCAAAATCACAAACCGCGACCTTGTGCTCCGGACGAAATCCTCCTAGCCAATGCTTCTCAGGTAAATAAACACATAAAAACTAATAAAACACACTTTTTGTCCACGAATGATAAACATATTTTTCAATTTGTTTATTTGTTTTGGTAAAATTAAGGTTTACAAAGGCTATGTGTGCCAAGTGAACGCAGAAGGGATCTGCACAACGCAGGGTAGGTTAACTCCAGCTTCATACGACCAGATGATGGGTGCGATAAACGTAGGGTTCACGTTGGACCATTACGGTCCCTTCTTGGCTAGTATTGCGGACTGTACTTTCGTCCGAGACACCTTCAGAGACATAACGACCAAGAACTGCCCTGGCCTCAGCATCACGAGCCAGTGGATCTACGCAGGACTCGCCTCGCTCTCTGGTGCGGTCATGTTCTCACTTATCTTCTGGTTGATTTTCGTCAGAGAAAGGCGTCACCGATCTCATACCAAAAAATCTATGATCCAGATGAACAGATTTTAATTTCTTAGGAGCCAGCCCATACCATCATCTTTTCTTTCCTTTTTTTTTTTTCGTTGAAAACATTAATAACATGGTTTTAAAAATAAAAATAAAAATCTTATAGAATGAAGGGAAGGGATAAAACAGACTGATCATTTTTAGATGTAACTCGGTGATTAAATTTAGAAATCAACAACTGATTTAGGATAATAACTTCAATGGATAGTTATTAGTATATTGTTTACTGTTTCTTTTCCGAATTTTTCTATGTATGTTAATTGAGGTGAGAAAAAATGTTGGAACATTTCTATGGCGACACGACCGGCTATCGGCTATAGCAGAGAGTTGGATTCAATTAAGTAAAGCCAGTTAATGATTTTTTGACGAGGATGAAATGTCGTCGTCGGACCCCAAAATTAAATGTAATTAAGTAACTACGAGTATTTGGCTTTGACACATTTACCTTATAAAATGGTACGACGAATGTAAAATTCTCACGTGGCTGGTCTCTATTTGTGCATCGAGGCCGGTGTCCCTGCCGTTTCAACTTTCTAATTATTAAGTATATATATTTTTTTTTTTTGTAACTAGTAATCGTAGCAGGTTAGTTTTTTTTTCGCATTAGTTAGGGTCCATATTATTAGCAGTCAAAACAAGACAAAACAAAAAGTTAGGCTCTTTATTTTATTTATTCACCGATAAATTTGTCGGTTTTTGACTCGATGATATATATATATGTGTGAATCCTTTACTAGGAAGCATATATTATGTATATACATCGTAAAATTAAGAATTGTAAAATAATAGATAGAAATGGGATCGATAAGATCAATGCCAATACCAAAGTCATGCATCTGGGCGGTCCACGCGGGGACGAAGTCATTACGTGAATGGGCGAGCTCACGTGTTTCAAGCACAGAATCTCAGCAAAGCAACAATTTCTTCTGTTTTTGCTTACATACACTACAATCCATATTATATGAATATACAAAATTAAGCAAACCAAAATCAAGTGTTTGATTGGTTAGTGCTCTTATATAACTGAAGTCCTGAAAGTTTTATTTAATGATTTTAAGCCAGAGCAGAGATACAATTAGGAACAAAAACATTATTTAGGTTGTCATATCGTAGCAAATTTTTATAAAGAAAATACTACAGTTAAGATGATTAGTTTCAAAAGTGTCATGTTAAACCTCTTGCTAATCACGCTTTTCTCCTCAATTTTATAACGTATACTTTAAAAATATGTTTACAAATATTAAAATAATTACTTTTGGAGATCTTTATATAGTATATTAAACACACACCAAACAATAAAAGAGAGCGAGTGATTCATCATCTCTGTTCATTCCTTACTTTTAAAGCAAAGCACTTCTCTCAGGGAAGAGAGAGAGAGAGAGATAGATAGATCGGAGATGCCGAAGCTGGCGGAGAAATCGGGAAGCCGACCACCGTGGGTGGGATTAGCTGCAGCCGCGTGGGTTCAGATGTCGGCGGGAAGTGGTTCGACGTTCCCGCTTTACTCATCGGCTCTCAAATCGGTTTTGGGTTTTAGCCAGCAACAGGTCACCATCCTTGGCGTCGCTTGTGATCTGGGAGAAAACATGGGGCTACTTCCTGGGTACGCCAGTAACAAGGTTCCTCCATGGGCGATGCTTCTCATCGGAGCTTCCTCTTGTTTCCTTGGCTTCGGCGTTCTTTGGCTCTCCGTCAGCCAAATCGTTCATGGTTTACCTTTCTGGCTGGTAAGATAACGCCCCATGTTTCTAATATCTTACTCTCTTTCGTTTTTTTTTTAGGGGGGGGGGGGGGGGGTGATTTTTCTCATAAACCCTGAGATTGCATCAAATGTCGATAATTAGTGTGCCTTATAAATCAAGTTTAGATCTTTAGTGTTACTAAGTTGTGTCATCGATCAGATTTATGATCTATGTCACTGGGTTCATCTCTATTGTTTCGTTGATCACTGAACTCACGAGACTAGTGTTGTTGTTGACAGCTATTCATTGCTCTAACTATAGCCACCAATAGCAACTCATGGTTCGGTACAGCAGCTCTTGTCACCAATATGAGGAACTTTCCTATGAGCCGAGGCCCTGTGGCTGGACTTCTCAAAGGCTATATTGGGATCAGTGGTGCAGCATTCACTGTCTTGTTCAGTATGATGCTTCACCATTCAGCTACCAATCTGCTTCTGTTTCTTACCGTTGGCATTCCTGTGATTTGCTTAACTGTAATGTATTTCATCCGCCCCTGTATCCCGGCTACTGGTGAAGACCCTTCTGAGCCCATGTATTTCGCTTTTCTGCTTGCCGCAAGTATACTTCTTGCTGCTTACCTGGTTGTGACGACTGTGGTGAGTGAGGTGTTTTCCCTGCCAATTATACTCAGATATGCTCTTGTCGCTATCATGGTGTTATTTTTGTTGGCCCCTCTTGCGGTTCCCATCAAGATGACACTTTTCCGTTCAAATGCAAAGAGCTCTCCACTGGGTTCTTCAGACAATCTAGCCAAAGAAGAAGGTACCCATGAAGAACCGTTACTGACACCTTCTACCTCAGCTTCAAACCTTGGGCCTATTTTTGAGGGAGATGATGAGTCAGATATGGAAATACTTCTCGCTGAAGGAGAAGGTGCGGTGAAGAAGAAGAGAAAACCCAGGAGAGGTGAGGATTTCAAGCTTGACCAAGCTTTTGTCAAGGCAGATTTCTGGCTCCTTTGGGTTGTCTACTTCCTCGGCATGGGTTCAGGGGTTACGGTCTCGAACAATTTGGCACAGATCGGATTTGCTTTTGGTGTTAAGGACACAACAATTCTCCTCTGCCTCTTCAGTTTCTTCAACTTCATAGGCCGTCTTGCTTCAGGTGCCATTTCTGAGCACTTTGTGAAGTAAGAATCTCTCTCATCTTTTTTTCTCTAAACGAATCTCTCTGTTTCTTTCTGGTAAAGAAGTGACTCATACGATTCTCATTTTGCCTCTAAGGTCGAGAACGCTTCCAAGAACACTATGGATGGGAGCTGCGCAGCTAGTTATGGTGTTTACATTCCTCCTCTTCGCCACAGCTACCAATTACACCATTTACATCGCTACTGCTCTAATTGGGGTAGGCATGGGGTTTCAGTTCTTATCTATCGCCACCATCTCAGAGCTATTTGGTCTAAGACATTTTGGAATCAACTTCAACTTCATACTCCTGGGAAACCCGCTTGGTGCAACCATATTCTCGGCCTTTCTAGCTGGATACATCTATGATAAGGAGGCTGAAAAGCAAGGGAATATGACCTGCATAGGTCCTGACTGCTACAGAGTAACGTTTTTGGTTCTTGCCGGAGTTTGTGGGCTTGGAACTCTGCTGAGCATTATTTTGACAGTGAGGATTCGCCCTGTATATCAAGCTCTCTATGCATCGGGCTCTTTCCGGTTGCAGCCGCAATCAACAGGTCACTGATATATCCAGAGAGCGAGAAGAGACTGTGTCTAGAAAAAGGAAGATATAATATAAATACACCCATAGATGCTATTATCTACTTTTCATAATTATAGGCTCCTATTGTATCATGGTGCAAATCATTTTTAGTTTTGTTTGGATTGTATTCTAAGAACTGTGTTGAAAGAAGCCATTTGTATCGGCTCCTTGATGTAATGCTGTTTGATGTTTGTATTATGACAGTCACTGATACAAGAAGAGACAAAAGAAGCCAAAAACAACCTCTTGTGTTCAGATGATATTAGAGTGCAATGAAAAAGTTAAAACTTGCAAGTTCCAACATATGATAATTTGATTCAAGACGTAAAAGAACAAAGCCAATATATATACTACAAAAAAAGGTAACTCTATCTGAATTATAATGTCAAAACTAATCAGCCTAGCAAACATGATAATCACACACATTCGAACCTAAAGCCAAAACTCAAATAATCAGATATGTTGATGGAAGAAGCATAAAGAAAAACAGAGGAGAATTCAAGTAGGTTTGAGGTTGTGAAACATAGAATCCCATTTGATGATATCGTCAACATCTTTGTTTCCCCAATAAGCATCATCGCCGCAATCGAGCATACACGGAGGAGGAGGAGGAGGAGGAGGAGTCCCATTCGTCAGCAACAGCCTCTCTTCCTTTCCGCCATATACGTAGCTCGGCATGACCGATGTCTTCTTCCTCTTCAACAACGCTCCTTTCTTCCATCTCCCGTTCCCGCTGCTGCTGGACACAAGCACGAGTGCCCGAGACGATTCCTCCCGCCGGATCCAGGCTCGGACGTAATCGGAGAAGCATCTGCCGGTCTTCTTGATGGCAATCAAGACTCGGGAGATGGAGCGAGCGGTGAGCGGAGAAGGTTTACGATCACGGCGAGCGAGCTTCAAGATCTCGAGGCGGTGCTTAGCGATAGAGATGCCCATGCTGAGAAGAAACTCGTGGTTGAAGTAGGCAACGTCTTCGTACTCGAGCTCGTTGTTTGAGAAGGAGAGACCGTACTCATAGATAAGAGAAGCTTCGAGATTGGTCCTGGAGAGCCATGAGAACCAATCCATTGAGAGTTTTGAAATTCTCTAGGAAGAAGAAGAAACAAAGTTTTGGTGAGAGTGTGTGAACAAAGGTAAAGTCGTTTCAAAGAGTCTTGTGTATATAAAGGAGAGACGATGGTTCAAGGTTTAATTTGGGGGGGGGGTTGTTTACTTTGGTATAGTTTTGGTGAATTCCGATGGACTAAAGCAGCATACCAAAGTGAAAGAAAAAAACACAAAAAAAAACAAACATAATTTGTCAAAGTCAGAAAATATAAAAGAAAAGTAAAGAAGTTCCCACGACCTTTTTTTTTTTTTTTTTTAGCATTGAAGAAAAAAAACGAAAAAGGATTATAAACAACAACACATGGAGATGAGATGACTGTGGGTTTAATTAAGGTCCATTAATCACGGTGTGGGAGAAATGGAGTCATTATTTTGTATATACTGTATAATGCTTTCTTGCTTTTTGTTCCTTTTCTTTTTCCATTTAATCTCTTCTTTCAAAATCTAAATAAATTTGCTTCTTAGATAAAAGTCAGCATTATATTATTATTCGTTTTTAAGATTCCCTAAAAGATAGGCTAATACTCGATTTTAGAACACATGCAATGAATACAGTACTGCCCAAAATACTTGTAAGAAAATTGATTAAAACAAAAACTATGATGTCCATATACATATATAGAGATCATAGTATCATCGTCCGGCTCTGTCTACGTGATCAAATACGTTTTTCTATTTTATTTAAAATGTGTTGCTTTTTTGTTTATTAAGTTGAATCAATAATGTTATCTCTTCGTTACGTGTAAGATGGATTAACTGACTAAATAGTTAGTATTATCTTCGTTGTTAGGTCAACTAATGATAACAAAAACAAAAACAAAACACTAACATGAAAATTAAAAAGCGCCTTCTCTAATCTCTCTGGTCAACTTGTAATGTATCTTTTTCTGTAATCAATTCGTGTATACACATTATTATTATTTTACTACTTAAATAAGTCAATGAACACAATTCTATAATTATATAATGATCCTCAGTTTTTGAATCAAGGTGGAAGATTTAAATTATTATTGAGCTTTTAAGAGGACATTATTATCGAATGCTGTGTGACTACAAACAAAGACGTCGACACTAGTAACTAGTACAAGTAGTGGATGATGCATTAATCATGCATATATTCGTCCGTCTAGATCACAATCAGAATTATTTGTGTTAACAATACATATCTTATATAATATGGGATATAGATTGATCAATAGAAGAAGACACGATCCGTGATCACGGATTCATGGGTCATGCGCATGTGGGACTTTTAAGTAATGCTTCAATTGCAGCACTTACTTACCCCAGCCACTAGCTAGCTTCCACTTCTTTTTTTCGGTTTGCCCACATTCTACTGCTTAATGATTTACTCAGTCCCCCCCCCCCCCCCCACAATGGATTTACGCACTAATGTAAATAACAATAATCCGAGACTGAATTGAATTACTCCATCCCTTCTATATAACATGTGATCTATTTACCCTTTTCCCCAAAAATAGATGATTTTTTCATAAATATATGCAAAATTAAATAACTGTTTTATTGTTTTTATCAACTTATATTAGAAAGATTGTTTTTCATTTGTTGAATTGTGTTTAAAATGGTATTAAATAATGTTTTTCTTTAAAATAAACAAAACTTAAATGAATTTTTAACATGTGTGCATTTGCTTAAAAAAATAATCTATTCTAAAACGAAGGGAGTATAAAATTTTAAAAATTCTTTAAACAAACCGAGGCAGAGTCGTTTCATCCTTATTACTTATGTTTTGCATTTTTTTAATGGAATTCAGTCTAAACGGAGAAAAGAAAAGTCAAAACAGGGCGTCAAACTCGTCTGTGCACAAAGCTTTGTAATTCTAAATGTTTTGTGCTCATAGTTTTAGTGTGATGTTTTGTGCTCATAGTTTTAGTGTGTTTTTTTTGGTGTTTCGACTAGTTTGTTTGTTTTTGGAGGTACCAAATTGGTTGAAGTGGTTCAACTGCGTATGTATGTTTGTTTTTTGCATCTGCATTTGCGTTGGGGGAGGGGTTTCAGTATTCGTCGCTATGATTGCACCATTCATCTAATAATAATCTCTCTCACACACACCCTACACATTCATCTAATAATAATCTCTCTCTCACACACACCCTACACATTCATCTAATAATAATCTCTCTTCCACACACCCTACTCATTCATCTAATAATAACACACACACACACGCATGAGCCCTTCCACACACACGCTGCCTAGACATTCATCTATACATAGAGATTCTCTAGTCTACTGTATTATATACATAGAGATTTACTGGCGCACCATTTAAGCGGAAGATGAACAAACGTATAGAACTATATATATCGACACACTAGGCAGACGAATCAAGCTTCTGTCGTTTCACTGCCATCTCTCTCTACACACAGTCAATCCTTTTTTTCCTCTGTTTCTTCCAACCTTCATCAAATAAACCCAACAACAAAAACAAACAAACCATTTCAGACATCAGTTAATATCAAAAAGGTTTTATCATAATTATTTTCTCAATCAAAACTAACAATCGTTCTACATTTTAGGCAGAAAAAGGGCAGAGTATATCGAAACCAAATTTTGAAACATACTTTCTACTATTCCCAACACAACGATATTTCTAAAAACAGTTTTGAAGACAACATGTTTTCAAGTACTCCATCTTAAACACCCACAAAACACGAGCTGGATTTTCAAAACATGGTCATTTGAAATGTCTCTAAACTATATAACATAATTCCCTAACACACTAGTTCTAGCTAGTTTTAACAAAGAAAATAAAGTTAAATGAGCGGAGTCTTTCTCTTACCTTTTACGATGATGATGCCTCTCTCTCTCTCCCTCTCCCTCTTTGTCTCTGAGCAAGTGAGAGGAAACTGGAAACTGTTCGGAGTCGGTAACAGAACTTAGAAACAGAAATTGTAAGAACTAGTGTGTGTATGTGTATGAGTTTTGAACTTTGAACGAACAATGAGAGGAGTCTACGCATATATATAGGGGTCCATGATCAATACCTTTTTAATTAAAATAAATAAATCACAATTTCATAACGGTAACAAAACACACTTCATTGTCTCTAACGTTCATATTTTCTTTCGACAGCTAACGTTCGCCTGTCAAATCGTAAGACATATTAATAATTGTTTAATCCAAGGTTAAAATTTTAAAATATTGTCTTTGCAAATATCATTTTCAAAATAATTATATTGTTAGAGAGAAAACTAGGCAAGAGAGTGTAAATCTTACTCTTATCTGTTGTTATTAGTGTTACAAATTTGAATGCGAACAATTATGAACCTTGCTAATTGGAAAGATTCGGTTACACCGTGACAAGTATACATATATTGACAATTTAGTTACAACATTTCAGCTAGATAATGCTAAAATATTATTAACTGCGAGAAAGATTAGCATGGTATGAAGACACAGTATGATATTCATCTCAACGTCCACGTGTACACCGTGAACAAAAGTTTCAGGACGGTAACAGATATACCACTAAAGTGTAGGGACTTAAAACAATAAAATTGGAAAGTTGCACATCTTAGAATTTCGCTGCTGCCGAGATGCGACGGCGAGAAGAGAAGCGCATTTAAGGAAATCAATCTTATAAGATGATAATAGTCGTTGCATCAAAAGGTACATTTAAGTTGGTAACTTGTAGATTTTAAGGATGATGACCTTTTTAAGTCCAAGTTAAGTTTTCGTTACTTTGCTTTTAATTTCAATAGTACATCAATCTCGATGCTCTGTATTGTTTATGAGTTTATGACAACACACCCACCCTACCCCCCATCAAAGTTCATCCGGTTGTATTATACTATATCGCGTACCACCTGGTCGATCAACACCATTCCCAAACCATCCAACAAGGTATATTAAGAGATAATAACAGCTACAAATCGCCCGGCCAGAGACATAAAAGGAGTTTATTAATTAAAAACACAGTAAAAATGCGTATATATATATAAAATGATGATATCATAAGAATCTGGTCTGTATACATAGAATTCACAAACCGGAAAATCTTTAGGCTTAGTCTGAACAAACGCCATCGACTGAGAGATCCTAAAGGTGCACGTAGCTGTCTCAAAACTGAAGATTTCCGGTTCGGTATTGGACTTAGAATCTTTTGATTGTATGCTTCTACAAGATCCTGAGAAAAACTGCTATTACATTCAATCTGATTTGCTCCTGATGCTGTATATATTGCCAATGGTTCCAACAACGCTAACCACTACGGCCAAGATTAGCATCAACCACGACACTGATCTTTCGACGAGGCTTAACGAATTGCTCTGTTTCCCTAACCGTAATGCGATAAGCGCAGGGAATGTAAAACCAAGCGAAACCGCTGATGTTGCGCCTGTGAATTTGAATGCAGTCCATATATTTGGGATCATCGTTGAGCCAATGTAAATAAGAGCCAGCAAGACCACAGTAAGCCCCAATGATCTCTTTTTGCTTTCCGATAGAGGAGGCGACCCTTCAAACAGCAAGGTGTTGACGGTTTCTCTCAATGAGAAATGGATCACCGGGAAGACGAGCACTAGATGAAGAATGTAGCCGATTCTGACAACGTAGTTCACAGCAGAGCTGAAACGGATACCGAGATCTTGATCAAAGTTGGTCAAGATATCTGATTCGGTGTCCTTGCCGAAGAGGAGATAGCCTGATATAGCAGTTGAAGCGTAGACAACAACACAAATAGCTGTAGTGATTCTCCCAACTTGATTCATCTTATGAGGTGATCGACCTTGGAGCTCGTTATAGATGGGCTGGACATTGAAGTGACAAACGTAAGCATTGGACATGATGGGAATGACAACAAGAAGATCCAAGATTGCCTTTTTGGAACCAAAATCAGGAGTCATCCTGGGAGGGTCGATGGTGCCTTCGATAAGCTTGATGGCGGCGACAACAAAACAGACGACCACAAAGACAACAGCAAGAGCAACAGAAGCAGCTGAGGTAACGCTCAAGGAATCAATCTTGTTCAAAGCACAGAGAGGAGCCAAGAAGATGACCATCACAATCAAAATCAAAATTTTACGGTGATCCCAGAAACCATTCCCTAACCATTGATCCAAAACCCCAATGTGATGAAGAGAGCCAGACATGACATCACCCATGATAATCAGATAAACAACGAGAACGCCACCGTTGTTGACAATGATACAAATCTCGGAAAAAACCCTAGCGGTTTTGCCCAATGCGCATTGAACAACCTCGCCGTAAGATCTGGACTTGTGAATAACTGAAAATCTAACCAGGAGCTCAACGCTAATCTCAGAAAGAATGGCCATGATGATAATCAAGACAAACCCTAGAACCAAGCCGAGAACTTTCATGGTGGCGGGCAATGCCATGATCCCGGCGCCGATAATAGAGGTGGTGAGGTTGAAAACGGCGCCGTAGATCCCAGATCCTTGGTTGGATGATTTGCCATGAAGGACATCGACATCAAAATCGAGATCATCAACTTCTTCATCGCCGACACCATTGCGTGTGTCGTCGAAGTCGTTCACGAAGCTTTCTTCATCAGAAGCAAGCAACTTGTTGTTTCTGGGTTTTCCATTACTAGTCGGTTTCTGTAACTCAACGTAAGAAGTTTTGGGAATCACAGAGTAACTGCTATCCATTCGCCAGATCTGATCTAAAACGCCCTCTGATTTCGATTCAGATCAAACTTACAGGATGATAGATAGATAATACGAGATCGAAGAAGACGTAAGACGAGACTTTTATTATTCCTGGTCGAAAGAAAGAAAGAGAGATTGTTCAATAAAATCAAATCTGCTGAAAAATTAAAAATCGGATTAAGGGTCAACGTCTCAATTGGTCGTCGTTCCTGCCTCGTCGGCGATGTATATAGAGAGAGAGAGAATGAGAGATTGCTTTGGGAGGTAACTTCTATCTTACCATTGGTTCATTCATATAATCTTTTTTCCTAACTTATTTAATAAAGTAGTAATCTTATTAATTTCCCGATGAGCAATTAAAGTTTCACATCAAAAACTTAGGTAAGGCGTTTATCTTTAGGGTCAACTTAATAGAGATGCAATTCATAAAACTAGAAAAGGTCAAATAGATATGTACTACTAGCTTGTTAGATTCAGATTCAGAGGAAAAGTCAGAGAGAGACTTATTAACAACCAAAAGAAGAAATTGTGGGTTGGATTGAATGGATCATTACTCGTACTGGACTAGGACAAGAAGGAATAACATAAATCCAGGCACTAGAACATACTGTATAAAGAGATACAAGAAAACTGAGCACTGAAATCTCTCGTCTTTTCTATCTACAGATACTTTCTTGCAAGTGCACGTACTTTGGTGTCAAAATGTGATGATGTTATCCGTGAACCCGGCAGATACAAGGGATTCAGAAGACTCTGCATTAACACAAACGATTTTTCATGATGGCGACTAAACCAATGAATCAGGACGAAACCAACAACAGCGAATTCATTAATCAAGAAAAAACTTTACCTTTATATAAAGCTCATGCACCTCCTGAACGAAGCTCTTGATGCCGTCCTCGTTGCGAGAATCATGAAGGAGCATGAGGCACGTATATGTTGATTCATTAAGGAAGAAACAAACATTTTAAACTGGAGATGAATCTGTTAAGCACAAAAGTCAACATACCAATCTGACACTATATATTTAGGTGAATGTATCATCAGAAGAACAAACTTTTTGCTTGAAATTGAATTCAAAGGGTCCAAAATTAGTAATTAGTTCAACGACAAAGGATATGACCTGCGGTAACATACACTGACACAACCAGATCGTTAAACCTGTCAACTGACTTCAAGAACCTGAAGAGATAATATGGTAGTGAGATAGATCCTTCAATCATGATGGAAATTTTTTCACAAGGGACCTTACGTACATGGCACTTGTAGTCCATGCTAGGTCTTGGACAACATCTAACGCTGCATGTAATATAAATTGGTGCAACTGAGCAGCATCTTCTCTCTACCAAATAGAGAGAATGGTGTAAGAGACCGATGAGTAACTTATCAACTAGACCACATAACCAATAAGTATTTATATACCAGCTAGATGAGAAGACAAAAACAGAGAAAGTCGCATAGTCAAGAAAGGAGAATCAACATATGATAGACCAGAAACCAATTAGTCTTAAAGATGTACGTTTTAAGAATTATCTAGGTAGAACCAAGGCCTGTTTTCGACTGGTTATGTAAGTGTAAAACAGGGTGAAACAGAATTATCTTAGAGAGTACATGTATATATAAAATGTTAAAGACTGAGAACATGGATGCATATACTTGAGGAGAATGGAGCCAGAAAGGCAGGAAAAGGGGCTTCTTCTCGTCACAGCGATCAAGTCGACACAACTAGTAAATTACAATCAAACAATTCGTCTCTAAATGGAGGTAAACTTTAATCGATCGACACAGACCTGAGAAAGGGGTGGAGAAACGAAGGCACGGGAGCGACGTTGAAAGAAAGCTTCAGGGAATACAACCAGCGCAAAATGGAGAAAAAATTGTTAACAATGGAGATCCAGAGAACAAAGACTGATCTAACGCGATGGATCACCAATTCTTCAGAAATCGCAAGATCGTCGAGTTAAAAATTATATTAAAAAAAAAGCTGAAATATCCAGACTCCCTCTAGTACAGTGTGTTGTTAGAGAGAAGGACGACAACAGAATGGGGCCTTTATTGTTCCTTACTGGGTGGGCTTCGCTTCGTAAGCCCATCGTGTTTAAACTTTTATAGCACGTGCCCTTACTTAAAAAATGCCAACCTGAAGCAGACGGGACTAATTCGCTTAATTCAGAAGAGACAGAGAGCTCCTCTATCCATTAATTTACAACGAAGAAAATTTAAAATTGGTTTACGGTAAACTAATTGTTTGCATCCTGAAAATTAAAATAGTCTAGTTGAGTTCAGTTTCATCTATTCTCTCTTTGCAGCTTGTTTTGTTTTTAATTAGTCCAATCAATTTACACACAGATCAGTTGATTGTTTTCTCATTTGCTCGTATAATTCAAAGTCATACCTTTTACGTTATAGTTTTTTTGTGAAAAATTCAAACATTGGGAAATTGCATGATAATATCAACGGAGAGAGCGGCGTTGGAAACATTTAAGAAACAAGAAAAGAAAAAAGAAGAAGAAAAAAACGAAAAAACAAAATATTGCACCAGTGTGCATGTTATCATCGTCGTCATGGCAAGCGATCAGAGAAGGAACAAAAGCCAATTTTATTTCGCAGAGGCAAATAATAGAGAGATATTTTAGGAGCGGCGGCAATGTCTTGGATACGTACGTGGGAATTATGTATTACTCCATCTCACTAAATTATTTATTCTTCTAGCTACTATTTTTAATCGTTTATTGGGCTTAAATTATCAATGATAAAAAAAAAAAATATATATCAATGATTATTTTTTAAAATCTATAAAATACTAATAGTAATTAATTAAAATATGTAGAACATCAATATTTGTGAAACTAAAAAAATCCCAAACCATCATCTTTTATGAAACAGAGAAAATATAATATTATTGGTTGAATTTATTGTATTCAATGATATTTTTATTTAAAAAAAATTATATTTTGAAAATTGATGTGGAATAGAGTTAAACCTTATAATTAAAAAAGAAAGAGAGAAAGTAGTAAAAAAAGAAGAGAATTGATGGCTTCGGAAATTAACAAGAGAAAGAAAAGGCAAATTTAAATATTAGTATAAAAATGGGAACGGACAACCGACAACATCTCCCAGAAAGGCAGCAATCAAAATATCGCCGTGGCGATATATTCGTCTTATTATTTTGTACAATCCGTTATGAGAGATATTCAAATATATATATATTTACTATAAAACTCGTAAAACAACATGATACTCTCTGACTGAGTGCAAAAGTGGGAAAAGGCAACCAATAGATTAGAGAGCCCAACACACAAAAAGCCCCCTCCTCTCCTCTCCTTTCCTTCCATTCTTCTTCTTTATTTATAAATTTGAGACGATCAACTTCACATTTTTTTTTATTTTTCTTTTTTTAGAAGAAGCAACTAACCACCACACATCACCATGCATGATTCAAACAAACAAGTACAACCTAGAAAATCAAATTTAGCCATTATACTATAATCAATACGATTACTTGTTTTCACCCTTTGCAATTCAAAACAAACTATATATCTATTGTCCGCTTTTATACTTTTTAGTGGAGTTTACTACTAATTTTTTATCAACATACCCACTCAAGACATTTTCAATGGTCGTCTTTTTTAACTTAAATTTCCTTAAACATATTATCTTATATGATGGTCTTCACTAGCTACTAGTAGTATCTAATACTATGTCCCTTTATTACAAGAATCTCAATTTTTGTTACCTTTGCAATCATACAATTATATGCTATAGTTGATTTATCTCTAACTTTTATATATCGTTTTGATTTTACAACCGCTTCTATATTTTTCATATATATTTATTTTATTTTTAATTTTTACAAACATGATCTACGATAGCACATACTAAATAGAAATGCTATAGAATTATTAGTGGAAAAAATCAATTCATTACTGCATTATTAAAATATTTGGCTCCAATGGAAAAAGGAAAAAACCTAAACTCTAATCAACCTTTCTCATTTTTTTTTTTTGTTCTTCTTCTCCTTCTCTCTTTTATGGAATTTTTAAAATTCAGCCACTCTTGCTCCTACTCTCCTCACCACTAAACTTATTAAAACTCTAACATCTCGCTCCCACCTTATCAAACTCATGATTATGGGACAAAACCTCGACGCCAAAAAAGATTATGAATCTGAATTACGAACACTAGATTTTGTCATTTAACAAAGACCTTTTCTACTCGGTGGTCAAAAGGTTCTCTTAAATCTGTAATCATCTTTGTTAAACCCAAATTTAAAAGTGAAACCCAAGTTTGCTATTTATTTAATTTCGTATATGAAAATCGCTAACCTTAGTCTTAACAGTTATTGAGAAGCGTTATTTATCCCTTTTATTCTCTATTGATATAGGCTATTATGCATAAAAAAAAAATTGGAGTATTGAAGGCGACATATTTCTTGTTGATGGAAGATTCTAAGTTTTTATAAGGCTAGTTTGGATTGAAAATTCTGAATTCTATACATATGTGGCATACTTCTAAGTTTCTATATGATTTATTTGAGGTTTTCTATGAAAGAATTCTTATTTTGCAGATCTAGCATGGGTAAAGAGCATGAGCAAAATTGATGGCATGAAATTCATCAGAAAGAAAGCGATTGTGGTCTTAGCTTGTGCAGATTTTGAATATATCTTTATGTATTGATTTAGTTCCTTGCCCATATGAGATGAATTGATTTTACGTGATGCTTTTTATTTAATTGTAGTGACCACATTTGAGCATAAGAGAGATAACCGTAGATAAACTTGGCAATTAGTTAGGCCTACTTGTGAAGCCGAAGACAAAAAAAGTCAAATCCGTTAGAGTTTTCATTTTGACTTAATTAACATTACAATTTTAACTTTGTAATATGATTATTATTATTCTTGATTAAACACAAATAATTTTTATTTATTAAAGAATTATTATTGTTACTGATTATTTGTGTAGTTTAGTTTATTATTCTTTCTTTTTAATGGTTAAAACTAAATATAGTTTATTAAAAGGATATTTGGCTAACAAATTGAACTTTCAGTTAAAAACTTTTAACGATTATCGAATTGTTCATATCAAAATCGCTGAATATTAGAAAAAAAAAAAGAAATGTATACTAAAATTTAAAGGTAAGTTTGGCTCCATTAACCCTTTTTTTATATATTAGAAGTAAAACAAGTAATAATTACATCATGCACATGTACCTCCTACAGGCTACAGTAGTAGTGAGTGACTCATAAATGAAACGTATCATCATACTGGATTGACGACGAGTAGTTGTCTGATATTGACATCTTTATTTATTTAGGCTTTCCTTTTCATCGTTAATGTTCAACTTACTAACTTTTGATTGATTAAAATATTTGATGTTGACATATCAAACGCGATATTATTATCTTCCTAAATAAACTTTTTTATAGTACTAATTTTTTTCTTTTTTTTTTCAAATGTTCAATATATCATTTTCTTATATAAACTTGATGAAACTGTGTTTTTTTTGTAACAGAACTTGATGAAACTGTGTTTCTCTTAAAGAATGTGAAATATGTTTGTTATGATGGCAAACTGATTAATTAAGCCGAACTTAATATTCAAATAGTTTTAAGATAACTATACGTACATGTCTGACTGACTAGGAAAGTAGATACTCGTGTTAACGTGTTTAAAAACAACTAAAAAAATAATTATAAATATGCTTTTGAAAAGTAAACGTTATACACTTTTTCTTGTGCACCCATAACTTTAGCAAAAGAAAGAAACCATTATTCAATCATTCTTGAGCAATTAAAACAAATAATACTATATATACTAGAGTATTTATCTTCATTTGGTGCCAAACAAACTTTAAAGGTAATGACGTCCAAAAAAGCTCAATGTTTGTAGAGAGACATTATTCATTTTAATTTAAATAATGATTAAGATTTTGACACATTAATTAGTAACATATATTTTTTTGTTTTAAAATAAATTATATTTTGAGTAAATGCATACCTATCAAAAAGACATTTTTTGAGAAATATACTTTTTAGTGTACTTTTTCCAAAAAATTCCTTTTATCTATCTATTTTGAAAAATATCATTGTTTCAATATGGAAATATTTAAATTTTTATATGTTTTATAAGGTACTTCTTTATAATAACTACAACCGAGAGATTTGATACAAATAATTTATAATATTTTAAAAGGTTTTAAATCATTTTTACACTTTTTACCAGGTTTTTAAAGGGTATATAAAGTTTTTAAAAGGTTTTTATAAATTATTTTTATGCTATTTATGAAAGATATATAAAATTTAATACATATATAAAGGTATTTTGTGTGTATATATATAAGTTTACACACATATTTGGATAAATTTCAACATTTTTAGTGTTTTTATGATAAAATTTTAAAAGAAAGTATTTTTAAAAAATGGTATTTGGAAAAAGATATTTCTGAAATTTCTCTTAAATAAAATATCATTTAAATTTTGTTTATTTTTTCCAAAAAATTATTTAATATCTATTTAAAGACAATTTAACCAATGGAAAAATAATCTGCATAAAATCAATTGATAAAAACCAGAAAACAATATTTAATTTGTATAAATTTGTGAGAAATCATTTATTTAAAAAAAATAAAAATCTAAAAAATCATTTATATAAGAGCGGAGGGAGTATTAACTTACTATTTTTTTATAAAACATTATTAACTAATATAAAAATATATAGTCTAAAAATATTAAATTTATTAAATGTTATAAAAAATTTAAAATATTATTTATATTGAAACAAAAAATTTTGGCTAAAACATCACTTGAAAATAACAAAAAATTATAAAACTTTAAAAATCGCAGCGGATAACATCGATCTTCTTGGTTCATTATAACGTCGACAACGAAACTCCAATTACGCTGTGAATAACAAACCAATATTATTTTATTTGCAATATGTAGCTCACATCGAATTTTTGGATTAATAAAAAAAATAAAACAAAAGACAGACTAAATGAGGGTCATATATATAAATTAAACGAGTCTCACTGAATTATTGACATGTCCTCTCCTATCACGAGAGAAGGCCGAATTAGTATTAAGATATCGCGAGAAAACAACTTCTCTTCATAATCTAAAAAAGTTCCATTCTCTCTCTCTCTCTCCACCACGTCCACGTGATTATTTATTTTGTTCAACACCGCATCTCAAGAATAATAATCCCAATGGCTTAAATGGCAAATTAGGTAATAATTGTCATTTCTCAAGGGCAAGCAACGGGCCTTTTTAAAAACATGATACTAGAAGAAGGAAAAGCTTTGTCGTGTTCTGAGGGATCTGTGGGGACGCAGCTATCTCGCTTTTCAAACCGTCGGATTAGTGTATTCATATAGGTTCATCGTACAATATCGACGGTTTTCACAGTGGGTGTACCCTTGTCGCGACACAGACGATCATGTCTCCTTATAGTACAGCTAGCAGCTAAAGATTCCGAGCCGATAGCGTTCGAGAACTGTAGCCGGCTAAGTCGTATGTCTTGTTGTCACTGTACTTATATATAAGTTGTTTCGATTATCAGAATCCAGCTTCCTTATCATGTCATAAGTGAGTGCTCTTATTACACTCCGTTATCCATCACCTTCGCGTATTAAATTCTTTTTTATTTTTATTTTGGATTTAAATTAAAGTCTCAATTTCTGTAAGATTTTAATGTTAGTATAAATAATTCTGAAGAGAGAGAGAACACTTGTTTTTATTCCATAGTTTTTTTTTTCTTATCTTATTTTTCGGGTCTGAGAGAGAGAGAGAGAGAGAGAGAAAAAGAGTCCAAAGAAACCAAATCCTTCGCCTCTTTCATTTTAGAGGAGAGAGAAAATCTCAAGCTCTCTCGGTCGCCTTTCTTTGTTTCTGAAATCGATCTCTTCTCTCCTTCTTCTTCTTCTTCTTCATGGTAAGTAGTAGTAAGAGCTTCTGGGTACCCAGAAAAGCTAGATTCCATTATTAACAGAGGAACCCAGAATCGTAGCTTTTCTGGGTTCCTTTTTTTTTTTTTTTTTTTTTTGGTTTGCCCCTCTTGATTTACATGTAGTTGAAAAAAGAAGGCCATTTAAGCTATTTAATTAGGTGGAAAAGAATAATAATAATACTAGGAAGGAAGGAAGGAAAACCTAATTTTTGTTAACAGTAATTTTAAATCCGCCGGAATAGGGGCTTTTGGAGAATTTCCCGGAGATAGTTTAAAAGATCTAGTACTACTACTCTAGTAGTTTCATTCATTAAGAGCGTTAGTTTAATTAAGCTAACTCCCCCTTTCTTTCTTTTTTTCTCTTGCAAATATCTGAAACCCAGATTGTTTTTGTGGATGATTACGATGTTCATTTAAGGGTGTTATCGTCGCCATTATTTCTGTTTTTGCAGATCTGGTGTCTTTTCTGCATCTGACTTTCAAAATCTTCTTCTCTGGAGTGAGTCCAAAAAAACATGTCTTCTCTTAGCAGAGAGCTCGTGTTCTTGATCTTACAGTTTTTAGATGAAGAGAAGTTCAAGGAGACTGTTCATAAGTAAGTCCCTTCCCATCTATTTGCTTTTCTGGGTTTGTCTCTCCCTTTTCGTTTATTATCGTTTTTTTTTTTTTTTTTTTTCGTGCAACATAGGCTTGAACAAGAATCTGGGTTTTTCTTCAACATGAAGTATTTTGAGGATGAGGTGCACAATGGAAACTGGGATGAGGTCGAGAAGTATCTCTCTGGTTTTACTAAAGTTGATGACAATAGATACTCCATGAAGATTTTCTTCGAGATTAGGAAGCAGAAGTATCTTGAGGCCTTGGATAAGTAAGTTCATGCCAACACAATTTGTAGACTTCTTTGTTTTTATTTGCCAACCACCGCTTCCTTTTTCTAGGCATGATCGTCCCAAGGCTGTTGAAATTTTGGTCAAGGATTTGAAAGTGTTTTCCACCTTTAATGAGGAGCTTTTCAAGGAAATCACTCAGCTCTTGACCTTAGAAAACTTCCGGTAACCCATATTTCAGGGTTTTTTTAATACGCTTTTTGAAATTTTAACCATTGTTAGTGCAACATATGAGCGTAACTTGTTCAAACTTCAGGGAGAACGAGCAGTTATCCAAGTATGGGGACACAAAGTCCGCCAGAGCTATCATGTTGGTGGAACTCAAGAAGTTGATTGAAGCTAATCCATTATTCCGTGATAAATTGCAGTTTCCTACCCTTAGAAATTCACGCCTCAGGACTCTGATAAATCAGAGGTATATATTGTCCTTCTTGCTCACTTCTACTTTTTCATTTCTCTCCTGCTTTAACTACTAGTTTCCATGTGACTGCACAACTTGCAGCTTAAATTGGCAACATCAGCTTTGTAAAAACCCAAGGCCAAATCCTGATATAAAGACTCTCTTTGTGGATCATTCCTGCCGCCTTCCAAATGATGCACGAGCACCATCCCCTGTCAACAATCCGCTGCTTGGATCATTACCAAAAGCCGGCGGATTTCCTCCTTTAGGCGCACATGGGGTATGTCATTTTCCACCTGATGTTGTATCTTCGATGAATGCAATTGTCTTTTCATTTTGGTCCTAGCTCTATAGTTACCTTTACATGCCGTGCTTGACTTGCCTTTATGTCTTCAGCCATTTCAACCAACACCTACTCCGGTTCCTACACCTCTTGCTGGTTGGATGTCTAGTCCTTCCTCTGTCCCTCATCCAGCTGTGTCTGGAGGAGCCATTGCCCTTGGTGCTCCATCCATCCAAGGTAATTTTTTAATATAAAATGTGGCGTTTCATTGTAAAAGCTTTGTGGAACTATCGTCTTCCAAATTCTATCCTTTCATTTCTTTTCAGAACCTTTAATTTTCACCTGTGATCTACGTAACATGTTCTCCTTGTCGGGTCTTAGCAGCCTTGAAGCACCCGAGAACTCCTCCAACTAATTCTGCTGCAGACTATCCATCAGGTGATTCAGACCATGTCTCAAAACGAACAAGACCTATGGGCATCTCTGATGAGGTGACAAAAATCTGAAGCATACTAATTTTATGCAGTTTGTAATGCGAGCTTAAACTTAAAATGTATTTCTTTTTTGCTCCACCGTATGTAGGTAAGTCTAGGTGTGAACATGTTACCAATGACATTCCCAGGGCAGGCTCATGGCCACAACCAAACCTTCAAGGCACCTGATGACTTGCCCAAGGCGGTAGCACGAACTTTGAGTCAGGGCTCATCTCCCATGAGCATGGATTTCCATCCTATTAAACAGACCCTGCTACTAGGTCTGTTTCTTGCTCTGTCTATATATTTCATATAACAAACGTCATCAGAACTTTTATAACATCAGAAGTTTCTTGCTTCAATTTGCTCAGTTGGTACGAATGTTGGGGATATTGGGCTCTGGGAAGTTGGTTCTCGAGAACGACTAGTACAGAAGACTTTTAAAGTTTGGGACTTGAGTAAATGTTCAATGCCCTTGCAGGTACTTTTTTTTTTATGAAATCAGAATCTTATTATCTAGTTTTTATTTGAAACGTTAGTAACCTAAAATTTTGGTCTTTAGGCTGCTTTGGTGAAAGAACCTGTCGTTTCAGTTAACCGTGTGATTTGGAGTCCTGATGGTGCCTTATTCGGTAAGATTTGAGATTAAAAATGTTGTGTCAATTGATCTGGGTATTCTTATGCGTGTTTTCAACTGCAGGAGTTGCTTATTCTAGACATATTGTACAGCTATACTCCTATCACGGTGGGGAAGATATGAGGCAACATCTTGAGGTGTTATATTGTTTATAACATCATTTTAGGAGTATGTCATTCATTTCCTGTAATTAAAAGCATTTGTTGTTCCCAGATTGATGCTCATGTTGGTGGTGTCAACGACATTGCATTCTCCACTCCAAACAAGCAACTATGTGTTACTACTTGTGGTGATGACAAAACCATTAAGGTTTAGTCTTTTATTTCCTTTTCATAACTCTCCTTTTTTTTTCCGTTGGAAGTCAAAAAAAGTCTAATGACAAAACCATTAAGGTTTAGTCTTTTATTTCCTTATCATAACTTTCCTTTTTTTCCGTTGGAAGTCAAAAAAGGACTAATCAGTTCTTTGGATGAAGGTCTGGGATGCTGCAACGGGTGTAAAACGGCATACTTTTGAGGGGCATGAAGCTCCTGTTTACTCTATCTGCCCTCACTACAAAGAAAACATCCAGGTACATAGCAATATTTCAGGGGTTTCATTTTTGCTAAGTACAAAGCTTAAATTTGTTTCAATTTGGTTTGGTCCTGAGTTGTTTATTTTTCTTGTGCTTAAGTTCATCTTTTCAACTGCTCTTGATGGGAAAATAAAAGCATGGTTATATGATAATATGGGTTCTCGGGTTGACTACGAAGCTCCTGGTCGCTGGTGTACAACGATGGCCTACAGTGCTGATGGAACTAGGTTCGAGCATAGTTCTCATTATCTCTATGTCTTGGCTCTGTTCTTTCTTGTCATGATGTGATACTAAATCATTTTGTTTTACTTACATGATAGGCTATTTTCCTGTGGGACGAGTAAAGATGGGGAATCATTCATAGTTGAGTGGAATGAAAGTGAAGGAGCTGTTAAGAGAACTTATCAAGGATTCCATAAGCGTTCTCTTGGTGTTGTTCAGTTTGATACTACTAAAAACCGCTATCTCGCTGCGGGTGACGACTTCTCCATTAAATTCTGGGATATGGACAATACACAGCTTTTGACTGCCATTGATGCTGAAGGAGGTCTCCAGGTATGTAAATAAATACCTTGATTCTTCTTGGAAACCGAAAGTTTTCATTTGCAGCCCATCATGACTCTCTATATTTTGTAGGCAAGTCCACGGATCCGGTTTAACAAGGAAGGCTCTCTCTTGGCCGTTTCTGCAAATGACAATATGATTAAAGTTATGGCAAACTCAGATGGTCTAAGGCTATTGCACACAGTTGAGAACTTATCTTCTGAATCCTCCAAGGTACAGATTTTTTTTCTCATTGGATCGTGAACAAGCAAATTAGGAACTTCCAAATTCAAAAAATTTCAACATTATTTCTCATTCACATCTGCAGCCTGCAATTAACAGTATTCCGGTGGCAGAGAGACCTGCCTCTGTAGTTTCCATCCCTGGAATGGTACAAAAATGGATTTTGTTTCCCTTCAGTTTATTTCTATTCTTATGTTTGCGTCCAATCATCGGTCACTTACGTTCCCAGCAGAATGGAGATTCACGGAATATGGTGGATGTGAAGCCAGTGATCACTGAAGAATCAAATGATAAGTCTAAGGTATGGAAGCTTACTGAAGTCGGCGAACCCTCTCAATGCCGTTCATTGAGACTCCCTGAGAATATGAGAGTCACCAAGGTACCACTACAGAGACTGACATCACTGTACTTTAATGGCTTTGATTCTAATGACTTGAAACTTTAGCAGATATCAAGACTGATTTTCACAAACTCGGGAAATGCAATTTTGGCATTGGCATCAAATGCAATTCATCTGCTATGGAAGTGGCAGCGAAATGAGCGTAATGCAACTGGAAAGGTACTTATGGTCTAATATTTTCCTTTTTAAGACTTTTCGAAAGAGATGAAATCCTTATGAAATTTAGTATGTGATTTTGTGTAGGCAACGGCTTCTTTACCTCCTCAGCCGTGGCAGCCAGCAAGCGGGATTTTAATGACCAATGATGTGGCTGAAACTAATCCAGAAGAAGCCGTACCATGTTTTGCTTTATCCAAGAATGATTCCTACGTGATGTCAGCATCGGGAGGAAAGATTTCTTTATTTAATATGATGACGTTTAAGGTAAAAATCCAGCTAGAGATAGCGCCTCCATCTATAGAATGCAAACAAGGTTCGGTTACATTTAATTGTGTTTTTGGCTAAGCGCAGACAATGGCTACTTTTATGCCGCCGCCTCCTGCTGCAACGTTTCTTGCTTTTCACCCTCAAGATAACAATATCATTGCGATCGGGATGGATGATAGTACAATACAAATTTACAATGTTCGCGTTGACGAGGTTAAGAGTAAGCTTAAAGGACATTCTAAGAGAATAACCGGCCTTGCTTTCTCCAATGTACTAAATGTTCTGGTTTCGTCTGGAGCAGACGCTCAGGTGCTGATCAATCTCATGTTTTGTAATTAAGAATTCCAACCGCTGTAAGTCTTATTGTGAATCTCATTTGTTTTTGTATCTATTCAGCTTTGTGTATGGAACACGGATGGATGGGAGAAACAGAAAAGCAAGGTTCTGCAAATCCCACAGGGAAGATCAACAGCTGCTCTTTCAGACACGCGTGTTCAGTTTCATCAAGATCAAGTACACTTCCTCGTGGTTCATGAAACGCAGCTCGCTATATATGAAACAACCAAGCTTGAATGCATGAAACAGGTTTTAGTATTTCCTACTTTCTCTCACTCTTTCTCTCCCTGCATATCAGACCACTGACGATTGGTTTTTTTCGTTTCAGTGGCCAGTGCGTGAATCATCAGCTCCAATCACACATGCCACATTCTCATGTGATAGCCAATTGATATACACAAGTTTCATGGACGCTACAATCTGTGTGTTCAGCTCTGCAAACCTTCGATTGCGTTGCAGAGTCAATCCCTCTGCATATTTGCCAGCTTCTCTCAGGTGAGTGAAAATTGTGAATGAATGAATGAAAACAGAGGAATCTTGAGTATTGAATCTTGAATCTCGATGGTGTGTGTGCAGCAACTCAAATGTCCATCCACTGGTGATAGCGGCTCATCCGCAAGAATCCAATATGTTTGCTGTGGGTCTGTCAGATGGTGGAGTCCATATATTCGAGCCGCTTGAGTCTGAAGGCAAATGGGGAGTGGCTCCACCGCCTGAAAATGGTTCAGCCAGCGCTGTCACGACTGCACCTTCCGTTGGAGGTTCTGCCTCTGACCAACCTCAGAGATGATAAGAAACCCGATCTGCTTTAGTTTCTTACTGCTGTCTTTTCTTTCTTTTTTGAGTTTTTAGATCTTTTCAAAATATTTTTGTTTTGTTTTGTTTTGTCTGGAAGAAAGCAATCTAACAAGGTGAGTGAATTAATGTATCATATTATCTATAGGAAGGCGTTACAGTTCCTAATTGATTAATTCGATGTTGCTTGCTTTGATTTTTTAACACTAATTTATTTGTCTTGAGAAATGTCATCTCAGTGCTGCAAAGAATAATATTTACATAGTTAACGCAAGGTAAAGAAGATTTTGTAGTTTTGCAAACTTGGAACGTAAACGTGTTCCGAAGTCCGAACCTAAGTAAGAAGTAAGGACTGAATGCCACGTGGAGCTTCGCTGATGGAGATAGGTTTGGATAATTGTTAGGAAGAATACCCTGAGGGTGTGCGGCCCGAGGCCCACGGCCCACAGATATATAGGTAATAATATCCTCAACAAATAGTAGTAATTTCGAGAAAGACAAAAAAAAAAAAAAAAAAAAGTTATCAGCATCTAGAAGGAGCTAGCTACTACACAGAGAGTGGAACGAGATTCATACTCGCCAATCGCCATTGACCTTTCATAGAGCGAAGCTTTACTTTAATACCCTTTTAACTAAAATGGCGACGCTATCAAAACTAGAGATTGCCACGACCTTCCTCGCTTACACTGCTCCTCGTTGCTCGACGACCTTGAACCCTCACTTCTCTTCTGCAGCCATCTCCGTTTTCTCCAGGCGCAGAGCTACGACCGCTTCCGTCACAGCGACGCAGTCGTTGTTCTTTTCCCCGGTGGTAAATTCCAATCGCCGTCGAAAATTCTCATCTGTCTCGGCCTCAGCTTCCGCGCCGCCGCAGACTGAAGATTCCGATGTCACCACTAAGATTCCGCCTGATAACCGGATTCCGGCTACTATAATCACGGGGTTTCTGGGCTCTGGCAAGGTGAGTATTTTCAATTTCATATCATTTTAGGGTTCCTGTATATGCTTTTTAATATTTTCTAGCCTAACTCTAGTTTGGTTCTTATGTTAATGATGAACAAGACGACATTGCTGAATCATATACTGACCAGAGATCATGGGAAGCGCATTGCCGTGATCGAGAATGAGGTAAGTTGATCATCCTCTCCCAACAATTAGTATCAATGTTGTTGATTTTAAGTTGACGTTTCTACCTAATGTTTGATGTGAATTCTCAGTTTGGTGAAGTTGACATCGATGGTTCACTTGTTGCTGCTAAATCTGTGGGAGCAGAGGATATTGTGATGCTCAACAATGGCTGTCTGTGTTGCACAGTTAGGGGTGATCTTGTGAGGATGATTGGAGAATTAGTCAATAAGAAAAAGGGAAAATTCGACCATATTGTGATAGAGACAACAGGTAGGATGGTACCACTTAGCTCTAGAGCTACTCATCCTTTTCAAAGAGTTATCTGTTATTATATGCATGCTTAGAGAATCTTGGGAATGAGTAATGAGTATGTTCTGTATTTTTTTTTTATTTATTTTTTTTTTTTTTTAGGATTGGCAAACCCTGCACCAATTATCCAAACCTTTTATGCTGAAGAAGAAATTTTCAATGATGTCAAACTGGACGGCGTTGTTACTCTAGTTGATGCTAAGCATGCTCGTTTGCATCTGGATGAGGTCAAACCCAAAGGTGTTGTCAATGAGGCTGTTGAACAAATTGCGTATGCAGATCGTATCATAGTTAATAAGGTAGCCAAAATTTTGTACACAGCTCTTTCAAAGAAAATGTGATAGTTTTCGTGATCTTGAAAGGTTGAACCTTTCTATCATAAGATTCAGGCCGTTCCTCTCTAAATTAGTTTATAGTTTACAAATAACTTCATTTGCGAAAATGGTATTGACATGACATGTCGTAAGTGATGGATCCATGTTTTACCCCAATAAGTAAGGCAGTTATCGATAATATATTGTTCTCAGTTGGCATATCCATTCTCTGAGAAGTTAGTGTACTTTGTTGCAGACTGATCTTGTTGGTGAGGCAGAATTAGGTTCTGTGGTGCAACGCATAAAGGTCTATCCCGCATCTTCTTCTTTTTCATGTATTCCACTAGATGATTATATAACCACGTTCCCAGCTTTCTATTCAGACCATTCTTGCTTATCTTGTTCCATGTTAACGTATACTCTATCGTTATCGACACTCGACAGACAATAAACAGCATGGCTCAGATGACGCGGACAAAGTACGGAAATGTTGACTTAGATTACGTTCTTGGAATTGGAGGTTTTGATCTACAGAGGTCTGCTTCTTGTTCAACTTATGAAAATATTTAATTTGGTTATTGTAGCTTAACACGATCATTAAGGTATTTATTACTTTATCAGAATCGAAAGCTCTGTGAATGAAGATGATAAAGAAGATCACCATGATCACGACCATGATCATCACCATGATCACGACCATGATCATGACCATGATCACAACCACCATCATCACGATGAACATGGTAAGGTTATTAGGAAATTTGGTTTAGTTATACGGATTGCGTACTCCAGCTTTACAAATTACAAACATGAATATTTGATACTGGTCCCTCTCATTACACAACCTAATCAGTCTCTGTTTCTTAAACGGTAGAGCATCATCATCATTCTCATGATCACACCCATGATCCCGGTGTTTCTTCAGTCAGTATTGTTTGCGAAGGAAGCTTAGACCTTGAGAAGGTAATATAGATAATATGCAGCTTGAAGGCACACAAGTAGCATAAACAACAATTTGATGAAATAGAACGTTAATCTTCAAATTTTGGTACAATCCATCAGGCAAACATGTGGCTAGGGACTTTACTGATGGAACGCAGTGAGGACATCTACAGAATGAAAGGTCTCCTCTCGGTCCACAGCATGGAGGAGAGATTTGTGTTTCAAGGAGTCCATGACATATTTCAAGGATCACCAGACCGGTTATGGGGAAGAGACGAAGCTAGAGTGAACAAGATTGTCTTCATTGGCAAGAATTTGAACAGGGAGGAGTTAGAAAAGGGTTTTAAAGCGTGCTTGATTTGATTTTTGGAATCTTTTTTTATCTTTTCACTAAGGTGTAATGTATACCTTGTAATTCTATTTAAGTGCCAAGCAAACGTGATTGCGGAGGTATCCCCTACTTAATAAAGTTAAATCTACAATCTTTGAACAAATTTGAAAAATAGAAAGAAAATATGTGAATGCTGTTGACAAAATATATATATGATTTTCACTTTTAAATTATCTTATAATACATGATAAAAATATCAAATGTCATATACTCTTTAATAAATCAAAAATGTTTAAAACTTACTAAGGTATAAACAAAAATTGAAAGTTTTAACTTGAAATTAATTAAAAACTTAAATACGAAATAAACATAACACTAGGAATCCACGAATCTCTAATGATCAGAGGATTTTGAAGAAAACTAGATTTATTTTCCAGAAATTGAGAGAATAATAAAATTGGTGAATTACTTTTTACTATTTAATATATTTAAATTTATAATCTTGTTATTTTTTAAATGAATTAAAACAATTTTACTACTAAATAAACATAACAACATACAAATGAAAAGGAGTCTATTTAACAACACATGAGAAAGCAAATGTTACATATAGCTTAAAAGGCCATCTAACCAAGTTAGAATATAGTAAGCCCAATAAAATCAGCCCATTAATAGATAATTAAGTACCCACCCAACCAGCTTGATGAATTTCGTTTCACGAAAAGGTCCGACTTTGAGGAAAGAAAAAAAGGTCCGACCCGAGTAGTAAGTAAATTTATCATCTGCTCCATAAAGACAAAACCTAGAAATAGAGTGCGATTCGAGAGATTTGCAACAAAAAAAAGAATTGTATCGAATTGGTGAATTGGAATAATGGAAGATGATGATGATTACGTTGAGTATGTTCCGGTGGCGAAGCGTAGAGCAATGGAAGAGCAGAAGATTCTTCAGCGGAAGGGAAAAGCTTCGGAGTTGGAGGAAGAAGCTGACAAGGAAAAGCTGGCTGAAGCAAAACCTAGTCTACTGGTTCAAGCAACGCAGCTCAAGCGAGATGTACCCGAAGTCAGTGCCACTGAGCAAATCATCTTACAAGAGAAAGAGATGATGGAGCATTTATCTGATAAGAAGACGCTTATGTCTGTTCGTGAACTCGCCAAAGGTATCACCTATACTGACCCTCTCTTGACTGGCTGGAAACCTCCTTTGCATATCAGGAGGATGTCTTGTAAACAGAGAGATTTGCTTAGGAAGCAATGGCATATTATTGTCAATGGTGATGATATCCCTCCGCCTATCAAGAACTTCAAGGATATGAAGTTTCCTAGGCCTGTTCTCGATACCCTCAAGGAGAAAGGCATTGTTCAACCTACTCCCATTCAAGTTCAGGGTCTTCCTGTCATTTTGGCTGGCCGAGATATGATTGGGATTGCCTTCACCGGTTCAGGAAAGACTTTGGTCTTCGTCCTTCCCATGATCATGATTGCTCTCCAAGAAGAGATGATGATGCCTATTGCTGCTGGAGAAGGTCCCATTGGCCTTATTGTTTGCCCCTCTCGAGAGCTTGCTCGCCAGACTTATGAAGTTGTTGAGCAGTTTGTGGCTCCTTTAGTCCAAGCTGGTTACCCGCCTTTGAGGTCCCTGCTATGTATTGGAGGTATTGATATGAGATCCCAGTTAGAGGTTGTCAAGAGAGGTGTCCACATCGTTGTTGCTACCCCTGGGAGGTTGAAGGATATGCTCGCCAAGAAAAAGATGAGCTTAGATGCTTGCAGGTAAGACTAGTTCCACTCCTTCTTTTTTGCTCATCTACCTGATTGTACTATATGTCTGCTTCTCCTGTCTCTGCTGCCTTGTTTGTTCTTATATCCTCGTTTTCTGAGTTAAGCATTTGGCTAGATTCTTGGGGATTTCCGTTTATTTGTGGTTTATTGTGCCTGTTTTGCTATTTTTGGTAATGGGGAGAGATCAATAGAGTTTTCTAAGGTCTGTTAGCGGCTTAGAGCTTCTTTGCTATATATATTCTTTATGGTATGATTCGAAAGAGGATTTTTTTTCTCTACATAAAATTTTCCACACTTGAGTTTCTTTCTGAATGTTGAAAAAAAAAAAAAAAAGGAGTTTCTTTCTGAATGCATCTTTCTTGTCTTTGGAGTCTTGATGTTGTGCCATCTAATTTCAAAATCTAGATAATGATAGATGACAATGATGTTTACCTTTCTTTTGCTTGCCTAATTATAGGTACCTGACACTAGATGAAGCAGATAGGCTGGTTGATTTGGGTTTCGAAGATGACATAAGGGAAGTCTTTGACCACTTTAAGTCTCAACGTCAAACACTTTTGTTTTCTGCCACAATGCCCACAAAAATTCAAATATTTGCCAGAAGTGCTCTGGTAAAACCTGTGACCGTTAATGTAGGAAGAGCTGGAGCTGCGAATCTCGATGTGATCCAGGAGGTAGAGTACGTCAAACAAGAAGCAAAAATTGTTTACCTCCTCGAATGTCTACAGAAAACCTCTCCACCGGTTTTAATATTCTGTGAGAACAAAGCTGATGTTGATGATATTCACGAGTACTTGTTACTGAAAGGAGTGGAAGCAGTAGCCATCCATGGAGGAAAAGATCAAGAAGACAGAGAATACGCAATCTCTTCGTTTAAAGCTGGGAAAAAGGATGTCTTGGTCGCGACTGATGTTGCTTCAAAGGGTCTAGATTTCCCTGATATTCAGCACGTAATCAATTACGACATGCCAGCAGAGATTGAGAACTATGTGCATAGGATAGGACGAACAGGTCGTTGTGGTAAAACTGGGATAGCAACGACATTTATAAACAAGAACCAAAGTGAAACCACGCTGCTCGATTTGAAACACCTGTTGCAAGAAGCTAAACAGAGGATTCCACCTGTCCTTGCTGAGCTGAATGATCCGATGGAAGAAGCAGAGACCATTGCTAATGCAAGTGGTGTCAAGGGTTGTGCGTATTGTGGTGGTCTTGGACATCGTATTCGAGACTGTCCAAAACTTGAGCACCAGAAGAGTGTGGCCATATCTAATTCTAGAAAAGACTATTTTGGCTCTGGTGGCTATAGAGGAGAAATATAGTCTTGTCATCCAATCTTTGTTTTTATCCCTCCTGCAGGTGATTTCATCTTAGCTGTTACCGAACTGTGATGTTCACGTTCCATCTTGTATTGCGACAGTTTTAAACTTTTCTTCTTGCCCTCTGATAAGAAACAATGATGGTGTTGCCTACTGTATTTTGATATCTCTCTATCAGGATTCTATAACAACAATAAACGCACGATTTTGAATCTCTCAAATCATATTATCCTACAATCATTTTATAAATTTATTGTTCTATGGCTGCTAATTGGTTATAGAGTGCAATTTCCCTTCTTTTTTTTTTTTAATCAGCCAACTTAAAATATTAAAGCAAATAAGATATATGTTTATATATATAATAAAAACGGACATAATAATAAAAATAATATATATATATATATATATATATATGTTTGATATAATAAATTTTAAATCAATAAGATCATATATATATATATATATATATATTGGAAAAAGATTTGATATATTAGAAATTTTGTTGAATATAATAAATACTGATTTTCAGTTTTGTAATTTAGTTACAAATTTTGTCTTAAAGTTTTATTTTTCATTCAAATGCAAAGGTTTATGATTGCAAAAGTTTTGTTATTCATTCAAATGACAAATGGCAAAGGTTTATGATTGCAAATAATACAAAATAAAATGTTAATTTCCAAAAAGTACTTAAAAATGTTAATATAGATTCGTCCATTACTTTGTGAATACTCATATTCTCATATTCTAATCATTGGATTCTTTGTGATTTAGTAATCAATACATAAAAGAACAAATGTTGCTATGATCACAAAAAACGGTGGTATATAATCTATGACTATGATGAACTATTCTCAAGTACGACCATAAGAACTTTGGATAAAAAGAGATTTAAGTTAAATAAGAAGAAGACTTAGACAGACTTAGGCTCACATTTGTTTTGTTGGTGAGCTTGCTAAACATCTAGATAGAAGGACAATATTATCTTCACGTTTGGTAAATGGTAATGACCCCAATTAAACAAAATCTTTTAAAGCACCTCCTCGAATCAAACATGATTCAAGAGAAGATCCTGAAGAGGAGACCTCCATGTGTGGCGAAGAAGGGAGCAAAGACGAGAGACTCAACCGCCATTAGCTTGATCAATATGTTAAGTGATGGTCCTGATGTATCCTTCAACGGGTCTCCTATTGTGTCCCCTATCACCGCTGCCTTGTGTGGCTCTGACCCTTTTGGTCCTAAGCTCCTCGCGTGCTCTGATGCACCAGCCTGCTTGTTATAGTGTCGCAATCGTTAATATTTCTTTCATATTATTTTTTCCAGGCTTTCAAACATGTCTTACGAAAGGCTTACTTACCTCAATGTACTTCTTGGCATTGTCCCAGGCTCCACCAGTGTTTGATGCAGATATTGCAATCTGTTCAAATAGTCCCAAAAATCTTAATAAAATCTCAAAAAAATAATATTCCATGATACTGATATGGATACAAGGAGAAGGAAACCAGAACCCGCAAGTTAAATGGTTCACAAGATTATATTACCTGAACTCCAGAGATAAGGGAGCCAGCGAGAACACCAGAGAGGGTCTCAACGCCGAAAAAGAAACCGACAATCAGAGGCGTTAGCATGACAAGGCAACCCGGAGGAATCATTTCCTTGATGGAAGCATCCGTTGAGATCTTAACGCAGGTGGCGTAGTCAGGTTTTGCAGTACCTTCCATGAGCCCCGGGATGGTGTTGAACTGTCTTCTCACTTCTTCAACCATCTTCAGAGCTGCACTTCCCACGCTCTTCATCGTCATTGCAGAGAACCAATAAGGAAGCATTGCTCCAACAAGAAGCCCAATCACGACCTTTGGAGTCAACACATCCACTTTATGTATTCCTGCTCGGCTCACAAATGCACCAAACAGAGCCAATGACACTAAAGCAGCAGAACCGATCGCAAATCCCTGTTATAACAAATCACAAGTTTTAGCTCTGTGGCTATATTGTATAACTCTGAGGTGATGGAAGGTACTGTTATAATACCTTTCCGATAGCAGCAGTGGTGTTGCCAGCCGCATCAAGAGCATCAGTTCTTTCTCGGATGCGGTGGCTCATGCCAGCCATCTCGGCAATACCACCAGCGTTGTCACTGATTGGACCATACGCATCAATTGCCAAACCAGTTGCAATGGTACTGAGCATCCCTAGAGCAGCAACAGCTACACCGTACATTGCAGCAAAGCTGAAGCTAACAAATATACTGACAGCAATCGCAAAGATTGGAATTATGACGGATTTGTATCCAAGAGCAAGTCCAAATATCACGTTGGTGGCTGCTCCAGTTCTGCATGAATCTGCGACGTCTTGTACAGGGCTGCACAGCACACAGAGAGGTCAACCTGTCATAAAAAGCCACAGGGAGACAGAGAAAGAAACTGGCAATCAAATAAGAGTCAAAATAACAGCTTTACCTGTATGCATTGCTCGTGTAGTATTCAGTAACAAAGCCGATAATGAGTCCAGCCCAAAGACCAACAGCAACACATAGAAATAGCTCCCTGCAAATCCATAATCAAAGTACTTCAACTTTAAAAAACGTTCACATACAAGAAAATGCAACTAATAGAGAATCTTACCAGTTTTTCACAACTTTCTGTGTCCCAAAGTTGAATATGGTAAAAGAAGATGGTAACCCAATCCACGACACTAGAGCGATCCCAACAGTCATGATAATCGTAGAAATGATAAGCTGGTTTTTCAACGCCGGTTCAATCTCCTTTACTGCCTTAATTTCAGAGATATCTGTGGCAAAGAGGGTAGTGATCAAACAAACCAAGATTCCCATTGAACTGATGAGCAATGGGAACAACATGGCAGTGAAATCATGGTTGATTCCAAAAGACGAAATAGAAGCAACAACAAGTGCAGCACAAGATGATTCAGCGTAAGATCCAAAGAGATCAGAGCCCATCCCAGCAATGTCGCCGACATTGTCACCCACATTATCAGCAATAACCTGAAACATAACAACTTAACAGCTTAGTTACCTCTTAAAAAGAGTGTAACTGCATGAACTTTGATGAAGGGCAATTGGCTTACAGCTGGGTTCCTAGGATCGTCTTCTGGAATATTCCTTTCGACTTTGCCCACAAGGTCAGCACCTACATCAGCAGCTTTAGTGTAGATCCCACCACCAACTCTACCAAAGAGCGCCATGGAAGATCCACCAAGCCCATAACCAGTGATAGACTCAAAAAGGCCTTCCCAGTTATCACCGTAGTAAATCTTGAAGAGATTGATAGTAATGTAAAGCACCAAGAGACCGTTAGCAGCAAGAAGGAAACCCATCACAGCACCAGACCTGAATGCAACGATGAAGGCCTTCCCTACTCCTCTCCTTGCCTCCAAAGTGGTTCTGGCATTGGCATAAGTGGCAATCTTCATCCCAAGAAAACCAGAGAGGACTGATGTCACTGCGCCAAGGACGAAGGAGATGGTGCTGAAAACAGCAGTTGCAAGAGCAGGCTTGCAAGTTCTCGTCTTGTCGTATGTACAAGGCTGGCTCTTTATGCTGAACCCCTCGACAGAACCAAGGAAGAGAAAGATAATGGCGGCAAAGAATACCATGAAGACACCAACATATTTGTACTCGGTGAACAGAAAAGAGGTTGCACCTAGACAAAAGACACAGATTATTGAGAAAAGCAATGTAAGTAACTTGTTTGATTCATAATATTAAAAACGAAAAGAGAGAAGAAAAAGTTGAAAAGCATCATTTTCTCCGTAGCAATTTAGATTAAAAACACATGAGAGGCACGTACGTGTAACACTCTTAAGCTATGCACTAGTCTACTACCAAATCCTAAACTAACTAGAGATAGTTTCTTACATCTATGTCAGATCCAGACTTCAAGAGTTAAAAGAAAAAAAGTTTCGATTTTTTTCATCTTTCCGAAAGTGACAGTTCCAGATTTTTGAAAGTTTTCTACTTTTCTCCCACCAATGAACGAAGACATTTGATCTCTTTAAGCAAAAAAAAAAACAGAGCAGGTATAGTCTAAGCAGAGAGAACCCTAAGATCTAACACGAGGTCTCTTTACCTTCAGATATAGCTGTCTGTATCTCAGCGCACTTGGCCACGACGCTATGATCGTTAACACCTTCCTCTTCCTCGATCAAGTAATCCCCGTGGCCATTTTTCCCGTCTTCGGTAGAAGATAAATCGCTACGATCGGCGGTGAGTTTCACGCAAGAGACAACGTACCACTGGAAAAGCGAGAACACAATACCCACCACGGCGCACACTGGGACCAAAGTCTCTGTCCAAACCTCGGGTAACAAGGCCTTCGCCAACATCGCTCTCCTAAATCCGTACGCAAATCAAAGAGAGAGAGAGATTAAGAAAAAAAAAAGAGAGAGAGAGAGATTGATATGCTCTGGCGATAGGGATGAACGAATGAAGTTGGAGAGGAAGTGAAGCAACTCGGTGGCATCGTGTCGCTTTTATATAAACACGAAGAAGAAGAAGAAGAAGAAGAAGAAGAAGAAGAAGAAGAGTCTTGGATGCTGTCATTAACAAAGCGACTGGGATTACCTACGCTTATTTCCACGTTTCTTACCATACACACCGATATGAACCGTTCAATTTTAATCCAACGACTTGTAACGTCTAAACAGTCTTGACAAAATTACCGCAGGTGGATAGGATATATAGCCACGTCACATACACGTGGCTTCGACTTAAATAAAATGTCAATATATGTTGTTAAGCATGATGTACGAGAGAACCTGAATAAAGCTGATACTTTGTGCATAATTCCCAAAGGATGAAACACAAAGGAGCATTGCCAAAAACAGAGCTTCCAAAGTACGAAACGGATGAAAGATGGAAGACCCGAGAAGAAACTAACTTGCAGGGCAGAGAGCAGCAAGTATAAGCAGAGCGCAAATTAATTCTTGGTTTTCCATGGGTTTTTTCCACTCTGTTACGACTCTTTGCTTTGAATCGCAATGTTGTGATGTTTTACTTGTATGTTCTATCATAGAAAGATAAACAATAAGAGAATGTTTGAACATCTGAAAAAAAAAATCAATGCAAGCCTGCGTTTAGCTGGTCAAATTTTATACATGGAAAAGGGGAAATACTGTATAAACCCAAATTAAGATTAACCATGTTTCTCGTTCAAACCATTATTCATATTCCTATTTCTTCACAAATGAGTACCTAATAACTTTATCGGCTCAAATCATCAGTTTAGTCAATGTGTCATTATCTCTTCCATTGGCACGGTATGCTATAGAAAGCAACTCAGAAGAATCCTGGGAGATTACACATCCATGACGCAGCAAGAAGTTGTGGAGTTTTTTAGTTGGAGAAAACCCACATGGCGGTATGATTTTCCTAAGAGATGGATTAGCAAAAACCATCCACGTGAATATTCCATCATCAGCTTCACAATACTTAAGGTTTATCTCTCTTAAACGTATGCACCTCTGCACAACTTCCCTCACCCCTCTTGAACTCACTTTCAAGCATCCTTGAAGATCAAGATGCAACAACCTTCTACACCTTTTGCTGATCATATCTAAGGCTTCGTCGTCAATCCAAGTTCCACATGCTCGCAAAGACTCCAACTTTGGAAGCTCAAAGTCTACTACACCAAGACTCCTTATGCATGTGCATCTGCTGATATCCAAAGATCTTAACTCGCCACAATTCCTCCAAACTTGAAGAATCCCATCTATAGTGATGCCAGGACACTGGGCCACGTCAAGACTTTCTAATAAAGGGCAATGACGTGATATCTTCTCGAGGCACTCATCGCGCAAATTGTGGTTTCTAGATAGGTACAAAAACTTGATCCCCGACTTGATATCCATTTCCTTGGAATAGTCTTCCACTCCAAAATTCGTCCCTTCCATTATCATGCACCTCAGGGAAACACATCTTTGAATGATACTGAAGAACGCTAGACCAGTTAACTTGGAACAGAAACTAAGGTTCAAAAAGGTTAATTGCCGAAAGAAGATCACTAATTCCATAATCATCTCATCAGAGAGGAAATTTGCTCCTTCAAGATTCAAGTGAACCAGTGTTTGACACTTAGCCAACAAGTACAACACCCCATCAAAAGTGAAACCGTGGCAATCGGAGAGAAGAAGCTTCTTTAGAGGTAACTTGGCATCAGCAATCAAGTAAAGCAACTCATCGGATAGAAACGAACCCGAGAGATCAAGCTCAATCAAACGACGAGCAAACAAGAAAGCATCGTTGGAGAAGGACTCCTTGGGATTTAATCCGATACCGTTGATCGCAAGAGACTCCAAGTTCCGGGAATTGCGCAAAACGAACTCGATGCAATCGGACGAAATGAAATCACAGTCACGGAAGATTATTTCTCTCAAGAGAAGACAATTCTGCGAGAGGGCAATCAAAGATTTGTCAGTGATGAAACTATTACCAGAAATGTTAATCTTCAAGAGAGCCTTGACACTTGAGGAGAGACTGATTAGCCCAGCATCAGAGACTGGACTCGGAATAGAATTAGGATAGCTTATATCCAGCTTCTGTAGAAACGGGAAATTCACTCCGATGGAAACCAGATGGCTATCTCGAAAATCCCCAACTCCAGAACATTTCAATTCCTTCATCATCCTCGATTTCTCAAAACCTGGGAAATACGGCATTTGGGACACATCGACGGATTCGAAATCTAAACCGGAACGGGAAACCTGGAGAAGAATCGAATTGAGATCGCGATGGAAATCGAAGAACCTGAGTCGCCTCAAGTTACGGAATCGAAGGAGATGACGATCGAGTAAAGGAAGAGTGCGATCGGTGATGACGAATGTAGAGCGAACGCGATTGGTGATGGAGAGGAACAAGGTCGATACGAGTGAAAACGATTCCAGGAATCGATAATCATCTTCATCGATAGCTTTACAGATCAACTCCCAGCATTCTTCAGGTAAATGTAAATCCATGGATTCGGTTCTCTCCAAATCTGTGAAGACGATGATTAGCTGACACAGTCTGAATTCTGTTATAGACTACAATAAAACTAGCAACAAAACATCTTCTTCGCTGGCCTTTTAACCTCAGACACCAGTTTTTTCAAATTTCAAAATGGGCTTGTTCTGGCCCAATCACATATAAGGCCAAATTCAAAGCTTAGCCGCTTTCTTTTTTGCCTATTTATCTTGATATGTAAAACAAAAATAAAATTCAAACTCTTTGTGGGAAAGAAAAATAAGTTAAACCAGATCTGATCTGTGTGGATCACATATGAGTTGTTTGTCAAAGTCAACGATAGAAACGGTTACAATAGTATCGAATGAGAGAGGGACACGTGACAGTGGTAGCTGAATTTAAGTTAGGGATGAGCTCAGACCCTTTGACCATCCACCAATGGAAAGCTGAATCAATACATCATCTATAATCCGCTAGTGGGTGGAGTAAATGCGTAAAACTATAGTATTGGGTTGGGTAGAATTTAATATTTTTTTTAAAAGGGTGAAGTTTCCCAACGAAATCTCTGACTCGATTCAGTTTTCTATAATCAATCAAATCGTGTTCCCATTCTTCTTAATATCCAGTTTTATCCTCAACTCGATCTTCCTTCTTTAAATTTCCACAAGAAGAAGAGAAAAGAAAGAAAGAAAAAATGGCAAAAGAAAGTGGTTATATTGGATCAATCGATCAAGGAACGACCAGCACCAGATTCATCATTTACGATCATGATGCTCGTCCCGTTGCTTCTCATCAAGTCGAGTTCACTCAGTTCTATCCCGAAGCTGGGTATATCTATATTATTATTATTGTTATTATTCTCTCTCCACCTTCTTCTTTATATCATCATTTATTTTGGTGGATGACCCCGAGATCTTTGTCTTATTGCAATCCAAATTATTACATTCTCGGAATTCTTGAGTGATCTGTCCGTGTTTCCGTTGGAACTTGTTTTTGTCATCATCTCCAGGATTCATGGATTACTAGTTTTAGTCAAATCGATTTCGAATCCCTGATCTCTTTGTTGTTCTCACCTAATTATTATGTTTTTTTGGCGGGGGTGGGAATGAAGATGGGTGGAACACGATCCAATGGAGATACTGGAAAGTGTCAAAGTATGTATTGCAAAGGCTCTCGACAAAGCCACCGCCGATGGACACAACGTGGACGGTGGCTTGAAGGCCATTGGCCTTACAGATCAGAGAGAGACTATCGTTGTTTGGAGCAAGTCCACTGGACTTCCTCTCCACAAAGCTATTGTGTGGATGGATGCTCGCACCAGCTCCATCTGCAGGTTTCCTCTTCTTCCTTTGTCTCCTCTTCACGGCGTGTGCTCTGTTTTTTTTCTAATCATCTTTCACTTTCACAGGAGGCTAGAGAAAGAACTCTCGGGAGGACGATCTCATTTTGTGGAGTCATGTGGCTTGCCTATAAGCACTTACTTCTCTGCGATGAAGCTGCTTTGGCTCATGGAGAATGTTGATGATGTCAAAGACTCTATCAAGAAAGGGGATGCCATCTTTGGCACTATCGACACATGGTTGATCTGGAACATGACTGGCGGTGTGAACGGCGGTCTACATGTCACTGATGTCACCAACGCTTCTCGCACCATGCTCATGAACCTCAAAACCTTAAGCTGGGACCACGACACTTTGAAGACTCTCGCCATACCAGCTGAGATCTTGCCTAAGATTGTCAGCAACTCCGAAGTCATTGGAGAAATCTGCAAAGGCTGGCCTATTCCCGGGATCAAGATCGCTGGATGTCTTGGTGATCAGCACGCTGCAATGCTGGGACAAGCTTGCAAAAAAGGCGAGGCCAAGAGTACATACGGCACCGGCGCTTTCATTCTTCTCAACACAGGAGAAGTGGCTATCAAATCAGGTCATGGACTGCTGACCACGCTGGCCTACAAGCTCGGGCCTCAAGCACAGACAAACTATGCACTGGAAGGTTCGATTGCCATAGCTGGAGCTGCTGTCCAGTGGCTAAGAGACAGCCTTGGTATAATAAAGAGCGCCTCTGAAATAGAAGATTTGGCCAAAATGGTAGATTCTACAGGAGGAGTGTACTTTGTGCCAGCGTTCAACGGGTTGTTTGCTCCTTGGTGGAGAGAAGACGCTCGTGGTGTATGCATCGGAATCACGAGGTTCACCAACAAGTCTCACATTGCTCGCGCAGTTCTGGAGAGCATGTGTTTCCAAGTGAAAGACGTTCTCGACTCCATGAACAAAGATGCAGGTGAAAAGGGTTCCCTAGATAACGAGAAAGGGGAATTCTTGCTCAGAGTTGATGGTGGTGCCACAGCTAACAACCTACTGATGCAGATTCAGGTACGGGTCTGATTGTGTAGTTTTTGGTAGGGCAACAAACTCATTCTCTTTTATCTCCTTGGAAATGTTGTAGGCAGACTTGATGGGAAGTCCGGTGGTGAGGCCTGTGGACATAGAGACAACAGCACTAGGAGCAGCCTATGCAGCTGGGTTGGCTGTGGGATTCTGGAAGGAAGAAGACATATTCGAGTCGGGAGAGAAGGCGAAGAACTCCCAAGTTTTCAGACCGGCTATGGAAGAAGAAACAAGGAAGAAGAAAGTGGAGTCTTGGTGCAAAGCGGTGGAAAGAACATTCGATCTCGCTGATCTCTCTATCTAAAACTCGAATCATTTGATATTTTTATTTACCACAGTTGGCATCTCTGTCTTCTAAGTCACATGGATCTAATATATATATATATATATATATATATATGTCTTTGAAGGAGATTGAAAAATCAATGAATGCTTAATTCTGTTGGAAGTGAGATTGCATCAGATAGGACATGAGAGAGGTCGTTATATATGGTCGGAACCTCTTCAATAATTTCAAACACTTAATATTGCACGAAACTCAGCATTTACATGTCCCTCAGATATAAATGATGTTTAACAAGCTTGCTTATCAAAGAAGAATGTTAATTTGTCCCGAGATTGATTGCCACTGGAACTACCTCTATCCTCGATTCTCGAATTCCGCACTTTTCAATTCTCGATTTCTTTACACTCAGAGACCAAGCGCTCGCCGACGACACTGGTTCAAACAGAATCCCAATTTTTTATTTTGTGTGGGTGGGTGATTTCGTCGTCAATCATATTAATTTTCTAAATTTAATTTAATATTTATGGGCTCCCAAAAAAAAAAAAAAAAAAAAAGAAGAGTCGTGTTGTTCCCCTCTCGTTTATATTCATCTAAAAATGGGCCTTTCCTAGGCCTTGCTTCTTATTAAAAAGATAGTCTTCTTCCCCTGACCATAAAATGGGCTTTCCTTTTTTAGGAGTCAACGGGGATCAACATTGTCTTTCCTTTCGTCGACCAAAGCTCTCAACCATGGTAAAAGATTTGTTGGACGATCATTTGTGTTTTAAATATGTGACTCTCTTTCTTTTTTTTTGACAAGATAGTAAAATCCTTAATCTTGTTTTCTAGTCATTGTTTAGTTTTCAGGATTAAAAATAATTTGGGTTGTTACAAATTTTAATATCTGATAACTTCAATTAATTTAGTTTGAGACCTTTTCCATCAAAAGTTTCCAAGCAATTAATATGCGTGCTTCTTTCTCCTTTCTATCGGATCCCACTGAAACAGCGAGAATCTAAGTAAAAAAGTGGACAAATGGAAATATTAAGATAAGAGTGTTGTATATTTTATTCAAAGAAAAAAAATATAGACAAGGTTTCATAATGGAAACACAGCAAAAAATTCAAAAGGGTCAAATGAAAGCAAAGCTAAGGAACGAAGAAAAAAAAAAACGTCAAGTGTGAAGAAGAAAAAATCTTCTCTTTTTGTGTTTTGTTTTTGCCTGCTTCCTTCACGCAACCTATAACTAAAGGCCATTGTGTGTGTGTGTATTTTTTTTTTTCCTTTTCAAATCGTTTTTATATATTACCGATTTAATTTCTTGGTCCTCCACTATGTTTATTGTAAAAATAGGGGTGTAGTAGTGAGTGAATCTCATCTTTTTCTATCGCTTGTAAGTTGTAACTGTAAGTATGTATACTCAACGACGACGTACGTACGGGGCTATATATATAGATACTTGGTCTAAATTCATTTAATTGTTTTTTGCTATTCAAAATTTGAAACTCCCATAAATTTTGTAGGGGGAAGTTCTGATGCACTTCTCGTCACTGCATTTATTTCTTTCGGCTAAAATTCAAAATTCGAACTCTATATTATTATGCTCTCGACGGAGTCACTATACATATACATATATATATATATATATATATATGCTATCTTGCTTATTACATTCGTATCAGTATCAATCATTACGCGATTTACCTCTCCATAACATTCTTTGTCCTTGTGTTGTTTTTTTTTTTTTTTTCTTGCATTACATATACTATTAATGTGCGTCAACCACGACTAGATTATACTTATCTTACGAAAACTAAAAACAATATTTAACGTTATGGTGTACAGGAATATACATAAAGTGGGGATATTAGACAAGTGGAATGCTTTGAAAATACTACTAATTAAGTTGCTTGCCCAGTCAACAAAAGAACCGACTAAATATGTGTTTGATTATCACAACCAACAACATATTCTTCTGTGATGTTCCCAGGTACTTTATGTATAAGGCGTTGACTTTGACATTACAATTAATCATCCAAAAGAAGAAAAAGTTTAAATCCGTGTTCGAATCATAAAAGATTAATTAGTGAATTATTAGCAACTAAACGATTGTTTTATTTATTTTTAGTCAACTTATGAAATATAACTTGTAGACGTGCAAAGTCAAACATCTTACTTAGCAACTTTTGTTAATTACTCCTCTATATTTAATATGTTGGCTATAAAATTAAAAGAAAAAGAAAAATAAAACACACACACACACACGAGAAGAGGGTCTTCTTTAAATAATTGCGTAGTAGTAGGCAGACGAATGTATGTCTTTTAGACAAAAACAAAGCAAACTTCTCTTCTCTTCTCTTCTCTGCTCTTATTCTAAAGGTTTCAACTTCTCGCACACATCTATCTTATCTATCTATTTTAGGCATCTGACTCAAAGCACCATGAGCAGCCAGCACCACCAGCAACCGAGCTATGTTACGGACCCAAACACCATGTTCGTTCAAGCAGACCCCTCCAATTTCCGCAACATCGTCCAGAAACTCACGGGAGCACCACCGGACCCCTCCTCCTCCGGTGCACAGCAGAAGCTTCCCTTAACTCCGAAAAAGCCAGCGTTCAAGCTGCACGAACGACGCCAATCATCCAAGAAAATGGAGCTGAAGGTCAGCAACATCGCAAACCCAAACGACCCTTTCAGCCATTTCCACAGAGGGTTCCTCGTCTCTCCGGTCTCTCACCTGGACCCGTTCTGGGCGCGCGTGAGCCCGCATTCAGCGCGTGAGGAACATCACGCGCCACCGGACAAGGAAGAGCAGAAAGCCATAGCGGATAAAGGGTTCTACTTCCTCCCGAGCCCGAGAAGCGGCGCGGAGCCAGCACCGGAGCTTTTGCCGCTGTTTCCTCTACGTTCTCCGAACGGCACTAATCACCGGACCGCAGATAATAATTATCGCGACTCTTAACCTTTTTTAGAGCAAGAGCTTCTCTCTCTAATCATCATAATTTCAGTGTTTTAGGCTTATTTAATCTTTTAAGTTGGTGACGACACGTGATCTTTGCTGTTGCTTTTTACTATTTTTGTTAGGGCTAATCTCCGTTTCCATTTTTCTTTTAACCTAGGCTTCATTTTTATTTTATTTTTTTTGGACCTCTTCTTCTACTAGTAGTAGTATTATTTTTATAAGTAAATCCCTCCCTTCATTTCATTAAAACTTTTATTTGAAGGTCAACTATATCGGCCCGTGTACTCACACTTCCTTTTTAGATTATTTTTCATACGCGGCAAATTACATTTAGTCAAGGAATACATCATTTCACGACAATGAATTATATATGATCCACCACCAAAAACACACGCTATGTATATGTTAGTTTCGAATAATGGTATATGTTTCGAAAAAGGATTCCTAATTATTAGAATCAGAATTCTCATATTTGACAAGTCGTCTTCTACTGTATCAAAGTGTTATTAATCTTCGTATCTTGAAGTTTCCTTACAATCAAGTTGACGATGACATGTATCATGTATGATATGAATGAATATTGAATAGATAGGCTACAACAACAACATAGGCCGACTCATACGTATATAATAGATACAAAAACTGTGTTGACTTTTTGGTTAAGAAGCTAAATTCTCGGTGGGTGATATAGATATAGGGTACAGTGTGTTACACTGCTCCATTTACAATCTTTTGTTATTTTTTCTTTTCTTCTTCTGTTGGCCATTGTATTGTGTAATAAAGCTGCCTGCCGTTGGATTTAATGACAATGACAAAGCTGTGACGCAGAAAGAAGCGGCGCCTATTTCCTCTGCAGATTCAACGGCTACGATTCAATTCTCCTGCTGTAAAACATAAAATGCACCCTACGATTCAACGTGTGTGAATAGATATAAAAATAATAAATAGATGTTACTTGTAACAGAGGGTGTCTCTGCATCTCTCTTTAAAGTCTGTTGTCAGTCTATCTTCGAACTCTGCCCCTCAGGTGTGTGTATAATCCCATATGTTTTGATACAATTAAAACACGGTGAAAATTTAACAGCACGAAATAATATTTGTCAATAAATTATTCATTTTGACCATTTTTGTAGGTCTAGTCTAAATGTATGAGAAAACCCATCACAAGTTCTTGAATTTACCACGACCAATAATAATTAAACATCTTTCAAATTAAATTTCATAAAAACAGTTTAGTGTAAAACATCGAAAGTTTTTACATTTTATCATCGGAGATAGATACAAAAATCATTAATTAACGTCGACACTCTAAAATGAGTAATACACGTATTTGAACGGATATCACAACTAAACGTCTTCCTTCTTCTTTTTCATTATTATCACGAAAAGATTTATTGTACATAAGCACACGAGAAAATCGATAGATTTTTGTTGGGATTTAGGTCAAAACTCCACAAAGATTGGAAGCTTTTGTGTTCCCAATTAGTTAGACTTGCAAGAAGCAGCCAGCTTGAACGTGACCAACATGTGTTTCCAATTTTACCCACCGAGAGCTACTTAAATCACATATATACCCCACGGTAGCCAGAGCCTTGCCGTTGCCGATCACAATAAGCCTCCCCGGCCTAACCGCCACGTAAGTCACATTGTGCACATCAGCAGGGACCTGACCCACCTTCTGCCACGTGTCGTTCATCGACACCATCACGTCGCCACGACAGCACGCGTACAAATCTCCGTTCTCACCGGCTGCGCATACCGGCGGGCTACCGTCGAGGAACTCCTCCGTGAGTGGACCCCACTGCCACGTAGACACGTCGAAGGATTCAGCGGTTTTACTGAAGTTCCCCTGTTCCTCCGTGGCATATCCACCGATGACGTGGAATCTGCCAGCGTGGAATAACGCTTTGCACTCGTCCCGTTCCCGCGCCATATCCGGCAAGAAGGCCCACTTGTCTTCCGCCACGTCGTAGACTAGTGCTGACGTCAGCGCACATTTCTCTTCGTCGTGTCCACCCGCAACGAACACCGTCCTATCGGAATCGGAAGCGCACGCGAAGAAGGATCTTCGCACACCTGGCATGGTAGACCCCAGGCGCCACTTGGAGGTGAGGAAACTGAAGACGAAGACGGAATCAGAGGCCTGCCACGTGACCGGGTCAAGCCCACCCAGGACAATAAGATCCGAGCGGACAGAGACGAGGCTGCAGAAGAGAGGAAGTCCGGTGGATAGAGCCGGGATCGGAGGAAGCTCCGTCCAAAGACCGGAGCCGGAATCGAGAACAGCGAGCCGGTATTCAGGGGAAGGGTGAATCTTGGAGGAGTCTTTGTGGTGACGAGCCTGAGAGAGGATAAGAAGGTCTTGGCTATGGCGTGAAGCTTTTCGCTGGAGTAAGAAGTGAGAGAGAGAGACTTCACGGTTCCAGCCTCTGCAAACGGAAGCGATGGTAGGGAACTGTTTGTAGGATGCGCGTAAGAGACACTCGCGGGCAACGTCGTCGGGAAGATTGGGGATGAGTTCCATCACGAACGTCTCAAAGATTTATCAGCTCCTTTGTTTTTTTTTTTTGGTTTATAAGGAAAGAAGCTGCTATAGCTTTAGGAGAGCCAGAGATGTAACAGTAGTTTATAATTTAGTGGAAAAAAAAAAGAGTATATAGGATGTTGGAGAGAAGGTTGAAGATGATTAATATGAGGGAAGAGGAGAGAGTGTGCCCCCCCCCCCCGCCCTCCCTCTTTATATAGAGACTATAAAGATATTTAAGGTTAATAAGTCTTTCTAGTTTTCTAGAAGAAACTCTTCTTTGATTTGATTCATTCATCTGCTAATATTTCCTTTTCCTCTCACAATTGTATTTTCACTTTGTTTATATTTTAAATTTTATAACATAGTTTTTGTTAAGCTTATTTTATGTATTACTTGTTTTTTAAAACGAAAGATAACGGAACATGAGTGTGGCAAAAACGGTTAATGGTTGTGAGCTTCAAAAGATAGAGACTTCGAATCAATTGGGACAACTTGAATGAACGATGTGATTTACATGTTTTCCGTTTGCCTTTCTATTTTTAAAAACTTGTAGATAATATTTTTGTTTTTTTTATATTATTTTAAACTGTCCACTCCAAAAAAAAAAAAGCAAGCAAGCTACACACAGCTGTGTATCAAACAAGAATAAATTGATTTATCTCGTAAAGGATAAAATATAACTTAAAACACTTACGGCCATTAAAAGATTGTACTTTCTGAATGTACCTTCTTCCTGATTCTATATTTTAGATCACACCCTTTTTTTTTTTTTTCATAGTTATTATATCGGACCACACCCTTTTTGCTTTGCATAAAATATATCCATGTCCTAATTCTAAACAACATAACTTTATTCTGTAATTTTTATTGCAATCCAAACAAACATATACGAATAGTACATGATACAAAGTCAATAATAATTCTAAGATGTAGAAAATGGTTTTAGTTTTTAAACCACAGTGATTGGAGAGAAAGGTGAAAGAAACAGTACGTACATAGCGAGAAAGGGCATTTGACTACCACGAATATGTTACCTTCACATGTATGTGGAACATATATAGTCCAAGCACATAATATCGTTTATATATCAAATTATAAATTACGAAACTGATCAAATGAAATGAAAGAAATAAATAACAACAATCACAAAGAAAAAAGAAAAAAAACAGCTCAGGAACTCATGTTCTGGAGTCTTTCCTCCTAAAATCCCCCTTCTAGATGATCTTTTCTCTCTATATATCCCTTCTAGAAATTCCTTGTTTTCTTATAATAAAATCACTTGTATATAAATAAATAAAAGATCCTTTGTTGTCTCCATGTGTGAGTCTATCGTCGGTCGGCCATAAACAATTTTGCTTGTTGAATTTACTAAATTTATTTAATCATGCTAGATTTTATATATGTAAGTAGACATCTTCAAAGCATTTACTTATGAGGAACAAGTATTATTATACTTGGATCGGTCTTAAGTAACGCGTGTGACTGACGTATAAAAAAAGCGTTAAAACTATTACAATCCCTTTAAATCATATAAAAAATAATAATGCTTAGTAAACTTTAATTAAGCTTAAACAACGTATTAGACATATATATGTATATATTTGTGTAGCTGTACGAAATTGAATAATTTACAACAGGTATATTATTCGGGGGGAAGCAGCATGTTCCATGCAGGTTGGACTAGTTCTAGTGTCCACCACATGTATAAAGCTGTAAACATCGTCTTTAACGTGTATGTTTGGTTGATTAATTATTAAAATTAAAAAGTATAGCTTCATGATGTATGTACATATGGGAGATGATTGTAAGTTGAAGTTTAGACTAAATAGAAATAAAGGAGATATATAAGTAAAATGTATATGCCACATATATGAAGAGATCAACGGTCCTATGAAGAAGTATAACAACGAAAATAAACTAAATTGGAAAATGAGACATATTTATATATACGAGGGTGACAAAAAGGTAAAGCAATTGAAGAAACACAAAACGGCACGGCGTCGGAATGACTAGAAACAGTAGAAGGTGGACGAGACCGCCTTTTGTCAGCCTTTTTGAGAATTACAGCCATTATATATATATAAATGGAATATGGTCGAAAAGAAAAGAGGTCGTGTGACTGATTCGTCGGGTCGGGTGCGTGGCCTCTTTGATTAATCAAAAACGCTACAATCAATACGGAACGGAAGCAAATCCCGTTTCTTCGCAGATAGGAATGAACTGAATTAGACTTAGCTTTGTCTGATACTATTACTGAGAGTGTTTGGATTGGACCCACTTCATCAATGTTCTTGTCGATCGATATTTCAAAACTCAATACACACACACTCTTCTATCTTCTTCTTCTTTGGTCTCATTCAATGATCCATATTTTCCATAGAAGAAAATTCGCCGACCCATTGACAAAATTTACACATTCGAAATAATTCGCCAAATAGTTTAGCTTTTTCTTTTTTCTTTTTTTAAAAGATTCTAATTGAAAACGATATATAGAGGAAGGGATTTATTTGACTTATCTATATTGTATGTCGACATTTAACTCATTAAATTAGAATCACAAAACATCGAATCGCACCACCAGCGTATACGTATAACCTTAAGAAAAAAAGAATATCATGTATTCATGTGAGGTAACTAACATAGTTAAGGTTTATAATTAGACTGATTAATAAGTAACTCTTGTGAAAATAAAATAAAAAAATAGACTGATTAATAAGAGAGAATACGAGGCTTTTGGCACGAAAAACTTATCGATCGAAGAACCCTAAGGAAACAATGTACGCCAATTGCATTTTTGAATCACATACACGTATATAGAAAAGAGTATTCACAACGTCTCGAATGTAGAGTTGACTCGACGCATTTTTAACAATTTGTCACCCTATGACTTCATATGAGAAATAGTGTATATAATAAGATTTATGCGTTATTGTTTTGTTATCCACTGTGTATGATAATAGTGATAATAGCTAGAGAGATCAAATTGTTAAAAGAAGACCTAATTACCTTTGCTGCACGAAAATGAAATTGATCATCTGGATGGATATTTATGCGGTCGACATCAAATATTAAATAAAGCTATCGCTCGCTCTATCTCTCGTACCGGATATGGATATTTTTTTTTTTTTTTAGGTATTTCCTTTATCTTACGATTGCATTATTATTATGGAATGGATCATGTATGGGATAGTTATCTAGTAGCTGCTGACGTGGGCTTTGTATCTTCTTCTTCTACTGCCCCGATCAGTCGTGTCATTGTATTCCTTTTTTTCTTTTCTTTTTTTAAGTGCATCGCCCGTCCAACAGTTTAATTTATTTTACATCCTCATCAATCATCATCTCACATTGCTACATATACATCAACAGTTTTTCTCAAGTGTTCAATAAAATGATAACGAGGAGGCCAAGTTGGGGAAACGAATATATATCGACAACATCATTTTACAGATAATATTGGTAATAAAACAAGAAAATCAGGATGACTCAATTAAAAAATATCCCAATACTGTATATATGTTTTCTCCTACAGCCTACATGATCTTACTTACCTTACTTACGTGCCTCTCTAATCAACTGAACTTAGCTAATATTATTAGCTAGCGTCAAACAGACAAACGACAACACAGCGGTCAAAATGAACCTTGGCCAAAGTCAATACCGAGAGAGGACTGAACGTGCCAAAGCCATGAATGAATCCTATTATATACTAGTATAATAATAAGCATGTAACTTACTTACTAAACCACGTGAGTCGTGACGATCGCTTATCATTAGTACGTAAGTTTTTTTTGAAAATTTCGGGTTCGGCTTCAAAAGTCTACGAGGAGTTTGCGGTTAAACAAGGTAATGTTGTTAAATAAAAGTAAAGATAGTGACAATCATTGACTCGGGAATATTCTCACAAGCTTGTCTTGCTCTTAGAATTGTCTTCTATGCTATTAAAAACTAAAAAATGAAACCTTAACTGGTAAGTTCTACCCCTGAGCCTAAACGTCGTCTCTACTCTTTTGCTCTGTTTTAAAGTAAGCAAATAAACTCAAAAGGGGTAAACAGTAAAAACGTAAACGGCAGAGCAAGAAAACAAAATAAAAAAATAACGTGAACGGCAGGATTCGAACCTGCGCGGGCAAAGCCCACATGATTTCTAGTCATGCCCGATAACCACTCCGGCACGTCCACTTTTATGTTTATGAATTCATTTTATAACTTCATACCTTAGTGATCCTCGAAATACGAGTTCCGGCTTTCGAATCAAAACGTTGACACTGTGGGATTTGATGCTCTCTCTCGAGTCTCACAACGAGGAAGAAGAAGAAGAAGCATGCCGCGTTATCGTTAAGGTTCCTCGCTTTCTGCTCATCAAGTTAATAATTGCCTTCTCCTGCTTCCGAGCCTGTATAGTTATGTTCATGGAGATGTGTAGATTTAGCTCTCCTGGCTGGGTTTTATTGAGAAATTCGCCATGTTTCTGTTCAATGCAATTCCATGCCCCTTTTTGTTTTTGTATACATTCCAATTTCCCGTGTTTCTCTTTTCCATTACGATCTGAACTCGAATTCCAATGTAGTGCCTACTGAGTTCTGTGTTTCTTCGCTTTTTGATCCTGTAAACCAAAAACCCTTGTCCCACTCCTTACTCTTATTTCCTTGATTTTTATGATGATATATCATAATTTGTGCCATTCATTTGTATAAAAGCTTTGTTTTTCTGGGGAATGCTTTACATTTTTGCCATTCTTTTGCAGATTTGGAACCGTTTTTGTCTTCTCCACATACCAATATCTGCCTGAGGTTTCGATAAACTAGTGCCTCGGGTTTTAAGATAGTATTTACTTGTGAGAACATAGGGAAAAAAGGCTCTTCTTGCGTATTCTCTCTAGTGTGTGAAGGAGAAGATGCCCCAGAAGCGAAATCTTCCTTCTTGGATGAGTTCAAGGGACCCTGACATTAGTCCAGCTGGTAAGTCTCATAGTAAGAAACCCAAGGATGATGAACACGATCAAGATGATAAGCATATCAAAGAGCATACCAGTAGAAATGCCTCTTCCAACAGTTCAGAACACGGGCGAATGTCACCTGAGCCAAGTTCAAATACCACGGAATTCTCTAAACTTATGGTCTGTGTGCCTAATTGGTGTTGTTGTTTATATGCCTTTATGATTTTAGCTTAATATTAAACTGTGCAGGATGGAGTCATTTTTGTGCTGTCGGGTTTTGTTAACCCTGAGAGAAGCACACTTAGATCACAGGCCTTGGCAATGGGAGCCACTTATCAACCTGACTGGAACTCTGACTCTACGTTGTTGATTTGTGCTTTTCCTAACACTCCCAAGTTCCGTCAAGTTGAAACTAACTCTGGAACAATAGTCTCAAAGGTTACCTCTTTGACTTTCTCAATTTTTGCCTAGTTGAATTTCTCCTTTTTTTTTCTTTCTGATATTTATATGTTTTAAACGTCTTCAGGAATGGATAACTGAGAGTTATACGCAGAAGAAGTTGGTGGGTATTGAGCAATACCTTATGCATGCTGGAAAACCATGGAGGAAAAGCAGTGTTCTTCAAGCTGCTATCCGAGGTAAAAGAAATATATTGGAAAGGCTTTAGATGGAATCCTTGATAACTATTTACTGTCTCCACTCTCCACAGATTCATAAATATCACCTTGTTTTAAAGTTGATAATTTGACTAAATGATGAACTAGAGAATCACTTTTCTTATTGCTCTGGTTCACTTGGATGTTCAGTTGACCTTGTGAAGCCTAATTGATTTTATTCCAGAAAAGAGCGAACAAGTGTCTAAGAAACCAGAGAAGCAAGTAGAGAAAAAACCAGCAACAAGGGGAACACCATCTACCTCATCCAAGGTATGTTTCATCTTTCACCTATTAGACCCCTTAACAGGATTTTAGTTAATCAAAGAAACTGTAGTTTGCTCCAATCATGTTGTTTTGACTGTTTATTTCCTTGTCGTTGCAGAGTAGATCAGTTTGCAATCTCGTGAAAGAGCCATTATCCGTTACGGATGTTGAGAAATGGGCCAGGGATGACTTAACTCAAACCATCTCATGGCTAGAAAGTCAGAGGGAGAAAGTAAGGAGGATTATCATGATCTAACAAAGCTCATGTTTTTTTTTTTTTTTTTTTTTTTCTGTTTCTGTTAGTCTAAAATCTTTGCAACAGCCAGAACCAGGTGAAATCAAGCGAATAGCTGCTGAAGGAGTCTTAACCTGTTTACAAGACGCCATAGATTCTCTTGAGCAGAAGCAGGTTAATGTCTCTGAACAATAATAGCTCTAAAATGTTTATCCTCGTAAACTATCAGTTTTGAGAAGATCGTTGGTAGAATCAAAGCGTCTGAATTCATTCTCGAATGTTTGTAATTTTAGGACATTGGAGCAGTTGCAGAGCTATGGAGCTTTGTCCCTCGTGTGGTGAAGGAGCTTGGAAAGATGGAATCGTCTTCTAAAAGAGAAAACTCCACAGCTTCAAAGGAAGAACTTTGCAAAAGAGCAAAGTCCTGGAAAAAGATTTACGAGGCTGAGCTAGCAAAACCGGGGAGAACAAGAAGCAGAGAGACCTCTCGGGTTGCTGGTGGCTATGACAGTGACGAGACCGTTGAAATGACTGAAGAAGAGATCGAAGTTGCTTATAGGAACGTTTCTTTAGAGTCTCTTTAATTCAAACTTAATGCAATTTGCAGAACCACGAGACGTGTGGTTTATTCGGTTTGTTTCGGTTCGAGTGGAATAATACTGTTTAAAAAATTGAAATTATACCAGTCTGCTTGGTTAATACAATTTTTGACTGATGTGGTCAGTTAGGGTGAGATAAGATATGTCTCCAAATGTTAACCGGTTTGGTTCTATACAATTTCGTAACTGGTCTAAAATCAAGCGAACGAATTAAACCGGAAACAGGTACCGATTTGGTTAGGATAGAAGAAAGATGGAAGACAAGACCCTAATTTATACCTTATTGGTTTTGTCTTGTGAGAGTTGTGCCTTCTTTGTTCGTAGTAGGGTTGAAGCGGATAGTACGCCACCTCTCTCTCTCTCTCTCTGTGCTTGCTTATAAAAGTCGCGAAGAACATCTTCTTCTTCTTCCCGAGCTCTCCCAGTAGCGCAACATAATGGGGGCTTCGCTTCCTCCCAAAGAGGCCAACCTGTTCAAGCTCATCGTCGTATGTTCCGATTCCCTTTGTTTATCTCTCAGTTTGTCTTTTTCTAGTCAGCGTAAAATTGAAATACTACGAGTTTTATCTGCTCTGTTAAACCCTAAATTTAGTTAACCGTCAATGTGTTGGGTCAATATTTGACATGTGAAGTAAACTGTTTGGTGCCTTAAATTCATCTAATGTGTTTTTGTTTACAGTTAATTTGATGTACCAAGTTCTTCACTTCAATTACTTTTGCCTAGGATCTTTGCCACATGCTTAGATTCAGACCTGATCGAGTTTTAAGCTCAGAGATTATTAATTTACTTTGAACAACAACAAAACCCTGCTTTAAGAATCTACCTCTTTTTTCTCTAGTCAACATGGTTTTGTAGGTTATATTCTTCTTTCAGGCGTTAGATGTATGTTTATGCCTTTAGCAACTTGTTGCTACTACAAACATATTTTGTCACTGATTAAATGCTACGGTTCTTCTCACACTTGCTAGCAAAACTAGTTAATAATATAGCTCAGGCTCGGATCTCTTTTCCGAAGTCTACTTTAGCATAGGACTTTGGGTTTTACCAGTATCTTGCTCAACCTGCTTTGAATTGTTTAACACTTTTATTAATGTATTTTTCTGAGGTGTTATAGTATATATTTCATATGTAGTAATTCTGATTTCTAAGTGATCTTATAATGCAGAAATCATATGAGACTAAGCAGTACAAGAAGGGACTGAAGGCAGCTGATGCCATATTAAAAAAGTTTCCTGATCATGGAGGTTACTTGTCTTTTATCAAAATTCTTACACTCTCCTATCTTCTGTGATTCAATGTTAATGTCTCCTACTAGGCGCTTGGGATTCTTGCCTATAGTTTATGAATTTGTTCCTAGTGAAGCAAATAAATTAATTTCTTAGTATAAGGCTGTAGTGTATTATCACGTACTGATGAAACAGAAATGCTGGTACTCTTCTTTAGTTGAGATCTGTTCTGCTTTGTGTCAAACACAGTTTTTTCTCGTCTGCTGAATGATTCTATTTTATGCATTACTTGTCAACCCTATAGCTGTTCTTATAAGACTTGTTGCTTTTATTCTCTATGATTTTCAGAAACTTTATCGATGAAAGGATTGACTCTAAACTGTATGGACCGCAAAACTGAAGCATATGAGCTTGTTCGGCTTGGAGTGAAGGTTTTAATATTCTCTTCAATAATCACAACCTTATTCCTTAGTTTTCAAACATGGAATGCTTTTTCAGGGTAACAAAAGTTTTATACTTTATTTTTCACGCAGAATGATATCAAAAGCCATGTTTGCTGGCACGTGCTTGGTCTTCTATACCGGTCTGACAGAGAGTATAGAGAGGCCATCAAATGCTACCGAAATGCTCTTAGAATAGACCCTGATAACCTTGAAATACTCAGAGACCTCTCACTCTTGCAGGTAATTATGGGGAAAAATTAGATTGAGGTGAATTTATTGGGTGTGCAAAATTATTCTCGAAGCTGATGGCAATTCTTACTTTCATCACTATTTTTTTTTTTTTTTTTTTTTTTGTAAGCTTGCTCCAGTTTTAATCTGTGTTGAACTTCAACAGTTTATCATATTGTTTACTTTCTTATTTGTAGGCACAAATGCGGGACTTATCTGGATTTGTGGAGACCAGGCAGCAGCTTTTGACTTTAAAGCCTAATCACCGAATGAACTGGATTGGCTTTGCAGTCTCCCAGCATTTAAACGCAAAGTATGGTCCTTGACCCCTTAATCTTAATATCTTGCTTCATTTTACTCATTTAAGTGAGATGCTAGTTTTTCTTCTTGGACTATTGGCTAGCTGGTTAATGGACTGGTTTATGCGTATGCTTTGCAATTTTTTTTTGAACACTTAAGGAGTAAATAGCGTATGTCTTTGTTGTGACGAACCTTACATCAGATTTTTAGTTAATAATATACTCTGTGAGCTTTTTTAGTTAATAAGTAAATGCTTCCCATGCATATCAACCTTATTCGCTGAACTTGTTTTATTATTTTCTGAAACAAGTGCTTCTAAAGCTGTTGAAATTTTGGAAGCGTATGAAGGCACATTAGAGGATGATTATCCGCCTGAGAACGAGCTATGCGAACACACTGAAATGATTCTTTACAAGGTATCAAGCAGAAATATTACAATCATACTTTGATTGCTGTCTTTCTGTTTCTATATTCTCTGAAAAAGCATGCTTGTCGTAAATGGGTATCATACATTTATCTCTTGTTGGCAAAAATACCAAAATTTCTAGTTGGTTGGTACAAAGTAAGACTTACTGCTTTTAGCATACATGTTTGAAACATACCTGTGTTCTTTTGTGACAAAAGCATACCTCTCTCAAGAAGAGTTGGATATGAACCCTGCAAAGTCTCTCCAAAACACCTGGAGTGTTTGTGCTCTGTCCACTCTTTCTCCTGAATCTTCTCTGTTTGAGCAACCTACATTTGGCATTAGCCCAGTTTTGATATCTGTAGCTGCAGGAAATCTCAGCTGGACATTTTTTCCCTTCCAGGTTTCCTTGCTTGAGGAGAGTGGTTCTTTTGACAAAGCTCTTGAGGAGTTGCACAAAAAGGAGCCGAAAATAGTAAGTTCATTAAATTGATTGTGGGATATAATTTGGATCATAGGATACACATATACTAGATTTAACATTTCTCGTTTGATTGTTTGTAGGTTGATAAGTTGTCTTACAAAGAACAAGAGGTGTCTCTTTTGTCAAAGCTTGGTCGTCTGGAAGAAGCAAATAAACTCTACAGGGTTTTGCTTTCCATGAACCCTGACAATTACAGGTTTATTTTTGTTGCACTCCAAAGTCAATCTACAGCAGTTAGATGTATATTTTTCGTTTTTCTCTATTGCCACGTCTGTTTGCTATGATTCGCTAATTTAGCATACAATTGATGGCTTCTATATATTTTCGGGCACTATCAATTAAACAAATAAAAAAGTGCATTGCTCATAATTTCAGATATTATGAAGGCCTCCAAAAATGCCTTGGATTATATTCAGAAAGTGGTCAGTATTCGTCTGACCAGATTGAAAAATTAAATGCGTTGTACCAGTCTCTAAGTGAGCAGTACACTTGGTCATCCGCTGTTAAGGTGTGATATGGCAGATGGGTGCCTGTATTTTACTCTCGTCTGATATTTTTTTTGCTGCTGATACGTGAATTACAAAGACTTGGGGCAAATTTATTTTCTATTTTCTTATTATAGAGGATACCATTGGATTTTCTGCAAGATGAAAACTTTAAGGATGCTGTAGCAAACTACATTAAACCTCTACTGACAAAGGTATCTTTTCTTGTCCTTGAGTCTTTTTCTATAGACATTCTTGATAAAATATTTTCTTATATGTCTTGATACTTTTCTCAGGGTGTTCCTTCTTTATTTTCGGATCTTTCTTCTCTGTATGATCACCCTCGCAAGGTTAATTTCCCTGCATTTTCCTTCAGCGTGCTCTCTCCAATTTCATTAATCTGGCTTCACCATACTTTTCTACATATGATTTAATACTTATTTTGTTATCCAGCCTGATATATTGGAGCAACTAGTTGTTGAGATGGAACATTCAATTAGGACTACCGGAAGTTACCCAGGAAGGTATCAACTGAATTCATTACTGAATTATTGTCATCTATTATTATAGGTCTTACAAATGCAATACTTAGGGGTTTTTAAAGTTAGTGATGAGCAGTCAATTCTCTTGTTTAATTCTTAATTGATGCAGTGATGTGAAAGAGCCTCCTTCCACACTATTGTGGACATTGTTTTTCTTGGCTCAGGTTCACTTTTGCTATCACTGTCTTAATTTCTCTCTATAATTAACAATTTTACGTTTGATGTTTCATGTCGTTTATATTAATACTTATTTTTCTTCAAAATGCAGCATTATGACAGGCGTGGTCAATATGATGTTGCGGTCTGTAAAATTGACGAAGCCATTGCTCATACACCGACAGTTATTGATCTGTACTCTGTTAAGGTATCCTTGTTTATCATGGCCAAGAATCTTTCATAAGGTTTTGATCCATACGTAGTGGAATCTATTGCTGCTTCCACTACGTATAGATCTATATTTTGAAACCTTTTTTGACTGGGTGGTTGGGTTTTAATTTCTTTAGCTATCGCGATTGAGTTAACAGAATTCGTCTGATGTGTGCACACCGTGTACCAGGTTATCAATTTTGTATGAGGACTCTTCTTAACCCTTGTACTTGTTTCTCTCAACAGAGCCGAATAATGAAGCATGCAGGAGACTTGACTGCCGCCGCTGCACTTGCCGATGAAGCTAGAGGCATGGACCTAGCAGATCGTTATATAAACAGTGAATGCGTTAAGCGCATGTTGCAAGCTGATCAGGTTTTACATCTCGCTTTTGTATTATAATGTTTTTGGTCATGTTTTTCTGACGTGAAGCCTCAATGCTACTCTCCATCTGTGAATTATTTTTGGTGAAGGTTCCTTTGGCTGAGAAAACTGCTGTTTTATTTACAAAAGAGGGGGATCAACTCAACAATCTTCATGACATGCAGTGCATGTGGTACGGCTCTATAGAACCCTGAGTTGAGTAGTTTTGCTTATGTCAAAACTGACCATTCAGATATCTTTCTAATGGCTGTCTTTCGTTCTTATTTTGTTAAAGGTATGATCTTGCATCTGGAGATAGTTTCTTCCGTCAGGGTGATCTTGGACGTGCTCTGAAGAAGTTTTTGGCTGTGGAGAAGCACTATGCTGACATTTCTGAAGATCAATTTGATTTCCACTCATATTGCTTAAGAAAAATGACATTGCGTTCATATGTTGACATGCTTAAGTTCCAAGACCGATTACATTCATTCCCATATTTCCACAAAGCAGCAATCAGAGCTATCAGGTGAACCTGTTGTTGCATAATTGTAATCTAGTGACATTATCTGCAGTATGGATGCATCATAGATTCCATTTATCTGTATTCTCATTTAACTCTCGGCATGATGTTCAGGTGCTACCTTAAATTGCATGACTCTCCCAAGTCAACTGCTGAAGAAGATGAAATGTCAAAGTTGGCTCCAGCTCAAAAGAAGAAAATCAAGAAGCAGAAAAAAGCAGAAGCCCGAGCCAAGAAAGTAGGTATTTTCAGTGATTTGACGAGTATATTGACACTAAGATGGCTTAAAAGTGTTCTTTTTCGTTTCAGGAAGCTGAGAGTAAGAGTGAAGAATCTCCTGCTGGTGGTGCCTCTAAGTCTGGTAAACGAAATGTGAAACCTGTAGATCCAGATCCTCATGGGCAAAAGTTAATTCAGGTTGTTGTTTGCTTCATTTGTACAAAAGTTAATTCGGGTGGTTGTCACCACAACTGTATCATGAATAAAGGCTAAATGAAGAACTTAATCCGTACAGGTTGAAGAGCCAATGGCAGAGGCTTCAAAGTACTTGAGACTACTCCAGAAGCATTCACCTAATTCTTTGGAGACTCATCTACTTTCCTTTGAGGTCAATATGAGAAAACAGAAGTTTCTACTTGCATTCCAGGTAACTTCTATCATGTTTTTTTTTTTTTTGGGTGCAAAGGATCCATCATCTTTCTGTCATTTGCCTTTTTCAAGTATTATAAGGGCTTTTATGTCTTATTTTTTTCATTCTTCAGGCGGTTAAGCAATTGCTTAAACTGGATGCGGAGAACCCTGATTCACATCGTTCCTTGGTATGAAATTTGTGCAAATTGTGATGTTTTAAGTAATAGTTTAATTATTTAAAGGAGAGAAGAGATATTGTTCAAAAAAAAAAGGAGGGAAGAGATAATAATGTTTTTCCTTCAAGGGTTTTTTTGGCTAGACATGTTTTCTATTCTGTGGCTAATACTTTTGAACTTGGATGACAGGTTAAATTCTTTATCAAGACAGGATCGGTAAGTGCTCCAACGACTGCAGCTGAGAAACTTCGTTGGAGTGTCCTAGAGGCGGAGCGGCCATCAATCAGGTGACTACTCCAACCATTATCCACTCTGACGGTTACTTTTGTATATCACATGTGAAGATAAATTGTCCATTCGTTTGTATTCTAGTCAATTGCAGAATAAATCTCTTATGGAGGCAAACAAAGAGTTTCTTGGTAGACACGAAGGTGCAAATCAAATTGATTACATTTGCTCTCACGGAAAAATTACAATTGTCTGATAAAAAGATGGTAACATTTGCATTGAACTCCACAGATTCTTTGGTGCACAGAGCTGCATATGCAGAAATGCTATACATGTTAGATCCAAGCAAGAAAACCGAGGCTATCAAAATAATTGAAGACTCAACCAATAAAGTGGTTCAAACGTAATGCTCCTTCAAACACATATACCTTGTGATTTCTTACTCTCTCCGCTCTCTGTTTTCTTGGTATGTTTAACATCAGTTGTCCATGTGCAGAAATAATGCTCCAGGACCAGCAAGAGAATGGAAACTCAAAGATTGTATAGCAATTCATAAGCTCCTAGACTCAGTTTTCCTCGAGTCGGAAGCTGCTTCCAGTAAGCGTTAAACATCTCCACTTTGCTCTCGGCACCCTTATTACTTTTCTACGTGTGCATTTTGATTGATTGCTGTCTGGTTGGTCTTGTGAACCCACCACCATACTTCCATGATAGTAAGGTCCTTAGGTTTATAAGTATTAAGTTGCTGGAAAGTGATAACCGGGTGTTGTTGGTTACAATTGCAGGGTGGAAATCACGTTGCGCCGAGTATTTTCCCTGTTCAACTCACTTTGAAGGCAAGCGCAGCTCATTGATGCCTGATTCAGTGTACAACTCTTCGCGTAAGAGCAATGAGAATGGTGACTCGCCAAACCATCCAATGGGTCAGACTGAATTGAGCGACGGACAACTCCAAGCATTGAAGAGTCTCTCAGTGTCGACCTGAAGGACATGTTAGTTATCAATAAGAACCAAATCAACCCAGGAGATAATTTACAAAAGATGGAAGATCGATTCTTACAGACCCGGATCAAACTTGAGATTTAATGAATCTTTTGCAGAGTTGTGGAGTTGTAACATGCCAAATGTGTATAATTGTTTTTCTATATAAGGCTGAGTTTCAAAGTTTGAGGAACAAATGCCACATAGAGAGGGTCTTGTCTTCTTCTTTTTCTTCGTTTTGTTTCCCTCTCGACACTTGCTTTAAGAGGATGTTTCTAGCTTTTTGATGTTGTACCCTTTTTCAACTTCTTTTCTTTCTTCGGTTTCTCCACATTTATTTATCTTCCCCATTACAATATCTGTTTAAGCTTTTTGACATCTCTGAAAAATTTTGATTTTAGATGCCCTTAGTTTTTTTTTGTTTTTTTTTTTTTCTGATATTCGGTCTCTCTTGTCCTTGCATTAACACCATTATTTGGATTTTTATTGATTTTGCAAGTTAACAATCTCATCAACAAACAAAATGAATAAACAGCAACTCAACTATACAATAGTCTTCATCTATACACATCACAGACTATGGATCCAAATCCGAAGAGCTGGGATCAACTCTCTTTCTGCTTCCGCTTTTCTCTATGAGGAAGCACTGCTGCTTTCTCCGACCTCACTTTTACAGAGAGGGCAAGTCGCATTGATTTTAAGCCATTTGTCTACACAGTCTACATGGAAGACATGTGAGCATGGCAGCTCTCTTACTGCTTCGTCGTCTCCATATCTAGTCAAGCAGATGCAACAGCTCTGCAAAACCAATAACATCCAAGATGCAGACAATGGTTAATAAATGAACATGGGCTAACTATTATTTTCCTACATACAACTGACTTAACCTACAACTAATTCGATCCACAGCGACACTAACGAGATCAGAGTAGTATATACTTACAGCATCCTCGCCTGATATAAGACGTTTCTTTTGGGATCCCGACAGAAGAAACCCACCTTCACCTTCCTCTGAAAATTCCAAATCATTTCTACTTTTTGATTTAAACCTGTAGACAGGCAGTGCGTTGATGGCCTCTGCAGTGGCTCCTCTAGTTTGTGAGAAGTTTTCTCGAAATCCGAGAACAGAGATTAAGCAAGGCAGACAACAGCATATGGTTGCACATAGTATGAATGGCATTGCATATCCAATGCAACTAAAAGTAAGGAAGGCTATACATAACCTGCAGGGCCGAAGCAAAAAAAAAACATGAGTGGTAAGAGTTTCAGTTCTCCATTAGGAGATAAGAGCGAATGCAGTGGAGGGCTGTGTACCTGTACAATTTAGGAGAATCAGAAGGAGACGAGTGACCTCCAAATATCCATACATTCCCCACAACAAACCACACCGCAAAGAAACAGTCAATGGCCATCTTGAAGTGGTCCACCAGGCCATTGAGTCTGCAAGTCAAAAACAAATGATCAATTTCGGTTTCTCGGCAAACCAAAGCAATTGTTTCAAGGCCAAATAACCTTGTTCTTAGGCTTTCCCCAGCATGATTGTTTCTAGGTGATGCAGTGATGTTTTGTTCATCAGCTGGTTGAGCAACTGAGACGGCTGTATAAGGTGTGGGCTCTGGAGGGTCAATATTGCCATGAGAAGAGCTAGGACGTTGAGAAGAATCTTGCCCTGTAGCTCGGTTGTAAGTGCGAAAACGCCAATAGAGGATAGGGAGAGTGGCGATACAGCCAGAGGTATATCCAACAACCCATGTAAATAAGGGAGCTTCTGGATGTTCATCTTTGGCGAGAACCATAACTATTATGGCCGCAACAATTTGAGCGACAGTGACAACTAACTCAACAGAAATCCAAATGCCAGAATTCAACGGACTCCTGGTAGTATTGGTACTGGTACGGCGAGCGTCCCCGACTCCTCTCCTAGAAGAAGTAGCTCTTTGGTGAGGAGGAGATGGATGCTGTGTGCCATCAGATGATGAGAGATCGATGGAAGAAGAGTGGTGGTGGTCGTCAATGCTAGTGATATCAACGATGTGATCAGGGTTGTTGAGGTCCATTAACAAAGGATCTTGATCAGTTAAGGTTGTACTTGGCCGTCCAATGGAAGAAACATCCATCTAAATCCCAAGAAGCAGAAAACAGAAACAACTAGACGGCGTTCCCAAATCTGAGCAGATAGCTTGACATCAGTCTCTTGCTTTGTGTTCACCAATGCCAGATCAAGTCTGTAAACACAAGAAGAACAAGCGCTAAACCCCCTTCACCTGTTTGTCCTTCAATTCACCTGTTTGTGGAGGACCAAATAGCCTTTAGGATCATCAGAGGAGCAGGGAACGTAGCTGAGAAACCCTAACGCCAAAGAAAAATCTCACTTCAAGTAAGACCCACCAAACAATTTAGACTCTTTTCAAAATCTGATGTCGATGAAGGAACCCAAAACCGCCGGAAACGCAATCGGTGTATAAGAAAGATAGGGTCGTAGACACACAAATCCGGACGACTTGGCATCAAAGATGGAAAATAGGAAGAAGAGAATCAGAGGCCTAATTACCAGAATTGAAAGGGAGGCTGCGTAGTTGTTGTACTTGTACGAGTCTCCTCCTCCTTCTTTTTCATTCTTTGAGCTTTCCCAGTAAGATAGGCTCTCATGATTTTATTTTTTTATTTACAGAGAGATTTCGTTTATGTCTTGATATATTGTGAACCCTTGGATCTTGTGAGGGCTCTATGAAATATCTGATCCCACGGTCACTGTTTTAGAAGGTGTGCCCTTCTTCACTTCATTTATTTACCTAATTTAGCTTTCTATGTCCTTCCAGAGACAAAAATAAAAAAATAAATATAATACAAATCTCACAGTCAGACTGAGTTTACTGAATTGTCCGTTCGCATTGTTTCCTTATTTCATTTTATTTTTTGGTCAGACTAAAACTTTTTATAATTATAATACTAAGAAGTAATTATTTTTAAAAAATAATTAACTGATTGTTTAGGTGAGATCCTATGTTTTGGTCTTTCAAAAGTTATAAAAATATTTTCTTGGAATATATAATAATACATCATACTCACTCACTCGCGTATTATTTCTTCTGTTGTAGATTGAAATATATTTTTATGACACGAAAGAAAAAAACAAAGAAAGAAAGAAGCTATTTACAGGTAAGAAGTGAACGAGTGAAGTCCACATAGAGAGCCCATATGATGTTATCCTTAAGACCCATCACAACCAAAATGCCTTAAGTTTGGGCTTATTATTTGGGTAAACAATTTATAGTTTCTTTTTTTTTAAAAGGGCAAAAACAATCTACACTGTTGTTGTAGAATACATCCAATTTTTGTAATTAAAAAAAAAATAGTCCCAAAAGTTGAATAAATTAGCATAATTTAATAGTAGTCACATGTATGTGTGTATACATTATTTTTGTAATAGGAGTTGGGAGTTAAAAAACAGCGAAGTGTGTTACAACTGTTTCTGAATAATAATTGGCAAAAAGAAAAAGAATAAATCTGACAACAAAAATTTCAAAAATTTCCTTTTGACCTAGGCGACGCTAGACGACCGAACAGAAGAAGAAGACAGAGTTTTAAGAACGACCACCCTCTTTTGGGCTCAAGTCCCTCTTTCTCCCCTAGTGTCCTCCATTAGGTATTGAAGAGAGCATCAGTTTGGAAAAAAACCACTTTCCCTCAAGCCGCCTTTACCAGTTTATCCTCTTTTTCAACTTTTTTGTTAAAATTCCCCAAGTTTCTAAGATTTGTTTATCCTAGTTCACCCCGTTCCTAGATACATCGATTCTCGTTCAAATCTGCAGTGAGAGTTCCAGCAAATTAGGCAGATCTTCTTTGCTGTTTCGTAGTGGAGCTTCGGTTCACCGATTCCATTCTTTCTGCAATCAATTTCATTCAAGTTAGGATGTCTTCAGCGATGGACAAAGCGCTCATGGCCATGTCGCTAGAAGAGGAATAAGAGCTTCCTTTTGAGATGCCGGATCTCCCGGAATTCTCATCTATGGAAAGGAATTCGTTAAGTCTTGTTGGGCGAACTTTAAATCCCGATTGCCAGCCAATGAAGAATCTCATCAGAGGTATGCCAAGGAAGTGGCAAAAGCCAGGAAGGATGAGGGGTATTGCTCTTTCGAATGAAAAATTCCAGTTTATTTTCAACAACGAATACGATTTACAAGAAGTCCTGGCTAAAGGTACTCACACCTACAACGACTGGTCCTTAGCGGTTGACAGATGGTATGAGAATCCTCCTCCAAATTATCTCCAAGTCATTCCTATTTGGGTTCAGATTTGGAATCTGCCAATCAATTTCTACACGGTTAAAGCCATCACTGCACTTGGAGAATTGATTGGAGAAGTCAAGGAAGTCGATTTCGACCCAGAGAAGCCACAGATACAAGAGTATGTAAGAGTCAAGGTTCTTTTTGATGTATCTCGGCCTCTAAGAAGATCCAAAGAAGTTAAATTACCAAAGGGGGGTTTAACGATAGTAAGATTTCAATATGAGCGAGTTCAAAAGCGCTGCTATGAGTGTCAGAGATTGACTCATGAGAAAGACTTTTGTCCTATTTTGGTGAAGAGTCGTCAAGATGCTGCTGCGGCTAGAAGAGCTGGTAACCCAATTCCGAAAATTCCTAAGGTTACCTTTCTGAAAGAAGGAGACCCTCTCTTCGGAATTCTAAAAGAAGACCAAGTAGGAATTGATCCGATCACAGGCAAACACAGGATTGCCATGGATGTCTTAGAGGGGATGAGACAATACCTTTTTGGTCAACAACAAAGAAGACTGGCAAGTCAAAGTAGACAGAATCAGAAAGTCAGTTAGTGAAGTGGAAAAAGTGGCAGAAAAGACAATTCTAAGACTAGAGTCAGCTCCTTTGGTTCATCTGGATATCAATAAAGAGAAAGGTCTAGTCTTTGGGTTCAATGATGAGAATAATCAGCCACAGAACAATGAGAGTCTCAGGAAGATGAAGCCAAGTTCAAATTCAGAAGCAGATTTTAATTATGAAAAGAACTGGCGGATGGATTCTGAGACCTCAATTGAAGAAGAAGGTTTAAGTACTTTCTTGGCTCTTTCTCAACCTTTTCAAGATAGAGCAACGAGATATAGTCCTGGCTTCTTTGAGGCTGGTCCTTCCGGCTCTTCCCCAAAAAAGAACAAGCCAAGAAAGAGACCACCCAAGAGTGTAAGAAAACCAAAGCCAAAGGATCACTTTACCAGTGGCGAAACTCAAGTGATCCAAACAGAATCTCTACCTATGGTTAAGGAGAAAAGGAAAGCAGAGGATGAAGGTCCAAGCACTGCCAAGTCTACAAAGCTGAACTCTTCGTTGGTGATCCCAAGTGAGGGATCGCCCAATGCTTAAATGAGTATCATCAGTTGGAATTGCCAAGGCTTGGGACGGTCTCAAGACTTGGTGATTCCTCGTCTCAAGGAATTACGTAAAAAATATTTCCCTGAGATTCTGTTTCTGATGGAAACCATGCAGTGTAAAGACAGTTTGTTTGATATTCAATGTCTTCTAGGATATGATAGATTACTTACAGTTGATCCAGTTGGCAAGTGTGGAGGGTTAGCTCTCTTGTGGAAAAGTAGTGTTCAGCTTGATGTTTTGTTTGAAGACAAAAACTTGATTGATGTACAGGTTCAGTTTGGGTCTTCAAATTTCTTTCTATCTTGTGTATATGGGGATCCGGATATTAGTAAAAGGAGTAACATTTGGGATAGAATCAGTAGAGGTGGAATTAGTAGAAGAGAAAGATGGTGTCTAGTTGGAGATTTCAATGCTATACTTCACAATGGTGAAAAGATTGGTGGCCCAAGAAGGAATGACAGGTTGTTTAAACCTTTCTCTGATATGATTGATGCCTGTGGGATGGTAGAAATGTCAAGCACAGGTAATAGTTTCACTTGGGCAGGTAGAAGAGGGGATCACTGGATCCAATCCAGACTTGATAGAGCTTTTGGAAACAAAGATTGGTTCACTCATTTTCCAGCTTCTAACCAAGCATTCCTTGAGATGAGGGGATCAGATCATAGGCCAGTCCTTATTAGTCTCATCAAGTCTCAGGATTTGTATAGAGGTCAGTTCAGATATGATCGTAGATTTCTACATAAACCGGCTGTAAAACATGCAATCTTAAGAGCTTGGAAACCTGGAATCATATCTCGTGGGTTCACAGTTTCCCAAAGGCTAAGAAACTGTAGGAAAGCACTTGGGACCTGGAAGAAAATGAATAACATGAATTCCAAAGAAAGAATTCAACAATGTGAAGAGGCACTTGAAAGAGTTCAGTCGGAACGATGGCCTAACCTTCTTCAAGTGCACATATTGAAACGAGAACTTGCAAAGGAATACAGAAATGAAGAAGTCTATTGGAGGCAAAGGAGTAGGCAGAAATGGTTAAAATCAGGAAATAGAAACTCAAAATTCTTCCATGGGGCAGTTAGAGGAAACAGAGCCAGGAATAGAATTGAAATCCTCATGGATGCTAATGGAAATACTCAAAGATCAGAGGCAGCAAAAGGAGAAGTAGCCTCAGATTATTTTGAAAAACTTTTCAAGTCATCGAATCCTCAAGGTTTCAGCCATTGGTTTTCAGATTTCCAATCCTCGGTGACTGATGACATGAATGAGAAGCTCATTAAGAAAGTAGTACCAGAAGAGGTGAAGGAGGCAATTTTCTCTATAGATGCAGCCAGTGCTCCGGGGCCAGATGGAATGACTGCCTTGTTTTTTCAACAGCACTGGGGAATTGTTGGTAATCAAGTTACAAAGGAGATTCTAAACTTCTTTGAAACTGGAGAGATGCCTTCAGAATGGAACTACACTCATCTTTTTTTGCTTCCTAAGACGCATCATCCCTCTCAAATGACAGATTTGAGACCTATCAGTCTATGCTCTGTACTTTACAAGACCATCTCTAAAATAATGGTGAAAAGGATGCAGTTGATTCTTCCTAAGATTGTTTAAATTAATCAATCAGCCTTTGTTGCTGAGAGATTAATTTCTGACAACATTCTGGTGGCTCATGAAGTGGTTCACAACCTTCACTCTCATAAAGACATTTCTTCAAACTTCATGGCAGTTAAGACTGATATGTCTAAGGCCTTTGACAGGGTGGAATGGTCTTACTTACTTTCACTGTTGAAGGCCATGGGTTTTCATCATCTTTGGGTACATTGGATCATGAAGTGCATCTCCACTGTCACTTTCTCAGTACTTATAAACGACCAGCCTTTTGGCATGATTCAACCGCAGAGAGGGCTCAGGCAAGGAGACCCTTTATCTCCCTTCTTGTTCATCCTTTGTGGAGAAGGCTTAACCCATTTGTTGAACAAAGGTCAAAGAGAAATCAATTTACAAGGAATTAAGTTTCATGAAGATGGACCAGAGGTGCATCATCTGTTTTTTGCTGATGACAGCTTATTGATGTGCAAAGCTGATATGAATCAAGCTAAGTTCCTGCAAGAAACTCTCACCAAATATGGTGCTGCTACAGGTCAGTCAATCAATCTCGACAAGTCGGCCATCACTTTTGGTAGTAAAGTCAACAAGACCGTCAAACAGGACATTCAAAGTATACTTGGCATTTTCAAAGAAGGTGGAGTTGGCTCATACTTGGGGATGCCTGAATGTTTCAGTGGCTCTAAAGTGGATATTCTAAGCTATTTAAAAGACAGAGTAAAAACAAAGATCTCTACTTGGCACAATAGGTTGCTTTCACAAGGTGGTAAAGAAGTCATGCTGAAATCTGTTGCATTGGCAATGCCGGTTTTTGTAATGTCATGTTTCAAATTGCCTAAAACCACTTGTGACAACCTTGCTAGTGCGATGGCTGACTATTGGTGGAACAATGCAGATCACACTAATAAGATACACTGGCAGAGTTGGGAAAAGCTATGTCTTCCAAAAGAGCAAGGTGGACTTGGATTTAGAGATATTAAGACCTTCAATCAAGATTTATTGGCTAAACAAGCTTGGAGAATCATTCAGTTCCCTGACTGTTTGTTCGCAAGATTGATGAAAAGCAGGTATTTTCCAGAGTCTAACTTCCTAGATGCTTCTTTGGGAAATAGACCATCTTTTGCTTGGAGAAGCATCCTCTTTGGCAGAGAACTTCTAGTCTCTGGTTTGGTCAAAAACATTGGGAATGGAAGATCTTTTAGAGTTTGGATGGACGACTGGATTGAAGATGAGAATGGTAAGAGAGCTCCCTGGAGGAAAAATAATTTTTTCAACCCGGATCTAAGAGTCTCAGCCTTGATAGATAGAAGATCACGACAATGGGATCTCATGCAGCTTGAGGAACATTTCTTCCCAGCAGACATTCTCAGAATTCAAAAGATCAAACCTGTTCCAGATTTGGAAGATTTTTATTCTTGGAAATACAACAAGAGTGGAGATTTTTCAGTTAAATCTGCTTATTGGCTGGCTACTAAGTCATCAACCAGTCAAGTGAAGTCTGATGCAATCCAGAAGCCTTCTACAAACGAGTTAAAGGTCAAGATCTGGGATCTTAAAACAGATCCGAAGTTAAAAAATTTTCTTTGGAAGATGTTATGTGGATCTCTTCCTGTAGCTTCAGCTTTAAAAGGAAAAGGTATCAGATTAGATGAAAGATGTCAGATATGTGGAGAAGGAGAGGAAACTGTGAATCACGTTCTGTTCACATGCTCTTTGGCAAGACAGATCTGGGCCTTGACAGGCATTCCTTCCCCAGAACAAGGTTTTCACAGTGGCTCAGTTTTCTCTAATATTCACTACCTCTTAAAGAATGTTAGGAATCCGAATTGGCCTGATGAGCTTAAAATATCTTTCCCTTGGACTGTTTGGAGAATTTGGAAGAACAGAAACCTTGTTTCTTTTGAAGGTAAAGGTTTTACTTCCCTGGAATCTGCTAAAAAAATAAAGGAAGATTGGGTAGAATGGACAGATGCACAAAAGGCTGAAGAAGAAGAAGAAGAAGTAGAAGTGGAAACATCTATAAATGTTGCAAGAGTTGATGAGCAATCTGGCAACAAAAGATGGAGGAAACCTCCTCTAAATTGGTTAAAATGCAATGTAGCTTCTTCTTGGTCTGACAGGAACAACCTAGCAGGAGGAGCTTGGATTCTAAGGAATCATATTGGTCATGTTATTCTTCATAGTAGAAGGGCCTTTGAATCGGTGAAGGATAAGAGAGATGCCCAATTTACAAGCTTGTTATGGGCTATTCAGAGTATGAAGAGTCACAAGTTTGAGAAAGTGATCTTCTCGGTGCAAGAGGATTATCTGGTGAAAGCGATTACAAGACCGGTGGCTTGGCCTTCCTTTAGATACCAATCAATGGAGGTCAACTTAGCTCTGAAGTCTTTTAAAGACTGGAAACTTTTTGTGGAAAACTCTTTTTCAAACAGAGGAGCCCTCTTGATAGCAAAATCGGTGACTAATGAATGTCGGCTTCAGTCGTATGTTGCGATCGGGCATCCGGCATGGTTAGAAACTATTTTTGTTGAGGATTCTTGTTTATCAGAGTTTTAAGCGTAGGAATGGAATTAGGAGTGGAAATTTTTGGTATAGGTCTCTTCATTTGGTGTGGTGAAGTCTTAGATTGTAACTGCAGTTGCAGGTAGGGATGTGTCCTCTTTTGATTTGGGTTTTAGTTTGTATTAAGTATCAGGTTGTAAAATCTTTTTAATATAATACCAGTTGACAAAAAAAAAAAGTGTTACAACTGTTTCCATTCCATGCGCGCGCATTATTTATTTTTTATTATTAAGGAAAACAAAAAAAGAATGGCTGACCGGAATTACCGATCACGGATTTGGCAATCCAAACCGGTAAATTCGTCACGTGTCTCCCCAACCGGACCCATTTGATTTGGCTGCTTTTTACTCATATTTTAAAAAAAGAAAAAAAAAAAGAATTAGCCTCGTTTCGTTTTTCATTGGTCTTTAATTTGTTTGAAGAATAATAAGTGTGTGTGTGTCGTCGAGAAAGAACCATTCTTATATTTTTTTATTTTATGTTTCCCAGTGAAAAAACAGAGTCACGTGACTTACGCGTGACCCACCCCACCCCCTGCTACTGTCATTAATTTTAATTCAATCGTGTTTCTCCTCATCAAACGTTTTTCTCCTTTCTCTATGATATTCGTGTTTCGCTGTTTTGGGATACCTACCTAGTTACCTACACTACTACTACTACTACTCTTTTGATAAGAAACTTGCTTTTCTAATTGATTTATATTATAATAAGCAAGCACACGGTTAGAGTTATATAACATTAAACCGTTCCTTACCTTAAAACACTTCCATGTAAAACCAAACTTAATTGTTCTCACTAACAACGATTATATATTTACAATATGGTTTTATTATGTTTTGATGTGTACCAGTTTCGACTTTACGATTCTTTTCCCTATTTTCTTCAGTTTTCCACGCACATACTGTATATAACTTTTTTGCTATCTTTTTTGAAGTAATAACGTACAATAACGATTAAAATTGGGAATACATTAATTGGTTACACTATGATTTGTCTTGACACTACGTACTTAATTAATTTGAAAAATATATAATGGTGAAACTTTTAATCGAGAGAAATTGAAGAAGTAAAATGACAAGAACGAAAGTAGTGTGTGGACAAAAGGAACACTATTGAAGATCTCTCTCGAATAAGAATAATAATGGAACTGAAATTGACAACACACAAACATTTTTTTAAAGCAGAATACAATAATAAACCACTAATTAATTTATAGAAAAATGTAAGTAACTCTTTTCCGACAACCACCAATAGTACACTTCTATAAATAAAGAAATATGGTCTCGACGCGATTGTGCATCCATGGACCATATATATATATGCTAACCTATAAATAGTATTATATCTATCATAACATCAAATTTTTGTTTTAAGTATTTTTCTTTTTAATAATTCGATGAATCTTTTTCCTTTTCTTCTTGTTATATTCTATTTAGTAATATGAATAGAACGAACGTATGGACTAGTCGAAAGTAAAGTAAAAGACATCCGAAAAATGACCAATTAAATGTACTAATGACAGTGTTAGGAGATGATAACTATAAATGAGCCCACACCACACGAAGTAGGAGCTAACTACCACCAAGTACTATTCTCACTTGCTTTCGTGGAGATATAAAAACCGCACGTCAGCTGTTACAAAGGAAACGTGTTAATTATAGCCTAGGTAGGGTTCACTAGGTTTCTAGCTAGCTGACAAGGTATAGAGACAAGAGCGACATGTATATAATTCTACAAACCTTCACAGTGATCTCTCTCACCACTCACCCACCCCACACTCAAGCCAAAAGTCTCTGCCATATTGTCTCGTCACTTTTTCTTGTTATAACTTTTTTCTTATATTAAGTTAAGAGAGACGATAGATTAATTAATGTCACCGGCGAAATACGTCAGGGTTTGGTCCGATGCCGGTGATCTTGGAGGAACTGAGCTGACCCTAGCTTTGCCCGGCACTCCCACAAATGAATCAAAGCCCGGAAACAAACGTAAATTCCTCGAAACCGTTGATTTCAAACTCAGGGAAGGACAAGTGAATAATCACATCTCAAGCATGATCACCACTAAGTACTACGTCACGTACGGCATATTAAATTAGTTTATGTTTTTTAATCGTCGCACGTTACACACATCAATATATAGATGTATGCATGCGGTTCCATTGATCTTCTTTTAATTATATTCTGGTTTTTTAGAGACCAGTTGGTGGGGTGGCCGCCTGTAGCGACGGCAAGGAAAACAGTGAAGACGACGACGGTGATCAGGCGGAAATACGTGAAAGTGGCAGTGGATGGTGCGGCTTATCTGAGAAAAGTCGATCTTGAGATGTACGGTTGCTACGGACAACTTTTCACCGCACTAGAAAACATGTTTCAGGGGATAATCACAATATGTAAGTGTACGAGAGAGAGAGGGATTATATAGATTGTGCGAAATTTTAGTTAAGGTTTGGTATTTGGATGGTGGCAGCAGGTAAAGTGACGACAGAGTCCGCGGAGAGGAAGGGAGAGTTTGTGGCTACTTACGAGGATAAGGACGGTGACTGGATGTTAGTCGGAGATGTGCCGTGGATGTGAGTTTTCCTAAATTACTACCCTTTCCTTTTTTTTTTCAATCGAAAATCACAATTACAATTGTGAAGGAAACTAACTTTTTTCTTGGGATGGATGATGAATTGATGATACCGTGCAGGATGTTTGTAGAATCGTGCAAACGTATGAGGTTGATGAAAAGATAGAATGGCCTGCCAGTCACCTTTTCTTGTATAATTTAATTATTAGGAGCATTCACAGACAAAAAAAAAAAAAAAAAAAGACACAACAACTGGTCGCCTGTGAAGATGATGCAATGCCAACCCAAAGAGGCAAGAGAAGTGAAAAAAGTTGAGGAACACATAGGAGATGAACATTTAAATCTGAATAGTTTACTTCATTAAATTTTTTATTTTTAGTTCCATGTTTGATTTGCTACAATGTTTGTTACAAATTAAGCTTTTCTATTCGGGAAACGTTTGTTTCCTGAATGAAAAGTGAAAACTCCCAACATATATTAAATTTTTCTAGCTAATAATAGTACTCGAAAAGCAAATATAGTACTGTACACTTTTAGTTACTCTTTTAATTGTACTTGTGATCTTCTGGAATTACACTTTTAAAAAGAATATATATATATATATATATATATATATATTACTTTTGATTTTTACTCAAAAACCACTATACAAACAAAAGCGAAGTTACTGACAACCACTTTTGAAATCAGTGCCGACCACCACAACCGAACATGACAACATCGACAAGACAAACAAGATTTGCCTGCTTCATTATAAATCCCACACATACGAATACAACTGAAAAAAAAATAACTATAATTGATTTTCAAGAAAGAAAAAAATGCACTATATATATATAGTGTAGTGTACACAAATAGCATGTCAAAATATAAAAGGAAGAACAACGTGTGACGTACTGTTACTCTCTCTTACTACATACAAAGAGTAATACATTCAAGGCGATGGACACAACATCTCGTCAGTTTGCAAGTATCGGGTTCCTTTCTTCATCGATATCTATCGCAAGGACACGGTCAGGGTCCGAGCCGCTTGGTCCTTCCGCGTAAAGAGTTGGAAGATAGGCCTTATACGCCGGCAAATACCGCGACACAAAGTCATTCACCTATAACAGATATTTCAACACAACAATTGTTATTTTTCTTCTGCAACCACTAGTGTACTAATTAGTCTAAAAGATGTATCATTACCTCCTCATCCGACATCCCAGCTTTGCCAGCCTGCCTCATGGCGATTTCCGCCTGTTCAAACCATAAACAAAACCGGGTTTGTATAGAAACGTAGCGCAAAACCGTTTTAAGTTTCGTTATCTGATATACAAACCTGAAGACGCCACCGGTATACATAACTTGGGTCCTGGATTTTGATGACAACCCAAGCATCGATGTACTTGTCCCATGCATCGTAATACGCTTCAAGGTTCTTATTCACAATCTCCAGCTACAAAATAGAGAGCAGAGGTTTTCAATATAGGATGTCATAAGGGTTGTATTGCGAATCAATGGTTTTTAAGGAAGTTGAGATAACCTGCGGATCAACTGCTTTAACAACGTCTGCTGGAAGAGGCTTAAAACCAAGCATCCATCCCTCAAAGAGAACAACCTGGAGAAAATCAAAAACATTTTTTAGTGGACTTGCTTAACCTTGTAGAAAAACACTTGAAAAGATAGAACTACCGTAAGAGGTCCTTCAACTTCAGGCCACGTCGATGAATCGGCTCTATCACCTCTCCCACTATAGGCAGACTGCAGCCAAGTAAGAATATATAGAGAAGTCAAGAACAGGTTCCTCTGTTTTTCGTTCTATGTTTTGTGATACAAAGTGATGAAGCAGAGAATATCATATCAAGCTGTGACTCACCTTATCGTACCTTGGTACCTTCATCTTTATACCTGTTAATGACCCAAAAAAAATTACACGGTAAATAAGAAAAATAGCAAACAAGGATGAAAACTTTATTGATGAAACAAACCTTCTTTGGTCAGTTTAGTCAGGGATTCTAGTGTTTCAACAGAGAGTTGCAGATCATGGCTTCCTGAATTTCCACGATACTGGACATACAAACAAGAAACCATGATGATATTTTCAAAAGACTGACAAAAAGAAATATGCTGAGAAATTCAAGATGAGTATACCTCAAGAAGTGCATTCCCTGGATTCTTATCTCTCAATTCAGTCTGAAAAGAGGATGGAAGCTAAGAAATGGAGAAGAAAGAACATCCAGGCAATGGAGGTTACAAGTAAAATTTTACAAGAATTCTTACCTGACCTTCTGCAGTCAAGTAAAAATCGTCTATTGATACTGTGGCAGACTTCCTGGCGTATTGCTTTGTCAGTATAAGAATGACAGACTAAGATGAAATAAGCTGCAGCAGACCAACTGTACCTTTTTGTAGTTTTGAAAAGATAATCAAGTGCAAACACAAGTGTAGTCTTGCCACATCCTTGAGGCGCGCTAAATCCAATCTGCATTGTCAAAACACATCTATCAGAGCTCTTGATCCACCCATCACTAATCTGAGAATATAATTAAACCAAAAAAGAAAAGAAAATAGTACCACTAATGGAGGTACATCATCCCCATCTTTGAACTTGGAGTTATGCAGAGCAATCTGATCTTCGCACCATATAAAGACAGGTATATAGTAGTGGTAGAGCCTAGTTTTCTGAGGAATTGTGAGGTTAAGCTCATTAAGCTGAAACAGTCTGCAGAGTTGTGAGCCGAAGAGTAGCCATTTGTCAATAGACTGGCCAACTCTTTCAGGAGTAATACCAATCTTATCAACGAGAGGACCGGAGCATATGAATTCAAAAAGATCGGAGACTGAAGAGACATCCACTGTTTTTGAAGTTGGTAACGCCAAGCATTTGGTCGAGTCCCCATAACTTGCAGCATAATCATGAGCCATTGAATTGTCCTGAATCCACGAGCATCCACAGCCTACACGTAAATGCAAAGGAAGAAGGTCATCATTTCCACAACAATCTTACGATTTTTAACTCTAGAAACGTGAAAGAACACACAGAAAGGCCATGGACCTAATAATATGACTCAAAACCTCTTCCTGTGAGATTACAGACAACATACACCAACAAAAGAAGGATTCCACTGATCAAGAAAAGATGCTAAAATTGTTGAGAAATTAGTAGCAAATGCAAAACCAATGACTGCAGCTAGTTTCAGGTACTAATAAAATTTGGAAAAAAAAACAAAACAAAACACAAGAATCAGAAGAGAAAGAGGAAGAAAAGGAAGGAAAAGGAGGGAGGGGAATACCAGGGGAGGAGGAGAAATGGGTTGGAATGGGAGAGAGCATGGAGGAAGAAGAAGGGTTAACGAGGACATGGTCGTTAAATTTGGAAGAAAAGGGACGTCTTTTGAAATTAAAAGAATTGCAAATAGGATTAGAGTGACACGGAATCGGATAATCTTTCAGATTAAACCTATTATTATAATGCTGAAGAGTCGCTTGCCATGCCGATGATATCAAACTACTTGACGATATTGCGACCGCCATTTTCGACCCTTCTCTCTCTCTCTCTCTCTAGAACCAAACAGAGCGACACATCAGCAATGTTGAAGAAGAAGAAGAAGAAAGTAATTGATAATTTTTATTTTTATTATTTTCTTTTAAAACAAAAACAAAATCAATCTCTCTTGCCACATAATATGTGAGTCATATTTCCTCCCGTGGGATAATGTCTAATTAATGCTCTGTCTATCTCTCTGTCCATTTTTCTTTTTCTTTTTTGGTAACAAAGAAACCATAAAAATAAAACTATTCCCGTATGATACGACCAGAAAATATTGCCTGAATTTAATTAAAAAAGAAAAAGAAAAGAGAAATGTACAATCGATCCCACTTACAATTAAAAAACTCGTGTTACCGATCAGAACAAATCAGGTTTGGAAGAACCAAACAAAGTCTAAACTAAACCGGAATAAAACCGAATTCTAAGTAGTAATAGTCCGGTTACTTGGTATGATAAAACCGTGGAAAAGACACTCTTTTATTTGACAAGGATGAATGAGGACCGGACCTTCACTAATGTTGTTGTTACAGATGTTTTGTGTTATTATCGGCGGTTACGAGATGAATAGCTTCTCAGGTAGCTTTGCAGAACTGAATACCGCCACCGATTTGTACTGCAACATGCAAAAATATATGTTTTTAACACGAACCGACACAAACCAGACTTCTTCGTTCGGTTTGATAAAACCAAAACTGAGCTATAATAATAAAATCCTTACCTTCTCCTGTCTATACTTCATGCGTATAGAGTTTAAGGGGCAACCGTTGGTGTTCAGCTGTAGATCTTGCAAAGCGTGAACAGATGCTTTTAGATCGGATGCTTTGTACGTTGTGTAATGCTCAAGTGTTGGATTCTGTACCACAAAACAAGTATAAAGACCGTGGAGATTCAAGATTCGTGGGACAGAAGCGACCTGTGTCTTAATGAACAAATGAATGATTACTAAAAAAATATACTACACGGACCCAAGGGTGGCTTGACTGGTTCAATGTCCACTTGGCAAGAAAAACAGCCGAAGCAGCGATCACCGATGGAAGGAACTTCAAGAAAGGATAATCCATCAACGTCAATTCCGTCAGGTAATTCGCCAGATATTCCATTTCCAGACTTGGGTTCTGCATATCATCAGGTTACCAAAACAAGAAAGTTTCAATCTTTCTGCTTAATGTTTTATGATACACATTTGATCTCATATTACCAAATGATAAAATGCACTTTACCGGGTAAGAAGAAACTTGAGCTGCTCGAAGAAATCTCCTGCAAAGACCAAAACTTTGAATCACCAAACACACACACATATGATGAAAGCATTCGCATTGTCTAGTAAGATTACCTGAGGAATGTCTTTGAAGTGGGAGTGTAAATTTGAAAGCTAAAATGCTTCAGTACTTGGCTCTCCATTTCCACGACCTGATCTCTTGTGTAAGTGTTATCCGTTATGAAGCAGAACTCCTCAATGCGTGGCGCACATATTTCCTCATATTTTCTTCAATAAATTTCAAGAGAAACTCTTTTAGATCTTGATGAGACCTTAGAACTCTTTGATTAATAGGTGATGAGGAACTTACGAGGCAATGAGCATACAAGTGATGCCAAGCAATTGAAGTCTCTGTCTTTCCACGTAGTTTCCATGGAGAAACCAGTCTATGAGATACACTGTTAGGTAGAGAGTGTCAGGCACAAGTGTGTATTCCTCTGATACCTGAAATCTTGAGTTGTCAGAAGCAGACAAAAAGACTTCAACATTAAGCAACAAACAAACTGCTGGAAGTGATACTCACCTCTACAAGCCAATCAACCAGGATTCCCCGCATTGTCTGAGTCACATCTCTTTGTGTCCTCTCCATAAAATCAGCAACTGGTCTGCGTTTAAGCTGCTAAGTTGACAAGTCGTAAGGACCAAATGCTTCAAATTCATTATCGTAAAAGTATCGACATCAGAGGGATTGTTACCTCAGCAACACGCAGGTTGTAGTAAATATCAGGTGCATAGAGGCTACAGAGTAGAGGATCCTTGTCATCTAAATCAATATCAACGAATTTCGGGATACTTGCCACACTTGAACTTGCTCCATCACAACTTCTCTCAACTGTAAACCATTTGCAATAATAAAACTGCATCAGAAATGTTATAAATCACTCACACAAGTTTCAGCAACAGACCACTTGTAAACGTCACCTGTCCCAAGGGGTCTTGGAGGCAATCTGGAACTCGGCTTTGGGATAAAGCTATAAGATGCTTCGTTTGTGCCTAAGCTCGTGCCTGTACAACCAGACAAGCTTCCTCCTGCTGAATTTTCCACAACTTGTGCCTTTTCATCTGTAACTAGTGAAGTAGCCGAAGAAGATGCCACCTTGGAAGAACTCGCTCGTGCCTTCTTTATTTGCTTAGCATTGTCCACCTAAATGGAAAGAAGAAGCAACAATTGTGAGCAACACAAATACTTCTTGTAATAAAAAGTAGCAATTTTAAGAAGGAGCATTATATTGGATAGTTAATAACCGCAACACTGAAGCAACTTGTGTAAGAATTATCGCAGGTAACGTTAGTGATGTCCTTAAGAACAGCTCGCTTCTTAGGTGCATTGAGTTTCTTATCATCCGAGGCTGTTCTTTTAGACTTTGCTCTCAGAACCCGTCCCTGGTTCTGTGATGTAGAAGCAACTTCTGAAGATGTAATCAGCTTAGAAGAAGCACGCAGAGCAGAGGCAAGAGCACGAGTAATAGGGCGACCATGGAGCGGTATGGTGTTGCCAGAAACAGCATTCCCCTTCCCCATGATTGAAACCCCTTTAATACGATCTACCCCTTTTTGATGCTTGAGCCTTAGCACCACATAAGCTCTCGATCTGTGACAACAAAACAGAGAGATCTATATGTATATATAATACTGCAGATGGAAAGTGACCAATGCATATAAGATGTTTGGAGAAATTGTTTAGCCCAAAAAAAGAGAGGGTTGTTTATATGATCCTTCACGACCCGACCCAGAATTGCACCACACAATGTAAGTTCGTCGAACAAAAAATTAAAGTTTACAACTTTATAAAAGTGAAGAAGAAGTCGTCAGATTGAAAGTTGAAAGAACAAGTGATTGTGATTTACTTTATATTGACCCAAAAAAAAAACTGAAAAGCAGAAAAACCCTCTCAAGGCATCCTCAAAACTCAAAATCTTGGGAAAAAAGAAAAAGTCGCAGCAATTTAATAGCAAACACGGAGCGACTCTGCGCATAATTTGGAGAAATAAAATATAAAAAAAAAATTGAAGAGAGAAAAATATACACTAGTCAAGAGAGTAAAGTTTGGTTCTTTATATCATATGGTTTGTATTATGTAAATGATGATGTTGATCACATTAGAAATCGGAAAAAAAAAAAAAGAAGGAACTAAATAGTATCAAACTTAATCTCAGGAAAACGAAGAGACCCATGATTTAAAGCAGTAAGATCTCCCTCATGGATCCGTTGGTGAAAAAGGATTCAACTCACATTATTCTTGAATCCAAGAAAATCCGAGTGACCCATGAACCATTAGAACTTTTTTTTTTACTAAAAAGAAAGAAAAAAAAAAGGCAGCTTGAGAAGCAAAGAGAAAGTTTCAAGAAAGCATCCCAGAAAACCGCCTAAAAAAAAATGCAGGGGTCGTCGGCGTAAAACAAATATATCTAAAACGGAGAAGATGGGAGAACTTACGAGTAGGCTTCAGATAATTCTTCAAGAGGAAGAAGACGAAGAAAGAAAGAAGATTTGGGGGGAGAGATCGAGAGAGTAAATTGGGGTATAGAGTCAATTCGCTTTTTTTATGCAAAGGCACTGTCTCTCAGACTTTGAGTGAGCGGGATATACCACATTGGATTTAAAGATATGACTACTTGTCTTATTTTCTTTTTATTTTATTCCTCCTCTCATCTCATCACCTATTTATATACTCATTGACTGTTAGTTTGACCATGAAATTAGGGAGAAACTAAGAAATAACTAACACTAGTTTTATAAGTGATTTGTAGTTATGTACTAATTTTGTTTTGGTGATGTGATTTTTCTTTAGATTTTGGTAACTAATCATTTTCCTTAATCATCTGTTGCTATTTTGGGTTCTCTGTGTCTGTGTGTGTGTCTCGTCTTCTTTTCTCTCCATCATCCTCCTTAATTTTTTTGGTAACACTCTCTATTTAACCCTCTTGTAATTAATGACGATATCTGATGCATTTGTTCATTTTTCTTTCTTTCTTTCTTTCGTTCGAATGTTTTTTTCTTAATTAACTTACGACTTTTTCGTTACTATAGATTGAAAATTTAATTTTAATAGTTACGTTTTTCCAATATATTATTATGATAATAGTATTATTAATATGCACATTTATTTACATCGTTCAAATGCTCTGTTGTTATTTCTTCTTTTAATTAAAAAAAAAAAAAAATGTTACACTCTACAGAGTACTACAGACAGCGTGGCTATTCATCCAAAGGTTAATAGTAAGAAAAGGTTGATTGATTAAACTAAACAAACAGTCGACAAAAAAAAAAAAAAAAGATTAAACTAAACAAACATAACTCTCTCTATTCAAAGGTTTAGATTATAATACAAAAAGGCTCCTCCTGTTCAAATTTTTAAGATTTGAAGACGAAAGATTCCACCACTTATTTTTTTTTTCTTTTTGTAATGCTTAAGTTTAAACTTTTGAATTCCCTTATATATATATATATATAATTTTTCTATAAAATATAAAAACAAAAAAAAAAAGAAAACAAAGACCAAATGCACGTTTACCCCAGAATCAGTCTTGTGATTTTTATATATTTACGTTTCTCTGTATGTTTGCTTTTATAATATTCCCTAAAAGCTTATTTGGATGCATGCCACATGCTTAAACTAAAGGATCCATCCATAAATTCTATACACTAAGATTAGATCCTATTTTATACATTCTGTTTTTTTTTTTTGTGGTAGAACCGTAGAACATAAAAAAAAAAAAAAAAGAAGAATCCGTTTTATTTCTATTGGATTTGCTCCGTTTAAAAAGGCAAATGCAATTACATACACTTTAAAGATGCTCTCGTGCCTCGTGGTAGCTAGTCTCTATGTGTGTATTCTTGAGTATAAAGATAACAACATGCATGCGTATATTATGTGATAACACTCTTTTTATTTATTTATTTTGGTCATGTAAAACAAAACTTATATCTCTCAGCGGTTACTTTGACCAAATCTTATATTAAGAAATGAAAAACTTGTTCATTTAAATGTTCAAAAAACGTCCTATATATATATATATAAGTAGGAGTTATAAAACTAACATAAATTAATAAAACACTGTAATAGATCGATCTCATTGTTCTTTTGGATAGATTAGCTTTAAAAACAAAAATTGAAAAAAAAAAATATATATATATATATATATATATATAATGATAAGATGAATGTGATGATGCTTACTTACATCGGCAGGAGCCACTTAGAAAAAGAAAAGATACTTAGGAAATGAACAATAAACAAAAATGAAAGAGGTGGAATCTGCCATTTCAGGGCCATGTTATAATAATATGTTTACGACTTAATTAATATGATCGATTTGAAATGGACATGGAATTTGAAATAATGGTAAGATGTAGAATTTGGTGTTTCATTTTGAAAATGGGTGTTAAATTCTTTTTAAAAAAGATTAAAGTTGAGTGTATATTTTTTGCTAGTATATAAGTGAAACGGCAAAAAAATTGGTGAAAATGACGTTATAGTAAGTAAAAAAATAAAATAGATGTTACATGATAACCGAAGACACAAAATAAAAAGGTATCCTTATATAGAAATGTAATGGTGGAAGCACAAGACACGAGTAAACCATATTTAAAAGAGACACAGTGAGTGTGAGGAGCTATATAGAGAACCAACAAAATAGTACAACTTACTTACCACATGGGAGAGAGGAGGCTGGGAGTTACAGATTCAAAAAAAGCTAGCTACTGTAATACTAATAAATCTTGGATTTCAAAAATTTTTAAGTTAAAGAGAGCTAGATGATGATGTCTCATTGACTCCTATCGTATCGTATGGATCAGAACTATATATATATTTAATGTTTACTTTTGTTTTTATATGTAGAAGAAGAAGAGTAAGTGCGTTAAAGCTGTAAGTGTGAGAAAGACGTAACGAGAGAGAGAGAGAAAGGTCTTCGTGGACCAATATGCATAATAACGTTTTACGGTTTTATCCACCAACGACCCCTTCCTTTAGATCTGCGAGATTCATCAGTTTCAACTTTCAAACTATCAACAACACATATGCATATGATACTAATTAGAAAGAATAAAAACATACAGAAATAAGAGAATTTCCCAAAAATAAAATAAAATGTATATTTAACTTGTAACTAAGATTATACATCTGTTTCTATGGCTTTATATATAAACTAACTCTACTATACTGTAAACAAGGTTTGTTGGTTGAATATATACATATATATATATATATATATAATGCCATGTCTGGTTTGGTGTCCAAATAATTAGATAGAATTTTGAATACTCCCAACATTCCCACCACTGCCCCCATCCATACCATACCCACAAATATCTCATGTAAACATAATAGTATGGTAGTCATGCATGGCTTGTTTGGGTAATTTGATGCATGGATATTGGGCCGTAGAATATAATGTTCGTCTCTTTTAGGTGAAAAAAGTGTTTATTGAATGCAAAAAGGAAAAAAAGATAAAGGAAATGGGTAAATGGGTATATCCGTATATGGGCCTATTTTTTCTTAAAAAAAAAAATAATGTAATTGTAAAAGGGAATTGAAAAGAAAACAACAACCTCTGTACTCTACTCCCAATCAAAATAATTAAACGTCGTCTCATGAGTCCTTTCTCTCGATTCGGATGTGGAAAATTGAAGAGGGATGGATCAGAGCAGTGCAAGGGGAGTCTACACAAAACGAAGATTCTTCCTTATGAGAGAGTAGCAGCAGCACTTTATTAATGGGGTTTTCGTCTGCAAGAAATCATAAATAAAAAGCGAAATCAGCCAACCAAACTTGGAATCAATGCGACGAGATCATTCATACTACCAAAGGCAATGGCGTTACTCTCTTTCTTTTTTTTCTTTTTCGTTTTTAACTACTGTATGCATATCTATTAGTATTAATTATATTTATTAAAAAAAAAAAAATTGATACCTTTTTATATGATTAACTTTTTTTGTTTGTTGTTGTTGATGCGCAGAAGAAGAAAAAAAAAAACACATGAAAGTAAAAAAAAATAAAAAAAACCCAAGGGTTGGTGAAGTCTGAAGGAGAAGAAGACAAAAGATGATGAGGCGTGCTTAACGCTCATATCTCTCTTTTAGGTTTTTTTCGTCAACGATTGATTCCTCTTAAATTGAATTAGTAGGTGCTTTACTCATCACTTTGGAGGACCCCTAATTTCTTCTTCATTTTTCAATCTTTCAGGTCGATTTTGTTGGGTTTTGAGAGAGAGATATATATCGAAATGGGTGCCTTTGGGATGCTTTCAAGGAGAACTTTGGGTACGGACTTGCCCGTCATGACTCAGGTCTTACCTCGTACTTCTCCTTCCCTTTTCTTTTCATTTGTATCTCTGTGTCTCTGTGTTTTTTTTTCCCTTTATAACAAAAATAAAAAAATTAAATCTTTAGTGAACAACAGAAAAAAATGGTCTTGGGTTTTGCGTGCAGATTCGGAAATTAATGGCGGAAGTGTCGAACCCTATGTCTCTCGCTCAGGTTTGTCCTCTCTCCACAAAACAAAATATACTTGTTTTGGTTTGGGTTTCGTGATCTGTTCACAGTCGCGGATCAGATTTGTATCTGTTTAGTCTTCTCCTGATTCTCTTGCTCATGCAAACATAAAAATAATGTTTCATTTGGAGTTACAGGGAGTTGTGCATTGGCAGCCTCCTCAGAAGGCCTTAGACAAAGTTAAGGACCTTGTCTGGGATCCTACTGTTAGTTCTTATGGACCCGATGAGGGTCTTCCTGAGCTAAGAATGGCTCTTCAGACTAAGGTAATCCCTCGCCAAACCAAAACATACTTTCTTATAGCTGAGCAACCTTTGCCAATAATGTTCAACTTGTTTGCTTTGTGGTTTCACTTGAAACTTTTTAATCCATCTTTGCTACTCTGAAGCTGCGTGAAGAAAACAAGCTAACCAAATCAGATGTGATGGTTACTGCAGGTGCCAATCAGGTATACCTTACCTATGCGTTGCTACTTGCTAGGCTCTTCTTTCTTTCTCCCTCTAGTCTCAGTCTCTGTTTCCATATCAAGTGCAGGCGTTTGTGAATCTTGTTATTGCACTATGTGATGCCGGTGATTCTGTTGTCATGTTTGAGCCATACTACTTCAATTCCTACATGGCCTTTCAGATGACAGGAGTCACCAACATTATTGTTGGTCCTGGCCAGCCAGATACTCTCTACCCTGACGCAGGTACGTCCTTGCTTTTGAATCGCATTTTATTTTCAAATAGCTTCAAGTTGCGGCTTGTTTTTGTTCCAGACTGGTTGGAGAAGACACTCTCTGAGTCTAAACCGACTCCGAAAGTTGTGACTGTTGTGAATCCTGGTAACCCAAGCGGCACCTATGTCCCTGAACCTCTTCTTAAGAGGATTTCACAAATATGCAAAGATGCAGGGTGTTGGCTGATTGTAGATAACACTTACGAGTGAGTTTCTCCTTTTGATAAGCCTCATGACATCCAGATTGAATGTAGATTTGATCTGATGTTGTATAAAACCGCAGGTATTTCATGTATGATGGTTTAAAACATTGTTGCATTGAGGGAGACCATATTGTTAATGTCTTCTCCTTCTCAAAAACCTACGGCATGATGGGTTGGAGGCTTGGATACGTGAGTGCTCCATCCATTTCTATTGCAAACCAAACTGTTGTTTTGGAACACTATCTTATGGAACTTTTGATGGGACCTGCAGATAGCTTACTCAGAGAGATTAGATGGGTTTGCAACAGAGCTTGTGAAAATTCAAGACAACATCCCAATCTGTGCAGCCATAATCTCGCAGCGACTGGGTCTATACGCATTAGAGGAAGGTTCTGGGTGGATAACGGAGCGGGTAAAGGGTCTAGTGAAGAACCGGGAGATTGTGAAAGAGGCGCTTGAGCCGTTGGGGAAGGAGAACGTCAAGGGAGGAGAAGGAGCGATTTACCTGTGGGCAAAACTACCGGAGGGACACAGAGATGATTTCAAGGTGGTGCGGTGGCTGGCTCACCGCCATGGTGTGGTGGTGATCCCGGGGTGTGCAAGTGGGAGCCCAGGGTATATCCGGGTATCCTTTGGAGGGTTGAAGGAGGAAGAAATGGGAGCTGCGGCGGAGAGGCTGAGGAAAGGATTAGAGGAGCTGCTTCACCGTGGAATGGTGGAGTGAGATGCTCTTAGAAGATGTGGGTTACTTTGCGTTAAATGGAAGCTATCGATAGTTGTTTCTGAAAAAAAAAAATAATAATAAAAGAGTCTTGTTTGATGATTACTCAATGATCAATAGCTGATATCTTCTTTACAATAGTCATTTGTTACCAATTGGTTCATCCTATTGTTCCTTCACTTTGGTATTAGTCTGTATATACTCTTTACATATCCATTGAATATTTTTCTCTTCTTTTTTTTGAGTTTGATGATAGACGTTAGAACAGGGGAAATTAAGCATACACTAGTGAGACTAGGCGTTGTTATGTAAAATTTGATAATGTGGCCTTTAATTTGAAAATCAAAAAATTTTGTGAACCCACCAGAGCAGAGAATAAAGTTAATCGATGCTTTAGGCTTTTTATTTGGTTTATTACAAATTGGGCCGAATATGATATAGATCTCAAATTTGAATCGAACCCGAATAAGAGAGAGAGATTGTTGGGTAGCATTTGTGACGTGGCTTCCATCTCTCTTCTTCCACCGTTCCAACTTCGCCGACGGGTCGCATCTCCGAAATCTGGAGACGGAGGGAGAGAGAGAGAGAGAGAAAGAAGAGAAATTTGAGGGCTCCGAGATCCGAGCTCTCGCTTCGAAACCGGAGATTTTGTTTTGAAAGCGGCTATTTTGAGTAAAAGAGGTGAGAGGAAGCAAATGGTAGGTAGTAGTAATTCCTTGGCTGGTCTACAAGATCACTTGAAATTAGCGAGAGAATACGCACTAGAAGGATCCTATGACACATCTGTCATCTTCTTCGATGGCGCCATTGCTCAGATCAACAAGTAAGTAGCTCCGTTGTTCTCTTGAATCTTAAAATCTGTTTATATATATATAATCTTTTTAAAAATCACCCCTTCTTTTGCAATTTCGTCAAGCCCTAGATAGTTTGTTTTGTTCGTGTTCTATTGAATTGAAATGGGCTTACTTCCCATCATTTTACCCCTTGCAACAAAAGCTAGCATTTTTGCAATGTTTCGCGGCGTGACTATACTTAGAAACTGTATTGGTGAGAGAAAGAGTACACTCTTTATGTGCTGCATTATTCGGTGGTTCTGAAGCGATTATATATATATATATATATATATATATTCTATTTTAGGCATTTAAACACCCTTGATGATCCTTTGGCGCGGACGAAATGGATGAACGTCAAAAAAGCCATAATGGAAGAGACGGAAGTTGTTAAGCAATTGGATGCAGAGAGAAGAGCTTTTAAAGAAGCTCCTACTGGCCGTCGTGCTGCTTCTCCCCCCATCAATACCAAATCATCCTTTGTTTTTCAGCCTTTGGATGAGTATCCAACTTCATCCGGTGGTCCAATGGATGATCCTGATGTGTGGAGGCCTCCTACCCGTGATGTTACTACTAGAAGACCTGCGAGGTCTGCTCAAAGTGGTATGAGAAAATCACCTCAAGATGGGGCTTGGGCTCGTGCCCCTGCAACACGGACTGGTCCAGCTTCCCGCGGTGGAAGAGGTGGGGCTACTAGTAAGTCCGCTGCAGGTTCCCGTTCTTCCGCTGCCGGAAAGAAAGGAGCTGCCTCCAAATCTACCAAGGCAGATTCTACTGTAAGTTATATGTTTCTGCCTTTTGGGTACTGCAAATAGAGATGTTAGCTTGAAGTTTTTCAATGAGTCACGTATAGACTATGGCATTTCCGTTTCCATTACTTTTCTTTCGTAAAAAACATAATGTCTTGAAACTTCTAAGTTGATATGTTAGTAAGTTTGATGTATCAAATATCAAAAAATGTGGATAGAAATTTAAGATTGATATTTATGTATTCCTGGATTGATGTTGTGTCAGTAGTTTCCATCTATTGTCCCCAACTAATAGAACTTCTGGCCTCCTCATTGATATCAGAATGGCGATGCTGAAGACGGGAAGTCAAAAAGGGGACTGTATGAGGGTCCTGATGAGGATTTGGCTGCTATGCTTGAAAGGGATGTGTTGGACTCAACTCCTGGTGTCCGTTGGGATGATGTTGCAGGTTTGTCTGAAGCCAAGAGGCTGCTTGAGGAGGCAGTTGTCCTTCCTTTATGGATGCCCGAATACTTTCAGGTACTTTTGTTCGGTTTCTTGCGCTGCTAAATTTGGATTTTGTATCTTACTATCATAAGACGATGGAGCAACCATATAGAGTAGAATAAAACTGCCACTTCATGAATTCCGTACTCCTTATATTTATCTTCTAGATATGGAGGGTACTTAATTCGATTTTTTTTTTTTCCTTCAGGGTATTCGAAGACCGTGGAAAGGAGTTCTCATGTTTGGTCCTCCTGGGACAGGTAAAACTCTGTTGGCGAAAGCAGTTGCGACCGAGTGTGGTACCACCTTCTTCAACGTCTCGTCTGCTACATTAGCTTCAAAATGGCGCGGAGAGAGTGAGCGCATGGTCAGATGCCTGTTTGATCTAGCTAGGGCATATGCTCCAAGTACCATTTTTATTGATGAGATCGACTCTCTCTGCAATTCTCGGGGGTAAACTTTCTCACAACACTGATATCTCAATACCGAATTGAATGTATGTGTAATTGGTAGAGGGTATGATGCAGGGGTTCTGGAGAGCATGAATCGTCAAGAAGGGTGAAATCGGAACTCCTAGTGCAAGTAGATGGAGTGAGCAATACAGCGACAAATGAAGACGGTAGTCGCAAGATAGTAATGGTATTGGCAGCCACCAACTTCCCATGGGACATAGATGAAGCTCTCAGGTTTCGATGTTCTTCTGAGTTAATTCTGTCTTTCGACTTGGTTCAAGTATAATGAAACTGCTGACTGTTGAGCTGATGTTGTTGCGCAGGAGGAGGCTGGAAAAACGTATATATATCCCACTTCCAGATTTCGAAAGTCGCAAGGCTCTTATCAATATAAATCTGAGAACAGTTGAGGTGAGTTGGGAAATACATTGTTAAAAAAGAATGCGCAAAAATCGGTCGGGCTGGTGGTTGATGGAAAATGAGTGTTGGTCACATTTCAGGTGGCGAGTGATGTTAACATTGAAGATGTGGCTCGGAGAACGGAAGGGTACAGTGGAGACGATCTGACAAACGTGTGCAGGGACGCGTCAATGAACGGGATGAGGCGTAAGATAGCGGGGAAAACGAGGGATGAGATAAAGAACATGTCGAAGGATGATATCTCAAATGATCCAGTGGCGATGTGTGATTTCGAAGAGGCCATAAGGAAAGTGCAACCGAGTGTGTCTTCTTCTGATATCGAGAAACACGAGAAGTGGCTCTCTGAGTTTGGATCGGCTTAATTTATTTTAAAAAAAAAACGCTCTCCTTTTATGTTTTTTTGTTCACTAATCAATCACTAGTGTGTGTGCCTTTTCTTGTGTTTGTTTATTATATATCATTATATTATTATTTGCCAGTCATTTTAATTTTATCTATATTCTCTTGTACGTGTTTCTTCGTATATTTCTAAACCTCTAATGGAATTAATGCATTGTATTGTATTTTCCTTCTGTTTCTTTTGGGTTCCTAGTAAAGAAGTTTTTTTTTGTTTTCATATTTAAAACCTCTAAAGGAAATATATTTTAAGATTCCGACAAGGCTTAATTTGTAGTATTATTTCTACATGAGATCGAAATATCTCTCATTTCTGATTAATATTTAACATCGATAAAAGAAAGTAGATGCATTATCACTCGAAAGACCTATCTACTAATTCCCTCGATCTCCAAAATTTGCCAGAAATTTTCGTGTTTCCTCATATATATAAAGTATATGTTTTGACATTGGAAAATGTCATTTTAACCTCTTTTGATATATCATCTTAAACTACTCGGAGCCTTCTAGGCTACTAGCTATATAGCTCATCTCATCTATATCGCAAATCCTTTCATGGGTGAAATATATTGTCCAGCCAATAGAAAATAGATACTTAATATTTTTTTTTCAGAATGTATGATACATAGTACCAAAACCTTTAGTTTTTATCTACTTTAATCCCAATATATTCTTTTCCTAGCTAGCAAGAACGAAAGATAAATTTATATACAGGCATGATGATGACATTTATATTGCCAGAATAATGTCAGATTCAGATAAGAATATTTTCTACCATAAGCTCATTGAGCCGAATTTTTCAAAAACTAATATGTAGTTAATTACTATCTTTTAGACTTTTACATACCAATTAATTAGGTTTACATAACATATATATATGTATATTAATTATATATTTTAAAGAAATAAGGCCCAAAAGGAGATATATTCGCAAGTGGAGTGGGAGTAGTAGTGATGACTGGCGAGTTATTTTTCGACCAACGAATCTGTGTAACATGCATGCTGACCTATCTATTTATATAACAAAATATAGCAACATATATTAGATTAGTCAAGTTAACTACCATATGTTGAGTTTGGCTAATTAGTGATGTGTGTTGAAAAGATTATGAGTGCTGGAAAGGTCCGACATATCTCTTTAGTGGTATTTCAGAAATAATATTTATATATATATAAAAAAAAATCCAAAATTATGAAGTCCAAAGAATTATGTAAGATGGGAGCTATTTCAACGTGGACCATTATCAACCATGTCAAAAACGCATTTCAACTCCTCAATGCTTTGTTGTTATTATTTAGTATATATGTTCGATATCGAATTGACCCAACACAAACAAAACGAAATAAATAAATAAAACAATTATCAAGTATCATGTATTCCGACGTAATAACACAGCTAGTGATGTGAATATGTATTTGTGAAAATTGTGGAAAGCATGATAAAGTGAAGAACAGAACACGAGCAAATGAATTGCAAGTGATGATGATATGCATGTCCATGCACTTTTTATATATGTGTATTATCGATGTGTTTTCCATAAATGTGATGGTTTTTGTACCACAAAAGTTACGTAGCATTAATAATCGTGCTTCCTCTAAGTGCCAATTTGCTATATATATAAGCAGATAATATATATTCACATCATTATTAGTACATCGTTGATAAACGATACACTACATGACTACAATATATGGTTTGTTCTTTGATGACACTGTGAGGTTTATTAATTTGTTCCTATAATAACCATATCGTGTGTGAGAAACACAATAATCACTAAATCACCGAGAAGGTTGCTGATTTGTTGTAAAATGTATACGGTCGTATTGTTACCCTAATAAAGCTGTTCTCTTTTACTGTTTTCGGTTAATGTAAGGGCGGCCCAATATGTGATGATATAATTAGTGCATTTTTTATGTTGCGGATAATTAAGGAGCCACGAGAATATATATATCAATCAAGATTGGAAAATCTCTTTCGAAGTTTGTCGTTTGACACTAGATTAGTGAGAACCAGGTGGACGTGAACAGACAAAATCAAATACATAATGGGTGTGGAAATGATAACTTAAGTAAAATGATAGGAAACTTAATTATATATATGAGGAGACAAATTTTTTATTTTTTAAGTACGTTAAACAAATGTTCCAAAGTGGAAACAATCTAATGGCCTCGCCAAATTTGAGAATGTTTTGTTTTATGTTGTCTCTATCCAAGAAATAAAACACAGCAATAGATGAAAAAAAAAAAAAAAAAAAACACAGCAATATTAACACAAAAAAAGGGTTTTGGTAACCAATAAGAATCAACCACAAAAGGAGATTTTGTCTTTTGTCTCCACATATACTACACTTTTCTCTTGAGTATTCATTCAGTCTCGAGTCTTTCACTACATCTATTATATATACCTTCCGACTCCTACTCCTCTTCTCCACCAAACATATCATATCGATACCAAAAACATATATAAAGGTACGATATATATATAGAGACATATAAGCCTTTAGCTAGCATGAGTTCAACGTTGAGTGATGTGTTTAGATCGCATCCCATTCACATCCCACTCTCAAGCTTACCCGACCTCAAATCTCTCCCTGATTCTTACACGTGGTCCCCCAAAGATGATCTCCTCTTCTCTGCCTCCGCCTCCGACGAATCCCTGCCGCTCATTGACCTCTCCGATCCCCACGCGACCACTCTTGTGGGAAATGCTTGTACCACGTGGGGAGCGTTTCAGATCACCAACCACGGAGTTCCCTCGCGACTCCTCGACGACATTGAGTTGCTAACAGGAGATCTTTTCCGGCTTTCCGTCCACCAGAAACTCAAGGCGGCTCGGTTGGAGAATGGCGTCTCCGGCTACGGCGTTGCTCGTATAGCTTCTTTCTTTAATAAGAAAATGTGGTCCGAAGGGTTCACCGTTGTTGGCTCTCCTCTCCACGATTTCCGAAAACTCTGGCCCAGCCATCACCTCGAATACTGGTAGCTTTCTCTATGATTCATTTTCTTTAACGTTAGGATCCGTATAAAAACATAATATATACATATATATTCGTATGTTACGTTTATGACAACCCAAAAAAAAAAAAAGAACACCAGTGGACGTTAGTACAGTTGACTAATACTCAATTGATATGGATTCGAGAATAATACCAAAAAGGAAAAGTAGAAACCACCTTTCTCGCCATGTCGTAGTTTGTAAAAAGCTAGCTGATATATATAGTTCCATGAATGATAGACTGATAGGAATATATAAATTTATGTTTTATTTGTCATAACGATTAGAAGATAACAAAATTTCGATCGGAATTCGTAAAATTATTTTATAATACTTATGCAAAACTAAAAAATAATATATATAAATGATGAGTGGATGTAAAATATAAGATATTTTGTTTGCTTAGAGAATATCGATTACATTGAGAATATTAAATATTGTTAAGTGAAAGTCTTGGTTTCTACAATGTAATTTTTAATTTCTCAAGTATATATGGATGGAAATATATATTATTTTTCTTGTGGTCTAAAGGGAACGTGTTATATGAAAAAATAATACATTTACAAGAATTCAGATACCCTAATTGATACTGTCATATGGATTCAACAGTGAAATAATTGAAGCGTATAAAGAACATATGCAAAAGTTGGCAGCCAAGCTGATGTGGTTGGCATTAGGTTCACTGGGAGTGGAAGAGAACGACATAAAATGGGCCGGGCCTAATTCAGACTTTCAAGGAACCCAAGCAGCTATCCAATTAAACCATTATCCAATATGCCCAGAACCAGAGAGGTCAATGGGCCTTGCAGCCCATACCGACTCAACCCTCTTGACTATTCTGTACCAGAACAACACCGCCGGTCTCCAAGTTTTCCGGGATGACGTGGGCTGGGTCACCGTGCCACCTATCCCTGGGTCGTTAGTGGTCAACGTCGGTGATTTGCTCCACATCCTGACCAACGGAATCTTCCCGAGTGTACTTCACCGAGCCAGGGTTAACCACGTCCGGTCTCGCTTCTCCATGGCTTACCTTTGGGGTCCATCCTCCGACGTCATGATCTCTCCACTTCCCAAACTCGTTGATCCTCTCCAGTCTCCTCTCTACCCATCTCTCACTTGGAAACAGTACCTTGCTACCAAAGCTACTCATTTTAATCACTCTCTTTCCATTATTAGAAACTACCTGTCCTCAGACCAATTTTCTTGATTTTTCTTTCTTTCTTTCAGTAATATCGATCTGCTGTATAACTATCTAATAAAGGTCACTGGAAGCTTTCTGGCTTTAGTGACAAATACAAAAACAAAAACAATTGTCATTCATAGCATGCATTGCATTTTCATGTACACATTTTTTTAAATTGTAATATTAGTACGTGGATCCAAAACAGATCATTTAGCTTAGATTTCAATTAGAAATTGGCCTTTCACCAATTTCAGCGTGATTTGCAAATCAAACCACGTATTATTTTCTGTTCACAGTGCGTGGATTCAATCCGATTGCTTAGGAATAATTAAAAATTCTGGATTTTAACCAAATATACTTCAAATTTGATTTATATATACAAAAGCTAATTATAGTGTACGTGGATATGTGTCACTAATTACTACATTTGCTAATAAAATCTCTTGGGGTTTATAGCTCAACAAATTAGGACAGGAATAAGAAATTTAAAAGTGATTTTATTCTTATCATCATATATCATATATACTGACATGCATGTAATAAACTTGTTGTGATCGGCATATATATATATATATATTATATCCCAATGATCCCATTATTACACAAGCCATGCCTTCGATCACAGAAGAGATATGTACTGGAAACTTAGGCAGTCTCCAAACCATCCCTGACTCATTCACATGGAATGTCACCGCCGAGGACTCTGTTCTGCCTCCCTCCTCCGCTGGAGTGGAAGAGTCCATTCCGGTGATCGACCTCTCCGATCCAGACGCCACCACCATTCAGCTGATAGGGAATGCGTGCCAAACGTGGGGAGCGTTTCAGGTAGCCAACCACGGGATTTCTCAGAAACTCCTCGACGACATTGAGTCTCTCTCCAAAACCTTGTTCGATATGCCGTCAGAGAGAAAGCTCGAGGCGGCTTCCTCCGACAAAGGAATTAGTGGCTACGGAGAACCTCGAATCTCTTCTTTCTTTGAGAAGAAAATGTGGTCTGAAGGTTTCACTATTGCCGATAGCTCATACCGCAACCATTTCATTACTCTTTGGCCTCAAGATCACACCAACTACTGGTAACGTCCATATTACTCACAAGCATTATTGTATACTCCATATTGCATAATTAACAGTGTTCAAATGTACCGAGCAGTTAATGATTATGCTTTTTGATTACAATTTACACATAGAAAAATTTACCATAACGTTAGGGCCTCAAAACTACATTGCTAAAACGTTACGGCTATATTGTCTAGTTAATTTAATATTTTGGTTTTCAATGACATGCGGTGATGTGCAGCAGAATAGTCGAAGAGTATAAGGACGAAATGGAAAAATTAGCGAACAGACTTCTGTGTTGCATATTGGGCTCGCTTGGTGTGACCGTGGACGACATAGGATGGGGTCAGAAAGCCGGGAACTCTGGAACAAAATTGGAGCGAGGCGCCATAAGGCTAAACCATTACCCGGTGTGTCCTGAACCAGAACGAGCAATGGGTCTAGCCGCACATACAGACTCCACAATGCTAACCATCCTGCACCAGAGCAACACGGGAGGGCTACAAGTGTTGAGGGAAGAGTCCGGTTGGGTTAAGGTTGATCCGAGACCTGGTAACCTGGTGGTCAACATGGGCGATCTCATTCACATCTTATCGAATGGGAAAATCCAAAGCGTGGTCCACCGAGCCAAAGTAAACCAAACCCGGTCAAGGATTTCAATAGCGTATTTATGGGGTGGTCCAGCTGGTGATGTTGAAATTAAACCTATTTCTAAGATAATCGGTCCGCTTGGAACGTCTCTATACCGATCAGTTACTTGGAAGGAATATCTTCAAATCAAATGTGAGGTTTTCGACAAGGCGTTAGACGCTATTAGGACTGTTGTTAATCCCTCCGATTAAACTAACATACCTCTCCGAATAAAACCAAAGTTAATTATTTTAAGATTAAAACACATTTACAAGTGGATTTTATTTTCATTTATTTTAAATGAAAATTTAATAATTTATACACATGATTGATACGACAAATCTATACTAAAAAAAAGGCGCAAGAAGAAAGGAGAGGAGGCGTTTGTTCAGGGGTCGACGCCGCAGTAGACTTGGAGGAGATCTTCGCTTGACTTCTTGAGGGAATTGAGGTACGACTCGTAGAAGCGGAGGAGGCCGTCGTGATCGAAAGGGTTGTAGCGGAGGGGATGTTGGTCGTCGACGAGCTCCTCCGGCGTGCGAATCGTGCCTTTGTGGAAGGAGAAAAACCCTAAAGAGTATCGGACCTCATCAGCGCTCATCACTACCTTGTGGTAACATGCCTTTATCCTATCGTTACTCCACGCCTTTTTATCAAACAAACAAATTAAAAAAATTTATTCAGGGTTCTGGCTATCTCGTCAAACTGCATGGGTTCAGAAACTCACCGTGAGACCCATGCCGGAGAGAACGACGAATCTTGTCGGCGACGGTTTAAACCCGACCCATTGGTCGGTCATGGTTTTTAAGTGGAGACCTCCGACGTGGTTCTGATGGAGGATACTCATGAAGCTCTTATCAGTATGTGATACAAATCCCGTGTTTGCTTCGCCGTTTCTCTGTCTCCGGTAACTCAGCATCCTCAACAGGTATCGAGTTGACTCGGAATGACTCGCCGAGTGCTTCTTCTCGTCCATTCCATAGCTCTCGTACAACATTCTCATCACCTTCTGCTCTATCTCCGCTAGTGCTGTTGCGTACACATGTGTGCTTTGGCTGCAAATCATATTTTATTTTTATACCCCTCGATCCCAAGGCAATATGAATGAAATCAAATCTTCGTTTTCTTTTAAAAAAAAAAAAAAAAAAAAAAAACCTGAAGGGATCGTTTCCTTGTGGCCAAAGTAGTTTAGAGAAGTCTTTGCAAGCTTGGAGCTCCGTTGCATAATCAATCCCTAAGCTCTCGTGGATCCGGTAATCGTCAACCACCATAGACATGTAGCCATGGGAGACCTTGTGGTTCTCGTTCTTGATCTTGATTTCGTACGGCAGATCATACATCTCCTTCATGCCGGTGAACAAGCTGTCCCTTAGATCTGATGTGACGCCATCGAACTCTGCTACAAACCAACCTTGCTCCTCCATGGCTTTTCTGACGTTGTCCCTGGTCGTGATCCAGTGACTCGTGCCTGGCATTAGCTTATCGCGGGAGAAGTCGAGGATAGGTAAGCATTGCTCCTCATGCCAGTTCATTGGAGCCGAAAGGTTAAGTGATGATGAAATTTAGTGACTAGTCTAGCATTGTATTTATACAACACCATTCACAATGGAGCTGGAATACGATTCTTTATAGAAAGGACAATACTTGGAGAAGATCCGGTTTTGGCTCTTATATGCGTCATCCTTGTGATTTTCTTTCCTCGACAAAAACCAAGTATTATATTTTGTATCAGATTATTTGTTACAATCATTAAGCACAAAGTTGATTAGTGGTTTCACAGCTCAATACATATCAGAACTAAATCTAACTTATTCATGTTACTTAATAACAACACAACACAGCCCAAAGGTTTATAAGGGAACGTAATACCACAATGAACTGAAAAGAATGTTCAAAAAAGCTAACAGAGACTAAAGACAGAGTGGTCGTGGCAAAAGGGGGATTGTTTGAGAGAGAGAGAGATTGATCTTTCTCACTCTCGAGATCTTATTTTTGTGATTCATCCTTCTTTCGTTTCCCCTAAACCCTTTCTACATGTTGGTTGGAGCAGACTTCTCTGGTGAACTGCTTGGAGATTCTCCTAGGGAACCATTCCCGCTTTCGTCTTGAGACACAACAGGGATCTTCACTGATGAAGCTCTCTCCATTTCCTTCTCAAGCTCTTCTTCAGACCGCAAGCTGTTGAACTGTCCCTCCAGCGACTTTGCCGCAGCTAACCACGCACCCACAATTACCAACAATATCATTCCTAGATATGGCGTTGAATTCGCTAGTGATCCAAACGATAAGATCATGAACTGCTGTATTAGAGCTCCTCCTGATTTCCCTAATGGGTTGCAGACCACGTCGATTGCAGCTTTGCCTTTAACCTGCACCACATCACAATGGCTCAAACCCAAAGCTAGAGACCACAACTTCATTCACTAGGTATTCTTTAAAAGAGAGAAGTAAAAGCAAACCTTGGTGTCCTCATCCAATGGGATATACGCCATTTCTTTGCAAGGATCAAACAAGCTGTACTTGGCACTCTTGCTGAAGATATTCTGAAGGGCACCAACATAGACAGCTGCGAGTAGTGGTGTCATTCCAAGCTTGGCAACAAGTGGTGCGAATGGGCCGCCAAACAATATCAGAGAGAAGAACGCAACACCGGTCAATAGCAGAACAGTTGGGGTGATCTTTGCAGCTACTCCCCAACCATACTTGTCGAATACGTATTGGCTGAGAAGCATCATTGTGAATGTTGCAATGCCCGTGCAGGTTGAGAAGTCTCCCATAAATGCTGAGTACTCGTTTGGACTAGGGAACTACAGAGCATAGGAATGAACTTAGAAACTGAAAGCATCACGAATGAAGAGACAGATGGATGAGGTGGAGCTGTGTATACCTGAGCTTTAAGCTTTGATTTCCATGTAACTTCCACAAGGTTGATACTAATACCATATGCCACCACTAAAGTTGCAAGATCCCTAATGTATGGTGATGACACCAAGAACTTCAAGCTTTCCATCGTTCCCATCTTTGGTTTCTCCTGTAAAAGAGATGCAGAGTAAAACAAATCAGAAAGGTCCTCATAAATTGCAAAAACTTGTGCACACCGTACCTTCTTCTTCTTGCTACGGGTTGGAAGAGGAACATATCTATTGACCCACCAATAGAGGAAACAGATCGCTAGTCCCATTCCCACCACAATGCTCATCATGGCTTTCAACGAAACTGCCCAGCCGTCAACTCCAGGACCAAGATTCTTTCTCAAGTTAGAGAAGTATTTCACAGTTCTTCCTGAGAAAATCAGCGCAACATTGGCTCCAAGACCGAACAAAGGGTAAAATTTCTTGGCTTCATCCACTGTTGTGATCTGCAAAAAAGAGTGACGCAATGCTAATGAAACTCACACTTCACCGATCGTAATCATATTCGCTGAATCACTACACATCAAACTCAGCAGCTATCAGGACTATAATCATTAAACCATAAACACATCAGACCATGAATAACTAATGAACAGAAGAAGCACAAAAATCCAGAGTCAACGCAAGAAAACCACATATCAATAGTCAGCACAAGTTCAAATCATAGACCAGTTAAATCACCTGATTAGCAAAGCCCCAGAAGAGAACAGAGATCACGACACTACCCCAAAGCTCAGCCATGACATAAAACAAACAGAAACTCCAAATCCGCAAGATTGCAAGAGGACCCATGAATCTTGGGCCGAGGGTTGCAAGAAGCTTATCTGCGAGAGCTTCCGGGTGGATATAGTTGCTGAGAGGGTACATCACGAAACCAAAGGCCCCAAAGTAGACGATGAAAGGAATGATAACGGTGTAAAACAGAGCCTTCTTGGAGAGAACATTGGAGAGTTTGGTGTAGAGGAGCATAAAGCCAATGGCCATAGGAAGATTCACCCATGTCTTCAAGAAAGGTATAATCTCAGCAGAACTCCCTTTGGCCGTCACCACCAAGACGTCCTTTGTGTCCCTTAAAATTGTGTAATTGAAAAGAATACAGAAGAACATCAACCCTAAAGGGATAATCTTTTTCAAGGTTGTAACCTCCACACCCAGAAGCTTCGGCGACGCTGCAATTGCTTCAGAGTCGCCGTCGCCGGCCGCCGCCTTGCATATGAACTCGGTGCTTCTCTCTCTGTGGGAAATTGAAATCCCGTGAGGGATTGGCTCAAAGGTTTGAACTTTCTTGTGCGCGTTAAAGGAGAGGGACAGCCCAGGAATGTTTCTTGGCTTGGCGGCGAAAAGTCTCTGCTTGAACCCATGGGAAGGCTGGAGAAGGCTTCTCACTCCGATGGGTTTGGCGGGTAAGGAGAGAAGTCCTCTGGTTTGTATCGCAGCTTCCATTGCTCTCTATCTCTTTCTCCAGCAAATACAGAGAAAGGCCGGAGAGAAATGGAGGAGGATGAGATAGAGAGATGATAAAAGGTGACTTGACTGGTTTGGTTGGTTAGTGCAATGAAAGAATATAGTGTCGCCAATTGAATATAAACAGATGTGGTAATGTATATATCCGTAAAAACAAGGGTTTTTAAATGTGTATTAAAAATGTAATGTGGTAACGCTCACCTCTTTCTTAATGCTGGAAGAGCCTAATCAAATCTGTCTCGAGGAAGATAAATTTGCGGTGTTGAACCACGTGAGCTTTTTCATGGTGGCGATTGCCCAACATAGAAAAAGTTACAATTGTTTTACTGTACCATTTAATTCCCGATTTGTCCCTCCCTCCTTCTCTTAAGTCAAATGATATTTTTGGTGTTATTTACTTGCTTCCTTGTGAGGTTTTGTTTTTCTGGGAGTTGGTGGCTATTACTTTACCTAAATTAAATCACGTGTTGTTTAAATATTGATAATCATATATACTATAGTATAATTTATCAAAAGCTGTTGGACTTTTATATACTTGTGATCTCTATTTACCCGTCTTGTATTACCCTTACACTTTCTGATAATAGTAATAATAATAATAATATGTTCAGGTGTTCAAAAAAAAAAAAAAACTTGTTTGGGTGATAATAATACATATGATGCAAAAGAAAAGAAAAGACCTTTCAATAAAACAAATTATATATACGTACAATGGTGAAACAATATATATATATAAGGTTTATGATTTTCCATAGATTTGGTGGGATAATCAAAGAGTCATCTACACTCAATTGTTTTGATGTCAATTTTTCACACTGTTTTAAACGTAAAAGAATTCGCATCCTCTTCCAAGTTGACCGCTAAATTTTCCGACGGCGGCCTGAAATTAGGACGTCAGGCGAAATAAGATGACCAAACTCTTTACATTTTTTTCGTGGAATGTTTTGTCCTATTCAGTTTGAAGCATATTTTTCTTTTCTTGGTTCCCATTTTACTTTTGAATCGGATAATTCTATTACAGGGACCAATTAGAAAAACATATATATACGATGCCATTCGTTGTGAAGTAATATCACATTGACATTCGGTGATAAGGTAGTCTCATATAATTTTGGAGAGGCACATGTAGGTGATATGCATGTAGGTGATATGCATGTCGTCGTGCTTCAACTATGAAAAATAAAAAGTCTTGTAATGAAAAAGGGAATAAGTTAGGACGAAGCCACCACCAACTCGTACTGATTTGAATGGTCGTCGGGGCGGCATCATTAGATTGGTTACCGGAGTTGAATCGATCAATAAGGGACCACCAAAAATAGTGGGAAAACAAAACACATAATTAAAACGTACCGTATATAATAACTATTCAAACTAATCGCTAATCTTAGCATGTGATGTGCAGTCCTGGTGATGTGTACTCGTGTTCTTGTTAGCAATAGCATGTGATGTGAGATTTGAGCTTTAGTAATAAGAGTTTGAGAAATTGCGTTTTCTTCATATTGCGTATGTACTTTCGGGATGGGATCACAACCGCCCAAAAGGTAACTAGAATAATTTTCTTTTTGATATATATACACCATAAAGGAAGAATAACGAGAACCGTGCTACTTGAACAAAAAGAAATAACGAGAAATCGTACGTCTACAGAATGGGAATCGGATAAATGAGAGCCGTGGGATAAGAAAGCGACGGTTGGGATTGTCCGTGTTCCAAATTGTTGCCGAAGAAAGTATCCAAAGTGGAAAAGAAGACAATTAATGGAATGGAGCTTTGTTCTTTCGGAAAAGAAGATACTTTGTTCTTCTTTTTTTTTTTTTTTTGGTCTTTAGGAAAAATAAGAAGATCCTCTCCAGTCTCCATTGTTGTTGTTTTATTCTCTCTTTTGTTTTTGTTATGACAAAACACATGACTTTATTTTAACACATCTGTAAAAAGTAGGACCAAAATCATCTCACGAGAAGTAGCAGTAAAGTACTCTCCCGTAAACAACACAGTTGATATGTTCCACTTGTCCAAAAGTTAACGGTTCCAGACAGGTGTACGCAAGCCAGGCACTTTTTTCACCTATGTCAGTCGCATATATATTTATAAAAGAGTGAAAGCGACAAACGATACAGTAGTTTTATTATAGAACCGGTGTTTCATGGAGACACGTCACCACCTTCCTTCTCTTTACCTGCGGCTGTGGCGCAACTTCCCCCAATAGATATTTCTCTCTTTCTCTCTTTTCTTGTCTTCTTTCATAAAACCAAAATCCTCCGACGGCTCCGCCTTTGCCACGCCGATCCTTTTAAGTACTACTATATATGACTTATTTTTATATATTTATAAGCACACCTCTCTTTTTTTGGTTTACAACAAAATGATACTATCATAGAAGGTAACGCCCCCATGTTACTGTTTTTTACTGTTTACGAATATTCACGCACTTTCATGTTGTTTTACATTCACATATCTAAGCTGTTTTTCTATCTTTACTTGAGATTCATTGTACTTAAAAAAAAAAGTGGTTAGTAACAATTTTAAATTGACATATAATACTCTTTTTAAAAAAAAAGAATCATACATTTATGCTTTTATCTTTGCATTGTTTGGTCCAGAATTAGAGATATTCAGATTCGATCACACATAATGTGGCATTCAGTTAATGAATAGTTTTTAAGGCCCACTTAATATTTTAAGAGCCCAACTTCTTCTTTTACTAAAACTCATCCTTGTGGCATGACTGCATCCATGTTGCTGCCGTTAAACCTTTTGATGAAGAACTTCCTCATCCTTTTAGGTCGAGATTGTGAGAAAAGATGTTTCAAGAAAGCGTTCAATCTCGGTCACAAAACACAAGCTTTCCAGATTTACGAATTACTACGATACAGTCCTTGTTCCCCAACAGAGTTAACAACCTTACCATAACTATGATTCTATGAAACTCCCTAATGCACTTGCCTCTTCTCTTCATATGTTGGACTCTTCTACTGCTCAATCCCACATCTCTTACTCCCTCACCAACTTCTTCTTCGTTTTGCGCATCTCCCCAATCCCTAAGCCTCTCTTACGATGGTCTGCAAGAGAGCAATCCGAGATTCGATCTGGGACCACCTTCATCTGGGAGCGTGCGGCAAAGCACAAGATCCGTAACAAAGAACAGAACGAGTAGTATAGAACTCGTGTCTAGCAACACACATGCATTTCGCTCCCATATCAGCTTGGTTTTATTATCCAATCAATTTGATCGATAAAATAAACTGAGAGAGCAGAACAATCGCAACCCAAAACTTCTTACCTCGGAAAGGAAGAAGCAGAAGATGGTGTGTGGTGTTTGGACTAATCAATCAATTTTTTTCATTTACGGCAAATCAAACTCTGGGCACATGGAAGCTAACGTCAGGCATTTATAAAGCCCTATAAGAATATGTGTAAGCCCAATAGAGTTTATAACTCAAACGAAGCCCATACATCTTTTTTCTTTTTAGCTCCCATGTCATATATGTAATGACGACTAACTAGTCAAACAAACATGTAATGTTACTTACAAAACGGATGAGTGAGATAATTATCTACTTCCTCTTATATAGATAACTGGATTACCGACAAGAATTAAAAAGAGGGAAAAAAATTGGTCCCTGGCCGACAAGAACAATGACGCAAATTCAAGTTTGAAAGTTAAAAACAACAACAACGGTCACTAAATTAAAAAAAAAAGAAACAGTCACCCTCTCGTTCCTCCCGTTATCCGTTGTCACTGTTACAGTACTTCTCTTCGTCTCCCTTTATTGTTTTTTTTTTCTTTTTTCTTTATACAATCAAATATGCAAAGCTTCGGAATAATCGAGGTGAAATTTCTATCTTACAAAAGTTCCTTCCCCCCCTCTCGATATAATATGTTTTATTTTTCCAAAATAAAAGGGTGGATTATTAAAAGACTTTCTAATAACTGCATTGGTCCGAGCAGAGTCGTGCAAAAGTATATTTTTTTGTAAACTTAAGAAAAACAACAATTTTTTTAAAAAAAGAAAATTTAATTGAATTAGTAAGTAGTATGATTGAAATGATTAAATAGGAGTATAATAATGTGTGTTTTAAAACAGAAACGTTGTAGAAAAAAAGGAGCAGAAGATAACGGAGGGTTTTTTTTTTTTTTTTTTTTTTTTTGTGTGTGGGTTGGTTTAAAGTAAAAATTGTAGATCAAAGAGTTATTAACTTATTATTTATTTATTATTTTTTTTTCTGTTTGGTTTTAGTTTGGGTGTTTCTCCTCTTTGTTGGCTTGTTCGGCCGGTTCTGCGATTCTGAAATTCCAAAGCTTTTCATCTTCAATTTCAGAATCGTAGCTATGGCGTTTCCTTTTTCTTTGTGATTCATTTTTTTTCCTTTTCTCTCTCTCTCTCTCTCTCTCTCTCTCTCTCTCTCTCTCTCTCTCTCTCTCTCTCTCTCTCTCTCACCTTGCGTATATAAAAAAAAAAGGGGTTCGCATATATTTGTTCTTCTTCATCCTCGCCGCCGGCATATGGCCAATTCGCCAACAACTTTGTTGCCAAATCCTCCTCCAAAATTGGTGGATTTTTGTTGGTCACTTCTCGCTAGGGTTCCTCCAACCCCAACATAATTTATTTATATTTAAGCCAAGGAGAGTTGTGATCCGAAGATTGGATTCATCCCAACGATCTGCGGGGCGGGGCGGGGCGGGGACAATGGGGAAAGGTTGGTTGATGGTAGAAAAAGCGAGAAGATGGTTAAGAACGCTCTTCTTCATGGTTGCCATGTTGGTTTCTCTTTTACTTTCGTCCTTGCATATTCTCGTAGCCATCGGCGACGTCTTGGTTCCCACATTTTTGCTTTCCAGTTTCACCTGTTTGACTTGCTACGGCTTTAAGGACCATCTTTCTCGCTACGCTTTCAAGAGCTCTTTGACCGATATTCCTCTCGTCTCCCTCGTCAGATCTTTCCTTGCCATTTGTAAGGATTTATCAATTTTTTGCTTTTTCTTCTTCTTTCTTTTTTTTTTGGGATCTCAATCAAATGTACTCATCAACAGGTGTCTACTCTCTTTCTGATGCTCCTGCGCTCTCTCACGGTCCTTACCTCGGAACTGTTTCCATGTGTTCTGTCGTTTCAATTATTCTTCTCTCGGTTAAAGCTTGCGTCTTTACTGCTAATTCTCAACTTAATGCGGAAGCCTCCTCATCTCCGTCACGGCAACGTCTCCATCTCAACAAGTCTTGGGGGATGCCCGTTTTGTTCCTTTCATCTGTGGTCTTTTCTCTTGGCCATATGGTTGTCGCTTATAGAACAAGTTGCAGAGCTAGAAGGAAACTCTTGTATCACCGAGTTGACCCTGAAGCTGTGAGTTTCTTCTATTTTCATGCTTTTTCTTTTGTTGGAAAATATATCATCTTATTGACTTTGTCTCACAGGTTCTTTCTTGCAAAAGTGTCTTCTCTGGGGGTTACCAGAAAGTCCCACGTTCTCCCATTCCTTTGGTAGGAAAGGCATCATCCAAGATTGACGGACGAAAGCTGCCTCCTTCAACACCCCATGACGAAGGAGAGCTCCCTGTCAGATTGCTTGCTGATCTTGACAGCTTATTCATTACAGTCAAAGGGCTCACTGTACATTACAAGATTTGCACCCCTGCTTCTCCTTCCCACTCTACCTCTTCAACTTTTTCTCTTGAAACCAATTCTATGCTCAATGTACCAGAGGCAATGGCTGGTCGGTTGAAGCTTGACATGAATATATTGAGTATGGTCACGAGAAACAAGCTCAACCATCACCAACATAGGAGCTACAATAGTTTGTTCAACAATTCAACTTCCTTGCACGACCCTCTGCTCGATGCTTCTACTACTTCTCCTCTTCTTTACAAAGATATTCCGGAAGATGCCTGTCGAGAGGATGACATGAATGTGTCTAGTTTTGGTGCCGCCGAGCTGCAAGATGTGGATGTAAGCGATCAATTCGGTGTTGTGTTGGTCCATGGGTTTGGCGGAGGAGTGTTTTCTTGGAGACATGTGATGGGTTCTCTCGCCCATCAGCTTGGCTGTGTTGTCACTGCATTTGATAGGCCTGGATGGGGATTAACAGCCAGAACTCATAGAAAAGATTTGGAAGACAGAGAGATGCCAAATCCTTACACTTTGGAGAATCAGGTATAATTATTGGTTCAGTTCCGGGAATTCTATAACTCATGGTAGATTTTTCTTTACTCTTGGAAAGAAATGTTAACACTCAATTATTTGTTTACCGGTTCCAGGTAGATATGCTTCTTGCTTTTTGCCAAGAAATGGGATTTACTTCCGTAGTCTTGGTTGGCCATGATGATGGAGGTTTGCTTGCTCTCAAGGCCGCACAAAGATTGCTAGAATCAAAAGATTCCATGAAAGTTAAAGGAGTGATTTTGCTTAATGTAAGTTTGACTAGGGAAGTAGTTCCAGCTTTTGCAAGAATACTTTTGCACACATCACTAGGAAAGAAACACCTTGTTCGCCCGCTTTTACGCACTGAAATAGCACAAGTGGTGAATCGCCGAGCTTGGTATGATCCTGCTAAGATGACAACAGACGTATTAAGGCTATACAAGGCACCACTTCATGTGGAAGGCTGGGATGAGGCACTTCACGAGATAGGAAGACTCTCATCCGAGATGGTGCTTCCAACTCAAAATGCATTGTCACTTCTCAAGGCAGTGGAAAACTTACCAATATTAGTCGTTGCTGGAGCAGAAGACGCACTAGTTCCGCTCAAGTCCTCCCAAGTCATGGCTTCAAAACTCGTAAACTCTGTAAGTCCTCTATATGTCTAATCAAATACATATAATTCTCTTCTGTCCCTAACTAATATCACACATCTCAACAAACAGAGGCTAGTAGCAATCTCTGGATGCGGGCATCTGCCACATGAGGAGTGTCCCAAGGCGCTTCTTGCTGCCATGTCTCCATTCATTAGTAGACTTGTACTTAGAGAAGAGTGAGTGACTGATTGATCACTTTTTGTTGTCTTCTTAACTCACAATCGATTAGTGTTTGTGTTTTTTTTTGTCTGCCCTAACAGGAAAAAAGTTGGGGTGATATTTGTGTTTATGATGATAAGCAGCAGAGTTATTGTAAACTTCTCCGTCTTTATTATCTGAGTTTTATTATGGTTTGGATTATTCTATTCATATTCCAATTGAAAGATGAGTGGCTGAATGTTTGTGAAAATTTCCGGTATGGAATATGTGCAGCTTATATGTCATTCTATCTATTCGTGTAGAATAGAAGCAAGACTCTTTTTTCACGAGGCTTGGAGGTCTCTAAGTGTGATCGATCACCAAAGAACCCAACATAAACATTAAAAAATACAGCAACTAAGCAGACTCTTAAAACTAAACGTTACTCTCTCAAACTAAATGTTAGGAGGACAAATGAGATACTTCTTGCAAGCAGAAAGAAGAAAAGTGTAGGGAGAGACTGCTCAATCCAGAATATCAGAGATAGCTGTCTTCTTAAATGGATCACCTTGAGCCAATTGTGCAGCCATGGATTTGTTTGGAAAGATATTATCTGCCTTCATTCTATCTCGCATTCCATATGCAGGGGCTTTGGCGTTTATGTAAGCCTGCATGAGGGCTTGGAACTGCCTAAGCCGAGATGTATACCCAGCTTCCCTCATTTTTAGGAATATCTTCTCTGTGTTATGAACATCTCCCCGTTTTGAGTACTCGTCCATGATATACATGAAGGAGTTCATCATCAGTTTTGTATGGCTCTGTTTTGATGCCTTGTTCAGCAACGAATCAGCCTTTTCAACTTCTCCAGCTTCCACATAGAGCTTGATGAGGGCATCCCATGTTGCTGCCTCAATCCTGCAACCGCTCTCAGCCATTCGTTTAACCAGATCCTTACCCTCTGAGAGCATCTTCTGATCTACATAAACCCTCAAGAGAACGGAGTAAGTACTAGAAGAAGCTCTTCTGTCCATCTTCACAATTTTTTCGAAAATCGCCTCTGCTTCTTTTACTTTATTGAGCTTGCCAAACGCATGGATTGCAGCAAGGGATTCCTCAAAGCGGGGCTTTGATTCACAGATCTTCCAAATTCTCTCCACTTCATCTTGTCTCCTCAGAGATGCATAAATGGAGAGCAAATCTTTGAATGCCCGGCGATTTGCCTCTAAGCTTTCACCTTCCATCTCTTTCAAGACTTTCTCGGCTTTCTCTTTAAGCCCAGCTCCCACGTAGTGTCTAGCAACGATAGCTTGTGTGTGGAAGTCCAGTTCAACACCTTCATCTTTCATTGTCTCCAGAATTTGCTCCATACCACTAATGTCATTTGTTGCCCCTTTGACGTCAAGCAGGATTTTGTAAGTCAGAAGACTCGGCTTGACATTTTCTTTCTCCATGAGCAAGAGCACATCAGCAATTTTCTTCCTGTCGACCCTCTTGTAGAGAAGAAGCATCTGATCACAAGTAAAAGCAGAGAGAGGGAATCCCAAGTCCTTCATTGTGTTGAACACAAGTTCAGATTTCTTCACATTGCAAGCAGCCACACAATTGGCCAATAGGGTACGGTAAACCACTTCCCCCTTGAAAGATTTTGGGATCTTCTGCATGTCAGCTTCTCCCTTTTCTAAGCCACGTATCTTAACTGTCAGATCTAACCGGGAAGCATAATCTCTCTCATCCATTTCAATTTTCTTGTTTGCTTCCAACCATTCTGACATCTATACAGACAGAAAAGAAATGAAGGAAAGCACTTAAACCAAAATATTCAGATAGAAAGATAAATCACAAGTAAAGACAATAGTACCTGTAATGCTCTTCCAAACATGCGACGCCTGCGCAGCTGAAACATTGCCTTGGCAACCTCTACTCGGGTGATATCATTTCCATCTTCCACCCATTTGTCAAGTGCGCTGCCTACAGACAGACCTGCTGCGGAGACAATGGTCTTAAAAAGCTCAGATGGTTTATTATCAACGGGTTTTCTACTAACGAGGTCTAGGTCTTGAATCTCATCATCATCATCAGCCTCAGGAGCTACCTCATCCTCATCATCACTACTTGAATCTTGGCCTGATTTTGAACTTTCCAGTTCTGAGAAGCCGTCTTCGAGGTCGTCTTCCTCTTGATCACTTTTAGTGCCAGCATTGGAGGAAAGGGCACGTTGACTCAGAGAGGAGATATCGTCAAATCTTGGCAGAGGTTCACGTTTATAAGAAACAATCGAACAGGGTTGAAGAGTGAAGAAGCTCCTTTCTCCTCCTCCTGATTGCAGGATATCTTTTGAATACACAACAGAAGAAGCTCCCAAACGGAGTCTCTGAGTTCTGAAAAGATAAGACATAATTACCAAATCAAATCCCCCAGCTAAAGTGTGTGTCTACTATCTCGGAATCTATTTCCCCAATTCATATAGCTACTAAATCTCTAAACACTTCTTTTTGGAACAAAATCAGAGAGAGAGATCCTAACCTCCTCAAAACCTTGGAAAGAGCGAACATGCTTCCTCCTCCGCTTGAAAATCACCTGCTCTTTGAAGAAACAGACAACAGCAAACCCAAGTTAAACGATATATCAGATTCGAATGAAAAAAATAAGGTTTCGCCTCTAACTGAAACGATCAGACCCACTTTTTTTTTTTTTTTTTTTTTTTATAAAAACGAAACGAAACGAAACGAAACGGTAAGAGAGATCGAATTAGAGAAGCAAAACAGAAGAAGAAGAAGAAGAAGAAGAAGGCAGAAGAGAAGAGAAGAGAACGTGCCTGTAAACAGAGAGAGTGCACTACGCGAGCCGATCGAGAAATGGGATGACTGATGGGGAAGAGGGGTTTATGACTGACTGACTAATCAAGTGTGTGTGTGTGTGTGTGTGTTCAAGAAATATAAGCTTTTAGGGTTTTACGGTTTCTTTTGTTTTGACCATTTTGTCCTCTACCAAGGTTTGTTTTGGTTCTTGCGTTACAATATTCTTAGTTGGGGATTTCGTAAATAAATTCTAAACTTTAACCTTCTATTAGTATACATTTCTTTTCAATTATTATAGTCAAATAATTGCATACTGAATTAGTCTCACGATTAGAGTTTTTCAAAAATGGATATCAATGTTTAGTACCCCAAACAAAGTTGCTAGTTTTGCTATATCAACAAACCATCCCATTGCAACAATTATTTTCTACCGCTTCCTTCAAACACATAACTAAAGCATATCAAAAAAACTCTTATTTGCTTAAGGTCACAATTAGTAGTAACTTAATTACTACAATTATTTTCTTAAAGTCATTTAAACACCGAGGATCCGTGGCGCAATGGTAGCGCGTCTGACTCCAGATCAGAAGGTTGCGTGTTCGATTCACGTCGGGTTCAATATCCCGAAACTATATCCTCTCTTTTTAGAAATTAGAACAGTTACCGGTAGAGGAGAGATGCTTTGCTTTGCAATTACGACAAAGTCCAACTTTCCAGCCTTGTCGCACGTGTTCTCCTCCCCCAAACTATATATATATTGTAGTTATAGATGTCCACAAACGTATAATTAAAGATTTTGTAAATGTTGCATCTATCATTCAACTTTCATTTTTTCTCTTTTTGTAATGTATAATCAAATCCCTTACTTACGTACTCATCATCACACCATATAATTTGATATGGGATGGGTATCACCGATCTAATTGTCATATCTACTTTTTGAGATATCCATAATTTCGCAATTCTATGTTATAAAGTGAGATAAACAAAAAAAAAAACCAAACTAATTATATTTGGGATGAGTTTTTGGATTTATAATAATATTAACAGTACAAGTCGGGGACAAATGGGAATATATTGATCGAAACTTGTAATGCGGTAAAGTCGGCAGTCGTGCCTGCACCAGAAAACAACCTACCCCTGCACGTGTTCATAAGAATGTGATGATCAGTATTTTATATCAGTCATACCATTTGATTCATTCATTTTGTCATTTTGACTTCATTTTTTATTTTTTAAATATATTTCAAAACAGCACATCCGATCATTTTGTTCGTTACCTTTGTGTTGTCGCATTATATACGAAGTAATATCTATATGTTAGAGTTGAGGTTTGTTGCATGGCGTTTGAACTTTGGATGACTAGCAGTCTCTCAAGTCTTGGCACTGAAGTTGAGAGCCTTGTCAAAAATATATTTTGCCAAAAAGTTCTGTAAACTTTAAACACATATGCATGTACTATTATTATATACTTTGTTCAACTCAGAACCAAATACGTTAAACGCAAATTACGTTTGGACAATTGATAGTTAAATATATATATAATTGTTGTAAAGGCAATTGAATTAAACAATGCATCGAAGAAATGGAATTTTTTGTTCCAATCATGAAGTCAATGTTCCCTGAGCTAGCTGTCTGACAAACAGAACCCAGGATGCTTCCAGTGGCATTCTCGTCGTTTTCTTCAAAACCAGTGTTCTTCTTCTAAACTTAAACTCATAAAACCCCAAGCCTTCCTCCATCATTTGAGATAATACTTACTAGTCACCATGATCTCTACATCCTACCAACATACGATGTACCAAGAAGCTGCACTCCTCGTTGCTCTCCTCCTCGTTTCTTCAAGTGTCGTCGTATCAGTCCCGATCCACGATGGTTAGTAACTTTTATAAGATCACTCTCAAGTACTTCAAAATCTGAAAGCTGATGATTTATTTAAAACATTGCTCGTTCGTGCTTTCTGCAGGCTTATTACCAAACGGTAATTTCGAGATGGGTCCTAAACCCTCCCAGTTGAAAGGATCCGTGGTTAAGGAACGAAGCGCCGTACCAAACTGGGACATAACTGGTTTTGTGGAGTACATCAAATCCGGTCAGAAACAAGACGATATGGTCTTGGTCGTACCACAAGGTTCCTCCGCCGTTCGCTTAGGCAACGAAGCCTCAGTTTCTCAGAAAATCTCCGTCATACCAGGCCGTCTGTACTCAATAACGTTTAGCGCCGCTCGAACATGCGCTCAGGAGGAGCGGCTTAACATCTCTGTCACCCATGAGTCAGGTGTGATCCCTATCCAGACGATGTACGGTAGCGATGGTTGGGACTCATACTCATGGGCTTTTAAAGCTGGCGGGCCCAAAATCGAGATCCGGTTCCATAACCCGGGTGTTGAGGAGCATCCCGCTTGTGGACCGTTGATTGACGCCGTGGCTATCAAGGCTCTGTTCCCTCCCCGGTTCTCCGGCAGTAAGTAAACTGGAACTGATCAGATTCATATAATATCTGTTAGATATATAAAACGAATTACAGTAATCCACTTTACTAAGTAGAGGTTTTTTTCTCTTGTAGATAATCTGATAAAGAATGGGAACTTCGAGGAAGGACCTTACGTGTTCCCCAAGGCAAAATGGGGAGTGCTGATCCCACCGTTCATCGAGGATGATAACAGCCCATTGCCCGGTTGGATCATTGAGTCTCTCAAGGCCGTTAAGTACGTAGACAAAGCACACTTCTACGTCCCCGAAGGACAGCGAGCCATCGAGCTTGTTGGGGGCAAAGAGAGCGCCATCTCTCAGATCGTGAGGACGTCAGTGAACAATTTATATTCCCTCACGTTCAATGTAGGAGACGCGAGAGACGGTTGTGAGGGACCTATGATGGTGGAAGCGTTCGCTGGAGGGAGAAAGATCATGGTGGATTATGCTTCTAAAGGGAAAGGTGGGTTTAAACGGGGAAGGCTTGTGTTCAAGGCTGCGTCGGCGAGGACACGTGTCACTTTCTTGAGCACGTTCTACCATATGAAAAGCGATCACTCTGGCTCCATGTGTGGTCCCGTGATTGATGACGTCAGGCTGGTCGCGGTTCGGAAACTCCGAGGGTGAATGTAGAACTTACTTAATTGGGGTCAATTAAATGACTCGATCGGTTGAGAATATACGACAATGGTTATTTGTAATGTATGTTTCGAAGATTTACGTAATAAGAAAAAAGAAATTTACTATCAAAGTGATCTAACTAAAAAAAGTGTTAGCTAATTAATAATCATCGTTTCAATATGGATATTAATTATATGATGGTTTTCATTTTCTTTTTGTAACTTCACAGGATGAGCATGATGTTGTCTGGTTTTGGCTGGAGAAAGGCCAGCATTTTAAATGTCCTTTGTGGACACAATACTTTTAAGCTAAGACATAAAGCAGAGTAGATCATATCCATGATACGCAAGTGTCCATTATACTGTGGAGTTTGATTAATTAACGAATGAATGCTAATTGGTTTCGAGTATAGCTTGAAGTGGTCGGCCCTGGAGGACCCCCTGATGGACCATCACTGATCCAAAGGAAACATTCTACTGTAACAAGAAGAGTGTGGCTTCTTAATAACGTGAAGTCTCGTTTTGTTTTGTTTTAATCTCACTCTCCCCTGCTTGATGTACTAATTGGCTTCAGCGATTGTTTTAAACAGACAAAAATAGATGTCCATCTTTTGGCTATGACAGCCTTTGTTTTGCCAAATAATCGAGAGATGCTACTACATTCATTCTTTCTTATGCTCTTCAACGATTAGTGTTTATATTGTATATGTGATTTTAAAATTTCTAGTGTCAACGATACAGAAAATTGGTAGATACTGTTTAATTTTCTAATAAGTTGGTCGAATGCATGGATAGAACAAATTAAATTGGTATATATGCTTTGTAATTTTATTTGCCCTAGGCCTTGAATGGCTGTAGATTTTGAACTTGATTTTAGTTTTAGTTTTTAAGAAAATCTACTTTATTGCCAATCAAGATGATGAGGAAAATGGTTTTCCTAAAATATAGGGAATCTAGATTTTGATGGTTTTTGTCAATTTGTAAAGAAAATCTAAAATTCATATTTATGAGTTTTTCATTTGTTTAACGTGACTTAAATTTTTTTTCTATTTTTCATTTTTTTAAAAAGTTTTAACACAAAAACTAAAAACCATAAACTAAAATCCAAAAACCAAAAACTATAATTCAAAAACCACCAAAAAACTTGCAAACATTCATGGCCTAGGTAAAAACAAAAATTTTTAAAAATAAGAAAAATACAAGTAGACAAAGAATTTAAAACAACAAAAGGGCCATTATGAGGCCTATTATTTGGTATTGGGTTTGGGTTACATAAGCTTAATCGATCTCCAGAAAATTGTTGGTTTAGGAAAGTTTTCACTAGGGAAAAAAAAGAAAAAAAAATAAGGTGTACGGCCCAGATTGGAGGAGTATACCGTAAACGACGCGTATC